GTTATATTATTAAAAATATTATTTTGTGTCTTTATTTTTCTATTACTTCGTCGCCACTATAAGTTAAAATCGTCACACTAGTCACGGAGTGTTTTAGATTTTTCATGAATAAACCGGCGTTAATAGTAACATGTCCAGATAAGATAAGATTGAACATAAATAAATCCAGTTATTAATAAATTTTGGAAAATTATCAAATCAACATATTTTATCTCTGCTAGCTAAGTTAGCTACCACAATCAAGAAATATCGCAAAGGAAAAAGTTGGGCGTCTCAATGATACGAAGATACCTACTCACGGAAAATTAGCTTGTTAGTAATCAAGTGCAAAAAACAGCCATGGATCCTGGACTAAGATTTATGAATGAAAAACTGAAAACGTTAAATGTTCTGGAATTTCAAAATTTGGATCGAAAAAAACAAACAATTTAAAAAAGTGATGTTCATAGTCTATGATGAGATCTTAGACTTTCGCGAGTATTCTTTTAATGAAATTAATATTTTTCGGATTATACTATGCGTATTTTATAATTTAAAAACTAACTTATTGTCGACGTTTCAGTTTATCTTTAAATAATAAAATATTCGTAGTAAGTATAATCCGAAAAATATTAGTTTTATTTATAGTCTATGTTATCTGTCTTCAGACGGTTGCCATGTTTTGCAAATTGTTTCCAGGAAAAGCAAAGATTCAAAGGACAAATTAAGGTCTTTTTGGTATAGTGATTTCAAATCTATGGTAAGGTTTCCTTAAAATCCTTAAATCGACACGATGACGCACGATTTATTAGTGAAGAAGATAAAAAAAATTCAGTGCTTAAAACTGTAATGACAAGTTATATAAAATATAATCTGGAAATCAATTTAGTTCTCAAATTTTAAATCTAAAGCAACGTTTTCTGAATTTAAAAGGATATATAAAATTTTAGTTAATTATTTATTATAGTTATATATATAATTCTAAACAAACTGTGGAATGAAAGTCACAGTTATATTAAGATTTATATTAACCAGAAACAGAATAATATCATACTTGCATAAGAATATTTTATTAATATTTATTATCTTAGTTATTGATTAATTGCAAACAAATCCCTACATACTAATATTATAAATGCGAAAATAACTCTATCTGTCTGTCTGTTACGCTTTCATGCCTAAACCACTGAACTGATTTTAATGAAATTTGGTACAGAGATAGAGTTGACCTTGAGAAAGAACGTAGGATAGTTTTTATCTCAGACTTTTGAAAGGTTCTCTTGGAAAAGCAATATAACCGAACTCCAGGCGAAGCTGCGGGCGAAAAGCTAGTTACTATATAAACATTAAATCAATTTAATGTTTTACAAATGTCTAAGAAAAAATTCCTAGTACGAATACACATGGTCGTAAGGTGAAAATTTGTTAAACTACTATTGATATTTATGATAGATTTATGTTTATTATTGAGGCTACGTTTGTAAGGAAGCGAGATTTACTAATGTTTGGCTTTTGCCAATTCAAGCAATCAAAAGACAAATAACTTGTCAAATTTATTTGTACAATAATTGCAAGGTCCGTTAATTATATGAACATTTATTGTTCACAAAGGAGGAAAGAATCTTCGTGAAAACCAAATGTATTTTTAATTATTGTATGTATTAAATGTTGTTATATATAAATTATGATTTATTTGGAAGATAGCAATCAGTAATTCTATATGTAATATGTCAGTTCACTTGACGTTTACTTAAAGTACTTTTGTCTCATGTTTAACCCGCGACATCCGATGTCACGATGACATTTCCTAAAATTGGTCGATTAAAATTAGAAATCAGAAACAAAATTGCTCAAAACTCTCATATTCTTGATGTTAGATAAATGACTTCCTGCTGCTTGCGACAATGGAAGAATAATTATTTTGCGCGATTCTGAATGGAGGCAGCCCGTGGGAGACTCTCACGACTTTATTGCGGATATATATTTTTTTGTTTGTTCTAATTAACGCTTTTTATGACCGCTTTTACCTTAATTGTTTCTAAGTGTAAATTTGATTTTGGAAAACTTGTATCCTTCTGGGAATATAAAACTAGTGTTCCGTAATGTAGAGATTGCTCAATGTTTTAAGAGTGGTATAGTAGAAAATGTTTTAAAATTTATTTCAACGTGAAAGGTAAAAAAAGTAATGAGAAATTCATTTCAGCAGGTACTTGGACAGTTTTCTTCGTATTGAAAACTTATTTTAAGATACCGTAGCAGCATTTTTTTTCTACACAATGAGAGAACCGTGATAAAACAGAATTTTAAATTATATTGGTAAAAAAAGTCACCGATTATTCGTATTGACTGTTGTATCAACAAATCTAGTAACAGTGACTTTATCTTTATAATTTTATCACACTTTTATTGTAAGTATAATTTTTTTTTGTCTATATATTGTTCAAGGTTTCAGTCTTGATTTTCAAAGTTCAGCGTTACTTCCAGTAATGTCCTACAGCATGGCGGAAGCCAGTATTTTTCAAATACAATTTGACACTTAAATGTTGCCATTACAAAATTACAATGGCTCAGTATTATAATTAATTATAATCTTCTATATATATAAAAATGGATTGCTGTTCCTTAGTCTCGCTAAAACTCGAGAACAGCTGAACGTTCGCCAAGTCTTCTAGTCAGCGATAAAAAATATTTTGAGGATTATAGTATATTATAATTAGTGCAGCATAGATGGCGCCACTTGTAACATCGAGTGTCGCGTTATAGCCACAGACGAGTCAAGTGAAGGCGCGCTCGGCAAGCATTAGTTGCAGTAACTTTCACTCTACCGTATAAATGCTATGCGATACTTGTTTTGATCAACTACGGGGTGGCCCAGAAAGACCGAAGTGGTGTGAATTCCTTATAACTTTTTTATTATAATTTTTTTTTCTTTTCTTTTCAGTATTTTGTAAAGAAGACTTGGATAATTTATAATGGAGCAATACACAATTGAACAACGTGCCCAAATTGTTGAAATTTACTTTTCAAATCAACGGTCCATTGTGTTGACTCAGCGTGCATACCGTCGTCAATTTAATGTGCGGGTTGCACCCTCTCAGTCAACAATAAACCGTCTGGTTGCAAATTTTCGAGAACAAGGAGCAGTAAGGAACCTTCCTGGTTCCGGCAGACACCGAACTGTCCACACGGCTGACAATATTCAAGTGGTACAGGAGAGTATTCGGGAGGATCCAGAAACATCAACCAGGAGACGTTCGTCACAACTGGGCCTCTCAAGAACGTCGCTGCAGCGAATTTTGCACACCATAGGATTGTTTCCATACAAAATTCAACTTGTCCAAGAATTGAAACCAACAGATTACCAGCAACGACTTGACTATGCAATTTATTTCCAGCAAAAAGCACAAGAGCACAGCACAGCAATTTTAATTGGCCTCCGCGGTCCCCGGATTTAACCGCTCCAGACTGTTTTCTTTGGGGCTATTTAAAAGGAAAAGTTTATGTTAATAAGCCTAGGACTATTGAGGAGTTAAAAACCAATATTCGAGAAGAAATTAACAACATACCACCGTAAGTTTTGCGAAAGGTCATGGAAAATGTGTTGGAAAGAGCACATTTGTGCGAAGCAGAATATGGCCACCACTTGCGGGATATCATTTTTAATAACTAATCCAAAAATATTCCCCATAAATTTAATGTATTTTAAAAAAAAAATTTAAAAAATATCTCTTAAATAAAAAGTTATAAGCAATTCACACCACTTCGGTCTTTCTGGGCCACCCTGTATTTAAATAAAAATTAAGATGTTGAGTGCTTTTGCTTAGTTCCTTTCTTATTCTCATGATTCTGGTTTTAATTTTATTCTTCGTTAAACCTCACCAGACTATTTTTTGGTAAAAATTAATATAATCTTATTAATATGAGAAGAAATTATAAACATTTTATATATTGATTGTTATGGTTTTAGTACAACTACAACAACAAAATAACTTTCAAATGTTACCAATATTAAACAGAATTTATAAAATTCTATATAAAATTAGAGCATATCGTATCTATTTTATTACCACAGGTTTATAGATTATAGGTTTTAAGAAAAAAATTAAACACTTTTAATCATTGTGACTCATGTTTACAACCACGCACAAATACGACTTTTATTTTAAAGCAAAATAAAAACATTAGAATATTGTTTTCGAACTCATGGCATAACATTAATAATTTTACACCTATATAATCTCTTAGCTTAGATAGATAAATACAAATTTGTTAACGCAGACATATTAAAAATAGTGAATAATATAACATTCGACGTGAGACGTCAGCTGTCAAAGCTACTTATGACAGATGACAGCTAACGTCACTTTACATACAAATATATATATATTTTACAAATAACGCTTCAGCTGTTTGCATGTTGACCTTGCACTTGATAAATATTATAAACACAAATGACAGTTAAATGACAATTTAAATAGCACTTATATTTATATTAACACGGTGATTATACAGATTATTATTTTCGTACCATAACCGTTTAAAAAAATAACAGATCTCTTTTCATAATATATTTTGTTATAATTGTTAATTAAATCAATTTAAAAGTCCTTGTACCGAAACATTCCCTCTATTATACCATTTATAATTTTATGGTGTTTATTATATTAAGATCGTAGATTAGAGAACCTCTTTTTATAATAATATTTTATGCGAATTTAAAAATGTTTATCATTAATTGTATTGTACTTAATTTTTAGTTAATTCGTTTTATTCTATTAATGTTGTTACACACTTCAATGTTTGGACGGATTTCTATTGAATGTTTAAATAAATTAAAGATTAATTCAATGAAAAATGTCATTATCAGTGTTGTCACATACAATAACAATTTTTAATTTTATTTGAAAATATTATATAAAAAAATAAAGGTAGTTATATATATGATATCGAATTCTATTAACAAATGAGTATAAACTATTTGAAAAACAATAATTAGTTGTTTTTTTAATAGATGATTTGAATTATTTAACACGCATAGATCTCTGTTTATTCATATTGGTGAGCATCAGTGAAATGTATGACGTTAGCAGGTCATCCATTTTGTAACCGAGGGACGTTTCGCAGAGTAATTTGGAGCCTCGTACGAGGTTGCCGATAGTCATGTGGAAGTACGTGTTCCCTGACGACCAGTTGGAGATCCTCGTGAAGGGATGAGTGACCAGAATATCCTGAAATATAACAAAAATACTTCTGAGTTACGACCCTAAGGAATTGGCTCTTATGATACTAAGTCTAGCAAAACTATCGATGCCGTATAATGAGTTTTATTCACAAATCATTAACTTTTCTATATTCTAGAGTCTATACATAAAAGTTCAACTATCTATATAAAATATGATACTTAGAAATCATAGTGGGTTTCTCATATAGTAAGAATAAAGAGTCGTACAAATCATGAGCATGCGTGATTAATTCATACCAAGTTACTTATCTGAGTTAGGTATTACGATAAATATTAACCAACCTTTGACTGCGGATGTATCAAACTGACGCCGTGCTTGTTGATAGCGATCAGTAAGAGTTCAGGGTAGTTTGGTTCAGTGGTCTGCTTGACCTCGAAGAACGCGGAGCCGAAGGTTGGCCAGCGGTAGATGACCTTGAGGAAGGTTATCTTGGCGTCCTCGGGGGTCATGCCGGCGTCCTGGTTGTATGAAGCCACTATGGCACGCTTCCAATCAGCTGAGCTCTGCAGCTTTATAAGATCAGCTGGTATGAGCTCTCGAAGCATTTGACTGTAATGTAGAGAAAATTTTTCCAATTGAATGTGTCAAAAATAGTTCTTATAGCATAAATATAATTAGGTTCGTTTTAGGTGGCACATTAGCGTTAAACCGTCTAAATGATTGGCATTTTATACTGGATCAAATAAATAAACAAACAAAATATGCTTTGGGAACTGTCAATATTTTACTTACATGGTAGCTTGTAAAGAATTCAAACGATTTTTTATCGTATATTTCTAAAACGTTAGGGTTGTGTTACGTTGGTTATGGTGATAAATTAAAAATGTTTTTATTTTAATTTCAGATAATATTTCGTTCGTCTACCAAATACGTGATCAGAAATAAATAGGAATATTGTATTTTCGCTAACTTGTGGATTTTAGGAACCAAAATCTAAAAAGTCGATATTCATGTTTTTATCATAAATCTAATAGGAACTTTAATTATGAATTTTTTATAACATTCTTTAAAAATGTTTTCCTTAAATACAAAAAATATAAATTTAAAAAAACATTAATATTGTTCTGTGTTAAGTACAAACATAAGATTGACAGTAAAAAAAATTCCCGCCAAAACAATGTTACACATTGGACTATGGTTTCGGTGGCTACATATTATATAGCTTATAAAATTGAGTCAGCAATGGTCTTACATAGCAACAATATGATACGCGTCAGATATACGATACCATTCAACGATTAAATTCGTTGTTTAATATTAAGAGGAATAAGAAACTATGTAGTAATTGTATATGAATTCTTACTAATCGGAGAGGTACTTATAGAATTGTATCTTTATAGAATAGCTTTAATCTGACGACTTAAATGACAGCTGACATTGCTGTTTAGAAATGTTGTATTTTAAAATTTTTAGAAGCGTTCTTTATTTGAAAAATTTTAAATATTACATGTATAAGAATTGAAAATAAGAAAAGAAGTCAGCATAAGACTTAGCAATACGCGTAATATGTACTTATATGGCTTTGGCATATTGTATCTTATTTTGGTTTTCTTTACATCTATATATAATCAGATCTAAAACTTTCTCGAGTATTCATTTAAATGAAACTAATATTTTTCGGAGTAAAAACTACATATTCCCGACGTTTCGGTTACTTTTCAGCAAACGTGATCACATCTCATCTACCCGTGATCACGGTAGTAAAATACCCATAGTATTAACAGAAAAATTTTAGTTTCATTTATTTTTATAAAGTTGGCAGACCCTGGCTAAATCTGGGAAATAGCCAGGAAGAAGAAGATATTTTTATAAAGTTCAGTTTCAACTGTATAACGCTATTATTATAATAAAATAATGATTCTCACGGGATAGCCTGTAGTTCCTGCTTGTTGTCTCCGAAGCGCGCGCGGTATGCGAGTGCGGCGAGGCGAGCGGCCTCCTCCCGGCCACAGCGGTGGTAACCACGAAGCAACTTGGGCAACTCCTGGTGGAAGTGAAAGATCACGTCCGCAGCACGATCCTTGCCTGGCACCGTGTTGGTCCATAACTTCTTCATGAAGAACACCTAAAGCGTACATAAATTGTATTGAATAATATATACGATAATAACATGATAGGCAATTTGTCATTCACAGTTTTATGACTTAATGATACCATTTATCAATTATTTTTCTTTACATAGAACGATATGACACTAAAATATGAGAGAGGACACTGATTTCTGTACGGTCTTGGAGCCTAGCTCAAAAATCAGGGACTTCATTATACTTTGTAACTTTTTCTGTGGATAAAGATTTATTATTATTTATTATCCTCGTATTAAGTTCAATCCTTTACAATTAACAATAAACTTTAAAAAATTTAAATAGAATGTTCAAGAACAGTCATATAACATACTTGGTACGTAAACTGAGGTGTGATGCCATCGCGTGTCGGGCGCGCCTTCTTGATCCAATCCGTGAGATGACGAACGAAATCGAAGAAGAAGTCGCCTTCCGGCACTGATATGACCTTATCAGCTATCTTAACAAACAAACTGAACCCTTCACTGGACCTGAGATTCAGTCTCTGTGCGATGTTCTGACAGAAGTCTTTAGCTCTGGTTGAGGAGTCTACTTCAAACGCTTCATCAGTATCATCGGGGAAATATACTTTATGGAATATTTGAGTCGTTTTATGTTGAATGGCCTCGACTTCAACTTGGTGGGGAGGATACTTCCTTTGGCCATTTCGTAACGTCTTCTGGAGTCTTTGGAGTGAATCCTGTGCGATTGGATATCGTCTAGTTCTAAGGAATAAAGTTAATTCTCTAAGGAGGCCCTGACTACACGCAAACAACCCTGTAGCTAGCCACATTAATTCCCAACCTCTCTCTTCCGACATTCTGTTTCTATTGTCTGTTAACTGTTTCATAAGTTGACAGTAGATTTCATCTCTAAGAATTTCATGCTTGAGAGGGCCATCGAAAATATGATCAGTATATTCATTACCTAAACGTGGACGTTTGGAAGGAAGATCCCCCATGTATTTTAGTAAGGCCGTGAACGCAAAGCAAGCTTCTTCAGCTAGCTCCTCTTTGGCTTGCAACTTCTTTAATAGAGGCTGTTTTATTGGTTCTCTAGAATGTCGCCACAATTCTTCTGCTCCTCTTTTAGCAGTAGAAAGTGTGAGAGCTTTAGACGTGGTACGCTTTGGCGGTAATCTGAAATGATCCATCGCATACTCAACAAGGGTATGAGGTTTGTCTCTTGTTTCTGTTCCATTGAAAGTGCTGGTAGGCGCACGCCTGCCATGTTGAGCGCCTTCTTGACAGAACAATGCCAATATATCCGGAGGTGGTTTACTTAATGCTGGAAGAACGTATACAGTTTCAGAAGGAAAGTCACCTCTCTCCATACTCCGTTCGCAGCGACCGATGCACCATCCGTTATTGAGTACCGATTCGCCAGTACTATCTTCTTCTAAAATTATAAGATCTCCTTTTAGGAATGTTAAGAAACTTGAACCCTCCCCCGGCGCCTTATAATCTTGTAACGCTATAACGAACTTAGATCTCTTTTTAAGTCCTTCTAAGAAATACACTACCAAATCACGAATGTCCTCGGCGTTAGGACTTTGGAACGTAAACTCTTCACCACGCACAGTGGATAAACTAAAGGTTTGCGTGAAAACTTTATTAGTTTTTTGACTTGACACAGTTGTAATCTCTGGGAACGATAACTCTAACAACACTTGTTCTTGATCGTCGACAACATAAACTCCGGTCCAATTGACCGCTATAATAACATCGTTCTTTGGCAAATTTGGTCCTGAATTTCTGTATGCCTCATAAAATCGAGAAAAGAGTAAAGGCCATTTGAACTTCGCGTAACTCACTACATCCTCTTTCACTTTATAGGCCGCTATTTTTTCTTTGACATAATAACTCTTCTTGTAAGCTTGCACTACAAGAGCGCCCCACCGGTCGACCGCTTTCTCAACTCCCGTTAAGCAATAATCTGGTATATAGTTCGGTAACAATGTATATAAACGTTCCGCGTTCATATCCTGACCGTACTCAATATAATATTGCTGAGCAGCTATCATTGCTAGGTCCTCCTCTTTGTCGCATCTGTATTCACCAAACTTGACTCCTCGTACTACTTGTTGATATATCAGATTAGTGGCCACCTGATCTTCGGTAGGGTCGTGCCACGGCGCGAATATTTCCTTTCTAAAGAATAATCTCCAAGGCGCATTCCGTTCTTGAGCACCTTGTTCTTTGGCATATTGCTCACATTGCGATATCGCGTCCATAACGTGATCCCCGCCACTACCGAGAGAACTGACTTTATCAAACAACGCTATATACAACGAAAAGCCAAACTGATCTCTTAAACCAATTTTATCTGATAACTGATTACATAACTCCCTGGCGGTAGTCGCTGAATCAGCTAATAAAGTCTTAGTATTACCATCCATGAATGTTATAGGTAACATTATAGGTTTTTTAGATTTTGTAGCTTGCAGTTCAAGCCATGACGGCGGTTGGTTTCGTGTTCCATTGTTAAAGGTCCTTTTGAGGCGATCTTCGCAGTAAGGTGCGTAACCTGGTGGACCTTCTCGTATGAAGGCTCTCAGGTAGTTCACAAACTTTTCACTGGGAGCGAAACATCCAACACATAGAGATAGTAAGATCCATCCTCGTGCGTGGGATGATTTGGACGGATTATTCGTTAGTTGTTTACAAATTTGACAGTATATCTCATCCCTCAATTCGGCTCTTAATATTCCGTGTCCAATTATAAAGTGAAGTTTTTCCAAATTCGACGTCGGCCGTGACTCTAACCACGATTGATAACTGTCAGCTGTATACTCTTCATCCTATAAACAATATAATTATGGATTATTATCTTATTTATTATTAATCTTATTTGTAATATTTTTATGCATTACCTGCAACTTTCGTCTCACGTCTTCACCAAGTTTGTTCTTTCGTTTCAATGTTAAAGATACCAACTTATGTCGAATAGATCTCGGTTTTTGTTTATTAAGATAAGCATCAGGGTCTACACCCATCATTTGCGCTTCTTGGAATTCTTTAGACCTAATAAAATTCCTACCAAGCGTCGCTGTTACTTTCGACATAACAGAAGTATTGTCTCTGTCCATTGTATGATATCTGGGTTCCGGAAGATCCCCAGTGAAACGTAATATTGTAATCCATAGTGCTTGAGCGGCCTGTGAAACAAAATCATTAGATTTCTTTTAGTAACAGATTCCTAATGTAAAGCAAATTAATCATTTGATAACAATTGCCCGGTGATCTTATTTTTAATAGCTAAAAAAATTTCTTTCTTTATTATAGTTTTAACAACATATTTATAATTTCTCGAAGTTTCCCATGTTCATGTTTCATGGCGCACTAGTATAATTGAAGTCCATTAGGCTTATCATAATATCTGACTTATCGATACATTAGGACTTGTAATCCGTTCATATTTAAAAGCAATTAGCGATATTAATTCACGAGACCTTAAAATATACCATTATCACTTACAAGTTGGTCGCCTTGTGTATGGAGCGGCAGTAATGGATGTTTGAGAGGTTTTCTTGAATACTGATGTGTGACGTTCCCTTGAAAATAGGTAGCTGCGAACTTTTGAAATTTAAATTCTGATAGATCTTCCTCGTCTTCTGATGTTGTTTGCATTGGCGTAACCATCTAGAAAAGGAATAATTTTATTAGAAAACCGTATATTTAGGGTAAATATGGTAATAAAACTATTACCTCTTGTTGATCGGCTCTTTGCTGTGGAAGATCACTGAAAACTGACGTGTCTTTAGGTGCGGGCGCTTCACTGCTCGAGTCTGGTAGGAAGTCGAACATCGCTTCTACTAGTTTGCTGTCATCCACGGGTTCATCTTGTTTCCTCGCTGCTTCTTGTAATAAAGTTCTCTTTGCTTCTAATTGCCTCTTCTCCTCTAGCGCCAATTCCGCTTCACGTCGTTCTAACTCATACATGCGCTCCTATCGACAACACGATATTAAATAAATGTTTTTAGAAACTAGGTTACAACTTACAATAATATTCATGATTATCCAGTTTACAACTACTATGCTGTTGCTAGGTAAGCGGCTTTAATGTATTAAATTACAAATAATTGCACGTCTGTTAGGTAGTGAAAGTTACAGGATAGCGTACGTCGATTAGTCAATACTTGCCGAGTTATCAAGTCGCCGTATATGGTTATGAATGAATACCCCGAGTGGATCGTTAGTTTCATAATTGCAAGACCGCATATTAGTTAACCGACACTACCAATCACCTGTGCTGTTATAATGTATACTGAAACTTGTGTTTGGTTAACTTGTTTATGGATTCGTTATCCAACCGCATCCAGGTCGCTGGTATTGTATAACACGATACATGCTCGATTAAGATCGCACTTACATATTGCTTAGTCTCAGGCATCGAATGTACAGTTTGGGCAATACTATCTCTTACCAAGCGAAGTAATATAAGGGATTTTATTACATCAAATATACACTAAAAAATGTCGACATACCTTACAAAACGCAAGGCTAATATTAACGGCTTCATTAAAATTACATCGAACAAAAACATTGTTTTAAATTTACCGCCAAATTATCAACACTATTCTCTTCTTATTTTCAAGTAGCTGATACGAAACTGACTAAAATTTTGTCGCAGTTCGTTGGCTCGCAATGATCAAGATAAGTTTTAGATATCGTAATTAGCTTTGTGTATTACCGCCACCTTCATTAACCAATATATTGGCCTCGACTATCACTACGTTATCTACTGATCAAAACATAATTAATTTTATATTTTCTTGTTTGCACTATCAATAATATACACAGATTTTAAATAATAATCCCAACGGTATTTATAGATTAAATATGAAAGAACATTTTTATTTTTTTACTTACTTATTATTGAAATTTTGGAATAAATATAAATATAATATTAGTTTTTTTTAACAAAACTTATAAATAAACATATATCTCCTTGGTTCATAATAATGTTTTGTTACGAAATATTTTTTTTTGGATTGGTTCAAGAAAAAAATGTTCAAAAAATGCATTTTGCGTTCTATTAATAAGACTATGAATAGAAAATTCGTGATATAAGTTCTTGATACCCTATAGTTGTGTTCAGCTATCTCCTTAGCGCGCGTGTTTCCCTGGTGATGCAGTCGTTGTTCTTCCTGCCTTCTCAGTCGCAGCGCCTCGTTGTGAGCGACCTGTTCCTGCCTCAGTCTGCGGTACCTCCTCATAGCGATCAGACGCCTCACGTGGCTCTGAATCTTCACTATCGCCCACATCTTATGACCATAGGAACGACGGACCAAATATCCACGTGCTGCAGCCTAGAAAGGAATATTTTATTTAAAATTCTTCTTCTACCTAACAATTTTCCAGCCATAGCCAGGGTCTGTCTTATCTTGTGAATAGTTTTGGCTATTTGTTTTAAGCTTAACATCAACCCTCTTTGGGAATCAACAGTAATCAATGGTGTCTAAATACTCTCAGAAAGTACATATGACTCGATAAATCACATTGGTTTGGCCAGGGCCAGGATCGAACCGGCGCCCTCGTGCATGAGAGGCGGGCCTTTTAACTACTGGGACTTTATTTAGGAGTCATGTCGTATAAAAATTGTTTAGGTTGAATGATGCATGAAAAGGATAATATAATCTTTGATTTTCATTGGTTAAGGTCGTATTGTAACACATATATAGAGAAACTTACTTGTAATGAAACAATATGTCCACGCAAGTGTCGGAACCTATGAGCTAATACTCTCGCTCGTATCAATGCCTGTAGTCTTGAGTAGCCAGCTTTCATTTTGTTGTATCGAATTCTTTGAAGTTTTCCTCGCCAGTGTCGTTGAATTAATATAGCTGCGGCCCTCATCTTCAAAAATCTCCTCCTATAAACCCAACCTCGAATGGATCGTTGCAGTATAAGTATTTTTCTAGTAAGCACTCTATCTCTCTCCTGCTCGAGGAACAAGTCGTGGGCGTCTTTTAGAAACACTTTAGTATGACCCAATTGGTAATCAGATTTGCCTAGGACTGTTGCACATATTTTGGAAGTAGCGGCCCTACAATCCGTTTTATGCGCCGGCGGTACACCCGGTATTAAAAACCTGTATCTTTCTACAAATTCTTTGAAACTATGCCTAATAGGATATCCTGCTCGTCTAATTCTTATTGTTTCCATCATGCCTGAGTATCTCAGCTGTCTACAACAAAGTCCTCGATCGAATAACATGGGTTTTTTGAATTCATTAGGTTTTATGCAACGTATGAAGAACGGCTGGCAAGTTCCTAGCGTTCTCATCAATAAATCTAATGACTTCTTAAACTGCGTCGACAATGTTGGTGTACGTTTTCTCGTCTCTGAGCCCATAATTATATCTTCTTGGAAAATGTGTTGTAGGAACTTATTCGTGGATATATGAATTAATTGTAAAAGATCTGCGCTGAAAGTGTCTCTGTTCTTTTCTAGGAAACCTCGTGTGTCATAGAATACAATACCCGCAAAATGATTTAAACCGAAACTGGTGTTTATATCGGATTTAGGTTTCAAATAATTTCTATGCAAGCCATGTGTTTTATGGAGCTTCGCTAACATCGTTTGATCCGTACCTTTAGGGAATTTGGACTCTTCGTCTATCAAGGCCATGATATTCAACTGTTTCAGTGCAATCAGATCCAAAGCATCTTGATTATCAACGAATTCTATATGTTGCCAGTTAATGCCCTCATGGTTGTATTCCTCTTGCTCCAATTTAAATATATGTCTAACGAAAAACTGCTGTAAATTCTCATTGGCGAAGTTAATACAGAATTGCTCAAAACTGTTATGATCGAAATTTTCAAATCCAAATATGTCGAGGACCCCAATAGCTGTTCTCATTGTAGACTTTGGTTTATATATAGCGGCGTTAATCTTCCTCACAATAGTTACGAACAGACGACCATAAATGCCTTTAACAAATGCATCTCTGATATCAACGGACTGAGTTTTACTCAAAGTGGATACAACAGTCTCTCCGTGTGCAAACAGCGTCTTTCTTGTTAGCGCATCTATTAAGGACTGCGTCGGCACTCCTAACAAATTCGCAACTCTTCTCACATTAACCTGTTCAATTATCTCTGTCGCATCCAAATTATCGACTACGGTCGCCTCGTATTTTATATTCCCGCAATGTAGGACAGCTGCAAGGAGTTTTAATATTTCAAATATTTCTGACTCTGTGAACAATAAAACCTTCATGGCGGATCGTATGTCCGCGAATTCGGCAGCATCGTCTCGGCCTTCGCATGTGAAACTACCTCCCTGAAAAATATACATTTCCATATAATTCAAACATCACATGATATGTGTGGTCATCAGTCGTGCAATATATATTAAAATGAACATGAGAATCACGTAACGTATTACGTCACTGACATGAATAAAAAGTGTTTATATTTATTATTATTAGGCTATTAAGAAATCTATAGGATTTAATGGTTAAAGTTAATTACTTACACCAGACAAATATCTGTATTCAGCAGGTTCAGTCAATTCCAATTTCTTTTTCTCCTCCTTGGACAGACCGGCCAGTAAACAATAGAACACGTGATAGTTCCTCTCGTTAGCTCCCTGATTAACGATTCTTGATTTTTCTAACAAATATTGTTCTATCTTCGCTCCCTCGATCACACCGTTGCTATTGAAATGAATGTCTATATATTTTCCGAAACGTGACGAATTGTCGTTCCTTACTGTTTTAGCGTTACCAAAGGCTTCTAAGATCGGATTGGCTTCTAGGATCTGAAAAAAGATTCCATTACGTTACATAATTTTATTAAAAACCAGCATTGCTACTAAGGATTATATGCTTGGGATGTTCTTAGAAATATGGAAGTGTTATTCAACATTATTGTCACCTGTTGCTCTATCCACGAATGCTTCCCACTGATAGCGGCGAGGTATTGTAATATTAACTTCGTCGACTCAGTCTTCCCTGCGCCAGATTCTCCACTAATCACTATACATTGATCCTGACCGTACCTCCGCATGTGAGCGTAAGCATTATCACCTATAGCAAATATATGCGGCGGCAGTTCCCCTATCTTCCTTTCTTTGTATAACTTAATTTGGTCCGCTGTATATATTGGTAATATTTGGTAGGGATTCACTGCCACTAGAATTGAACCCGTATACGTCTGAAATAAATTATAATTTTATTTATCACACACATTTCACATATATTCACCTGATACAGTAAATTAAAAGTTATGTTCGCTGAATGTAACAAAATACATTAAATTCTATTCATATAATTGTATTTTGTTGATTGAGATTTAATATTAAGATGTAACTCATTATAAAATAGATCCCATAAATGGATCAATTCTTTCCTAAAATAAACAATATTTCTTTAGTACTCGAATGCGTAAAAATATTCCTTGGTAACTCTGACTGGTTTAATTCACCTGAATAGGGTTCTGATACTCATCTAGAGACTGTTGAGAAATGAGAAAGGAGTCGCGACTCACGAAGAACAAGTCGTCCTAAACATAACTCTCTCATCAGCCTATCAGTGCCCACTGCTGACCAAGGCCTCCTTCTCACGTGGAGAAGGTTTGAGCATTAATCACAACGCTTGCTCATAACGGGTTGGTGATTTCAAACTTATAATTATGAAACTATAAGTCCAGGTTTTCTCACGATGTTTTCCTTCACCGTATGTCAGTGGTGTCTAAATACTCTTAGAAAGTACATATGACTTCGAAAAATCACATTGGTACGTGCCATAACTCGTAGGTGTTATTAAGTATTAATTTTGCTTCATAACTTACATAGATGAGGTTATCGTTGTATCGTATGAGGAGGTTCCTTAGGATGCCAGCTTCGTGCAGGTCGCCGAGGGAGATCATGTCCTCGACTCCCTGCACGGAGGTCGCGTGCATCGCCTTGATCCGTCTCTCTGGTGGCAGCCATTGCTCCTGTCCGTCGTCGTCCTTCACTCTAATCCTACGACCTTCCGCAGCCAGCACCCTCGCCCCGATAGCCACATCGAACTCCCGCCCCGAAACCGGCTCTATCCATATATAATCACCCTGGAAGTAATTAATAGTAATCTTACAACTAAATTCCACTATAGCATACCTTGAAAGTGCAAATAATAGCCTCAGAACTAAATTCAACTTGGTACGAACTAGCTTTAATACAACAATCGTAGTTAAAGAAACATAAATTAAAATTTATTTACAATACCTTTAAGCTTAGAGTGTCATGTTAGATATTTAGACAATAGTATAATAAGAAAATAATCACTAATAACACTCCATATAAAAAACTTTTATGTTTTCCAACACGTGCTTAATCTAGATTTAAATGACCATACATATCAATCTAGAGTCTAGACGTTCTAGACGTTTGAAACTTTCATTTATTTTACTTATAACTTCAGTATTCCTATTTTAACTGGCCTTTTTATTTATAATTATGAAATTGATTAATTAAGACACATTATATTTAAATTAAATGAAATATGACTCAATAATTTATACAACAAATACATGTTCTAACAAACAATTCTTCCTGTTTAAGTAAAATCGTATAGAAAACGTCACCAAATGCATTGACAATTTTAGTATGGACATGCAACCGGAATGTAATATTAACTGGTCTCAGACGCCAGACGAATTCAATAGAAAGCAACACTCCTTTTTCGTTAACCTTAATCAATGACGTACGTACACAACCAAAGATATATCTGTATACCTCAGTTGGGTGAAAGTGAATATAAAACATATAGCATTTGTCATTCGTCAATAAACACTAGGTATATTTATTAAATATACACGTACACAGAAAGCAGTTTCCATAACCAAACTAAACATTATATTTGGCACAATATTGTCGTATTCATCAAGCTCATGTTAGTTAAATATCGATAATTTTATCACTACAGTGTGAGAGGTCGATGCTTTTGTGAAGACCGCTATCTATACTAATAATAATATTTATTATTATTATCTATATATAATTCAAAAAATCCGTTCAAGTTGTTAACTTGGCGGTACGACGTCGTTAGCGAAAAAAGAGCGTATTTATTTAAATCTGTAATTATCTTCATATAATTTCTTATTTATGATCTTTGTTTTAAGATTTGTAGATCACGATAAAGTAAACAAAAGTCGGTCGCTAGTACGAGTGTGATTTAGAAATAAAAATAATTGGTTACAATCAAAGAATTCTGTAAATTATATTTATGTATAAAAATATAGTAAAAAATATTAATTATAATGTGTATTTAGAATTGTCATACTTAAATTACCGCTAAATTAATGACTTAATTTTTTTTTTTAATCCATTCTGCTTACGTAATACCAGTTTATTTTTAATAAATCAATAGTTATGTCTGCAACAGTGCAAACATATCAAATTAATTTTATATAAATATTAATATAAAATCCTTATTATAATCGCATAAATTTAAATTTAGAAATTTATTGTGAGTTTACCGTTATCTTCTACTCGTATAGTTGGCGCGGCTGTATTCGTCTTGACTTGTAGCGGTAATTTAAAAATAAATTAAAAACATACATAGGTACTTTTTACGTATGGAATATGTTAAATATTTTATAAAAATATGGCATTGTATGGCTGCTTATTTAAGGAATGAATTCTGTACAAGTTTTTAACAAAGGATGTGTTTGTTCTGGCTAGATTAACAGTCGTTTGTCCGATATCGGCCTCAAACTGGTTTTGTTGCGAAAATAGGCCGCCACAATATATTCTCCCACGCGATATTTATACATATATAAAATATATTTAAACCACTCTCACTCTCAGAATGTCATACATTTGATGACTTTAAAGTATCTTTTCATATAAATCGACAATATATTAGTAATGCGAATAAAACAATAAAAGAAACGCTTAGTAATTACTTTGTAAAACTGTTTATTCTATGATTGTGAAACGTCTGTATGACAAAGTATGCTGACTTAAATATTTGTCTTATGCTGACTAAATAGTCTTTTACTTATACAAAAGATTATTTTATAAGGAATATATGCTTGTGTTACTTAAAGTCAATGAACCTATATTATAAAAATAATTAAAAACTAATTTGAAGCATATAACTGCGTATTGAGAAAATGTTTTCTAAAATATAACACATATATGATCAGTTGAGTTATAATATTCGTCTGCATATAGCGTTAATGGTAAAACTTTCTCTCATTTGTAGTGTGCTCGTTTCGACTTTCCTCAGTCGTTGAAGGGTTAATGTTATTCAAGGCGAGTGAGTCCGAGACCTTGACCCCTGCTCTTGAGTTCGCGTTGTCTTTTTGCAATACAATTTGCATATTACTTGTCGCTGGTAAACTCATTTTGTTATGACTAAATGTTGTATTTTACTAATAAGATTATTTATTTTAATAAACCTCTTTTCTAAATTACACTTGTGTACACGATGAAAAATATCAGTAGATAAAATCGTTTTGAAATTCGAATAAAGATATTTTTAAATGACTTCAAAAAGGAGGTTACTCAATGAGATCGTATATGCTTTTTTTTATAACTAACTCTGTTTATTAAAACTAAAATAACTCACTCTGGTAACAATCACCATGACGAACCGACATGTGGTCACCGGTCTGATCTGGAAACAGAAAAAATTAAATAAATTCAACCATCAACATACATCTTAAATTCATTGTAAATTGGCACTGCAACTGTGGACTGTGGTCGTTTGTTAAATTAAAAAAAAAAACCTCGTTGCGCTAGATACGTCTCGCAAAAACTGTATTAGATAACACGCACGCTAGCTGTTTTATTGTTACAATGATATCCTCAAATAATATATTAGATGAGTTGAGAATTCATACGAAATGTATGATAACCAGCCAGGCGTATAGAGACGGTCGAATGTCATCAATCACCGGAGTATGCAACATGTATGTCGCCGGATCGATGGTACGTAGATGGCTATCAGCGGCATATCAATCAGAACTTCATTAACATAGAAAATGTGGGTGATGCAAATGACTAAATTACGTGACGGATATATTCTATATGGGTTAATTATTTATCTAAAGTAAGTTAGTAGTTTGAGGAATGTTTTGTTCAGTTTATTTTACAAATAATCTCGTACTAGTTTCTATCAAAACCGAATGACATTTTTTTGGTATTGTTATGCTAATGTGCCGAAATCCGATGCCATTTGTAACTAAGCCCTGACTCAAATTACGTTCCGAGCTGATAGTAAGAGGCTTATATCCTTAGTCCACGTTACAAAGGACGCCGGCTGTTACCGAGCCATGAAAAGTAAGTTATTCCAAAATTCAAACGAAGCTATGAAAGTAAAATGTTTCTGTAGAACAAACGCTGGTGTTATCTATACATCTGTCATTTAGCTCTCGTAACAACACACTTCCTTTTAACCTCAAACAATACGAGTAATTCAGTTTGTTTTCATAACAATGAAAAGAATAAGATTCCGCACTGTAAACCATTAGCACTTTTGTGTTTACGCAAAAAACAAAATGGCGTTTAGTTGTCAATTGTCATTTGCTAATATGTTGCGTGATTTTATTATTTAAGATTTTTTAATATTTAAAACGATTATTACACAATATAGATAAAATTAAATCGAAAATTTATGATGTATATGTTTTTATTGTTTGTGTATAAATATCTATTAAGTTGTATTTGTGTCATGCGTGTGATCTTAACATACTCAAGGTCAATGAACTGTCAACTGTTTTGTATATCGGAAGTCCTTTCGTCCATTCATCTGAGGACAATGACGTTAATGTATGGGAAATGTAATAGTGTATCAAATAACAATGACCCCGTCGCTTATATGAGGCTTCCAGCGGTAAAGTATCGATCTTTGAATACCATCTATGAGGAAAATCATAAAGCCACATTCGTACGTCTCTTTCTATACCATATAATTAGAAAAAAAAGAATATATGTTTATATTTCTTAACTATCTTCTATTAGTTACTAGACGAAAAATAATTTTAAAAAGGTTTATATTTTTTTTTTTAATATTTTTTATATTGTTAAAAGGTTTATGGTTAGATTGATATGTCATAAATACTATATATGTAATTATTTTTGTAATATAGATAAAAGCAAGACTTATGATTAAAAAAAATTGCAGTATCTTCGATACCAAAAAAAATATGATTGAGTCTCTTTTACACAATTATGTACTACCTTAAAATTTTTAACATTTCAATGTACTATTTACTTTCTTTACTTTTCTTTAGTAAAAGATACATTGTGTTCCTTTATCATATAACAAACGTTTTAAAAACCAAACAAAAACATTAAAAATTTCAAACGTTAAAAAGCTGTCATCACTTTCACTTGGTAAATAAATGTAACCTTCTCGCATATGTCCGTTGAAAAACGACTTTCTTTTAAAACAATGTAATCGGTTATATAAAATTAGAATGGCATATAATATAAAAAATAAATAAATTATAATACATATATATTTTCGGCATTTTATATATTCAAACAAAACTATGATTTTCTTATATAGATATATAATAATATAATCTTTTAACAAGACTAACTGACAGACACTTTCATTTCGTCTTCCCGTCATCACGGTTGAAAGTCCCCGAAACTTTGCATTAAATATAAAATAATAAATAAGATATAAGATTTTCGGGAGTATTAATTTAAATGAAACTAATATTTTATGAAGTTTATTTTTGATTATAAACTACATACTCCTGACGTTTCGGCTACTTTACAGCATTTGATCACGGGCAGACGAGATGTGAATCTATACTAATATTATAAAGCTGAAGAGTTTGTTTGTTTGAAAGCGCTAATCTCCGAAACTACTGGTTCGAATTGAATAATTCTTTTTGTGTTGGATAGTCCAGTTATCGAGGAAGGCTATGGGCTATATAACATCACGCTACGACCAATAGGAGCAAAGATATAGTGGTAGACGAAGTCGCGGCAAAAGCTAGTGTATAATAATAAATGTGGGTAATGCATACGAAAAATATAGCCTCAATTACATAGATACAGATGTTTGAACGATATAAACTGAGCGTCTTATCTCATTTACGTAAACAATGACTCCGCGGGTAACACGACTTGGCTTTCAATTGGGATACGATGCCAAGGTCGCCACTGACACTACTGTTGTTTGTCACGAAAATGTTGAGATTCCGAAACAAAAAGTACAAAATCTAACTGTTTTATAAGGCTGCACACACATCTATATATGTTCTCATAATAAGGCTATACAGGGTGACTGGTGAATTACTATCGATACTTGAGGAGGTGATATTTGACGATCATATATGACAAAATAAAAATTAATATAATTCAACAGTCACCCTGTATATAAACATTTAATGGTTGATGTTAAATTAAATTTATATCTTATATATAAAATTCTCGTCTAACGGTTTTAGACTGAGAACTCCTCCGAAACGGCTCGGACGATTTTGATGAAATTTTGTGAGCATATTGAGTAGGACTGAGAATCGGCCAACATCTTTTTTTCATACCTTTAAGTTGTAAGGGTTTTTTGTTTTTATTTTTTTATAATGTAGCATTAAAAAATACATAAAACCCTAAATTTTTAATATGGCAAAACAAGATTTGCCGGGTCAGCTAGTACATATATAATGTTGTTTTAAATTAATTACATGGAGATAAAATAATCGTTTTCCTTGTATTACTATAAAAAACTCGACGGTAAAGCTGACCTTTGGTTACGAGTATAAAATGTATATAACTAACAAATATTAATATATTTTATTACTAAGCCATTGCACGCAACTCCTTTCATGTTTTTTATTGACATTAAATAATAATATGATCACTTCCTTGTACAATTTTTCAGTAGAAGTTCAGTTGAATTGCATCCAGAATGTTCTACAATTATCCTTTAACAAACTGTAAGATTGAATTAATTATTTAACTTAATATTATAGACACTTTAATTTTTTTAATTATCTATGGTCATCAAAACCTTAGAAAACTCTTAGAAGACTGTTTTCAAAGAAATCAACATCTTGATGTGGATCTCAATTTCTAAGTGGATTAGCACTTAGCAGTTTCTCTATGTAGTGTTGACTAATAAATAGGTATTACTATAGTCGAAAAGTAAATAATAAACAATTGCCACAGTCTATAAAATTAAACACTTCAAAATAAAGTCACAGACTATAAAAAAACTTCTCGTAATGTTTTAATAAACCTCTTTGGTCTAAAATACTTTTTAATGTTTTAATAAGCAATCGATTGCAGTAAACAACATAAGTGATGCAAGATTTAGCAATAATCTATTCCATACGCAGGAAAAGTACATCAAATGTATGTTTGGAATGGAAGTTGCGTGGCTCACGGAAGTTTCGTCAAATGTTTAGCAAGCATTTAAAACATATCAGAACATTAGACATCGATTATTAAATATATAACCTTATGCATATATAGTTTAAATATAATATACATGTTAATTAATTGATCTAGATTTTTAAATTGGATCTAAATAGCAAAGAGTTTTCATATGTCATAGAATGTATAAGATCTTTTTGGTCGAAAACTTCGTGATTGTTGTAATAATGTCATATTACCTATTTAGGTCTGAGGAATTATTCTTAGTATTATTATACTATTGAAATATAATGTATTCTAAGGATATTTATAATAGATGTTCTTAAATATGATTAATTGACAACTTCATCTAAATCTTCGCTAAATCCATCGTTTTTTCATAGATTTAAAATTTCCGTTTAAATAACTATTTGAGTTATAGAAAGGATTAATAATAGTACGTATATAATCATAATATTATTAAGTTATAATGCATTAAAGTTGGGCATTAAAAACATATTAATAAATAATTAATAAAATAGATCAAATCGTAATTATTTCAATATTCATTACGACTTATATGTAATAAGACAATAGTGGAGTTAACAAAAACTATCATACTGTAAGTCTTACGTAAACACTACACACGATACGTTTGCCGTTTCTCATTCAATAAACCACTTCAATATTATAATATGCGAAGTTCTTTTAATGAAATGTCAAAGTCATTTAAAGTCAAGAGAAACTTGAAGTACGAAGTGACAGATTAAGAAAAAATATTCAAGAAATATTATTCAGAACTAGCTGTGCCCGCGACTTCGTTCGCGTGGAATAGTGACTATGAGCAGCGTTTTTTTGACATAACTTTTTTATTTATGAACCGATTGACATGAAACAAACACTAAAGCATAACTGAAGCATACCACAATATATTCGTGAAAACCGCATCTAACTCGGATCAGCCGTTTCTGAGATTAGCGTGAACAGACAAACAGACGAAAAAAAAGTTATTTACATTTTTGGGTTCGACATCGACACAACAATAACCCCTGCTATTTTTTTTATTTTTATTTTCAATGTACAGACAGCACTTTTCTACAATTTTATTATATGTATAGGTTATTGGTATTAAGTCAACTTAATATTAGGTCAACTTAACATTAAGTCAACTTAATATTAAGTATATTTATAATATATATGTCAAACTAATATTCCAAAATTCCTGTGATCCACGACGCGTGACCTGGCGACCCTTTTCCAGTGAAAGTCAAGGTGCGTTTATGTATTCTCATAGTGATCACTATTCATTGATATACAATATGTATTGTTACATCCAACTACCATTGGTGTTGAATTTAATAAGCATTTTATGATTGATTCATGTTTTATAAAGAATTATTTAAAGGAGGGTAGAAATGTTGTCTTATATACACTCAAATAGTTTCGATTTAGAAGACTTATGTCGAATATATTATATGTGTGTGTGTGTGTGTGTGTGTGTGTGTGTGTGTGTGTGTGTGTGTGTGTGTGTTTCGTTTAATACTAACTATTGACTACGGCTTTGTTTAAAATGTTTGAATCGTACGTAGTTATATCCTCTGCGTTCATATTAAATTTCACTAAAGTAAATTTAAGTTTCGATCGTGGGAATATAACTTATATAGGCAGGTTAAATTTACGCTTATACGATTATAAAGTGTATTGACTATTGATTTGTCATAAAAATAAACAGTTTTATCCTAAAAGAGGAACAAACATACATACATCAGTCATTTCTTACTTAATATATACTTTTGTATATGTATAGTGATAATAAAGCTTAGCCTAGTAACTGAACAGTCTAAACCCAGTCATAATTTCGTTCAAATATTCAGTTTAACTCCGTAAAGTTAACTGTCACCGAATCCCAGTTATACCAATAAGCAACTCTCTAAGTCAGTAACTACTGTTTGTTATAAGTACATGTTAGGTGGGCCCATTACCGAAACAGTATATACAATATCAAGATTTAAAAACTTCTTATCTTTTAATGAGATAATTCAAACAGTATAAAAATGTTAATATAATATATGCTTTCATATTAATCTTTATAATTATTATTATTGCGTATGAAAAATATTTTTTTGTTATAACTTGGGAACTAATTTGAGACGCGTTGATATCTTTTATACGGAAAAGGGATCGATAGAAACAGTTTATTACCAATATATTACAAGAACAATTCGATAATTGGCTTTAATTAAGTTTTTATTGTAATCAATTAAGATAATGATTATGTCAATATATTTTTTTTATTACGTCAAAATAATAAAGCAACGGCACATGTCATAATGCCAATGTCCCAGTGAAACCTGACGCATCGGTGACAATGTGAATAGAATTATAAAGGTTTCGAATTAAAACGAGTTGTTGGATATGCATTTACTTTCACGTTACGAGTGTTTAAAAAATATTTGTATTTAAATAATTTTAATGTTATTTCGTCTGTACGGAACGAAATATGCGTTTTTTAATGAGAATGTTGCTAAGAGTTTATTAGACTGGGTTCAGCTGACTCATTCCGTTATATCGATGATGCGGTGTCTGTCCGTAGTTAGTTGCTTGTATTAAACAATTTTTGACTACAAATAATGTTATTTCACCTTCTATACAAAGAACTAAGTAAGTAAAATTCCTATAAGATTCTGTGAAGAGTTAAAGTTGAATAACTAACTGACTGAGTTTCAGTTCAAATATTGTGATGCTGCTCCAATATTACGTCTAGAAACTGTTGACTTGACTCACAATCACGCGCAACAAACTGTGTCAGGATTCACGTGTAGACTTAATGTTATATTACATAGATTTATATTTAATGCGGTTTTTTAATAAAAAACCGATAAACCCATACAGTCACCTGACCGCAGAGTAAACAGCGACAGGTCATTAACTAATTTACCGTTAAGATCCGCTGAGTCGCTATCAAACAGCAGAGATGGCCTTCATATCACAAACACTTGAATACAGTACACTACAACACTAGGTCACCGCTCACAGAAACTTGAAGATATCATTTCTTTTACATTAAATTACTTATTACGGACAGCGCACGGAGCCAGCGAATACGATCGAGCGAGAATGTTAACCTACCTGTACCGCTTGCGTGTCGCACGTCGGCCTACCGGACCGGGGCGACTGTTTTACCGACACACACCGCCGACATATTTAATACAACCTTAACTGTCTAACGCAAACACACAATATACTTCACATACTGGTCATGATAATATTTTATTTGTGTACATAAATCTTTTATCATAAAAGACGTAGCTCGTATTGTGATATTTATTACGCATAACTCGTATATAATGATTGCAATAATTAAAAAAGCCTTAATCTGTTTTACCTACAACAACAGAGCCATCTAGTATGTTGATGATAAACAAAAATATTGGTGTTAATTTGATTATGTATGTCAACAGTAGTTAATATTACTGACACGGAAAATAATACTTGCTTGTGCTGTCTAAATATTTTTATTGCTGTATCAGTAAAAGTTACATTTAGAAAACCTTCATATTGTATATGCGTAAGATTCACAATCAACGTTGAGGTTGCTAAAAAAGTTACTGATTAGGCGCGTTAATGAATTAGTACGACACTTCTCCGAGAGATGGCGCTGTTCCTAAAAAAAGGAACAATTTGTGATGTGTTTACATTCTTCAACTACTCTGAATTCCACGCAACAAAGTGTGACACGTGTGACCGTTGAATGAGTTATTAGATGTGTCAGATAAAACTCACCACACATCCTTGTCTGATGAAATAACAATAAATTAACGAAGCCATAGCTTTACCTCTAAATTTGATTGTATTGTTTCACGCGAGAATTCATGTTAAATAGTAAAAAGTATATGTATTAATAATATTAATAAATAATACAAATTTTATACACATACTACTTATTCTAAAATGCTGGGAATCACCGTTTCATATAAAACGCTTTCGATAACAACAAAGTCGGCGACTTCAAGAACTGTAATTAAATAAATGAAAGGAAAACATTGTTTCAATATCCTAGAGCTTGAGAAACTTTTAAGAAATATATATGTTATCTGCGTCATAAATTATTTATTGAAAATTATATAAACTTTTCATTAAGGAATTACCTATTTTTTTATTCCTTTTAAGTGAGACATTTATGTTACACGATCTCTTTATAAGTCAATAACATTTCGTAAGTACTCTTATATAATCAATATGATCATGTTTTTGGGTAAAATTTCATTTTATTACACATTTTAACCTTCAGATATCATTATATCATTTCGTCTTCTCAAAATGGCTACAGCAAAGTCGAAACGTCGCGTCGAGTAAACTAAGAATTATCTATAACAATTATATTGATCTTATATTAATTTATTGTTTAATAGTATGTAAATGTACTATGTTTTTCATTTTTATTTTATTAATATCAATAAATTAAATGAATCTGCTCCTGTTACAAATATACTTCATGGATTATCTTTCATCTAAATGGCTGATCAAAAACTGTTTTGACAAAACAAAAATTTATTAAGAATTCATGAACATTAATTATGTTCACATATCGTATTTTTTTCTTTTCCTTTTTTTATATAAGTCCTTATTTTCTTTACAAGTACTTTGTGTGTATTTTTTTCTTCTAGTTCTTCAATTCTATTTTCTGCTAAGAAAACTTACTAAAAGCTAGACATAAGTTAAGTCCAAAGTCGTTTTTCTCAGTATACATCTAGTATCTTTACTATATTTTCAGTAATCAGTTGTTTATTTTGTTCTTATTTACCAAATTTTCGTTAAAACATCATAATATTGATCCTGAACAAGCTTACTGTCCTTTATCATTGACAGATGTGATTTATAATGATTTATTAAACAATGAATATTTAATTTTATTAATTCAAATACATTTAATTATTTCAACATTTACACAGAGTTGCGTATTAATTGATTAATGTATCTAATTAAGAAACATATTCATGTGCAAAAATATATTTTAATATATAACAAGTTATGAAATGCACTGACATTTTTTAATATGCCAATATTGAAGGTGATGTCTTCAAGTTACAATAACCTTCGTCCTTTTCGTCATGTTTGTGCAATCCACATGTGCTTTAGATATAAATAATATGCAATATGTAAGTGATGTCATCGGTAATAATAAAAAAATACAGTCGTTTAGAAGCCTAAAGTGTTATAGAATTAAAATAAATAAATATTTCTATAGGATAAGCCATACTTATGAATTATGAATTACTAACAACAAAATATCATTAGGTTGCAAACCTGTTTATTTTCGTTCAAGACAGGAATCATTCAGGTTGATGCATTTTTTTTCTTTTCTTACGGACATGGACGTGGTATAATTTTTAATTTAAAAAAAGTTAGGTGCATAATGGGAGGATTAAAAAATGTAAACAAGATTAGTTATCGTAATATATTTTTTTATCTATGCACTTTATTAAAATGCTAGTACCTATTAACCCCAGAACAATATTTAAGCGCCAAAATACATCGTCTCGGCTGTATGAAAAATCGATAATTAATTCAGCAGGTAATCGATTTAATATTTCGACAGACTGGTCGGCTACTTAACATCCTTGTTTTTATCGAGATACGCATCTTCTTTTAAGGAGGCCAATTAATTTTGCAGCACAAAAAACAAAGCGCAGCTGTTCTCTCGAGTATTAGTCATAAAGTTTAAGGCACGCTGTATGTAAATCATCGGCGAATGTTGACAACGAACTGTTTTAAACTTATAGAGAACCGTGGTCCGTGAGGAATCAGGTTGAGGCTGTACGAGGTGTCAAGACCGCTATACATTATGTTATAACATCAACTTTCCATAGGCTGCATATAGTTATAAAAAAAATAACGAATAAACGAACGTCCTATCAATAGTGGCGTTAAAATAAATATATAATTTTATAATTACAATATTAAATCTGATATAAAAAATATAATTATTTGATGAAAAATGTTTAATAATTTTGAATTGATGTCCAATAAAACAAGATCAGCTGTGATTGACATTATGTTACAATACGAATTAAACTTATTAAATGACAGGTTTTTTTTGTTGTAAATTTTATGTTGTATATATCATATAATAAAAATTGACTTTTATAAACCAAGACTTTGATTTGTAAAACTAAAAGTATTATGTCAAAAAAAAAAAGTATTGCTTCTCCATTGCCTATTATGTAGTAGTCACAGATGGTCGTCAATGTCATTAATAAACACACATCCGCGTCGATGCAAAATACTTGAAATATTAATAACCTGTATAATTTAAAATAATGTATTTGTATGCGTTCAAGTTATTCGATGACTCAGTAATATTTTTATAGCTGCCATGTTGGGGTAATGACAAAATAAGGTTATGTATCTTTTTATAAGTCATAATGACAGTTCAGTAAGTATTTCGAAGTCTAAGTATCTATTTGTATACGGATGTGAACTTTCTTGCGTGTGCTCATTATCAGTGATATCAGTGGCAATGAACCGAGCTCTGAAGCAACAGAAATACCATGCTGGTGAGTAACTCATCTTTAGCTCTGATCGTATACCTTTGATTTTGAACACTTCAAGCGCGGTTACAGCGCTTTTTAGATACATTTTCATACACATGATTAGACAATTACTACAGACAACAGCTGTCAGTTAGGATACTGGCCAATAGATTTCTTTTTTATCAAATATAAGACCTTTTTAATACATGACATTGGCAGAAAAAAATTACTGACTGAATTACGTAAAGGCTATAAATTAAAAAATGAACTTAACTGGGGCTATAGTCTGGTAGCATTAGTGAACTTAGTACCTAATACGTAAATTAAATAATAAAATTTATGTTATATCCAGTGGACATGCTTTATTTTCTTTAATGGTATATGAAACCCCAAAGAAAAAACTATACCGTACTATTTCTGACAGTTAGATATTTAGGTTTAAAAACATTAAACTTCTAAATGACACCTGTCAAATATTTATGAACATACATTTCATGTTCGATTGAATGAAAATTCCTTTTGAATTTTATTGCTTCAATAACTACATAATAATATAATTAAACATTACAATTAAAATAGCAATTTATAAAGCTGTACAAAGCGCTGGTAAAGCTCGTTAGATATTAAAACAGTTCCGGCTAGCATCATTCTAATAAAATAATATTTGGTATCGCAGTCATCTAACACTTGTATAGTAATTTATACCGCTTATATGGAAGAGGAGCCATTAATGATTCCACATGAACATATACAGCGAGCTAAGTCATCGAGTGTTACCACATATATATTTAGAAAATCGACAATTAATATAAAGATCCTTCGTTCTGACCGTATTTACGTCTTTGACACGGATGTCATCGTTGAAAATTCATTTAATTAAACGTATTTTTGTTTTGCAGCATTGTAATAAATTATAACTACTGTGTTAAGTATGAAACATATTAAAAAATAAATGAACGTCGTCGGGACAACACCGTTGTATGGGTAAAATATCATATTGTTGTTGCTGACTCCGCGGATCGAACACCAAGCCGTGTGAACCAGAAGATTCCTGATACCACACAAACAAATAGCAATAGAATGGCATTGCTATCCTAATATCGCGGCAATAATGTAGTCTTAGGTATAGGTTACAAGTTTTAATATGTAATTCTTATTATAATATACATATAAGAAAAATTCGTAGTTTTCCTGAAACCTGTTATTGCCATCCTACATAATTACTACGTACGAATAAGTAATGTTTCGTCACTTAAATATACCATAAGTATTGTCAAACTCAATACTAAATGTCAAGTGTTTCGTTCACAAATCTTTAATATACAATAGTATTATATTTATATCGTATGTACAAACATGTGATAATCATTATTATTGAAGTATTCAAATCTATTCGCACCCGTGCAGATGGATCTCGATGTCAATACAATGTTATACCAAAGACAATAGCGGCATGTTTTAATAATGACGCGGAAAAAACTGTTTTTATACACACGAGTATTAACTTTATTTGTTTTAATTACAATATTTTATATACATATAAATTCTTTTTTTATATATTTTTAAATGTATTTAAAGCATTTATTTATACTATATTATAGACGTTTAATTGTATAGATTACAGATTATATTAAATTTATGGTTGTTATTTTTAAAAGAACTAAGATATGACGGGATCTGTCAGAGAATTATTATATTCTTTTCGTATTTAATATCACGATAAAAAAAAACTAAATGCTCTGATTAGATGTCACAACTCAGAGACAAAAAATATATCGATTATTGCTCCACAAATATTAGACATACAATTTCGTATCAATCCTTTTTAAAGAAATACTTCTTAGTTTTCCTTTCACTTAAGTATAATTTTAACTTTCTATAAGAAAAATGATTGATTACTCCCGCATCAAGTAACAAGTGAATGAATTACCGGTTTTTGAAATAACTTTTGATATTATAAGATATATGTTTAATTTTTTTAATAAATTATCATTATAGGAATTCGTGTTTTAATTTAATAGTTATATTATACAAATATTTTTATTATAAACGATTATAATTCGTATTTAATATCGTATAAATGAACTAGACAGCACGTCGCTTTGAATCCGCTTTTGGTTCACAATCTTAAAGGTCATCGGGTGTCGTACCTTAAATTTTTTTTTGTTATGTAATATTGACTTTACGTATATCCTTGTATTTTTATGTAAATGACCACATTAAACTATAAATAACGTTAAACTACCTATTTTTTATTCGTATTCTTTTAACTAAAAACTTTGGATTCTTTTTTTTTAATTTAATATCTAGAGGAGAATATCCTTTTAGTTATAGATAAATAATTATCTTAATTGTTGGCTGGATAAACAAAATCTTTTACTGTATTAATTAAAAAAATAATCTTTAAGCCACGACCACACAAACAAGTTTTTGTTATATATGACCAATACAACAACTTTTATGAGCATTACGAATAATTATATGATAGTATGAAGTATGGAGTATGAGTAAACTTTCCAAAATTTCAATACAAGTCGTGTATTTTAAATCATTAACCCGGATAACAGGTAGCGGTCGCGGGCGCGGAACACGCACCATCAATATTTATGAGAGGAATGCGCGTAAAAAATACATCCGCAATATTTAGACTTGAGAACTTGAGAACGGTTTAAAATTTTATTATTTAACAGTAACTTTTATGTTAAAATCTTCGACCTTTATTATTATATTGGTGTACTGGAAATAATTGTTAGTTTTAATGCAAGGAGTAAGGTTTAACTAAGAGCTAATATGAAAAAAAAATTAAGTGTTTCTATAGGATAATTATTATTAGCTGTCTTCCATATTATTATCTAAATGAGATGACACAACCTATTACAATTTACAATTAACAATTAATTCCACAAATTGAAAAAGGTAATATAGCTTCACTGACTCACTTTTAATTATATTTAGATTAACATAAATAGTTGTTTATTCTGTTCAAAGGAACTTTACAATACAAATATGATTAAATACTATATTTCCATGTAATTATTATTCCGTGCGTAATATCGTGATAGATAATTATTTTTTTCTCAATAATTCTCAACTTCCGTCTTTGACTGATTCGAAATTCAAATGAAGAATGACAACTGCATGGTATTAAAATGTAATGGCGCCATGGATAAAAAATAATAATTAGATTAAATGTCATTTGAATGGTACGTCATTTTTACAATATTTACAAAGCGAATTCTCATAGTACGGTAGTATCACGTGCTACGTGAATTTAACGGCCTTGTATCACTGATCCGGTCTAACATACCGGCTTTAATTCACGTATGCAATTGATTTAAATCACATGCAGTCATTAGTTTTTGCCGAGGCCATTTTTAAATTGACACAACTTTGATATGTCAGATATCGACAAGCTAACAGTGTGTGATGTATGAGCAGAATTAAATCGTTCATTTTGTGACAGTAAAAAAAGGTATTATTAAACGTCATACCAACCTTACAATATTAACCTTAACAATAACTTGCTTACCTTAGTATATAAACGTAATGCGGACAAAGTATTTACCCAAATATTAAATCGATATTCCGATGGCATTGCCATTATAGTTATTTGGTCTAGGATTTTCCACTCGTGGGATTTCCCGTGAAAGTGTTTGAACAGCGTTCAGTTTCAAATATCAATTATATTACAAGTGATCATAAGTAGCTCGATATAAAAAGGAGTTAAAAATAACTGAAAAAATATCGGTTATTTAACATTTATTTCCTAACTTGTAGGTTTATTGAATGTTTTATTGATGAGACTAAATGTTATGAATGAGGATCTCAGTCTAGCGGAATGTGTATTAATGTACGAATGAAACTTAAAAGGAACTTAAAATAACATCGCCTGATAAGAAAACGGTACAAAATATTTACTAGAGGACACTCTACGGCCTTTACTTTTCATACAGAACATTTGATATTCCATAAGCACATTTTGAATCATAATTAATAGGATAGTGAAAATACTTTTCGCTTATACACAGTGAAAAATATTAAATATACATGTACGGACACTATTTAGGTTTTAATGAATCCCCGGTATGAAAAATAACGTCACAATAATCTAATAGAGAATAGAAAATACTAAGAAACGATTGAAAATTCTCAGAGATTTTGCCTCAGTACTACGTATCTACTAGAGTTCGTCATGATAATTTTTTCTATCTTTTTCTTAGACATTCCCACGACATTGATAATTGGCGGGAAAAAATATGATTACCGAGTATAAAAAAACTGTAATTGCAGCTAAAACAAAGAGTGACATATCAGAAGTCGAGCTAGAAAATTTCTATTGATACTTTTTAAACTCGGAAAGGTGAAGGTCGCGGAGTGACGTTTTATTTTTTTCTCGCGATAGTTACGAAACAAGGTGTGTCTAGATTCCTAAATCGAAGGCTGCATCCGGGCCACCGCAGGGATCGAGTTACAGTTGGGGCGTGCGAATGTCAAGGAACCCGGGGCTGCGTCACGAGGCCGCGGGCGCACGCTCAGTCGCAGCCGACATGTCTGCGCGTGCGCCCGCCAGCGCCAGTGTGTTCGTGATCACCACCGCGCTCGCCGCCGCCGCGATACTACCACGTAAGTCTCACCTTCGCCTCTTGCGATACGACGATCATCAAAATTACATAATACACCATATACGAACTCGTGAAAACCTTAAAATGGACGGCATTGATATTTAATTATTAAAAAACCGTCGTTAACAACAGGATGTATATATTTTTTATCTTGTATGTTATTGGGAAATAAACACCGAATAAGACTTGTTATATTAAAGGAAATATTATTTTACAGACGGAGATGACATCGTGTGTGTTAAGGATGGTCTGAGAGCGGACTACTCGACGGAGTGCCAGGAGTACGTGCGCTGTTCGGAGGGAGTAGTGACACAGCGTTACGCTTGCGGGCCGGGACGTGTGTTTAGTGAGATAGCCGGAGCGTGCGTGTTACGTAGACGACACTCCTGTACGCGCCGGGTCTGCGCCCCAGGGGATACCCTCGCCTACGCTACCCCGGCGACCGCTTGCCGACACTACTACCGCTGTGAGAACGGAACGGCCATCGATCACGCCTGCCCGCCCGGCTCCTGGTTCGACTTAGCTCGGCAGGCCTGTTCCCGCGGGGCCGGGACGTGCTATGAACCCGTCTGTGCAGGACTACCGGACGGCGTCTTCCCGGACACCTCTCACGAATGTCGAAGGAAACTGAAATGCCAGGGAGCGGAACTACGCGCCGTCAGCTCGTGTGTAGGATCGTGTTCAAACAACTGTCCTCCGCCACGATCCGCAGCTATTCCGTTACCGGCCGGAGACGCAGACTTCTGTTCGGATGAAACTTGTTCTTCATTCTGCCAACAAAAGGCGAATGGAGCTTACGCGGATCGATCGACCGGTTGCCGGGAGTACTTCGTGTGTGAATCACGACGAGTCATACGGCGAGGAGTCTGCGAGCCTGGACTTTTGTTTTCTGGGAGCGGATGTGAGCCAGCAGCTCAAACATATTGCCCGCCTCCTGCACGAAGTCCTTGCTTTAATAGACAGGACGGCCTATACAGGGACTGGATTGATTGTTCATCTTGGTACGAATGCTACCGTGAGAGAGTTACCGCTCGAGGCACTTGTGAAGCGAACTTTGTGTTTGACGGTTTCGGTTGCGTTCCGAAAGGGGATTTCTTCTGTCAAGGCCCCGAAATAGCTTCAGAATGCGAAGGCATGCCTAGCGGGACGTACCAGGACCTAGGATCGAACTGTACCAGATACTATCACTGCGAGGGTTCGTTACGTACGATTCTATCCTGTCCGGAAGGCCAGATTTTTGACGGAGCAAGGTGCTCCCCAGAATCTCAGTCCTTGTGTCCGAGCCTAGAACCCGATTCGTGTTACGGTCGTTCGGACGGCAGGTACCGCGCCTCGGACACTGGTTGTCGCGGTTTCTACACGTGTGTCAATGGCCAGAAGGCGGTGTACGCATGTCCGGAGGGTAAAGCATTCGACGGTGACACGTGCGTCTCATCTCACCCTTCAGTGTGTCCGAAAGAAGACTATTCATGTTCCGCTCTCTCGGACGGATATCATGCAGAACTGGAGTCTAACTGCCGCAGGTATTACAATGATTAACAAAATTTATATATCAGATTGTTCTAGTATTAAAATTCTTAATATGATATTTATATTGGTTACAGATACTTCTACTGTGAGGGCGGAGATCGTTTAGCGACAATGTCCTGCCTCGGCGGCAAGATATTCGACGGTCACACGTGCGTTGAACCGTCACACCACATCTGCGGAGCTCCTAGGAGGAGTACTTACGAGAACGGCGGCAAAAACTGCGAAACTGACGGTTTCTTCGTTCAATTGGGCACTGAGTGTAAAAAGTACTATTTCTGTTTGACCGGCATCAGAACGAACTTATCTTGTTCGTCAAGACAATTATTCAATGGACAAGTCTGCGTTCCCCAAGAACAGTACACCTGTCCAGGCTGAAGAAATGAATATTTGCTCTGAATTAACACTCGAGCCGGTCTAACGGCGATGGACGAGACAGCAGACACCGGAGACTACGACGTACCTGACACTAAGGCTGACACCTCGTGACATTAAACATTAATTTATTACAAGTTACATAACATAAATGATGAATCATCGACTAGTATGTATTTAATTAATCATTTATTTGCATAAAAACTTTTAAGCGACATATATATCTAGTAATTACACAGTGACTTTTTATCATACAGTGTTATTTTACAAACACAAATAAGCTCTGTGAATAAAAAAATATATCTTCCAACTTAATAATGATAACATACATTTCATCCGGACCTTTGAGAAAACATATATATGAGCCAACATAAACATAAGCGCATACATGTTACATATAAATAACAAAATAAAACCAGCCAAGACTGATCATACAAAATAGTGTTCATATAATATTTAATAAAACATCTAGATTTAATATACAATACAATTCTAGTTATAAACAAATATTAATATATTTAAACATATATAAGTTTTTTATTGTATTCCTTTGATTGGTTACAATGACATTGGCATAAAGGTACATTCACTGAATGACAAACATTTTTTGTTCCATCAAATAAAGCTGTGTTCAGAACTTCGAAATTTTGTATCAATTTAAAGATCATGTAATAAATATAATAATATATAATGTAGATGTAACCTCAGCTTACAATTACAATCATGTCGCTATAAATTAATAATAAATTATCTTCCGGGTTAACAATTTGGAATATATTTTTTGTGTCTTTAATTAACCACTTGGTCCGTAGCGGATATTAATTTAAATATACATAAAACTGAATGTTATCTATGTATCTGATTTAAATTGATAATAAATACGCGTAGCTTTATATAGAACGGAATTATATAAGCGGTTATATGATAAATTTTAATATTTCTCTCGTATAATATTTATAATGATAAAATAAGCTGTCTCAGATATTAATACTTAACATTTTGTTTTATAATTAGTTGTTCGTACCTAATAATTTATAATGAAACATCGAACCCTAATTCAGTTAGTCTTTATATGAGACCGTATATTTTTTGGTCTCGGTCGTGTCAGTGACACATTGAATGGCTTGTGAACACATTAACATATATTTTAACTACAACATATACATTCAAGTTGTTAATACTATACAGGGTGTGAGCGTGAGAACACAACACCCTGTTTACAACAACCACTTCATATATCAGACATCAATTAAATCTCCTTCAACGTCTAGTCTACACCAGCCGAGTGATTAGAGATTCAGTCTTAATATAACCAGATATAGTACAATTTCGTTTGACCAATAACAATTTCTTCTAAAGTTTGCCAGTATTGTAACTTTTATACGTCGCATATATGGTATTTAATAAAGAGATAAATTGATAGAATTGCAAAGATAAATCAATTATGTTTAGAAAAAAGAATCTATAACATTTCGATATATTTATAGACTTCAAATACAGTTGAACCCATAGGTTCGTACATAAGCACACAATGAAACTTAGATCCAAAATATATTGACTAATATTTATATGATAAAATTTTAAACTTAAAAAATAAATTACTTCATATATCTATAGTGATGCCTCTATCCCTTATGACGTTCGTTGGAATCGGTTTTGATGAGCGAATCTCGACTTTATTAATCATATTATAAGGTCGTTATTGATCACTGGTGCCGGCCTTCGGCGTTGGAGCGAGCAGGACGCTTATATCCCACACCTGCACAGATACAATAGGATTTTAAACTACATCGAATATAAGTAGTTATTATTAAATTAAAATTATCAAGATAATTCGATAATTTCATTATTATCTGCTGTTGTTTTGAAAGTAATAAAAAATAAAGATTTTTTTAACTCTGTATAAACAATCTTAAAGAAATAAATAAAAAAAATAGCGATAACATATTCCTTCACTCAAAGGTATCTTTTAAAAATAAAATACTAAAAGCAATTATAAATGCAAATATCCTTATAACCATATAACCAATTTGTATACAGTTTTAGAGATTATACTATAACCTACGCACAGGCGGAGCCGGGAGTAAAAGTTAATCATAAGTATATTAAATAATTGTATAGTTTAACCCTATGGTTATTATATGTTACATAGTGTTCACTATTTTATAGTTTAACCCTATATAATTTTATAGTATAATCTTATGATTATTGTTGCTTAAAGTGAAACTTCAACAAAAGCGAGTTCCTGCTACTAATTTCTTTAATTCTACTACGACTTCACTTTCTAGAATTACTCCTAGTACTTAGTAGTAATTGAAACTAAATATTATTCAGATTACTACGCGTAATTTTTAATTTTAAAACAACCCACTCCTGACTTTCATTTACTTTTCAGCAACCGTGATCACGGAGACGAGATGTGAATGTTCACAAACGAACGAATATGGAGTATGTAGTTTAAAATAATAAAATAGGCGTAGTAATCCGAATAATATTAATTTCATCTATACTAATATTATAAAGCTGAAGGGTTTGTTTGTTTGTTTGTTTGAAAGCGCTAATCTCCGAAACTACTGGTTCGAATTGAATAATTCTTTTTGTGTTGGATAGTCCAGTTATCAAGGAATGCTGGTTGCTATATAACATCACGCTACGACCAATAGGAGCAAAGATATAGTGATAAATGTGTAAAAAACGGGAGAAATTATTTCATCTTTGAAGCCTTCCGTTGCGTGCGCCGTAAAAACGGTTCAAGTTACACAAAAAATATGTATTTAAGAATAATAGCTCTTTTAATGATCTGAAAAACAGTCCGCGACAGTATATGTCTATCTTTTAAGATTATCTCACAAAAACCGTTTTTATGGTACCTAATTTGGTTTAAATAATTTGTTTAAGTTATATCAACATAATAATATTAATCTTTATTCAAAGAAAACAAATAAATAAGTTGTTGGTTAAGAATACTTCATTGTGAATAAAAAAAAACATAGGTTTTATCCTGAAAATTCTACGGGAACTCGACCATTCCGAAAACCCCGAAGAACGGGAACTATATGGGAAGAACCAAAAATCTGCCGGAAGTCACTATTCCACGCGGACGGAGTCGCGGCAAAAGCTAGTTTAAATGAATACTCGAAAAAGTTTTAAATCTACTACTGGTGGAACTACTAGAAGTAGTAATCTCTATTCTACAACTTCTAGTAGTACCATGTCTAGACTCTAGTATACCTTTAGGACCCTGTCTTTCCCCGCGGTACACATTAGAGAGGTCGCCTCATCCACGAACAGGGATGTCACCGCGTGCTTCATATCATGGAATGACGCGAGCGACTCGCGACTAAAACGAAGATTATATATCAATTACATTACAAATAATATTTTTTTGACATTACCTTCTATAATAATATCAATGAGAAACTGCATGTAATTGTTATTAATAATGAAATATAAGGATTAACCAAAAAAAACCTTGTTTACATTCTTTATACAGTTCCGTTGGCCTAAGCATATTTAACATGATATAACTCAAGGCTATTTTAAGATCATTTCTCAGATCAAAAACTTTTGTTTACATGTATTCCTTATTTAATTTTCTCAAGTCTTTTCGAAAAACGCTCGTTTAAATAAACGCCCGTGTACACATACGGTTCATGCCGCAGCGTGTCGTAGCAGGCGGTGCAGACTCGCTGCGGGAACTCGAACCCCATGACCGGCAGCGGCAGGCGGTGGGGGGAGCACGACCCACACACGGCCGCGCCGCACCAGCGACAATGGTGCTGCCTCAAACCTGGATAAACACGTATAGAGTTCATATAAAGTGCCATATCCTACAAATATTATAATTGCGAAAGTTTGTGAATGTGTGTGTATGTTTGTTACTTCTACACGCTCAAACGGCTGAACCGATTTTGATTAAATTTTGTATACATCAAGCTGATGTCTAGGAATAACACATGTAAAGTAGTTACATCCCGGAAATCACGAAAATTCTGGAAATCAACGGTTAACACCGTGGGGCGCAGCTAGTAAGACTATATTATAGTCACACGACCAATCTAGCTTGAACCGTACTTAGGAATATTACATGTAATAGAGGAAGATCATTTTATACTGGTCAACTCCAGAATGTTCTGGAAATATACTTGTATGCAAGGTACATATAGCATTTTAATGGCTAGCTCTGAGTGCCATACTAGTAGTATACTCTTAATCAATTATTATCTTCTTTCATACCAAGTTGTTTTTTCTCCATCATAGCTCGAACATTCCATATGAACGGCGCTCGACACAGCTGGCAGAGGTCCGAATCAAGCCAGGCGGGGGTCTCTCTACGCTGGACGGACATTTCCCACACTCCTAGCGCTCCATCCTCTCCACATGATACCAGGCGCTGACAACCGCCCACATACCATAGACCCGTCACTTTGTTACTGAGAAATACGTGACAAAATTTATACTAAATATATTAATATATTAGATTATCAAAGAAAAGTAAGTTTTTTTTTGCTCTAGAGTAAATATGAAATAATAATATTAATATACAAATTAGTTATTATGTGCTACATTTTTTTTATCGAAACATTTGTCGATAGTAAAAAAAAGGTTTTTTGAAGTTTTATTATAAAAAAAATTGCTTGATGTAAAATGAGGTTACATTGTAATACATTACATTTTAATATAAAGTAGCCCTGAGAAAGTTACAATATAATTATCTCAACGTTAAATTTTGTGATAATAAAAGTACATAATTTGAATAAAGTGATTCAGTGTAAAGTATATTATTATATAACGATAAAATAGCGATACACATTTTTTTACTGTTTCATAATAAAAGGTTTTAAAAAATATACCAGTATGACTCGTTATTTTGTCTTAGTTAGCGTGATTAGTGTTTATTACCTGTGACCTTGAAGCTCGTAGGCCGTTCCTTTCTGACCTCCGATGTCCCATACTATGATGGTCTGATCGAAAGAACCGCTGAACAGCAATTGTGGTAGGGGGGCCCAGTTCAAAACGCGAACGGAACTAGAAATAATAGAATACAACGTTCATATAACTTCAAAAATATAGTATATCGTATACATATGACATATAAAGTGTCGTGTTATATTATTTTGCATTTTTCACCGATTAATTTCACAAGGCTAACGGCTTTTGTGGATTTATAAAAAAAATATTCTCAAGGTCATATAGATAGCGTTAAATTTTTAAAATGAACGCACTCACCCGGTGTGCCCTTTGAGTGTGGTGACTAATGTAGCGCCGTTGTTATCTAATTTCAACATTGTTATTTGGCCGCTGTAATCGCCGACGAACGCGTATTTCGATTGAGAATCAAACCTTATTACGTTGAGGAAATTGCATTATACGTTTAGTTAAAAAAATATTACGTTCATAAAAAAGTTTGTATATATTTTCTAGTTATTATTCTATGGAATATATGCGTGGTCAGGAACAAAAATAATGTATAATAATAAGTACTTGTTAGGTTTCTTTAGTACAACATAAATAAGTTTGAAACCCTACTTACACATACGTACATTATTAAAATAAACATACCAGTATGTATGAATTAAAAACTACATTATATAATAAAACTATTCAACCTCCACCTTTTTTGAGGGTGACTTAAACTGTTTGTGTTGTTACCTATGATTAATTATGCACTTCTCGACTCATACACTATAAATAGACCTGCCGTACATGCATACTTTAATTGTTAATAGACAAATATGATACAGACTTTCCGACATTATAGAATGTAATAGCTGAGAAATTTTAAATTTTGTTAGTGAAGTAATAGCTTATTATAACAAATTGTCCATAGAAAGTTATTAGCGACTAGACTTCTTAGCATTCAATGGGTCTAATGCGTTGCAGGGAGAGAAGCTTTAACAGTGCCTGGGACTTGCGACCCAGGTGTAGGTTTAAAGAGCCCCTATCTAACGCGCGATAAACGCTCATATATATAATAAATAGATAATTTTTGATATTATAATGTCATATAAAAAGGATACTGTAAAGCTGTACACCAAGCTTCAAATGAGTAACCACCGATCCTTCGGCCGGTCTCGCTGCAGTGATACGAGAACATTTTGTCCCGACTCACAGACAGAACCCATTCACAGCTCAACGAGAACACCACTGCTGTGACTCGTGCTGTATGAGCTAGATATTCACGAGTCTGGAGATTGAAAATTAAGTAATTGTTACTATTTTAGTATTAAAACTAATTTACATACATATATATTTTTAATAATTTTTGTCCGCTCAATTGATATGGCTTATCTATTGCAACATTCGATTGCAGAGTAACTTAGGCGACTTAAAATTTTTAAAAATCATTTATATAAAAAATATATAATTCTATGTGGATATAGTTGAAGCACAACTGGTCTTATAAAGTACATTTCAGGTTTAATACATATATGGTATAATGGCATCTATGCTATCAATTACTTTTTCCTTCATATACTGAAAACTGGTTTGTACCATGGGAACAGATAAGAAAAAATATTAAAATATGTTAAGCATGTAAGGAGGTGTAATCAACTGTAATTATATATATAATAACTATTGAAAAAAAATAACAATATTTTATTAATTAAAAAAAAACCCTAAGTATTGTTATTTAACAGTTTAAGTGAAATTTGTAGTACTTTTTCAAGTACTCAAAGTACCAAAATTGCCTTACATCATGTTTTAAGACCTGATACTCTTACTAAGGACTTATATCAACCAAACATAGTTACAAACCAATATAAGGAAACTGACTAATAGATGATCAAATATGTTGAAATAGGTTGATCTGGTCTATGTTGTAAATTACTGAGAACTTTTCTAGTTGGTTCCAGAATGTTTCAGCAAAGGCTTTATATATGAAAATTAATAATATTAGTTTATAATTTTTTACACAACATAGCCATTATATTAGACATTTCTGTATCATACATACATATTATGTCAAAAATAAAATTATTATCATAGGGTCTAATAAATATACGGATGAAATATGCATTATTGGTGATAAAACTTACATGGTATTACAATATACTCACAGGATTTATCCTATTGCAATCCGATGCTAATGTAAATTCTGATATAGTGCCGTTTTCTTGTCCAATAAATAATTGACGAGTTTCAGGAGTGTAGAACATAGATGTACATCCTGACGGCATGTATTGACAAATGCTAGGCCAATACTGACCTGAGTCCCTCTTAAGCCACACTCTAACTGTCCTAAAATCACAGTATATTTTATTTATTTTCACGTGAAACCCGCCGAACAGAAAAAAACAACATATTTCGTTTTCTAAAGTGAAATCTTAACATATTTAAAATTGTTTCGCAATATTGACGATATCGCATCAGTGAATAGATGGCGATAACATTTTTTAATAAGATAATTAAAAGTGATTTGTAAAAATGTAAATCTGTTCTTACTTATCATCACAAACACTTATAACTCCATCTTCTCCAGGAATCACAACTGCAGCATTAACATCGTCAGTACATCCTTCCAATTTGCTTAATAGAGCTGGTTTTTTCGTAGTAGAAAACCTATCATTAGGTGTTCTTGGAGCAGGCTTTATTTCAGCAGCCATATTTTCAGATTATTTAGCAAATAAACACTTATTCGTCACTTCTTTCCGAGTATGAAAAAGAAAACGTCATAATAATTTTGACTTTGAAATTTGACGTTCCGGTTTATGATTTTTTTTTATTGTATTGTCGTGGATTCAGAAACCAAAGCCTTTTTTTCTGATGTTATGATACATTGCAATAGTGTATTTCAATAAAACATTTTTCTTGACTAAATACGACAGACTAACATAATACTTACAGAAATAATATTTAAAATTATTAATCGAATATACTAGTGTGGTTATTATTTTTAAAAAAATCTTTAAAAGAAACACTTTGGCCTTCGATACTGTTCCTCTTTAAGTTATATTGAATGAAATTTTTATAATATTCTTCGTAGGTTTGAAATTTTATCATATTTAAGTAAATAAAACAATATGTTATAACGGATCTTTATATACTAATTAATTAAATTGAGTTAATTTTTTATAATTATTTTTCTTTAAGTGTTATCAATATTAGTATATTTGGAATTTTGACCTTTCTTTGACATTGTCTGATGGAGTTATTACAAAAATAAGGATGTGAATATATTATATTTGACATAATGTTGTCATATAAACCAGCACCCCATTTAAGAGCATTCTGGGATTAAAATTTATTCATTTTTTGTTCACTATTTTTAATGAAGTCTCAATATATTTGAGAAAATTTAATATTTATAAAAATTTGAAGTAATTTTAAGAGTTCAATAGCCTTTTATCAATGTTAAACATGATTAAAACAGTCAAATATTGTGAAAAGTGGTAATTTTCTATAACAACTGGCAACCCAAGTGACAAATTACCAAAAAAAAATCATTTATTCTGGAAGTTAGTTTCTTTACTCACACCGGTACTGTTTTCAGTACCGTATTCGTTAATATTTTTGTTAACGGACTGCCATACCGCATTTAACTTGAAATTCTTTTTCCGTAACCATGGCACAAGTTTTGAAAAAATTAACAGTTCAGGCACTAAAACACAAATCTCCAGAGGCTGTTATTTATGGCACAAGGAGAGCCGCTAGGTAATGTACCGGCATTTTTGTTTTTTAATTTACGTAATACACCTATAACTTTCGGTTTTGCGAAATTTTTATTGTATGTAATTTTTATTATAAATATATTGAAATACCAAAACTAAATCTTTTAGGCATTTAAATATAGTAATATTCACTAGTTGCAAAGCATGCTGGAATTAAAATATTTACATACTTATACACTTTAATATAAATTTACTTTTCTTGAATAACATTATTACTCTAATAAATTATATTTATTCCAATTCTTGATTATTTATAATGGATCCGTCTGTTTGCATAATTATTAAAAAAAATCTTATTGGTTAATACGTGGTAATAACCATAAATATTTCGTGAATGATTTTAAAGATTTTTTTCATAAATAGAAAATATTTATATACAGTCACTTTTGGGGAAATGTGGAAATGGGACCTCCTGATGTCATCCTTGGAATAACTGAAGCATACAAGAAAGACAACGATCCTAAGAAGGTCAACCTTGGCGTAGGTGCATACAGAGACGATCAAGGCAAACCATTCATTTTGCCATCAGTAAGAAAGGTAAGTCCTATGTAAAAATACTTAAAACTAAAACTTCTCTGCTTTAAATGAAACTAGTACTAATATTTCGGATGTCTACGTATTTTTTTTAAACTACACACTCCCGACGTATCGGTTACTTTGCAGCAACCGAGATTACGAACAGATGAGAGTAATCCGAAAATATTAGTTTCATTTAAATGAGTACTCGCAAAAGTCTTAGATCTCATCACTTTTTTACTTTACTTATTGCACATTACCTTAAAAGCTATTTTGCTATGTTATTGAACGCTTGTAATTTATGAGTATCAAATAATATGACTATCTGTTTGTTAATCTTTTGATAAGATAGCCAACTTATTTATCATTATCAGGCAGAGAATATTATCCATGAGAAAGGTTTAAACCATGAGTATGCACCTATCGGCGGAGAAGCCTCATATACCTCTGCGGTAGCCGAACTTGCCTTTGGAGAATGCAGTCAAGTCATCCAGAACAAAACTAATGCTACTGTTCAAGTAAGTTGTTGATATATATATGAAATAAATCTATGTTTATAGATTATCACTTTGTAAAAATTTAAAATAATATATTTGAAATATTGTGTATTATTACAGTTTCAAATTATGTAAACATGCTTTATTGAAGACTACATATCTTTGTTTTGTCTTTGCACTTGTTTGACAAAGTAGTATAAATGTTATCTTTCTAATAAAATAGATATATACACACACATGTATAAATATATATGTATGTGTGTGTTTAATTGTAAATGTGTGTATATCTGTTATATTTGTGTAGACCCTATCTGGAACTGGTGCATTACGTCTCGGTTTGGAGTTTGTTACCAAACACTATGCTAAAAACAAGGAGGTCTGGCTCTCCTCACCCACTTGGGGCAACCACCCACAAATCTGCAACACCCTCGGCCTCCCACACAAGAAGTATCGTTACTTTGACAGCAAAACTAACGGATTCGATATTGAAGGAGCTTTGGAAGACATTTGTGTGAGTAAACAAGTTATAAGAATAGACTGACCTACATCAATACAATTTGCATTGGCTCTACAATGTATCATGGTACATAAATAGTCAGGAATTAAAATTTATGTAATGCCTGAGTATTAATGAATAGACTATTTTTAAAATTATTTTCATGAATGAGTAACTATCCTAGGTTTGTCATTCAATATTAATCGGCACAAAATGAATATCAACCTCCTTGGTATCAATAATTTTAATTGGTTGGCAACCATTGTTCTAAATTCAAATTCCCTGAAAAACAAACAACAGATAAACAATTGAATTACTATAGTTTTAAAATTATTTATCCGTCCCTATCTCCTAGCAAATAAATAACAAACAAATGACATTCTTCTTCTACCTGGCAATTTCCCAGCTATAGCCAGGGTCTGCCTTACATATTGTAAATAGTTTTGGCTATTTTTTTTTTTACGACCGGCCGCCTGTCTGACATCAACCCTCTCTGGGAACCCTCTTTTAATCAGTGATGTCTAAATACTCTTCGAAAGTACATAATATGATTCGGAAAAATCACAGTGGTACTTTTCCAGGATCGAACCCGCGCCCCGGCAAGGAGAGGCGAGCCCTTTAACCACTAGGCCACCACTGACTTTTAGTTTAAAATTATTTATCCGTCCCTATCTATATCTAGCAAATAAATAACAAACAAATGACATTATCTTATAAAATGTTTTATGGAATGTAACACATAATAGGCGATAAAATAAACACGAGCCGTGCTCGTGACAGATAAGCCATGGCGTCGGAAATGGTTGCACTAAGACAATGTCACGGCAAAACTTTTCAGATACTTAGATAAGGTCGGAAGAATATCTGTTTGACGTAAACAAAGGTCAAAAGGTCCCGAAAAATATTATCGTCAAAATAAGATCTGTTTTTTTATTATTGTAACACATGCTTATTAATTAATTGCGCTGGTTACTTCAAACTACGAAGTTCAAGGTCAAAGAAGTATATAGTATAAATTACCTTTAATAAACAAAACCATTGCTCCCGTGAGTTATGAAATTAAAATTTTCATTCTTCTCTCTCAAAAAAGATAATTTATACGATTTCGCATATTTTCATGAATATCCAAGTAACTATGTGAGTTATAAATAATCATGTGCCGATTATCCGCGGGGGCAGAAAGATTCGTATATCGATCTTTTTCCTTATTGTTTCTCAATATAAAGATAATATTTTATACATGCTGATTTGATAGCAACGGAAAAATATTAAAATAAAAACATGTAATGACAAGAAGTGTCAAGTGTCATTAATTTTTTTTTCATAATAATAAGAATCATTAAAGATATATATTTGAAAGAATTTATTAATCTTAATTTATATAATATAATATTTTCACGATCTTACTCATCACTATGTATATATAATGATAAAGAGATTAAATATTTACGATCCACGCGTAGTTTATATCTGTTTTATTAATTGATAAAATTAAATATATGTATATATACTCATTAATTTGTATTTCTACAGAAAATTCCAAAGGGTTCGATTATCTTACTGCACGCGTGCGCTCATAACCCAACCGGAGTTGATCCTAAACCTGAAGAATGGAAGCAACTTTCCCAGGTGAGAGAAATAAAATGTAAATAAATAAAATCTAAATTAAGTTATTAAATATATAGATTAAAGATTCGGACAAAAATGTCATCCAAATTATTTTTTGTGAAATTTGAATGTAAAATTATACCAATAGATATTGTATGTACATATATTATATAATCTTTTCCTTGTAATACCTCCAGGCTATAAAGGCTCGCGAGTTATTCCCATTCTTCGACATGGCGTACCAGGGCTTCGCCACCGGCAGCGTTGACAACGACGCCTTCGCCCTCAGGCAGTTCGCAGACGATGGACACCAGGTCATGCTGGCCCAGAGCTTCGCTAAGAATATGGGTCAGTACACACACACACACATATAGAAACACGCAGGTATATATATATATGAGTGTGTTTTATATACATATATTAAGTTATTAGTACTACTTAGTATGAGAAACAAATCATAACCAACCCGTTTCTAAATTTTCATTACTTTTATGAGTGACGTCATTTTAATAATACTCGTAATTTATCTTTTTCCTAATTATATGACTCTACTGACCTTAATATCTCTAAACAGTCGTAATGACGTATGTTACATATTGCTAGTAGTGTGATGAAATCATTAATTGTACTAGTAATTTATTTTATTGTAGTTAATTTATGAATATAAATATGTAGTACAAAAAATATGTAAATATTTTATTATTATTTATTACATAGTTTGATGCCAATATAGTACTATTTAATGCATTATGCATTGAGCACATTGTGAATTGTGAACAGATGATTCTACCAATTAGTTTGTGTAACCCTTGAACAAGTATTAGGTAGTCAACATGTATTATGAACAACTACTGTGTCCTCTGAATCTGTATGACGTAGTAAATCAATTGATGTGATTATATAAATGAATTAGAATTGAAACAGATAATTTTAAATGCAGTTTTTTTCCTACACCTAATATTTATCACCAATATTTTTTTATTGTATATTGCATTGTAAAGTTTTTACAAATGTATGAATGAAATAAATAAAAATAACTTAAATATTGAATCATTCAACTTAAATATTGAATCAATTGAATATCATTTTAACTATGTACTTGGTTTTTATTTTTGGTTTCGTATTAGCATTTGTTATATTAATCAATTTATAATAATATTTGTCAACATTAAAAACAGTAATAGAAAAGTGTTTGATACAATCACATTTGATTGATGCATGTTTAAATATTATATTAAAAAATAATCTTTATTTAACCTTTAAAATAACGTTCCAGGTCTGTACGGAGAGCGTGTTGGCGCTCTGACGCTGCTTTGTGGTGACCAGGAGTCGGCGGCGAAGGTGATGTCTCAGCTGAAGATTATGATCCGCACAATGTACTCCAACCCACCGCTGTACGGCGCCCGGCTCGTCACGGCTATACTCACCAACAACGAGCTCAGGAAACAATGGTTAGTCAAATAACTAGATTTATAACGAGAGTCATATAAACTGCTATAATAATAATAAATAAACTTCATTCACAAAAAACATTACAAAGTATAATGAAGTCCCTGATTTCTGAGCTAGGCTCAAAGACCATACAGAAATCAGTGTCCTCTCTCATATTTTAGTGTCATATTGTTCTATGTAAAGAAAAATAAATGATAAATAATTAAATCTTATTGTATACTAGAGTGTGTATGTAGTATGTGTGTGGTGCTGGTGTACTGCTGGTATTATGTATACATATATATTGTTTATACTAACACCAAATATATACAACGTGTATTATATATGTTCATTTATGTGTTGTAGGTTGGCCGACGTGAAACTGATGGCTGATCGCATCATATCGATGCGCACACAGCTCCGTTCAGGCATCGAGGGCGCTGGAAACAAACAGAAATGGAACCACATCACGGACCAGATTGGAATGTTCTGCTACACCGGACTTAAACCAAACCAGGTGAGGGAAAACAGGGATGGCTATATGATAGAGAGAGAGAGAGAGACAAACAGAGTCCTCCACTTATGCTACGGCCACACTAAGGTTTAACGTTAATGCCAATTATCACTATAATTAAAAGTAAATTTTTAGAACAATATAATGGGTGGCCACACTAAGACGGTTAACGTTAATGCCCATTATCGTTCAGTTAAAACGGCTTTCAATTTATCCTAATTTATTTTCATTCAAGCCAGATGAACGTCGACAGGGCTCTATATTTCATGAGTGTAAATTTATATTACATATTTGACTTTATTGAATTATTACCGAATAAAAGGAAAACGGAAACAAAGAAAAAGAAGATGGATGATACAAATGCACATAAATCGTACATTGCAAGTCTTTTTGTTTATTTATAATAAACAGAAAGACTATATTTATTTAAAATAAATACGTTCGCTCCCGAGTCCCGTTGGGCTCTCGACGCACAATGACAATATGTAGTGTGGCCGCTATATGGCGATAATGATCGCTAAATTCTCTTTAATGTACCGCCACCTGAGCTATCGTCTAACGGCTAATGGCGTTATTAAAATTTTAGCGATTACGGGTGGCAACACCTAAGGTTAACGTCGATTATTATTGATAATATTAGCGGAATTTCCCCTTAGTGTGGCCGCAGTATTAGACAATTAACTTGTCTCGAAGTCAATGTCCGTGTTTTATCATTACATATTATTAAAATTAATTTTACACACATACCAAAAAGTATCTAGTAATTTCAGAAAGACATTTAATTATTTCTCAGAACTAAGTTTTGATGATACAATACTGCTAAGATGTAAAAGGATATGCTTTATTATATGCAGAACATTTTTCGAATTTATAATCCCTGTGGATTCTTGAGTTTTAAATGTATATATGAAAATATGTTTCGTTTTTTACCTCACTATTTTCAAGAAAGACCCTACTTAACACGCCGTAAGTTTGAGAGCTATCCGTCTAGCAAGAGTTTTTTTTATGACAATACTATAAGAGATTATTTCTATTTGAATCTATAAAGTACCGAGTATTGCCAGTTTTTAATTTATAAACATTTACAGATATGATAATATCAACTTAGGTTCATAATGACTGAAAATGCTACTTATTTTTAACTATGAAAAACTTGTAGTAAAGATATTAAGTTAATAATTATATTCTATTTGTCCAGGTTGCACGTCTCACTAAGGAGTTCCACATCTACCTAACCAAGGACGGGCGTATCTCAGTCGCGGGCATTTCATCTAAGAATGTCAACTACGTGGCCGAAGCTATCCACAAGGTGACCTCTTAGACAAACGATTCACTGAAACTAGATGATTCAGATAATCGAGCTATCATATAATGATCAGCTCTCTACAATGAAATACTTTTGTATTAAATTTTAATCTAAGTTCTAAATTCCCCACATATATTTTTAAATGTACCTAGAGACACAAATATAAAAATGTTATATCAAAGGTTTTTATTTTACAACCCCGACGAAATGAAAGATTGTAGTCAATTAACTGTTTATTTTAATATAAGTAAATAAAATAAACTTGATGACAAAAACACAAATCTTATCAACATATCTGCGATGATTCTAAAACGAAACTAAGGACAACGCAACATATTTACAGCTGACAAACGTAAATTATACTAAATTTATAATGATGCAGATCAACCGTTAGGATTGGTCTCGGTGAAATAAATGATAAATTCATTGAAAGGGAAGGGGCGGTTTAACAATTAGAAAAAATTATAACAATCGCCGTATCAACCTGCATCAACATACAAAATGTAACCAACATTTCACTTAGTTATTATATTAAATATACACTTTTAAAATAATGTAAAAATGTTTTTCATAAAATTATTATTATGATACAAATATTGTAACACATTCTCCATTTGACATTCATCAAAGACAATTCAATAAAAACGATTTATTTACAATTTTGTCATATCCTATTTTTTTTTTTACTATTTTCATGGCACTATTTCTTTAGAATGTAACAATTCACTGCACCGTTTACATCACACCCTGGGTACTTATACATTTGATAAAAGTGTATTAAAACCAAAAATAATTAAAAAGTAGTATTTTTTAAATATTGAATGTGTATTCATAGTCTGTGAGATTTGTGGCTATAAGTGCTAATTTTAATACTGAAAATATTATGTTACTTTTTTATAAATACACAGAGCCCAGTAAAATGTTTTTTTTTCAAGTAAACATATGGAGAATATGCATGCAGTAATTTAGTTGAAGTAACAACTCTTGACATTTTTATCTTTTTCCAGCTTTCTTTATGAACCTCCCTTAACGTCACATATAAAAACTACACTACAATTATCTAAAATAATGGGTATAATCTGTAATATTTCACTAAATGTGTACATGAGTATATATATGTACTTAAAAATAAACTCATTTATTGCATGAAATTCTATATCTATTCAACAATATATAATGCACCATTGTTATTATTACTAACGAAATTTACACACTGGCTGAACATTGGTCTTAATATAAGTGATAAAACTCAAACAAGACAAACATAAATATTGTCATGTCCTTATAATATACATGACTTGTGCGTATGCAGACACTGTCTAGAGACAGTACTATATGTAGCTAGGATAAGTGAAAATTAACATTCACATAATATAGATTGAAGTTTAAAATTTAAGTTAAAAATTAATAGTTGATATCATTACAAGTGAATGAGTAAGTATTCATACATTCATGAAAAAGTTCTCATATATCAAATTTTGTCATGTTTAAAATCTGCCTTTTAGTACATACTTGTGCACAAAAAAATATTTTTTTAGTTTACCTTACTAATAGGAATAAAAATGTTGACAGAATTTCTTTATTGGATCCTATGTTAAATTTAAATGAAAAATTATTGTTTAAATTATTAATTGTAACAAAATTGAAATATTTATTTTAATTGTATCATAAACACATTAATATTTGATAATTTCCTGAAATTGTAACGAATTGGTAACATAACATTTACAATTCAATAAAATTTGTTTTATGTATTTAAAACTGTTGAGCTTAAGTATTTTGTGTTTTCTATGAAAACTTTGCCAAATTATTTAAAAAATATAATTTTATACACACATATTGATATAATAATAAACTTTCGCTTTGTTGAAAACCAATTCGTGATATGTGCATTTTGTTGTAGGACTCGGAAACATTTGTAGACAATGTTTTAATATTAAAAAGAGTTTATAAACAACAACTCTTATGTACGTCCTATGAATTGGTTGATAACAAAGTACAGCATCCAATATTATATTGGGTATATATTTATAACACGAGAATTACCTCCAGGTTTGTACTTATATAGTATAAATAAATATCAGTTACAAAATAAAAATTAATATTAATTGTATCAAAAAAATATTCATATTAATTTTACGTTATTTGAGCAATGACGTTTTTAACGTTTTTTTTTTGTAACTAATATTTGTATATCCTAAATATCAATGCAGAAGAAATCCTCTTGAAAAAATATGTTCTATTTTTATTTATATCGCCATATTTTATTTATTATTTTTATCAAAAAGTACAAAAGATAATAATTTCGGAAACATTTAATACTTAAATGACATTCATCAACATTTATTTAATAAAAAACAACGGCAAGATTAAAAGAAAGCTGCTAAAAGTTCTCCATAAATATTATGTACAAGAAACATATTCAAAATAACTACAATTTTTATCGAAACCTCAAATAAAAGCATGTTGATTCCGTCTCAGCTTGGGCTTTTACCGTCGGAAATTTTAGCCTCTAACAATTGTTATTTCACGGGGGGTAGTTGATGTATAACGAGTGTCATTCACCCAAAAACAATGCACTCACAATTCAATTTGCACATCGCGTATAGCGTTCATACAAATATCACTGGTGAAGTTACATTCGTCAGAAATCGTCGCTACTGATGCGGTTTGTGTCCGTCGCTCAGTAGACGGGAGAGAGACTCGGTCAGCTCAACTCGAGCCTCCTCGCCTTCAAGCAGACCTTCCTCTAGATACGAAAACGAATCTAGATTGATATCCGTCGTACTGATCGCTGTACTATACACGTCTATTCTTTTCTGTTGCGATTTCGCTTCCGCTACCTTCTCTGACAATTTCGCGCGCGCTTTGGACAAGGCTTCCGACTCGCGTTCTTCCCGCCGGCACTTGGCCTTGATGGCGAAGGACGAGTCGTTACTAGAGGAACCGTCGTCTTGCAGTTGACTAAGCAACGTGCGCGCCCGCGACAACGTTCCAAACCTCTCCGGACCCTCACCTGAAATATTCAAATAGGATTCATTTTAGATTAAAATATATTTAATGGAAAATGTAATCGTATAAGCGGCTAACTTAGAATTGAATTTTATCGAACATTTCACTTACCAGTGGGAGTCGCAGTCTGTATCCTCTCAGTGGGGAGCTGATCTTTTACTTTATGACCTTCCATAAATTCGTTTTCACTATCACTAGACATGCCAAGATCTAAATGTAAAGAGTTTAGTTTGTCGACGTCTTCCTTCGCCTTGTCCGCAACCTCCAATTCGATATCCCAGACGGTCACGTTGGAGCTTTCCTTATTATCTGAGTTTTTACTAAAATCTATTTTCTCTTTCCCTATCTTATCTATTATACCTAAACTGGCGTCTTCCATTCTCTCCATGTCCGTGAGACTGGTGGTGGAGTCTAGACTGCTAGTGTTACAAGTCTCTGCGGACATCGGGTTCTCGAACAGTACCGGTGTCTCTGCCGTTATCTCCTGTACATCATTCTTCGCTTCCTGCTCGCTGGCCGGCGCCGGGTTCGTTCGGTTCTCTAGTATTTCGGACATGGTCGTCGTCCGACCCGTCTGTTCGTTGTTTAATTCTAGAACTATAACATTCCCCGATTTCGTGTTTTCCATCTGATCCGTCTTGGACGTCTGTAACAGCTTATTAACGTTCTTCCCCATTATAATCTTGGACATGTCGTTACCGTTTTTAGTGAAAGTGAGCGTTTTTCCTAAAGTAGATCCTTTCGAGACGACTATTAGATTGCCCTTTGTATTCACAGGCCGTACTATGGGATTTGTTAATTTTGTCGTCGAGATCGGCGGTAGACCTTTTACTGGTACTATATCCGCCATATTGGCAGTCTTTATCGGTTCTACACCTACTATTTTAGCGTTGGAGGGCAACGTGTTGACTGCAGGCTTGGACATAACAGTTGATGGCGGTGGTTTTGAACCTTGAACACTGATCTGTGAACTCACGGACACAACCTTCATACTCGTCGAGACACCTTTCAGGTGAAACAGACCTTCTTTAGCGGCTTTCGCCGGTAAAACGACCATTTTCTGTCCCGATTTCGGATTTAAAACGAAAGTTTTAGCTGAAACTTTCAAATCGGTCGCCGGGATGCCTTTCGGTGTGAACGCTTCGCTAGTTTTTGATATGCTATTTGTGCTACTGTGTATACTATCTTTACAAGGCGTCGTCGTGGACGTGGATGTTATTAATATTTTTGAATTTTCAATGGACGATTTGGAAACTACGATCATTTTATCCGACTGTATGACTGGAACGTTCGGGGTCCTGGATTTCGGTAGTGAGCTGACAACTTTGGTCGTCATCAGTTTCCCAGGAACGTTTTGTGTTTTCTGATTGTTGGGCGTCAACACGACCTGCCGATTGGGGAGAAGTTTAACCTCCTCGGGAGGTTTCTGTATGACTTTGAAGTCAGACATTTGTACTTTCTTATCGGTGGTGAGTTCACCCCGCTTCTTGATGATCACCTGATAGGGTTTGCCGCTGACCGTCTTCGGTATCGGCGTAGTGTGTGCTTGGAGGGGCGGGTCATCAGGATGGTTTTCAGACACTGATAATTCGTGAGGCACTGTTGCCGGTTGGGTGAGGAGATGCATTGTAGGCGAGTCTGTGATCATTCCCGGTGAAGAAGACTTGGACTTCATCTCGTCTATGTAGTCCGGCTTCGTTTTACCGCCGAGTATTGATTGTGCGTAACTCGCCTGGAAGGAGCCGGGCGGCCCGGAGTAGTCTACTTGTTGATTGTACTGCTTATTAGGAGAGAGAGGCATATCGCGAGCTTTCTTTTGCGCCTTAGTCAGAGTTTTACCCTGTTTGTGTGCTCTGTGTTTGTGACCGCGCGGTGCGTGAGGCTGGTTTGATTTACTAGTCGATACTTTGCTAACTTGGTTATATGAATGCTTTGAATGACCTGATGCTTTACCTGAAATAAAAAATATTACCATATTATTTACGTGAAGTTAAATTTCTTGTGGATAACTTTTTTTTTTTATATGGATATGTATCAAATGTCGTCACTCACTCGATGTTGGCTGTGAAAATCTTGAATAGACCTGTGATAAATTTAAATGTTTCTGATTTGTATTAACTTGTACATTTCTCATATTTTTATGAGGAGTTGAAGCTTCGTCTGGTAGCGCGGCACCTTCGGGCAATTTTCTTTTACGACAAATGAGTTCAGTTTCCCATATCTGTGAACACAATTTTTTCTCTTTTTTCATTATGGCAATTAAATTGAATGAGTTTTCAATATGACAACTCAGCTGTCACTGTCTGTCAAATATTTTAAAAACATCATTTTTTAACATAAAAGACGAAAATTCGAATATTTTATTGAATGTACACCACATATTAAGTTGTGGTTGTGCATACGTCAATACTAACGTGTAATACGGCGGAAATTATCAAAATTTACAAACACTTGTGCAAAACAAACAAAGCAACTGTGAAACAAGTTGCCAATCATACCTTAGCTGTATGATCTTCGAGAGCGACAGGACATGATCCTTCCTCGGTACATTGACTGTGATGATCACTATCATAGTCTGATGCGTCATTGAGTTTTTCCGTCTCAATTCTTTTCCTGATGTCCTTGTTCTCTGCGGCAGCGGCCTCGGCAGCCCGGTCGGCTATTTCTGTGTACATGGTCTGTGGAATGCCGCGGGGCATTAGAGGCACGCGCCGCCGACCCTCGCTGATCCATCCTAAACTTGTGTTAGGACCCGCTAACCTATAATGATAATAATAGTCTCATCTGAGATTAATTTTATATATAATAATGTGTAGTTTATTCTATATATATACAAAGACATATTTCAATAATAATTATTAATATTTAAATGAATATAAATATATATTTTTACATTATGTTTTATTCTGTACAATATTAAAAAACTACAAATATATTTTGTGTTTCCAAATTATAATATATATTTTTTAATACACTACATGACAACAAATTAAACCACTATAAAATTAAGACACATGAAAAATAGTAAAATTAATAAAATATGAATATTTATATCTAAAAAAAGTTTTTTCAACTAAAAACTTTTTAAATACTTCAATTTGACACAAATGTCACATAGGTTATCTGTCAATTCATAAATAATTAATTTGAAAATAAATCTTTATAAATTAATAACAGTAGTATGAAATTTATTCACAAGTTGTCAAAAGGTATACTAGTATGGTGCCAAATGTGTCAACTACTAGATGATATCTACAAGGCTCTGCCTGAAATAGTTGGAATATAAAAATAAAAATGTCTTTTGTTTTAACTGCAATCCTATAAGAACAGTTTTGATTCTAGTGTTAACACACATAAGCAGCAATTAACATACATGTACACCATAATGTTCTCAGCCATCTTTGACAAATCCTAACATGTTTTAAAAATAAAACTTGATCCCAAAACAAAAACTTAATTCCAAACTTACTGTTCAGCAATAGTGGCTAGTAGCTCGTCATTAGACACGCGACGCGCCTCAGCGCTGTGCCGATCATTGCTTATATGCAAAACGGCGCGTAGTTCCTCAAGCAACTTTTTTCTGTTGTCTTCTAATGCCCCTTGTGCTCTGAATACACTTATCATATTCGAGTAGGCTTCCAATTCTATAAGCAAACGAATATTGCATCAAAAAGAATCACGTTAACAGAAACTATACACAATAAAAGGAGTCGAATCACTGAGAGCATTGTGGAAGAAAACCATAGGAGGGAAAACGAATGCCATTTATAAAACTAAATATATACCAAGTCTTCTTAGCGTTCGACGACATTCGTCGCGTGTCATATTAAGAAGCATAGGCCACATGTTTAATTTGCTACATTAAACACTTTTAAATTACTATTTAACTATATGATTTTAAACATATTTTATTAAAATACTCTACTGGCAAATATCCATACTGTTTACTTCAAACGACAATTCGTTCATTTTGACATTTCTAGTAGGGATGCGAAATAATAACGGATAGCTTGTATTGCCTATGAATTTAGAGTTACCACAACTTTTCAATATTTTAATATAAAAATAAAGTTTATATTAAATATTGTAAAGTATAGTATATATCAGATGCCTATTTTAAATATACAAATTCACAATTTATTCTTTTAATAAACTATTATAAATAAGTAAGTTTTACTAAATAGACGTTAAGTAGTGGTTTTTTAAGATTCATGGATTTAAATGCCTTGTATTTATTTACCATTTACTAAATAATATAATGTTTATAAAAAATAAACTTTTGATTTTTTGTTTTCTAGTTTGTTTTTAAGCTCAGTTATTTGTATTTATTGCTTAGCTTTGTTAGCGGCAAACATATCCTATGGATTTTTAGAAGTTCAGGAGTATCACATGAGCTTTTACTTCACTATATCTAATCAGATTAGCATTCTGAAATATCTTAAATTAAGAATATTAATTAAGAAAACTCCTGAAAGATTATGTAAAGCAATATAAATAACAAAATATGACAATAACGAAAAAATGCATCTTTTCAAGTAGTCTGTGGCTTGTGAAGCGAACTGATCGGTATGTCACTTGTTACGTGCTGCGTGAATTGTCTTTGGTTACTTGACCAGTAAATCATAACGTGAAGCAACGTCTTTTCTGTTTTGAATTCAATGTAAACAATACTTACAACTTGTTATTTTTTTTTAATTTCTATAGTTAAGGCTTAAAAATGACGGACGTCGAAGAGATTATAGACTATATAAAATCATTAAAGAAAGGATTTGATAAAGAATTATTTCAAAGTAAGATTGATGAGTTGGGTTCAATTGTAGATAATACTGGTTTGAAATACGATGACTTCCACACTTTGTTTAAAGTCTGGCTAAATTTAAACATACGTAAGTTGGCTATTTATTGTGACTAATTTCTTGAAAGACATTTTTTTTATTTATACTTGTATGTATTCACATTGACATTTTATTATATATTGTAGCAATCACGAAATGGGTAAGTTTTGGAACCTGCTTGGTGCCCCAAGAAAAAGTAAATCAAAAGACAGTAGAATATTCATTAAGATGGATATTAGCGAATTACGAAAACCAGAACAACTTCTCTAGAATCGGCTTTCTTCTCGATTGGCTGACTGGTATGAACTTTTAATATATTAATATTATTCTATACTGGAAGATTCTGGAAGATTTATAAATCATTGTAATCACTATGGTAGTCTTTTAAAAGCTTTTATTGCATTAATTTCAGCTGCTATGGACAGTGATTCTATTGATATGAACACCTTGGACATGGGATATGAGTTGTTCTACATTATGTTAACATTTGAAATGCTAGTAAGTTATTTGTACTAAATATAATACATTTTATATTGAATTACACTGTATGATCAAAGATTTAACTTGTTCAGGAACTGTTATAATGAAATTTAATTTTTCTCAGACTGGACATGCTATGAAGCTTGTGTATACATTGACTAAACCATCCGATGTGACAAGAGGAAGAGTTCTGGAGTTGATTGAATATGCTAAGAAAAGGGAAGCTAAGAAGGTAGCATATAATATAACATACAATATCTGAAGATATACACTTTTAACTAAGAAAAAAATTATTATCATAGTCAATATTTGATAGATGTACCTTTTAGTAACTATTATGAAAATTAATAATTATATTGAAATAATTTTCATAGACTCTTATTGTTTTTTTGTAATAAAACATGATAGAAATTAAACATTTAGGTAAGGTCCACATAAAAACAGTAATTTAAGGATAATTATGTGATATAATTGTATTTCAGAATATGTATCGACAAATTCAAGTGCTCCTGGGTCTATTTAAGTCATTCAAACCTGAATGTGTTCCCGAGGATGTGCCGTGTGTTTCAATATATACAGCATTCAGGAAGATCAATGTGGTATTAATGACGAGATTTAAGAATAGTCAGGTAAAATCAATAATTTATTTTTTTAATAGACTTTGGAATGGCTTTATAATTTTTTTCTTATTTAATTTAATTCCAGAGCAAAAGGCATAGCACAAGTGAAGAAACATTCAGACTATTCTGGGTTAATCCTTTAAATGTGAGTGTTCAATTTATTTTAACTTTAAGTTTGTTATATGTTGAAAATATACTATAATGTATGTTTTATATTATTTCAGGAAATTTCTAGAAACAAAAAAGCTAACCTGCTGATACCAAATATGGAGTTTGCTAATATTGGATCGAAACAGTACAAAAATGATGGACAGAAGAACTACTTGGATTTCTCTGAGTGTGTATAAAACTTTAACATTATGATGTTTAAATAATAAAAACAATATCTCATAAACTCTCATAAACTCATTCATATATTACTTTTTAAAGATCTTCTGATAAATTTATCTCTGAATATCTATCAATTCTGTCATATTTGAATATTGCTTCTTTAAAAGAGTGTATAATGCTTTTTATATTAAAAAGTGATGTACTTATGTAGGATTTTAAAAAAGCCCTAACTTTTTATTTGTAAATAAACCACCTTTCTATAGCTATTAGATAGTCTCATAAACTGTATGAGTTATGGTAATATATGAAATAAGTGAAAAAAATCAAAAAGTAGAGTAAAATAAAACTATTTGAAACAATTATTCCTTAGATAATATGCAACCTAATACATTCAATGTAACAGATTTTCTTATTATTTATTTTTATTTTGATGACAGCTATTCTTATTAGCAATTTTTATTATATCTACATTAAAACCATAACTGTACAATATTTTTTTTATATAATACTAGCTGCGCCCCGCGGTGTCATCCGCGGATTTCCGGGATTTCCGGGATGTAAAGTAGCCTATGTGTTATTCCTGGACGTCAGCTTGCTGTAAACAAAATTTTATCAAAATCGGTTCAGCCGTTTGAGCGTGAAGAAGTAACAAACATACACACACACTCACAAACTTTCGCTATTATAATATTAGTAGGATATGTATTATACAGGGTGACTGGTGAATTACTATCAATATTTAAGGAGAATACTCGGTACATGATTCTCATTCGAATTATGTAAAAAAAATAGGTACTTAATTTTTGACCAAATTTCCGTATAAATAAATAAAGTGTGGACTGTGGACACGTTCCAAGTGTTCCAAGTGTGGACGCGTGCGGCGGCGTGCTGATACAACACCACGCCGCCGCACGCGTGTGTGTGTGTTTGTATACCTAATCTGTAGGCTGTTCACGATGCGTAATTAATTACATAACTTTTGGTTAACTTTACTTAGAAGTTTATTAATATTTATGTTATATTAATTTTTATTTTGTCATATATGATCATCAAATATCACGTCTTCAAGTATCGATAGTAATTCACCAGTCACCCTGTATAATCGGTATTTCTGTATTTCAGTCCGGTGTCCCTACTCCAGTACAGTAGTCAACACGTGTTATCTCGCCCGGCGCGGCTGCGAGCCTTGTTGTGTAACCCGGCGGGACTCGCGCTCCTCGCCACACATAAACACGACCACGCCTTCCTCTCACATGATCTGCAACATCTTCTGGATGGATGTAAGGTTTTCTAACCATTTTCCTTAGTCATACTACAAATGTAGGTAATACTTTATTTTTGAGGAATAGTCAGCTTGGACATAGATTATTACTTATAGTCCAAGATCCCAGAGCGATAAGACACAACTTATTTTCTAAAGCATAGAACTTTCTTTTCTAAGTAGTCTCTCGTGTACTTTTTAATACCTGTACGCTTGTGGAGTTGTCACGGTGACACCTGCGCAGGTACCAGGTGAGATAGGTAACTAAAAATCAGAGTAACTTAAGTTAAATTTAAATGACTGATTTTTATATATATTTTGTAGAATAATACTCTGAAGTAATATCAAAAAAATCTGACGCTTTCCATGGGCCAGAACTTTTGTCAGACTCTTTAAAGCTCTACAAAAAATAAATGAACTTAATTTATTTTTAAATGTCTGATTTTTATACAGGGTGACTGGTGAATTACTATCAATATTTAAGGAGCATACTCGGTACATGATTCTCATTCGAATTATGTAAAAAAAATAGGTACTTAATTTTTGACCAAATATCCGTAAAAATAAATAAAGTGTGTACACGTTCCAAGTGTTCCAAGTGTGGACGCGTGCGGCAGCGTGCAGATACAACAACACGCCGCCGCGCGCGAGTGTGTGTGTGTGTGTATACCTATTCTGTAGGGTGTTCATACGATGCGTAATTAATTACACAACTTTTGGTTAACTTTACTTAGAAGTTTATTAATATTTATGTTATATTAATTTTTATTTTGTCGTATATGATCGTCAAATATCACGTCCTCAAATATCGATAGTAATTCACCAGTCACCCTGTATATGTTATTCAAATAAATATTCAAAGTTATATTTAATCAGTCAGACAAATTGTAATGACCAAACATCCCCTAAACAAAAAAATTACTCAACTATGAGTATGAGCGCGAGAGCACTATGCGCATGCGCCTCAGAGTGAAAAATGTGTATCAACAATACTTTAAAATAAAATTGTTTAATCAGAACTAGTCGTGGATTCCTCAAATTGTATGTCAAAAATGTGTTGTATGGCTACTATTGTGGTCCAATGGAAACAGTCCAATGGAACAGTCCAATGGAAACAGAGATGCAGTAATATTCGAAACATAGGTGATCAGGTGGGAGAACCTTAAAACGATCATGACGACTGCTACTTTTGCGTTGTGAAAGTAAAAGGAATTGATCCTGGCAATCGAAATAAGTGGCCACATCCTAACTTATCTTCTGCCCAACGACCCCAATTAAAATCATGAGAGGTAAAACCTGGCAAATCTAAATCTTCTGATGACCCGAATCCCTGTGAACCCGAACGAAATTCATCAATTGAAGATTCTTATTCAGTCTACAAATCTAGCCAAGAACCTCAACCACAGATCAGGCAACTCGTGAAAGATTCTGATTTTGTCAAATCAATGACTTAAGTGGAATCGAAACCTTAGAATTCATTTTTTTTGGTTATTAGTAATTTCTTAGGCAAAAATAAATCTGACGACTACGTGGAGCTTGTTGAGGCCATGCTATCCAATTTGAAACAACTAGGGTGCAACATTAGCATAAAAATCCACTTCCTGCGCTCGCATTTAGACCGTTTTCCAAAAAATCCGGATGATTACTGTAAAGAGCAGGGTGAAAGATTCCTCCAGGGTCCAGGACATTGGAAGGGCGTTATCAGGGGCGGTGGGACTCACATATGATGGCAAACTACTGCTGGAGTTTGCAACGAAATCTATCTGAAGTTGTTCAGTCAAGAAATTCCTATAAAAGATCATTTCATTGTATTTTATATTAATTTTCAGTATTTTTGGTCAAAATAAAAAATATATATATTTCAAAAAGTAAAGCTGTTAGAATTTTTTTAGTTTTTTTTTTGATTTTCAGGGACATAGAAATAACTAATAACAGTGAAAACAATAAAGGAAACAAAACATGTGTTGGGCAGTTTTTTGTAGAGCTTTAAAGCGTCTGACAAAAGTTCTGGCCCATGGAAAGCGTCAGATTTTTTTGATATTACTTCAGAGTATTATTCTACAAAATATATATAAAAATTAGTCATTTAAATTTAACTTAAGTTACTCTGATGTTTAGTGACCTTTCTCACCTGGTACCTGCGCAGGTGTCACCGTGACAACTCCACAAGCGTACAGGTATTAAAAAGTACACGAGAGACTACTTAGAAAAGAAAGTTCTATGCTTTAGAAAATAAGTTGTGTCTTATCGCTCTGGGATCTTACTCTATTACATGAATTTACATGTAGGTAATTATTGTTTTTTTTTTTATTAAATATATTTCTTATTTCTATCTTAAAATTACCAGATCCAACATATATAAATTCATTAATAATTAAATTAATAAATTTATTTATTATTGTGTGTGAAAAGAGTTTGAGACTTGTTTCAAATTTATTAAATACATACACAAACATCCTTTTATATACATATTTTCCTCTTGAAATTAAGTTCTTTGGATACAAGGTGGTTTTATTATTCTATAAATTTGTTTTCAGCAAATGTGATTATGAACAGATAAGTTGAAAGTGTTTCAAACATCCTTAACATTTAGAAATATAATAATTAAAAAATGTGTGGTATTCAAACAACTTAGTTACATTTAAATGTGTACACATGAAAATCTTACATATCCTAATGTAATATAAGTCTATTAGAAGTAGAAAGTTAATAGTTCTTGCCTCTGACATCAATATTATATGTGTTGTTCTGTTTCCAGGTTTTCTAGAACAATCTCCTCACAGTTACATTGAAAAGCAAGATTTGTTACATCGGTTAGCCCTCTTCCAGTCAACTGTAATGCAAGGCATTCCTGTAGTTACAAGATTTTTGGCGCAATACTTACCATTTTGGAATGAAAAAGACTATTTTGCTGAAGTAAGTATCATTTGTTAGAGACGAGACGAAACTTCTTAGCATTCAAAGGATTCAACTCATTCTTAGCATTCAAAGGAGAGGAGCTTTAACATTGCCTGGGACTTGCGACCCAGGTGTAGGTTTAAGGGACCCCTATCTAACGCGAGTTAAACACTCACCTTCACTGTCCAAGCTCCTCTCTCTACCAAATTTGAAAAGAACCTACTATTGCTGCCTTTGAAGTATGTTCCAAGAATGAATTAATGTGAGTTCTGGACAGGCCCAAGTCTTTTAGTATATTTTATATAAAAAAATTGTTAAAAATATTCTATATATATGTACTATAATACTTAATTTTTGTTTTCCAGATAATGGAACTGATACAATGGGTGAATGTGGAAAGCTTTGAAGATATAAGCATCATATTAGATGCACTGTCTAAAATATATCAGCGTGCTCAGCCATTGGAACAATGTGCTATTAATAACAGCTTGAATAATATGTTCTGTAACCTTGTGAGTATTTGGTGAAGTATGTATTATTATTCCAAAGTGAAAATTAAATAGAGCAAAATAGTTACGTGTGGTTTTTGCTAGGAGTTTATTAGTTTTATGAGTAGGTTTATTGTCAAATGTAGTACATTTTAACTTGTGATTTTTCATTAGTAAGTAGATCATCTATTTGGCTTGTTTTAAAAAAAATTCTTTTTGTCATTTTATCTTCTTACAATATGTAATCATCATATTAGTATATGTAGTGGATAAGAATGAATCTACATAGACACTGTATTTGGTACAGATCCTTGAGATAATCTTGCTGATATTTGTATGTATTTGAGTTTGTGAATTTGTGTATCTATATTCTATTTGAAGAATTTTATCTTACAAGTATAGAAATTACAGTAGGATGTTTCAGCAAGATTTTAATTTTCAATTTCTTCTTACATTAAAATGTTTTTTATTCTTACAAGTCATGATCATGGTTCTGCCAATTTAATTATGCCAAATATTTTTAACAGATGGCAGTATACAAGCTATAATCTTATTAAAAAAAAAATAAAAAATCATCACATATTTTTTTAAGTTTTCCAATTTCCGATACGAATACCAAAATATTTATAAAGACTTAATCCATTTAATATCCTTGACTCAAATTTTATTTTACAGGTCTTCTCAAGTACAAAGTCTACTCATCATTTCCTTGATATGCATCCAAGTGAAGAAGTGTACACAGAGACAATATACATGGTGGCATCGAAGATTAATGATATGTGCAATAAGGGTCTACAAGTGGCCCCAGGTATTCATACATTAATATTTATTAGATTTTTCATACATTTTTTGTGAAAATATGAATTCTTGGAACGTACATCGAAGGCAGCCCTAGTAGGTTCTTTTCAAATTTAGTTAGGTAGGGAGAGGAGCTTGGACAGTGGAGGTGAGCGTATAACGCGCGTTAGTTAAGGGGCCCCTTAAACCTACACCTGGGACGCAAGTTCCAGGCACTGTTGAAGCTCCTCTCCCTGCAACGCGATGGACCCGACACCCGCATGGTGAGTCCATGGAATGCTGAGAAGTTTCGTCTCATATAATATGGTTGAATAAAACTTTTTGTGTAAGTTAGTTAGTGTTGTGATCTGGAGTATTGTGTTGCGATTAGTGTTCGATCGAAGCTTCCGCTTCGGCCACCTTCGGCCAAAAAAACCATCTTCGGCGTAAAAAACCATCGGCCGGGTTTTGGGCCGAAGCCGAAGGTTTCGCCGAAGATCCGAGCAACCGTCGGGATTGATCGAACTGTTATTTTGAATTTTCTAATATTTTCTAAACTGTGCATTTAATTGACCAACCAACCAACCTAGGTCAACCTAGTTTCGGCTTAGTCGAGTAAACAAAGACTGATTGATTCGTCTGATTGTGATTTATGAATTACTTAATAAATAAATGATTATTTTTTTAAGAATAAATCACAAACTTTTTTTATCATCTTTGAATGCACTTCCATATGAGACAGTCAATATAAATCTTCAATATTGAAGTTTCGAAATAATCTATAACATTAATTGTAGCTTGTAGACAATATTGAATAAAATTACTAAGAGCTTACAAACCTTTGGCTTCGGCGTTTGCCGAAGATTGCGGCGATTGCCGATTAATCGGCTTCGGCCGAAAATAGATCCTTCGGTCGGACACTAGTTGCCATACAAAAAATAAATAAATAAATATCTTAAAATGTTATTTGCATTATAACATTTATCAACTGATTAGTTACTTTAAGTATTTAAAAGAGTTATTATATATTTAACTAGCTTTTCCGCGTGGAATAGTGATGTCCGGCAGATTTTTGGTTCTTCCCACATAGTTCCCGTTCTTTCGGGGTTTTCGGAATGGTTGAGTTCCCGTAGAATTTTCAGGATAAAACCTATGTTTTTTTTATTCACAATGATTTACTCTCAACCAACAACATATTTATTTGTTTATTTGAATAAAGATTAATATTATTATGTTGATACATCTTAAACAAGTTATTTCGACCAAATTAGGTACCATAAAAACGGTTTTTGTGAGTTAATCTTAAAAGATAGACATATACTGTCGCGGACTGTTTTTTAGATCATTAAAAGAGCTATTATTCTTTAATACATATTTTTTGTGTATCTTGAACCGTTTTCACGGCGCACGCAACGGAAGGCTTCAAAGATGAAATAATTTCTCCCGTTTTTTACACATACCACTATATCTTTGTTCCTACTGATCGTAGCGTGATGTTATATAGCCTACAGCCTTCCTCGATAACTGGACTATCCAACACAAAAAGAATTATTCAATTCGAACCAGTAGTTTCGGAGATTAGCGCTTTCAAACAAACAAACAAACTCTTCAGCCTTATAATATTAGTGTAGATACATAGATTTCTATGAATTATATACGCCAGTAAATTTACTAGCTGTTATATGAATTTGGTATGAGAATCATTTAATATAAGTAATTAATTCCTTAATGTAAATTTGTTTTATGTCCCAGGTGATCTAAGAGTCTTATCTAGCTCTGTTCGAGGCTGTGAAAGACGAACTCGTGCTGTGGCGAGTATTTCTGGTGATTGTTCTATTACCTGTCCGCCACCATCCCTACTAGGCCTCTCTCTACCGCTACTTGACAACTCTGCGGCAGTTCTAGATAATGTGGCTGCGATTATTATGATGTGAGTAAACCATTTTTTTTATTTGAATGGCACATCAACAGTACATACATTAAATACTTAAAACTAAACATTTAAAACTGACACTTATCTGATGTGTGTACCAATTATAGACGTACACAGAACTGCTGAAGATTACTGTCTAGCTGCTTAATAATAATTCTTATTGATTACAAAAATATTATAAAAAAATAAAGATAACAAAGAATAAAGAATATCACAAAACAATCAAGATAAACTACTACAGCTAAATTTTACTAACAGGACTTTACAAAAACATCACAAATTTTTCGCATAAATTTCGGTAAGGAATAGGAAAAACATCAATATTTTGAGTCAATGCTCACAGATCGTTATACTGGCCACATATTCTATTTATCGGGGAATATTTATCAACATTTTAATTAGAACCGGTAACAACAAGTATATCTTCTATCCTTATTCTCTTGTCAAATAAGAGCCATTATTACTAGACCTGTCTTTACATGTACTGGATAGTTTTATGCCAGTTCTAGATGAACCGGTCATCATTATAATATTGAGTTAGATATGACGTCATCAAATACATTATTGAATAGAAGTGTTCTTTATGGGCGCATGAGGAATTTAATATACTGGATATTAAGTTGATCGACAAAATGACTGTCGTTTAACGTTTTTCTGAGTAGAAGTATGCTATTTACTTAAAAGTTTCAATAAGATAATAAATATAAAGATAATTGTTGCTAGTAACGATTTTCAGACATTTCTTTGTTGATTTGAGCTCAACATCGTGTGTAGTGTAATTCAGCAACTAGCAGTTTCCAGTTACTATTTATTTATCATGTTATGTACATGGCTGAACTCTCAGACACAGTTAATTCAACATATCATTGAGCTAATGTTTCTCTTGATAAATCAACAGCTTCTAAACGTAATGTGGGTCTGTGGACCCAGTTATATTTTTAAGTTATTAATTATTATAATTATAATTAATATACAGAAAAAGACTTGGTAGCTTGTTATGAATAAAAAAAAGTAAAATAATAAAAAAGAAGACGTTTTCCATTATGGCGGAATTGACACGTCTTCTTTCTAAAATAATTAAATCAACTAGGAATTCTATGATGATATTTAAAATTATCCGCTCATTTGTGGACAACCAGAAAAATATAATTTTGCCAAGAGTGCTTCATCTGCAAGTAGTTGTAAGATGACAGTACCTTGCAAAACATTTTTATCTTTAACGAAATAATCACAATAATCAAAATAACTAATAAGGACTTGTTATTCAACAAATTCTTAGAATTATTGCTTACAAAAAATATAAATAAATTTACATAAAATCCTTTTATTAAACAATCAGTTAAGTCAGCACCTTGTTATTAATAAACAAGATATAAAATATTAATTCGTACCAACCTTTGTATTCCTTTTCAAGAGAATACAATTTAACACATGAAGTATATGGAGAGGAAATCCATGAAGATTTTTATTATATGAAATGTACGAGAAATACGTTAAATTATTTTAAATACACATCACACGCGTTGTATTATTTACATAATTTAATGAAGATTTCTCAATGTGTGTATTTTTACTATGTAATTTTTTATTGATACTGAGTTGCAATTTGTTATTTTATGAATATTTCTCAAATTTTTCATTTTAATACACATTATACATCAACTTGTTATTTCCGATTAAAACTGTCATAACGCCTATGAAATCTTTACCACAAGGTGATTATAGATAATTTAATTCAACTCATTATATGTTATGTTTATATACTATTCTATTTAATTATTTTTAAAATAATGTTTAATTTGTCTCGTAATTATTATTATCACATTTCATTTAATTCAAAGACCTTATTGAATCATTTATATTTTTTTCTATTAATTTAGAACATTAAGATCTTCAACAACGTATTCTATTTATTTATACCACGCCCTCTTTAATGAAAATTTTCCATACCTCACTCAACATACAGGATATTCTTCAGTTGTTTTTCTACAAAATATTTATTATTTTTATATCCATATACATTTTTATAATCAATATAATATTTTATCCATCAGGTACAAGAAGATCTTCTCGAGCATGAAATCCCGAGCCGGTCATATATCCCCGCGTTACAAAGAGCACATGCATCTATTGAAACTGTACACAGCTGACTTCGTGAGCTGTTTCTACGAGGAGTTCCTCAGTAATCGCAATAAAGGAATAATGTTCAGTCGACTTCACCCGCAGTTGGTGAACAAGTTGATAGACAGGCTGCCCGGCGTTGAGGCGCAGTTGAGTGTACGGAACCATTTGGCGTTAGCGCCCTACACGTACATGCAATTAGAGGCCATAGACCACACGGAGGCGGATAATAGACTATGGTTCGATACAGTCGTGGCCCAGGAGTTCGGCAACTTGAGCCAGTTCATCATGAAGGCGATGCCGGAGATGCGTTGATATATTAATCACAATGTGCTAGTAAAGCTAGTTGTTTTTTGATATACTTTAATAATGAATCTTAAATTATGTGACGCTATTAGGATGTGTAATTTTGAATATATATTATTGTGATATGAATTATGGATTGATTAAACGATATCGTTTTGATGATGGCTCTTGTTTAGTTTTATTTTTATCTTCATATCCGTAATTATTTTTACCAGTAGTACCTATTGACTTTATGCAACACAAACCAATTTAAAATTTCGTAGTTTAACCACATTCACTAATTTAAGTTTTTTTATCATTAAATGATCTTAAATGATGATGTCTGTGTCAAGTATTTAGCTCTTTAAGATTTTTTATTATTAAACAACATAATCTTGACGTAATTATATAGGGTGGCATCCGGAGGTTCCAGGAAAACTACGAAACATACTTATATATGTATATTAAAATACGAATTACATGTTAAAACTTATAACCTACACCTAAAAGTACATGATTGCCCCGGTGTTAGGATGACAATGGCATTCTATTGCTTGTGTGGTATGTGGAATCTTCTGGTTCACACGGCTAGGTGTTGGTTCCGCGGAGTCAGCGGCTTCACTCGTTATACGATATTTTACCGAGACAAAGATGTCGCCCCGGCGATGTTCTTTTTTTTTCGTCATATGTAGCGCGTACGTAACAACGTTACGGTTCCTTACCTATGACACACATATTCTTTTATTAATATTAAACATATTCTTCAACAAAATTTGAAAATAAATATTCCAACCATTTTAATGAAATCTTAGTCTCGTAAAACTTATATGAAATTTTTATTATAGCTAATGTAAAAGAAAAGTGTCTGTAGGAATAAAATTTTCGTCACAAGCTACAAGTACACGATAAGTTATAGGAAAGTTTTGATTCAATTGCTTCCAATTCTGAACTATGTCCAAACTAAATCGACAACTGAACTTACTAACTATGGCTAAGTAAGAACTAGCTTTTGCCCGCAACTTCGACCGTGTGGACTTCGGAATTGGCTGGAGAGAGAAACGAATATTGTGCAGTTAAAATATATATTTTAGGGTAACCATATTGCAGTGTCATTTATAGTGTTACGTGAATTCTTACGAAATACAAATTACATAGTTTTCTTAGTAATTACATGGAGATTCGTAATAAATCACGCACTACATATTATTGTGAGGAGCTATATAATTGGAAAATATCATTAAGATGGGTTCAGTAGTTTTAGTTTTAGGGCAGTAATTAAACATATACTGAAAATTATTGTTAATAAGATGCGTGGGATAAAAGAAAAAAATATAAATTCTAGGATTGACTTCATCTCCATACAGTTCCCTATACCGGAGCTGTAAGTCAAAAAATATAATCCGTAAAATTAATTTAATTACAATCCGTGTCCAACCATCGTTCAAATTTCAATTTGGGTCGAAGTAAAAGAAAACGAGGAATCAAAATAGGTTCGAGTACTCCGGTCCCCAATGATTACAGTTAAAAAAAGCACTCCCAACTCCGCCCCCGTGGGATTGTGAGCGCAAATTAATACAATGTACCTACAATATTCAATGATGTACTATGTACCTGTCCCCGCGTTCATCTCGACCGGCCCAAGGGTGGCTAACCGTTACTCAGTGTACCAATTTTATTTCGTTTATTACAAACAATACAAAGATATCTGAATAAAATTATGTACACCCTATTCCTAGTTCCGTTCGATATTATATAATAATACAGAAATTATTACAATGCATGTCGTATTTCCCGCATATTTCCTTTTATTATATCATCATTGAACATTAAAAAGGGTAGGCGATGAGCACATGTTAGAATTCTTATTGCTTGTACAATCTCACGAACGATAATTCGCTTTCCGTTTTTCTATTATTTCTGATGCTCGTTTATTTCTCATGGTCTGAGGCAGCATAAATTATGGACACAGTGGTTGTGAGTGCCACGTCGCAGGGTGTCGGGCGGCCTCCCTGCGATGAGAAATGTTTGAGGGACTTTTGTACCCTTATGCCCCTTTTTGTGAGCTACAAGGATATTGTGTTAATCGGGACCGATGATGCTTTGGAAATTTCGTAAAAGTGCTTCATAAAAATAATATTTACGTGTCCCGCTTTGATGTTACGTGTCTGGCTTTGATTGTAAATTGAATTACCTTGAAAATATTTTGTTCTTTAACTGTTTATTATAAGGTTAAAAGTCATTGTGGCCACTTCTTCTCTTACTCCTATATAATTGGGTATGTTATACAAATAAAGTTAATTAGTATTTATAAGTAATATTTTTAATAACTACTCTAGTTCTTTTGCTTCAAATCAATTATTTTTATGCGGTATTTCATGAAGAGAAAATAAGTAATAATGATTGTATTCCGCATCTAAAACAATAAGGTTGTTCTGTAAGGGACGTTCAAAAACAGAAATAAAATGTTATTATGTCATAAGTGTAATCTGTGCCCGGCGGCTCCTGCAAATAGTGGCTAAAAATATGCGTAACAATTGATAGGGGAGATATACGAAGGACAAAGTAGTTCATATCTGGAACCCTTTGTTCCCCTCCGCTTTCATCCCTACTCAGAAATCGCTCCGTGAGTTGTATTTTTGATGCGAGGTACCCTACTGGTCTGGTTTCAGCCAAATTATGCTAAAGGGTGAAGTGTAGTGGCTTTTTATTTTTTGCTCCGAAGCGAAGTGAGATATTAGAATTTAGATGGTATAAATCTTAAAAGGTACATAAACCTTGACTTCTAGTGTTTTATTTTCGCAATTTTTAAATTATTTGGTAATATATACCTACACATTTCTTTGTGTATATTTGCGCATACATTTTTGATAACATCAAACCGATAACCCAACCCTCTTCCTCTAAATCCCTGTCCTGATTGAATTACTCAAACTTATCCATAATCCTACATTGAAAGATGTATACTTAGATATAAATCCAATCTAATACTTCCGACTTAATACCCAAGTTATTACCTGTTGCAGGGATTATATTTAGTTCAGAGCCTGCAAGGAAGCCTACTATGTTCCCAGAGGAACAAAATTATGTGCCTTTCAAAGAAGACTTAATAAAGTTGAGAGTCTCAAGGAAATGTTTTGCTAAAGACACTAATATGAGTCTTAAAATGAACTTCCAATGTAGGTACTACCAGCCTTTTAAAAATATAGAAGCAAAGTTACTTATATAATATTTAATTCTTTATGTATATATTTTTTGACACTATTACTATAAAATCAGAAAACACATTAATATTTTCCTAATACGTTAAGGCGACAAAAAATATCCAACTGTTTGAAGGGACGAGCAAAGGGTCTAAATTGCTATTTAAACAAACTGCGTTACAAAACGTCAAATCTCCCATAACCTCTAAGATCAGTAAACACAAGTCGTGTCGCTGCGAGCTCTTGTTCCCGGCTGCTGGCTGTATCCCAATCGATAAAATTCGGGCCGTCTCCCCCGTCGTCATGGCAACGCGCAGGCTCCCCCCCTCCCCCCACCAGCCGCCTCACCGCTACACTACATCCCAGAGAACACCGATGTTGACTTAGACGGATAGGGTAAGAGGCTTATTAATGGTTTTATGTTACTCTATTTTCCCTAAAGAGATTTTGTTTTTAAAAATTGTTTTTGAATATTTCTTTGAAATTTTGTTTTTTATATTTAAAGATAGGTATTTATGTATTTTTTTTTAAATTCTGTAGAATATTGTCATAAGCGGCGTTGTCTGTGAAATGTGGTACGCTGTAAATAATGGCGGTATATTCTCAGTTACGACGGCCATCTTGCCAGACCGCGTGACGCTGTTTTAAATTGGGCTCGTATTGTACGTCCTCGGAGTAATATTACATTTGTAATGTTTATTATGAAAATATCTAACAGAGATTTAGATGATGTTCTGTTTTAAGTATAAAATATATATATAAAATATATGTGTTTGATTTAATAATTTTAATTCGTCATGTATAGAATTGGTGTATCATTAATTTGAAGCAGATTATTTGATTTTTTTTACGTTTTTCGCATCCATTTCATCCTAGATCCTTGTATAGAATTGTACACGAGTGCATAATCCGGAATAAAATTATATTGAACCAGATAACCGAAACACAAGTTTCGTAAAATTCACTGCAACTGCATTTATAAGTTGTATTTAGATAGCCAATGCCCGACCCGTTCCCTTGAGACCGTAAAGTTTGTCCAGGACAAATTCGGCATACTATTGATTCCTATTTATTATTCCATTCGCATCTTCCTATCCATATTTTAATATATATTTCCATTTAACTTCATAGATTTTTCCACTAATATTTTATCTTAGTTTAGTGATAATCATTGTACGAGACTAGAGCCATCAATATGTATATGTTTACCTTGATAAAGCTTTGTTCTTTTCGTGACTGTTAAAACGTTCCAGGTATAATAAATTTGCACGTAAATTCTTATTATTATTCCGTATCGTTTTAAGTCTTTTGTCTATCGCGGCAGGCAATAAAGCCAGTCGCCTGGAAATGCTGCATTTATACAGGTTCCAAGCTCCTCTAACGCTGGGATTGTTTTATTCTCCGCGCCCGACGCTCCTTTGCCGGGCTCTTATTGCTTTGAAACTAACAAGGTTTTTAATTATTTCCTTTACCGTCACTTACAGAACAGCTTCACGGAGGGCTATTTACAATGAACTTTAATGTTATATTAAATATTGTTATTAATTTTAAAATGAGAATATTTTTTTCGTAATCAATTTTTTTTCGTATCTATTAAAATTCTAAAATAAGATGTTTTTAATGATACTAAAATGTTAGATTAAAGCCTTTGTTAAAACATTTAAAAATATAACTTGAAAAATAAATTGTGGCCCAAAAAAAAAAGAGGAATGTTTTTTCAATTATTTTGTTACGCTATTAGCTTCATAATTTTTAAACTATACCAAGTCCAATCGATCTTGTATAATCTAAACTGTAGTTAAACTTACTAGATTATGTTGAATCAGTTATAAACAATAAATAATATTCTGTTAATAATAATAATAGGTTATTGCACCGTGAACTGGGGCGGCACTAGTGACGCAACGTCATGTCGTTAATGATTTATCGTGTCGTCCCCGTCACGTCCCCCGGAGCGGTGATGGACGCGCTTCTGGGATTAAATAGATTATATTCAACCCCCGGATGGGGTTTTCATTATAAATGTTATGAATTACAATCATATACAACGGAATACTAGGATTTCTTTTATATCGATACTACTAAAACATTATTTTAATTTATTTCGTGGTTATATAGAAAAACTAGAAGACCCAGCGAACTTCGTATCGCTCTATGATCAAGAAATATCTGTTACATTCTTTTTATTTATATTTTTGGAGTTCACCTATTAAAGCCATAAATCTCCGTGTTTTGAAGTGCGACAGAATGATTGACATATTAGTTAGTTGTCAATTCTAATGTCAAAAAAAAAAAACGTTTGTATCAACAACTACAAAAAAACATTGTTTGAGAGAAGTTCAGTGACATACACACTCACAATTATATATATAAAGATTATTAAGTGACGACAAATATATGAACAATACTTACTATCTGTGCCGGCTTATTTATATATGGAGACAGTAGAGAAGAGCTGTCGTGATTATCCTTGCCCTCAGCGGGCATTAATCTAAGCAGAGATTTATAGCGTCTCCGACCGTTATGTATGCCGTAACAAAGCTATCAACCCCTTATATTTATTATCTTTGAGAACCGTCACGTTGTATCATCATTTTAGAGCATTTTTTTATATTTTGTTGCTTATAAATATATAGAATTCTAATTTAAATATATGACACTGACATAGCGAATAGATTGCCATATAAAAAAAAACATTTAAATTAATGTTTTTTTTATATGGCAATATGGTTTAGATACATAATTATGGTAAAGGTGTAATCATACGTACATACGTCTTATTTCCCTGTGAAATACATAAAAATGTAATAATTATTGCGTATTTTTCGTTACAAATCATAAAAGTAGTAAATATAGTATGTATATAGTATAGTATTGTATAATAAACATGATGTAAGTATATTCAATCACGTTTATGGTCTCACGAGCCGGTCGTCTTCAGAGCGAGGCTCATCTGTCGCCTAATGGCGTTATTATCTCAATGGAATGGCCTAAGAATGATTTTATGTTGGATTCGCCATATTTAAAATGGTTTCTTACGTCATTTGCGTGATCCTTATTTGATTAAATTCAAATAATAATATACATGTAGATTCTACGTTTAATTTTAAAACTTTTTTTTGCCTTTATTAGCTGTTCATTGCTTTGACTTTTTCTTATATTTTATGTTGCAGTAGAGCCATGAATTGCAACTTTCATCAGAGACGAACCGCATGATATCAAAGCTGTACCTCAAAGTACATGGAGACAAACTATTGCATTTTTATTGACCATATTAAAACACGCCTCTTCATTCCTTTGTAAATAAATCTAATCTACATATTTTTGTTATATAAATCATGTAATTTGGTTCTCAAAATAAAAATTTTTCCTTACATAATTTACTCATCTTTATGTATTGCAGTTTTCAAAATTCTAATACACATAAAAGTGTTGTATATTTAGTTCGTGTTTGGAGTACGACGAAAACTTTATAGCTTTGACACGAGTCTTATAAGACGAGAAAAATGAAAGGAAATTACAAACTTTCAGAGCTCACTACAAGACTTTACTCCGGATAGAAATCTTGCAACATAAATTGACAAAAATGTCTAACGCAGAGACTTAAAGGATGTATGTATTTTCTAAAAGATATTTTTAAGCATCATCTCTTTAATTTGAGTTTAATGAAATCATTTAACTTGTGTTTTAAAAGACGACTTAAGGTAATGACAATTTTTTTATACAATGAATGATGTTTGGTTTTAAAAGACATTCCTTAAAAGGATAAGGTCGATTATGGGTAATGCAATTATAGTTTAATATAAAAGATTTCATATCATTTTATATCTCTATATCTTTCTGCAGTTTACATATAAATGTATTGCGCTAAATAAAAGCAAGTTTCAGTCAGAAAAAATGAAAATAATATCAAAACCATCGAACTAACGTACAGAGGAAATTCGATCACAACAGAGCATGGTTTGGTGAAACAAGTTATTAATTTCCAGCAGTGTTTCGCCTCGGGCGTGTTCTATACTATATACATAGTATTATATTCGATTGAGTATGTAAAGTTAGCTGTTGCTGTTGTTATATATCTGGCACGGACGGATGTAACTATTGGCAACGTCTGGCCGCCCGCTCAATGATATGCTTCATACCATTCTATTCTTTATTACTATGTATATAGTGGTTGAAATCGTATGAGAACAAAATGTTACGATTGTATCCTGTTGTCAATTGCATCACCTCTTGCCACCTGATTCCCGGAGCCGGGGGACTGTTTGCCGCCTGCTTGCTTTGTGCCCGCTTAATAAGTACATTCAGCCATGTTGGGGACTGCACACGACAGCGTTGATGTGTAGTAATTACTTTCAGAGCCGATTGTTCGATAACCATTGTGTAAACGCTCCGAGCTAAATCGGACATCGGATTGATTCGACCGATACAAAGGACGCCACTGTAGCGGGTGTCGCTCGCTATATTTTTGGAGTTTTTAATGTAACAGACTGTTCATCGCTGGGAATTTAATGTTTGAATCACTTTAATTTTTTAACAACGCTTCGTCCCGAGTTCTTTTTTTTTTTGGAAATATGCTGAAGTTTAAAATTAATGAGTCTTTTAAACGTTGTGTGTATTCATAAATAATTGAAGTAGGTTTTATATTATGTATATCATGAAACCTAATAAACTATTTCGTATCTATTGTTTGGTTAAATTAAAAATGTCGTGTTCGTCGTTACCCAAATCACTTTAAATTCGTAATACAATCATAGTGTTCGAACACAATGGTAGTTTAACACAATACATCTACTATTATTTGTTCTATTTGTAAATAATAAATCAATACAACAACCAAATCCAATGTCGTTTCTAATTAGTCGGAGGGTGTTTTTTAATCACGTTTTTTTTTCGGACACGCCGCTCTCCGTACCGACGTCACGTCCGAATACAATGCTTTTTATTTTATGCATTTTTTTTAATTCGACTTTACATTTAAATTTGGAACAACAGTAAATTACTTTTTTTTAATATTACTGTAATTCAATATTACATTTAAATTTAGAACAACATTCTACTCACATTCTTTAAATATTACTGAAATTCGACATTACATTTAAATTTAGAACGACATAATATTTATTTTCATTTTAAATGGTACTTTATGCTGCAATCGACCTAATTTTTATTTTAATATCGAAATAACCATTATTAAATGGTGCTTTGTAATGAAATTTTCGTATATATTACATTATACGCTTCCCGAAGCAGGCTTTACTTTGTTATGAGCAAGAAAGAAATTTTCTTTTTACATGCTCAAGTAGTGACTCTTCCTGAGTACCAATTTATCGCTCCGATGAAATCGCAAATATATTCGAGACTATTGCTAGGAAAATTGTTTTTGTTCACTTTGATACTACGTAGAGCCGCTACGGTGCTACAGAGCTACGTCGCTACGGTACAAGGATAGATCCTGCATACAGAAAATATAATCCGAAATCCTTTTATATAAATAAAAAAATAGCATGAATTTCTGAAATTCATTTCGAATAGGTACGTACATTCATTTAAATTTCTTGAGGTGTTGGAATTCGAATGATAATAAAATATAATGTTTCTATTTTATTGTTACACCTTTCCTTCGTGAATATTCAAAATGACAAAATCTGTATTTAAATAATGCATTTTGTATTATAAAGCACAATAGAATGTTGTACGGAATTGCAACATTATTACATTTTCTTGGAGCATCGCTGTTTGAAAAATATGCAAGAGATTCAAGGAACTCAAAAGAACGTATTCTTGAGCTCAGCTTAAGAGAAATATTGTATACGTGTATGTACTCCGAGGAAATATTCCTTTGTAAACAACCTTCGAACATGTTATTCATCACACTACAGTACGTGTGTGTGTGTGTGTGTGTGTGTGTATGTGTGTGTGTGTGTGTGAGTGTGTGCGTGTGTGTGTGTGCGTGTGTGTGTGTGTGTGTGTGTGTGTGTGTGTGTGTGTGTGTGTGTGTGAGTGTGTGTGTGTGTATATATGTGTGTGTGTGTGTGTGTGTGTGTGTGTGTGTGTGTGTGTGTGTGTGTGTGTGTGTGTGTGTGTGTGTGTGTGTGTGTGTGTGTGTGTTAAGCCTGGAGTAGACATGAAACATCAATTGTAGATTTCACGTCACGCCTCTTGATTATTGGTTGACGTACACATAACATTGGTTTATTTTAAATTATAAAGAAAGGATACGTTTTATATAGGAAGGATATACAATATCTTATTGGTATAATTATATTATTTTAAAGTGTACTTTTGAGTTGATGACCTAAATGACGCTCAGCAAAATTTGTTGTGACATGTCTTTATTACTTCCCACCCCAATTTTGGTCCCAAGCATTCGCTTTTCATCATGACTATTTAAAAACTTAATCTGTTAAAAAACATATTTATTCAAAATAAAAAAATGCGACGTTTTGTATGCAAAATAAATCAAATTTAATAGGGTATAGTATATTGCTCAAAATAGAAATTCTTCGGGTTTAAAAGCACAGCTAAGGCTCGGGACATGCGTCTTTGAGGTTGTCGGGGATAAGCGTGTGTTCTATCTATAATGCGAGTATAACTAATTATGTTGACACAGCCCGATACTAGCAGTTCCGTCATCGCTAAGCCTTTATTAAATTCCCGTTCTTTGTTCAAATCGAACATTTATCCATAGTCCCCACTTACCGAACTTTCAAGCATCAGATATCTACAAACGAGTGCTGCGGTTCAATTGAATCATTCTAAGAGATTATTTCTAATATTGTCTCACCTACAGCGAGCACGAACAAAAAGCCCGTTCCTTGTACGAGGGCAAATGTGCTGCCATCTCGCGCGTTGCTAGGATACGCGCCGATCAATACAGCCTCCGCCGGGCCGCCTAATTAGAGTCCCCCTCGCCCCTCGCCCCGGAGCACCCTCCCCCCTCTCCCTTCCACCCTCTCCCCTCCAACCCCCGCAGCCTCCAGCCCGTGGAAACTTCTCGCTCGCCCGACCGCACGGCTGCTGGATTTAAATATCGGATGACAGAATTCACATTCAAATGTTTCTATTTGCTGTTTCGCCACGAACTAAATATTTATTTATTGTTTAAGCTGTCTTCATTGTTCAAGTGTTGCACGTTACTTCAACTGAGATATATTTAACTGAAGCTCTGATTAAAACGTAAAATTAGCTCTATTTTTTTATTTTTGTTATGCTCAGTTTTAATCCGTCATAAATATTAAACTCATCACTTATTTGCGGGGTTATTTTTAAAGCGGATGAGCTGAAGTATATTTAGCTTAATCTTAAAAGCACTTAACACATGGAGAGTAATTCTGTACATTTTATAGGTTTTTAAAGTATTAGAATACATTTTTATACTGCTATTTTCAGCAGTGTGATGGGTTGTGATAGAAGAAGAATATGGCTGAAATTTTAGAATCATGACTGTTTTTTTAAAAATACTGTTTTTTGATTAAATTATATGTATTTACATTATTGAAACTGAATTTACGTTCCTCATTCAAATCGTTATATCCAAAATATTTAAAGCAATTATTTTATATTCAAGATAAGCAGATACACAGGAGTGTCAGGTGCCAAAAGGGAGATGAGAATGATACGCTTATAGGCGCTAAACTTTCATAAGGGTTTTCATGTAGGCGGAATACAAATTTAGCGATTTACGTAACAAAGACCCATCTGACGTAGTAAGCTTTGCTCTTCATATATGTATTTTTTTGGACCATCGAGTATTTTTCCATATATTTCCAATATAAAGCAAAAAAAAAAGTTAAATTTGATTTATTATCTGTTTCCCGTGTGACAGATTATCGCGTTATGCGAAATGTCATCTGTATACAAGGAGGTTTATATGTATGTCAAGAATTATCTGACACTGTATGTCACATGTCACAAGAGCGATCCTAAACATAATTGAGCCTAGCAAGAGAAATGCTAATAGAGTTGGCAGAATTATAAACTGGCATATTATAAAATATAACAACATTCCTAAAATATTAAGTTAATTTAAATGCTTCAACAGGAATTCGTATTGGAAAGATATACCGATCAATTAATTGTTTTATTACGACAAATGACATATGTCAATTCCTCAAATATGTCGCAAGAACTATTTAATATGATCACGAGTGTAGCATAAAGGAAATATGCTCTGATAGCTTCAATAGCGTTGGTATAATGTAACACATTCTTTTCACACCCCTTTTAAAAGACACCCCTTTCAAACTTCCATTTTCGAACGGAATGTGAAAGTTTTTTCCGGGTGAAAATTTACTTACGGGCAAAAAGGTAGGAATCCTTTTACGGTGTTCTAGTATCACTTGTAACGTTATTGTGTTTTCAGTTCTTTTCATATTTTTCCCGTTAATTTCCACGCTTTGATGTAAATAAATATTATCGTTTTGTAATTTACTACAATTATATTTATTATTATTATAAAAATCTAAAACTTTGGGAATGTTCTATTACAAGCAGAATAGTGGGTTTATTTAAAAAACGAGTCATAAATTTATTAAGTTCAAAATGAACCGAGTTCACGAGGAGAGATTGTTTTAAAAGAGAATAAATAAAAGTGAATTTCCTTTAACATCCTAAAGTCGGTCTTAGGTATAATACCACACCGGTGCCCCTTGACATTTGTAAAGTCGTTTAATACGGCGGCGGGTCCCACATAACTTATATTAAAATTTTAATTCCCAGGAGACAAAGGAAAAATGCATCGTGTTCTTGTGTATTCCTTTTGTGACTACGGAATGCTCTACCCGGTAGAGTTATGTTTGTAATGTTCTAAATAATTTTCCAACTAAAAGTCTGAACTCAGGAGCACATATTTGAAACTTGTTCTCGTCTATTTGTAATTCCATTCCGCTGCCTTTGACGTAAAACAGTCCAGCGATGCATTTATTGGAAGTGTACAGTCGGCTAATAAAGTGCAAAAAAATATAGTCTCTTGCTTTAGAGGAAAAAGATAAGAAAAAGTTTAGCGAACGTCTCTCTGTTTGCGTTTCGCCATATCATTATATACGGAGCGGTTACTGCTGCTTTTAATTAAACTGTAGAAGTTATAAATATTTGCATGCTTTTACATTTAACTTATACTGTAAAGGTATGATTTAAATTCAGTTTAGATAAACATTTGAACATTTATATCTCAAGAGACGGTATAACAAGTTATTCGATCTAATAGGGAATGTTAATTTCTATTTTATTATTAGTCTTTAATATATACATATATAAAAATAAAGTGCATATTATAATTGTAACTAAATTTGGTTTGGTTTTATAGACAGGTTGTAAGAAAAATGCGATTATTGTTTTACTTTTTGTACCTTTTAATTGTACTATTTGTGCTTAGAAATACAAAAAAAAATAATATATGAATAATATTACGTACAAATCCGTAATTACGGAAGGATACTTCTCCCGTAGAAATTTCTCGCATTGTAATCGATCTATCAATAAAAATATAAAATAACAATAGTTTTATTATACCTATATATGTATGATCAACATAAAAGTATCATTCAAACGATTAGAGAGACAATGTCCGTGTCATTAAAATTATAACTGACTAGTTTTTGCCCGCGATTTCGTCCGCGTTAATTTCGTCATTAGTAATATAGATATAGCTGACCGGGCGAACTCTATTCCGTCTTCAATAACCCGGTATTGGTATTTATTAAATTTCTACTGTTTCAATCGAACAGAATGATTGACATATTAGTTAGTTGTCAAGTCTAATGTCAAAAAATCGTTTGTATGGGAAATAGAGAAGGGCTGTTTTTAGGGTTTTTTCGGCAATCATTCCAATTTTTCTCACCTTTTAAACCTTCCCTGGACTTCCAGGAGTATTTCAAGACTAAAATTAGCCAAATCAGTTCAGCCGTTCTCGAGTTTTAGCGAGACTAAGGAACAGCAATCCATTTTTATATATATAGAAGATTATGTTTAAATTATTATTAGTCATATCGATTTTTTTTATTCGATACTATGAATAAATATGTTTTTATTAAAATCATTTAAATCGATAGATTTAAGTTATCAAGTTTTGGAACAACAAACGAATGTATAAGAAAGATAAAATTACGTTTTCATTTCATATAAGTATCATAAAATGTTTGTTTCTGTTTTTTATCTCTTTTCATGAATATAACAGTCTAAATTAATTGAAGTTATATTAAAAATACTTCACTATAATTATAAATATTTGCCAGCGTACATAAAGAGCGTCAGTGAATGTAAGTCTTTTGAGAGATGCACCGGCGCGGAAGTGGGTTCCAGGTCGTCTTTGATACAGCAAACATCGATGTAATTGGATTGCCAGCGACTTGAACCTCATCATCAACTTTCGAAGTAAATAAAAGCAGAGCAAACGGACTACAATGTACATAGATATTGAAGTTTTCTGTCAAAGAAACTATCATTAAATTGATGAAACGTAGAGAAACGTGTTTGTTTTCTTGATGTCTTCTGATGTATTTGTTTGAACAATTTTTTTAGCAGATTCGTATATTATGTAAGTGCTGAAGTTTCTTTCAATTGCAAAAATATTTAAATTATCTATCATATTTATACAATTTATTAGTTTGATAAAGTAAACTTTTGTTAATGTAATAATTGAAGTCACAAATTTAATAATGTTTTTCTCACAAATCATACGCTGTTAATAAAGGTTTTTTTGTCGATATATATTAAATCGTATTTTCATTTTGATCATTATATTAGTATTTATGAATCATAAAAGAAGAAACACAAATTGATACAAAAATTATTAATATTATAATTATTAATATTACACAAACAAAAACATCGTTACTTATGAAGAATCACATAAATAAAGATAAAATTTTGAATATTTTACTGTAACTTACTTATATATAACCCTAAATAAATAACTAAAGTTCAATTTAAAATGGAAAGATTTACAAATGCCAAATGACATTTTTTTAACCTAAGGTCATCCGAAGAAAAATCTCAAAGGTGAATACGACAATAACTAAAAAAGGTAAAAATTATGTTTGTATTAATTCACATCTGTTATACGATGTGATAATAATATCTCAATAAGAGAAGACAACAGCATCTCTTAATAGAAACATTTATACAGATTCTTTCGTTTTTGTATATTAAAGCAATAGCTTTTAATTTTTCTTTATTATTGTATTTCAATGCTTTTAAAAGAAATGAGAACTATGAATTAAATATACACATTATTGTAGTAGAGTACAGTAAAATCCTTGTTTAATGATTTTGTATATTAAAGATCAGAAAGTAACTACGTACATACTAAATCCATAGTTATCTGTGATAAAAATATGTACCTTACTGTTCTATATCAGCAGACTTAACTTTGTAGCATAGAATTTCTTCAAAAACGTTCTTTCGATTAAGACTATTCAAATATTAGTAAATTATGTATACACAAAAACACACACACTCATAATATATATTGTTTGTCTCATACAATCCAGAAGTAAATCTTAAAACCGACCAACGAATGCTATAACGTTCAATTTGTTATCTAGCTATTAGAGAGATCCACTTGTTTTCTATAGACTTTAATGTACGGAATCCTTATGTGATGAAAAATATTTTAGGTATTTGAAAATCCTTATTCTAAAAATGTCAATTTTTTTTTTATACATATAAACGTCTGTTAACTGGTTGGTAAATCATTTTTTATACTTTAAGATAGTTCTTGGAACGTATGTATTTATGGCACTTTTTGCATAGCATGTGTCTACACATATATACATAGAAGTAATAAATTGTCCCCGTTTTATTATATCCATATAGAAGATCTGATCTGATTGGCGTACTGTTATATAGCTTACAGCCAACCTTCACATGGATCTCAAATGCTGAACCGTGTTTTAATATGACTGCTAGTTCTTTATTGTAGAGTCTACAAATAAACATGTTTATAAAAATTATTATAATGCAAAAGGCTATTTCCGTGCACCTAAAAAAATCTGTGAAATCAAAAATAAATTGAGACAAATATGTAACAAAGACCGTCTTTTTCAAAATTTTCTCAGAAGGAATGATTACGGTTCCTCTTTTGCGAACCTTTTATTCTAATAATGATATTTATCCAAAATAGAAACTTAAATTTCAAATACGATTTCAGATAATTAAAGCATGTTTAATCAACAAAACTGTGGCATGTTCGTAATTTCTTAATATTAATGTATTTCTTGAGATTTATAGTGCTTATGAGAAATCATATCAGTAAAATCAGATAGTATAAATATATAATATTTATAATAAAGTATTTCAATTATTAATATACGCTGAGAATTGAGATTATAATAAAGAATAAAAGTAATAAATCTCGCTTGCGGTTTGATTTCGTGCTGACCATAAAATTGCATAGCCATTGGGACATAAATTAAATTTGAAATAAAATTCCAGTAGCAGTAGCATAAAAATGTATAGAAGTTTCTTAGTCAAAAAAGTTTTGACATAAATAATTAGGGAATTGAATAAATTATAATATATGGAATGCTTGTATTTCACGCTTGGTGTGTTATAATTAATTATTCTCTGTTAATAAGAAGCGTGCTATTTTAATGGGTAAGTGAATAAAAATGGAAGTAAAACTATGTAACATAAATAAATAGATGTAAGAATGTTTGTCTTTGATTTGAAACAAAGTTTGGGTATTTTGGTTTGAAAATCATGATTTAATGAAAAGTAAGTCAGTATATATAAAACGTTAGTATTAATTCAAGATATTTTATTTACTCAACTTAAATTATGCTCTCTTTTTAATAGATTGGAAAGAATGATTTAAGTAGATCGAAGTTTCGATAATATCAATTCATTTAAACAGTTCTTTTGTTATCTGTCAATTAGTATTTTGTCTTATAAATCATTTAAATGGCGCCTGTTCATATTATCCGAGCAAGAGAGAAAGAGAAAGAGATAGAGAGAGAGGGAGAAGGAGATAAATTTTGTATAACCTTAGTAATTATAGTTCCAAATACTGTATTCATAGTTTTTATCACGAGGGTTTGGGTCTTTAAAGGTCGGATTGGATATAAATTATAATTAGCAATTTGTGATTATTTTATAATGTAACTAAAGAATTAAATTAAAACTTTGATTGATTGTTAATAGAAAAAAATAACGAAACTTAACATTATATGCTGTAAAAAATGTGATTGGTTTATAATGGGTTTGGTTGGAATAGTTAGTGCATTCTCAATTCCTGTTCTGACGTAATATCTGGCTATAAAAATGGTTGTAAATTTAATTTTACACCGTGACTGATTTACTTTTAATTTACTGCTAACCTTAATGTCTAATTGATACATTATTTCCTTTTTAACTATTTTATTGTTCCGTTAAATGCATGTTTCATTTAACTAAGAGACGTAAACAAATTTAAATGAATGTAAACAATATATATATTTCACCATTTATTAGAATTTAACTTAATAAGTACATTTAACATAATATTCAAATATAAATCTCAAATAATAACATAGTTTGGCATTCATAAAATTTTCATTCAATATACAAACAAATAAAAAAAAATCGACAGCTATTTAAAATGACCTGTAATTTCAATAATTTATATATATATTAATATATATATAATAAAACTAGTATTAAGAGATCAAAACTTAAATCAGGTAACAACAACTTTGTTATAAAGTTGAAAGGTACAACTTTAAATTTTAATTTAATCTAAGTAATCTTTACACCTACCGTTGCCGATCACCGTTATCACAATCATTAGTTAAAAAATTTAAATACTCAATATTGGCATAGCTTCATAAATTATATTAAATAACAAACTATTTAAGAACAAAGCTTCATATTACATATTAAGAAATATCATTTCAAATCTATCAGAAATAAATCAAACATGAGTCCCATTTTAAGTGATTAATTTCATATATATACATATTTTTTCTAATATAGATATTAAGTGCAAAGATATAAAGTTAAATTCAGTTTGACTCAATAGCACCAATGTTTTGGTTATAATTAACAAGTAATATATGTATATAAACAATAATAATAAAGATTGATGATTAATAATATACATAATATTTTAAAACACATATACAATATCCATGCTTCATTTGAGTCTAAACTATACCATCTCCAAGATCACAGCCCGATAACCGATTTAATTAAATAACACAATTTAAACTATAAAGTATAAGTAACATTAAAAAATAAATCTGATAAGTACTTTAAATTAGCTACAATTAAGTATTTGAACGAATGGAATAATATAAATATCATTTCGAGCTATGCTCTACATATTTAATTTAACAAAATATTTTACTACGCGTAAATTATTTGAGTCTTAAAAAATATCTACTTATATCGTCGATATAAAATTCCGTTGTTAAGTCATAGTTGTTATATTTTTGCGATGCAAAACGTATTTTTCGTATTGTATATCTATCTACGTTATACAGGTTGTATTGTTCACGTTCAATAAACCTGAGGCTCTTTTGGGTGGGCCACACCGCGACCTTCGCTTATCACTAAGTTTCTCAGGGATCATGACGACTGACACATGAAGTGGTAGAACTGATCGAAGTTCACCGGTTCCAGTTCGTAGTCTTTTTCTGATTTGTGGAGCAGTTCTGGATTCCGCTTCAAGAAGTTCCTCACCCAATCCTCGCCCGCCATTCTAGTGTTGGCGTCGAAGGGATGGTTTAGATTGTTGTCTTCGGCGTATTGGAATGCCAGTTCTCTTATATCTCTCCGGGATACTCCCATGAAGTATTTCTCCATGCTCTTTATGTAGCCAACCAAGTCTTTCTCTTGGCTCTCAGTGAACACGCGTCTGTAATGCCCCATCATGGGTTTCGGATCGTCTGGTTGCTGGTACCGTACTTTGCTCGCTCGTCTCTGTAGTGTTGATCGTGGTATGTGGTACGTCCGTGCTGCCAGTTTATATCCCATCTTGCCAGAGACCACGGCTGCCACAGCTTTGGCCATCTCTTCTTCACTCCATGATTGGCGTCCGCTCATTCTTTCGTATTTCCTTACCATGACTGTCTGGAAATATAATATATTATTAGATTTAGATGATATCAACGAATTCATGGATTCAGGTTGTTGAGCAAACTTGCTTAAGTTAGGAAGTCTTGCGTAACAAGTGTCGCAATGTATTGAGGTCATGATCACTTTGAACTATACAATATGGCGAGGTATCTAACGAATAGTTGTCGTTTTTAAATCATCAACGCCCACACGAGATGTGTTTATGGTTAATTAATAATTAAAATAATTATAATAGATAATCACATTAAGTAACGCTACATTTTTGATAGTAATGAACTATTAATATTTAATTTGTTTCAGATATTCAAAGGGCCATTATAATAATTGGTAATGACATACGGTAATCATGTTTTAGGTAATTTAATTAAGAATAAAGTGTGCGTAACATGTTCACTGAAGGGTAACAGCGCTTTATCTACCGGTTTTGTTAGCAATGTCGAGTCGAGGTAAATGGCTTGAGGTGTTTAAAGGCTATCTTCAATGTTACTACAAACAGTATACATAATGTATGCAAATTCACACTATCTGTATACGAAGCTATACACACCGGCTGTGATGTTTCAAGAAAAATAATTTAAATAATATAATAATTAATATTTTTTCACAATACAAATAACTGATCCTTTTTTATTTCTAACCTTCACACCTATTGTTTTGTTTTATTTATAATATATCCGATAGAATTTCTTTTTTGTATATTTTTTACAAGATGTGTTTTTGAAATAAATATCTTAATATTGAATATTTCAAATGAATATTTAAAACAGCTACCACAATAACAAAGTATGAAATAATAAGAGTACGTAAGTACACCGCTGACGTAGTTTCAATATATAATGTATAATTATAATCTCTGCTGTGACGTATTAAAGGTGATATTCGCGTAGAGTACAATGACTAACCGTAACCGTGTTGGCGACCGCACACCGCATCGCTCAACAGCTGATAGTGAACACAGTACGCGATAAAAAGTGGCGTGTTTTTCCAGTGCGATAACTCGGGAAAGGAGACGGCGAGGGCCCCTCAGCGCTGCACGTTGTAAACTGCAATAATGCCTCGGAATATGACCCACAAATTACGTGCCTTAAACATACATCAGAGGCGGTAATGACTAGTGTCATTTGCACGTCGTTTGTGTTTCACTCTGTTGCCAGTTAAACGGGAAATACCATTCGATAGTTGTTGACCGTCCTTGAGTAACCGCGTCTTATTTTTTTTATCTGTTAAATCGACTACATACGTCGACGGGCGGTCAGCTGTTTTGTTCACTATAAACGCGTCTATCAACATACGTCCCGTACCATGTATAAATTAACTTTTTTAAGCATTCGTATCTTTCATTTGACTTGTAATACATTGCTCTATAGAGACCTGACGCTTTCAGTTCGAGATACTTCAAAGAAGCAATGGATTGCGCACGCTCTCGGAGGCCGAGATCGAGATGGATACTGAGACGTCACTGTAGCGGCACGAGCACAGCGTGAGCCGAGGTTACTGTGACGCGTGACTTGCAAGGTCCCCGCTGCAGTGCACGATGCGCGCCAAGGTTGCCACGCTCTTCATTAACGAAAGATAAATCAACGCCCTGCAACTACAATGGGATCGCAACGAAAATGTTGAGAGAGAGAGCGCGCATCCATGATGTCGGAGAGGCAGAAGTGAAACCTGCAGCGGTCCGCGGTCATTACCGCCGTGCAGCGACAAGAAAGTGGTGGAAACGTAACGTAAGAATAAACGGGGGTGTACTCACGGGTGGTGTCGGGTGGCTCGGGGTTGGAGGGTGAGTGGTGCGGAGGAACGGGCGGAGCGCGGGCAGCAGGCGGCAGGCGGCAGGCGGCGTGCGGCTAGACTGACGGCGCGCGCGACACTGGCGCGGGGCCCGTCTTGCCCCGCCGCGGCCCTGGCGCGTGACGTCACCTGGCCCAGGGCCCGGCTGTACGACTATTTTTGTCCACGACTAATTATCGCCTTCCTTTGTCCAATCATATGTTGTACACCGAAAAGGAAATCTGTTTTTATGCCTACGTGCATCGACGGTGCAAAATATGCGATGTTTATAAGCAACATTGGACTAAATCGCCACTGTGAAAATTACACATGACTCATTTAATTAACTATAACGACTTGTTTTGTCAACAAAAATACACTCCGATATCTTGACTCTGACATCGCAAAACCACACTCGTAGTAAAAACAAAGAGATGCCCTCATTTAAAAATTGCGTAATGGTGATATCATGTACTTTCAAACGTAACGTATCTGAGCAGTTATAATAGAGTAATGAATCAAATAATATTGTTATACCCTCTAAAATGAAAATTTCGTATAAATATATCTATACTAAAAATATTTTTTTTTTCTCTAGAGAAAAAAAATATATGTCCAACAGAGTTTTTCACAGGATAATGTGTAACAAATATTTGTATATGGCAACATGAGTTGATCATGTTAAAGGACATTGTTAATAACTAAACACAGTCCGGTCTCTTACGAAATTGAGCTTTGAAATTGAGCCAAATGCTTATCGTGCAGTGACAATGAAGAAATTCCGTATAAACACCCGCCACAATGACTCACTGGTTTATCCTCTGCTTTCCCTGGACCATTTAGATAAAGTATAATTCCCCTCTCGACAGTCACGTTTTCCAATATTTTAATTTCCAAGATTTTAATGCTAATTTATTTCGAAATCGAAATAAAATGCCTAAATTCTTCAGCCACTACGTAAACATAATATAAAATGCTTTTTTGTTTAGACTCCTTTGATAGAGAAAATATATTTTTGAAGGTAATTTTCGTGGATATTTTTTATAACAATTCAAAACAGCACGGAACCTTGTACAAAAAAATGATTTTCAAATAAATTTAAGTCTATAAATTAAATAACCAAAACTCACGAGAAGCAAATCAAATCGACTTTTGGCTTTTTATAACAATAATTTAAAAAAATAAATAACAAATGCTATCCCATAAATGAATGAATTAAGATGTCAAATTATTTTTTTCTATACTTAAGGAATATTTACAACATTTCCACAATAGGTACATCATAGAAATATGGTACTGATTCAGTTTATTACGTTTATTGGCTTGCTCAACAAAAATTTGGGAAAGAAGGCTTAACACGTGTTGTTACAAATCATATTATTAATATCAACAGAAGATATCCACAACAAGTTAATACATACATGTATACATAATACATGATACCGGCTCTGGTATTCTAAAATACTATCAAAAATATACATTCTAAACAAATTTATTACTTTGTCTCCATTGACCACATCCTAATTTTATTGTATGAGGATATTTTATATACATAATAAACGAAAAAATATTGCAATAAATTTTACCAATTACATCCATTTTTTTTGATCTCTCATATTGTAAAATCGTTATTTCTGCAAGAAAAACCGCCAGGCGAAGATATAGCATATATACGACGAATAAGTTATTTTTTTCCTTCCTAGTTGCATTCGTTTTTTGTCCTCGATTTTAAACGATTTAAGCTTGTAGGTTATTATGAGGTTAGTTATTTTGTTTTCCAGATTATTCTGACGTAAAGCAACAAATACTATTTTTAATTTAAATAAATAATAATTAGTTTTCTAAGCGAGTGAGCAAACCTCTAAGAGTGATATAATTTTTGTGACCTAGATCTCCTTTTGTCTTTTTTCATTAAGGTTGTAGAAAAAGAAATATTTTATTATGCTATCGGCCAAAGAATTTTAAGATAATTCAATACGAACTACAGAAAAAAATGTAATTCTTATAAATTCATTAATTTTGATGATTTATTCTCAAATTATTTGCTCAATTTCTTAGTGATTTCAATACTATATAGTACAATTGAGAAGTTCTATAGAACTATCCTAATTGTTGCCTAAATTATATCAAATGAATGCTACATTAGTAACAGGTATTCACTAATTGAGGTAGATTGTTGCAATTCCCATTAACACAGCATTTTAAGTTTTATCAAACTATCCTTTTTACGCAATTACACTGTAGTTTAAAATGGAGTTGTGTTGTCAACGTCTATGTATGTAGAAATGTATTGAATTTTTTTCTCTTATCGTCCAAATGTCTTAGTTTGTAGCTTAGTAATAGTCTTTATCATCAAATATGTACGTTTTTTGGAAGAAAAAAATATTCATAAAACTTTCTAACTCACAGTATTAAGGTGACGTTTCGAATAAAACATTATATTATGTTGCTAAAAATAATATAAAATTATAATGAGTTAACTTTAGGTATGTCCTAAGCATTACAAAACAAACATAAACCAAAAATGTATAAGAAATTTACGTAAGTTTTCTTAAACCGTTAAAGAATTTAAAAGGATGTTACATATATGTATGACTTTAAAACTTAAAAATCATTTACCTAATAGGAGATATTAATGCGATTCACAAAACACAATGAATTGTAATGTACCCATTATATGTATAAAGTATCACTAAATATACTGTTTTATATTTTTATTTCATAGAAACAGCAAAAAAAGTCGTACTCAAACACATTTTTACGAGTATAATACAAATATTAAATATAATATTTAAAATGTTTCATTATATTACATTTATAATAAATATGCATTTTTTTATTTGATTTTATTTTAATGCTCTTTTTTCATATTTTCTTTTTGGCTAAGTAACAGGAAAACGAATCATAATACTTCAGATGTCGTACCAGAATAATGAAATTATGTACAAGGGGAAATAAAACGTAAGAAAATACTTTGAAAATTATTTATTTAAGAATATTATTAAAATTATATACCTAATTCCTGAAACATAATTATGTATATATTTTTTAAATTAATGGCATATTATTTGTTTTTGATATGTCTTTAAGGGAAAATGCTATTATTTCAGAAGTACTAGGCTAGATAATAGATAGGTCCGTATGTTAGAAATCATTTATCAGTACATGAGGTTTAAGCAAAGAGATTTAGGCCTTTTAATTTTTTTTTAAATATAAGTCTTTAAATTTTTATATTTTGAAATAGTTATTTATGTCAATTAAGATGAATTAAACACACTCACTCACACACACACACAAACACACACAAGCATACACATATATGTCTTAGTTGAAAATCACTAAATGATAATTTCTGAGCTTCGTAACTATTCATTTATACTATTGAATTGTTCTAATTTATCCTTAGCCCATAAAGTTAGATATCAGGTTATCGATAATCACAATTTATCTTTAAAGATATCATTACAGCTATCTTAATTACACGATAATTTTAGGATATCGATAGTTTACATCACTAGCGATGTGATGTTTACATTCATTATCGATAGTACCGAGTACAGTATCGATGATTTCCGTTGATTGATTAATTATTCATCTGTTAATATTCGTTGTCGATATATACAGATCGTAATTAAATTAAATTTATATATTTAAATATATTAAATTCTTTAAAGTCTTCTTTTGCATATTATAAAAATTATTTTTATACATTAAATTATTCCAAAAAGAAGTTAGACATAAGTACTTCGTTATTCATTACGGTTTTACTTATATATATTATATTTCTTTATTGTGAACACAAACACCGTAGTATAAATTCTTTGAACGTTGCTCATCTCAAAAGTGGTGCAACATTTACACACACAAAGAAAAAAGCGCATTACTCACATAGTTCTAGCTTGTTATAGAACATACTTGAAGTTACAATAAATCAGTAGCATATAAACTGATTTTGTTAATTTATTTTTGAAATATGTATGACGTCATCATTTTTAGGGATACTAACGATAATTTGCAAACATTATAATTGTTTCTTATAGACAATATTATGAAATACTATTGATTGATAATGATTATTGGTGTTTAAGATTATAACTCGCGCTGAGATAAGCAGATCGGACATCGGTCACGAACAAAACGTGCCTCTTATAATGCAACGAGGTACGCCACTACACAATTCTGTTACAATTTCCATGAAAATATATTAGAGGTCAATCAAGGTGAATCGTGAATTAAACAAAATAAATAATAATAATAATAGCAAATGATTTAAATAAATTGACACTTTTTTATTTGCATTTAGCATATAGAATCGCAAGAGTGAAAAAACTTAATCAATTTACTGCATATTAGTAAGTAAAATGAAACGTATTATGACTGTCGTATAAAGCCAATGTAATGAAAGAAGGTTGCAACCAAGGAGTTTCTTGTTGTCACACGATTATTACGGTTAAAAAAGCATATGTTCCACAAACTTAGCACTTTTTTATATGACATAAATTCAGATAGTTCAAAAAAGCGTTCAATTTCGTGTATCGATTTCGTAAATCAAAGACGTGGCCTTACATCACGTATCTATAACGACTCCAGAGCTGAACACAGAGTGGAACGCTGAGCTTGCAAATTCTACATTTATTTGTTACAAGGTATTTGACCGACTTGTAGTACAATGTTGCACGCGATCCACTAATAACGTGTGTGACGTAACACATTGTAAATATAGAATTATACATGACTACGTCAACGTCACTTAAATATAGAGCAGGCATTACATAGCTTGACATTCCTAATTTGTAATAATGACATTGAATTCACCCACACGTTACAAATTAATTGCTTTACATTTTTTCTATATAAGGAAATCTCGTTTAAAGGCTTTCCAGTAGAGATACTTGTAAATTTGGAAGTAAAGTGATTGGATATTTGTCTTATATTAAATACAAAATTCAAGAAGATTTATATCTTAAAATAAAAAGTACGTATAGGTAAAAGAAATACAAGGTAAGCGGAACTGTTGCCTTAAGGTAAGTATTGACGAGTTACACAATGATATTTCTTATTGTAAATTAATGTTTTTCTTACATAACAATATTAATAGTTGTATATTTATTACTTATAAACAAGCGTCGTACTCGTTGTGATATTAAATGAGCACTTCTTCGTAGTGACGTCATCTCCCTTCACTGTTGGTCCCGAAGTTGTATTTAAAGTAACGGAAAGTTAAACATTTGAATGTCGATGTGTTACAACATTTATATCAATATAAAATTATTATCGAATAAAGACATATTGACAGGATTAAATGATTTTATATGTATTTTAAGCTACAGATACTAAATCTAATTTTAAATCATGTTAACATAATTACTTATTATTATTGACTTGTTGTACATTCAATTTTTAATAGTTTAGTAGTTTTTGATTCCTATAAAATAGTATACTTATGTTTTAACTTAATATGTACGTAAATAAAAAATACAAAAATTAAGTTATGGCTTATATCAAGTTAAGAGGTTATTGATTAAAATTAAAACAAACACGTTGTGCTGTCTGATTAATTATTATTCATTAAAAGATATTTTTCTCGAAACAGGATAAATATGGCGAATGGCTTGGCGCGACTGTATCTGACAGATCCTTAATTATAGGTAACAATTAATTTTTATTTACAACATAATGTTTGAATTTAAAGTTAATAAAATATTATATAAGTATAAAAAGCAATATTTTGACATCAAGGCTTTTTAGACTTGAAGAAATTGTTTTTAAGGAAAGGTAGTCGTTATAAATTTAACAAGAATTTAACTTATGTACTATCTTGTGTTGATTAATTCTGATTCCCAAAAGAGGGTTGATGTCAGGCAGGCGGCCGGTCGTAAAAACAAATAGCCAAAACTATTCACAACATGTAATGCAGACCCTGGCTATAGCTGGGAAATTGCCAGGTAGAAGAGAAGACTATCTTCTGTTTCCAGTGTTCATTCTTGTATATTTTCGATGTATGAGCCCGCTCTTGGCATTCACCGCGTGCCTTATGATTGAGAGGTACACATATGGCAAACGCAGTGAACGCGAGGAGGAGGGCTGTGTTCTTCAACATTCAAATCTTCTTCCTTCATACATATCTTCGTGTTTTCACTAAGTATTCCTTGTCGGAATACAAAACTATCTAATTTTAAAGAGTCCACTGTCGTTATAATTTTATAAAAAGAATCTTTGTATAGTACAAAGGTAAGAATAACATAAATATATTTTGAAAACGCCTGTCAGAAATTTAAAGCAATAGTTACAATCGTGTCTCAATTTCATTGCTCACAAAGTTTATCAGGCATAAAGACGAGTTCATATATTTAAAACATAAAAATAAAATACATATATGACTAAAACAAATACAAGCATTAAAAAAATATATAAAACATAAATTTATAGAGTAATTAAAATAAGTAGAAATAGAAAATATTTTTCTATGACGATAAAATATTAAAAAATATATGTGACAATAAACGGCTAGTAGACCGTGCGTGCATGTACTCTATGACAGAATCATGCATTATAGCATAGAGCAGGGGTGCATTGTCCTTCACACAATGGCCAAGACGCAGCTGGCATGTATTGTGTACTATTAGAGGGGTGCATATGACTTATTAGAATTCTAATCTCAAGCTCCAGCTTCTATTGCAATTTATTTTTTTATACTGTAGCTAATTTCTAATATATGATACAGATTATACAGTACATGTGTACACAGTTTATACAATTTAATGATTACTGGTACACAGATTATAAAATACACAGATATATATAAATATATAAACATGATACTAAATGAAAAAATATTTTTCACATTACAAACAATTGTTTATTTAATGATAATTAAATTAAAAGTTTCGACAATAGGTGTAGTTTATGATAAAAATCACAAAACTGATACAATTCCCTATTATTATCATATTATATAACTTTTTAAAACCATTAGCCTATATTGAAAAAAATACTCGTATATCTATGTTTACAATGCTACTATTGTTTTCTGATAATTAAACCCGAACGAAACAGAAGTCTTATGAAAGGTGTGCGTAACAAAGAGAGGCGATAAAAACAAACATGCAATAAAGTAATTTTATACTGATCAAGGAAGGTTATGGTGCATTCTCCATGGTGAGGGAACGTAAACACTAACACTGAGGGTTAATTGCCCTCTGAGGGGAAAGCGGCGGTTTTAGGGAGAACGAATATTAGTTGGCAACATTTTGTTGTATAACCGAATTAAGGATGCTGGGGATTTTACTAAACTTCATCAGAAATTGTTTAATTTTAAGGCATTTAATTACATAGTAAATAAAAATAAATTTAGAAGTGTTTGTAAGTATTATAACCAAACAGTTTTTATACGTCAAATTAAAAAAAATATGTCAGATATATACTCGATCTTCCGATTGTCTTTACGTTGTTGTTTATGGAAAACTAAAAGTAATCATTCATTTGAAACATAAATTTGTATGTTGCAGATTTTAAAGGAATATATTGTATTTAACCAACGCCAGCGCTTTTTTTAAAATATATGTCAATGACAATACATAAGTAATAATCATTGAGTATTACAACATAGAATCCGAGACGAAACAAAAAAAAGGAAAACATTCCATTTGTAAACACGTAAATTTTGTTTCATATTTTTAAATGATTCGTTCAATAAATAGATTTACTACAAGTTCATATTGTCAATATATTTTATTAAGCAAAGATTTGTATATAAAAACTAAGAACAGTCTATATTTAGTTTGACGGCACTTTGACGAAATGTAGTAAGGATATATTGCCAAAATTTATTTCGACATTTACTTTACTTTCGAGTATCACATAAAATTTTTATGATAACAGCAGTCTTGGAATACGATGTCACTTAATGTTTGTCTGCGGACGTCGTTAATTCAATTCGAATACAGTTCCATAATGTATAGCTTCTTAGATTTACAAAACTATTGGAAAATAGCAAAAAAGCCAGATAATGAAAGGTCTAAAATTTGTGTTTTATAGTATAATCACATAGCATATATCTGTCATTAGTTTTTGTCACTAATTCTTGTCAATCCCATGATTAAACTTTTTAATGCCTCAAACTATTTTGATACGAAAATTCAGTGTTTCAATAGTTAAGTGAGACCGATATGAATCAATTGACCGATTGCGTCAATGTTTAGTAGTGATGCGATAATCCGTGTAACGTAAGCAGTACGGGGGAGAGAGAAGCCTCTCAATATATACGACAGAAGGTACGAGTGCGTTGGCCTTAAAATATATACGAAAAAATCTTGTGATTATGATTTTCAGTCAAACCAACACAATAATAGATTAATTAATATTAACTATTATGAATTTTTCTCTCGGAAGTTTAGTCAAAATGAAATTTGTAACTAAAAAGCAATAAAAAATAAAGGGTCAACGTACGAGTGACGGCGCCACGCGACTCTCAAGCCGGTCAAAAGTAACCCTTCATAACAAAAAAAGGTATTTAAGTGTGCTAAGGTCGTCCGGGCTCATGTAAGGGGTTTCCTCTTTTTGGTTGTTACATTCGTTGCACATTTCGATATTTTTAAACTAAAAAAAATAAGCTATGTATGTATATATTTATATTGTTTCGCTATTTTTTGCAATAAATTTCCGTCCTCATAGTAATAGCCTAGTGCGACAAGGGTGTAAATAACGGAGCGGGTTACCGTGACCGTGGGAGATGGAACCCTGTCACCGCCAGCCACCCCGCGCAGCTGTCGTGATAATGCGTCCCGTTCGATGAATCGATTGTTTGATTCGTATCCATTGTTCCTTGCTGATTGTTCGCTGCCTCTGGAACGCTTCATTATTATTATAACCGATTATGACCTCCGTGTGAAGATCCCCGTTCACACGTTTACCTTATTTGGGGAGTAAAGACCACATTTATACGACATTGGGTCAGTCTGTTATCATTGTGTCAATAAAATCTATTTGTCATTCCAAAAACAAATTAAACAAATTTGACAAAAAAGAGTTTTAATATGAATGCCAACGTCAATTTATTAAAGGAGTTCTTACATGTCATAGAAAATTCGCCTGATATGATTTTCAAGAAATGGTTGTCAAATTTTATGTATAATTGACATTTAAGATTCACTAAATCATGGAGTAGGTGATAAGAAATGTTTTTCTTTGACTAGCAACTGGTTCTATTAAGATTGTTATAAATATCTTCTTCGAGAAACATCATATTCTGATTAAGAAAAGCCGATAGTAAACTTGGTCTATTATCCTAGACTAATAACTATTAACTATAGTTTCTAACAAAAGATTATTTCTGGAGACATATTGGAAAAAATAAAATATTTTCAAGAAACTTATTTTAAATCTAGTTGGCTTTGTAGAATATTGATGTCTCTCATAAATTTAAAATACAAAAAGACTAATTCCGACCTAATTTCATTGAATCCCCATATAAGAGAGAGAAAAATTATCATAAGTTCCAAAGTCATAATATAAGAGAATGATTAGTATCAACAAGTGTCACGCCAAGACAGACAGACCCTGGCTAAAGCTGGGAAATTGCCAGGAAGGAGAAGAAGTGTCACGTAATTAGATTGTAAGAGACCAAAAAAATCTATTCGGTATTAAAAACTCCTTCCTTTTTTCTACTTCTATTGTTATTCTCTCGTATGACAAAAGGAAGACAAGTCCTGGTGGTGGACTTAAGATGTAATTGACCTATTTATTTTTTACACTTCTTTTTATGATATCCCACGATATTTTAAATGTACGGTTAACATTAATCATATACATAAACGAAAACGGCGCAGAAGGAAAGCCCTTGTATATTTTTTTTTTATTTGTTCATTTCAATAATTTCGTTGGAAATATTGTTTATAAGTTAGTATTTATAACATTTTCTTGATGATTCCCTTCCAACCAACGTTTATGACCTTTCAATTTATATTGCATAATAGTTATATTATTTTCAGAATCTATGTATTTTATCGAAGGCTTGTCTAAACAGGAGCACATTTCGAATTTTTCTTTAAAGAGTTTTCTTAACTTTTTTCCAGATAGAGTCCGAACGTTATTACTAATATTCTTCTGTTGTGTTTCTAGAGTATTCTTTATTTTCATCTTTAAGAATCCACTGTCATGAATTTTTATTCAATTTTCTAAGACTGTCCGATTCCCTTGTGACTTAAATGCCGTTCAAAGAAGTTTTACCTGATTATAAACTTCTCAGTATAATTTTGATCATGTAATACAATCTTATTGCTGTTATAATACGTATATTTTTTTGTATTTATTGCACACTTGTTCTTATTTAGTTATTTTTATTTCATACATTTTTTCTATATTAAACCATCTAACATAGCAAGGCTATCTTTTATTTTTTTATTATTAATATGATGCAAATAATGTCATAAAATCGAGATGAGTTGTATGTCTATTCGTATAAAATAAAATAATTTAAACGGTTTAAATAAACTATAGGGTAGTAGAAACTGGTCATCGTAGTAAAGAAGTGGACGAAAAAAATAACATGAATTAATTCATTTCAACAATACGAACCGGTCTAACGGATCACGGATTTTATTAACAAAAGTTAATATGTAGGGTAGTTGATGTGTATTGTAATAATAGTGCATTAAGTATGCAGATAGGCAGCGCGTGCGAATAGAGTCATAGACAAAGCGTACTGCATTAATTATTAGATATACCAAAAATATAGGGTGTATTTTCTGTATTTGAATGGACTAGGCAGGGGTCGTCACAGCTGCGCGGGCGCAGGCGGATCAAATTGATTGCGACACATGGCGCGTGCGACGCAACATGGCCGCCTGTCATATGTTGCACACAGCGTTATAAATAATAATATTAGCTTGAATCATAATCCTACTATTTTATTTTTGCTTCTTTCTTATTATTATCATTCTGTGGTATAGAACAAAGACAGTAAAATTCTATAAGAAAATAATGAAAGTAAGCATGCGTAATATTTAATTGAATAATTTAAATTGCAAATATATTTAAGTAGTGTTCGTGACGGGAACCCTAAGCGGCCATATTGTTATCAATTATTGTCCGTTTGATAACAGCTTACACGCGCGGTTCGAAAAAGGGGGCAACTTTAAAATTTTATATACACGATAAATGTCTATTTATAGATTTGAAAATAAGAATAACTATTACTCATACTTTAATATTTGTATAATAGGCTTTAAATTTTTAGTAGTTTTAGACATAAGATGGAACGAACGGACAGACAAAAATGGTATATATGCTGGGTGCACTTTTAAAGCGACTGTTACAATGTTATAAATATGCCATTTTATTAATTTTTATATTAAAAATGAAATGACTTATTATATAAATTCAATGTCTTTATAGGAAGCATACAGTTTTTCTTTTTTGGTAGACTGTTGATACACTTTTCTTTATCTTTTCTTTTGTCTTTTGATACACTAATTTATTACAAATCATAACTACCAACTACGAAACAGCTTGACTAAATGTAAACCATATATTAAAGACATAGTTTTTTTACAAATTTCTTCCTTTTTTATTGATCTCTATTAGACACTTTAGATCTTTTTTCCCTTTTTTTTTTGGTAAAAATATATTATGTTGTAAAGCATATTGTTATATAAATATAATTTTACCCAAATATATATTACGAGTTACTAATGATTACGTATTTTTTGTTTTCAATATAATAGTATGACGTTAGCCGTTTACTATGAGGTCGTATTATATTTTATCATAAACATTGATTTATAGATAAAGCTCGGTTATCGCGACGTTGTGTTAATAATCTCTTAGAGCTGAACATCAATAAAATGAATTGAATTATCATTAAATATAAAATTGTTACCTCTAAATCTTTCAAGTTCTCATAACCGAATGTTGTACGAAAAACTATACCAATTCAATAGTACCAGAATACACTTTGCATAATAAATTATTTTTTATTGAGAGTAAATAAAAAATAAATTTTATATCCCCAAATATAAGCGGAATTCACAAGTTATGTCCGGACGGATGTCTACGGATGTCTACGCGGCGGCGTTCTCGTAGCGACTGCTACGGTTACGTGCTACGACATTAATGAACCGACTACGCATGTTTCATCTTAGGTCGGATGAAATAATCAGAAAATTCAGATCATATGCTAGATTACACTATATTCAAATTAAATTCTGATAAAGGAATTGTCACTTATATATGACTTGTTAGAATCAGGTATTGGGCCGATTTTTTAAATATCGTATTTACTCCTGAGGATTTCATAATTTAAGATTCATTTAGACTTTAAAAACATTACGATTTCACACCTAGCACCGTTTCTTATTCTACTAGTGATATTGATAGCAAAACTTAAATTGTACATAATAAAAAATACAATAAGTATTCGCAAAATTATAACACAATACAAACACAACACAGACACATCGACAGGCACTGTAAGCGAACAGAACGTGACACAGACCGACATACACTCACATAAACATACACATAGAAGGCTGTTGATGAGATATTACCGACGGCGGAGCTTTAAAACCAGATTTCAGACACGTAATACGTCCATTCCATTCTTCTTAATTTCGTTCCGATATTCATTATTTTCCGAATCGTTTTATAATTATTGTCAATGATTTTTAATAATAGTTTATACGTTAACATCTAAACACACAAGCCACATTTAACAAAGTACTCTTACCTGGAGCTGATCGAGGACCTTGAGGTCCGTCTGGAACAGTTACAAAGAAAACGAGCGACGAAACAAAGAAAGCTCAGACAGAACATGCAAACAATAAGCGAACGTCGTGTGTACCGATTGACGAGAAGACGAAGATATATTTATAATATAATCATTAATAAACGCATTAATTATGTAAAAAAAAATCATTAATATTTACAGCGGAACCGGTAAAATTGTCTAAAACACCACTTTATATTTTATAATAATCGTATATTAAATCGTTATAGCCGCTAATTCTAACATGGATCGCGTATTTAAATCACAGTCGTCACTTGTTAATGTCGGGGCGCGGGATGGTCGGGGTGTCTCGGCGGCGGACACACACGGAATGAGCCGGCGAGCGACACGGACGGTGTACGAAGACACGGCCTCACTCACAGTACTCACAGGCGTACACTCGCGGCGTGCTAACACCAAAAGCAAAATGGACATACCTGGGACTAGCGGCTGGCACGGGGAGCGCTCGCTACTTGAATGAGCGGCCCGGGCGAAGCGGCGCGCGCAGGGGGCGCGGCCAGCCCGCGTGGCTCCGGACCTACGTACACCCTCCGACCCGGCGGACCCCTCCTCCCCTCCCCGCGCCCCGCACCCGCACACACACCCGCGCCTCACCCCCGCAGCCACCCTGCCTGCACCGCTCAGCTGAGCCCTGATTAGACCCGGCCAGGGTGTTCAATTAGGAGTCGCCGGGTGCATCTCGCGCGGTTGTCCGGCGACCAGGAGCCCGGGTGAAGGCTTCGAGCACTCTTCATTACGGCCACTCCATAGCTGATCCCGTTATTTATATTCGTCCCGGGCACCGAGACCGTTTTCAACATAAATATTTTTATTCTACATTCGCATTTCGCTTGCAAAAAAATGATAAAGAGTAACAGTTAGTTGAAAGTAAATATTTTATTTGTTGAACTTTGGATGAGTTTTAGTCGTATATTAAATTAAAACTTCGTTTATTTTTTAGATAAAATAAATGTAATAAAACATTCAAATAAGACATTATAAGCCTGAACGAAATGTTTTAATATATATAATATGTGGAAATATTTTTCAGACTTGTTATTTGACAAATAAATTTCATGCCCTCAAAATTAAATAATGTTTTTAAATCTTAGAATAATTATTGACATTTTTAGTGGGTATATTTTTTACGAGAAACATGTAACAGTATTGTTCAATTAAAGCCTGATGATGAAGGCGAGCTCACACTGTTCCCGTGCAGCTGACTCTACACACACAGTCATTAACAACCCAAATTGCTTTGCGGCAGAAAACGGCTCGTCTTATTTGAATTGAAAATTAAGTGGAGCCGTCACCGCGAGAGTCCCGAGTGGTCTCGTTACGAGTTGCAAGACTTGCCAACAATCACATTAGTTTATTATTTAGTTATCCGTTCTAATAATTGCGTTAAGCGACAAAGGATCTTCATTCAATCTAGCCGGAGGGAAACGTTTCCTTATAAAATATAGCGGATGTCAAAGGCTAAATAATAATTGTAACAGTAATGCAATTACGACCGAGATCCGACGGAATAAATAAATACGAAAGGGAAAACTGAGGTTGAGGATTGATGTCATATTTTGTACAGTTTTAAGAAATTATCTTATTAAGTAGTTTTTCATACAAATTTTTCCTAGTAGGATAATTTTGACTGACGAAATCAATATATTAATTATGTTCAAACAACATTTAATGAGATGAGCTCAAAAATACGTCAATAAAATCTTCTATTCGGTATGAAACTAATAATTTTATGAGTGTCACATCTCGTCTGCCCGTGATCACGGTTGCTGAAAAGTAGTCGAAACGTCGGGAGTATGTAGTTTTCTAATCAAAAACAAAACGCGAAGTAAAATCCGAAAAAATATTGGTTTCATTTGAATGAGTACTCGCGAAAATCTTAGATCTCATTATTCTATTCGGTATGTTCTGTTCACAGTGTAGGACAATTGACCTTAATTTTCCTTTCAAGATCTTGCACGGTACCGTCTAGCTTTCAATTTAATTGTCTTCACATAACTTTGCTGAATGTACAAACGTGTACGAGTGACGGGGTCTGTATTTCATTATTCTTAAGACTGCCTCGGGCGTAGAAGCGTTATTGCTGCGAGAATTGTAACCTAGATGCTGGCATGTTCCTTTTGATCGACCTAACGTATGTTTATTTTGATGATGAAAGTTATTGATACAGTTTTGAAATAGATAATAATAATGTAGAGTAAAAATATACTTATTCTCACAGTATTATAATGAATATAAGTGTGTTTTGAGAAAATTATTAAGAAAACTATTTGTGAAAAATATGTTTGATCAGCAACATGGATGAGGAATTTTAAATTATTTTTCAGTCAAAAGGGCAAAGGAGAGGAGGGAAATTCCTTTACCAATTTCACGATAACATTAATTCACGGAATTCGAATATTAAAATTAATAAATGCAATAGTAATATTAAGATTTTTCAAACACATACTAATAGAATATGACAGTTTCTATAAGAAGTTTTTTAATATTGATTCAGGTGACAAAATGTGTACGGGTACCTCTATTTGAAATTTTTTACGTGTTATATTTTTGTAGGGGTAATAATTTGGTGATACTCTTGGCAAAAATATATAACATTCTCAGTTTCACAAATAAACTGTATTAACTCTTGTATACTTAAAATTAGCTTAAATAAGAATGAATCGTTGTTTCACAATATTGAGATACATTTTGCTTTTTGTGTTCATTACTGATTCAAGTTCAAACAAAAACCAACAAAAACTTCTACAGTCTAGATGAAAATAAATTGGATACCTGTTTCATTTCTCACTTCAAACTGTTTGCCCGATACTGTTTTAATTTAACTTAAAACAAGTAGCCACTATTTGAAGATGATATATGTATAATTAAAAATGAGCATATTCCTATAATAATATGTAGATTAACTTTAACATACAAAAGCGTTGAATCTAATAATATCTATTTTTTTAATAGTAGTTCTTTCTTAGTTTTCATTCTCTTACGATAAAATTTATCATACACAGTATGGGCTTTTGGAAACAAGTCAATAGTTGAGTCATTTTCTCTCCCGCAGTCACACGCGTAAATCGTACTTTTAATAGATTTTAATTTTTTTAAGGCTATATATTTCTTTAGAACTGTCATAATATATTAGGATTGAAATACATTATTAAGTCTTGATTTTTATATAGCTATTAGTGTTTTAAGACAGCCGATAAAATACCGCTCACAATTGATTGCTTGAATTTCGTCTACGATCTATTATTGTACTAGATTTACTTAGGAAACGTTATATTTTATTGCTGGACAAATTATTATTGAAATAAAACAAATACGAGTGCTTTGAGGAGAAAAATTAGAGCGAAAATAATTTTTGAATCTTAATAAATCAGAAAGCAATAAATTTAGTTTAAAAAATTTTGTAAGTTTTGTTTCAGATATAATTTTGTTTTAAGTGCTTTTAAAATTTAGAAAGTAAAAAGAAAAAACGGTATTGTTAGGGGTGAACAAGAAAAGCTAAGAATATTTTGCACTCGCTATAAAGAAAAGCCTGTAAAAGGAAAATCGTTTCTTTTTCTTAGAAAACTGAGAAAAAGAAACAGCTTATAGACATTAATTGTAACATATCAAAATAAGAAATGATTATTATTTAACAAAACTACTTTTCTATATTTTTAAAATTCAGAAAATCTAGAAAATGAGCGAAAAATGTACAACTATTTCGTGAGGTATTAAAATGTCTTAACGCAGTCATTTTCATTGATATTATCTTTATACTATATAGCTCAATTGAAGAAGAAGACAAATACTCGATATAAAGTATGACAAAAGAAGAAACTAGTGTAAGTTACATGAATGTTAACTTCTGTTATATAAATCTATCAGATTTATGTAAGGATTAAGAGGACTAATACCACTCATGACCCATTCCTATCTTGTGGCGGTAAGATTTGATTTGAAAGGCTGATTTATACGGAAAATAGGAAAAGATATAATCAGACATGAAGTATGTTGATGTATTGGCTATCTTATAAATCACAGATATACCAATAAGATAATAAAGAATGGCGAAACAGTTCTTAAACAGAGGCATGTCTATTATACTTCAAATTTTTAATATGACATCTTATTCATTGGTGTGTGACATACTTATTGAATAATTTATTTCTAAATTCATAATTTATGTGATTTATACAATTACTATTGTAAATAAAGGAGTAAAATGAAAAAGGATTAAAAAATATTTTTAAATAAAATCGTAATTTAATAACTGTCTAAGTTGGCAAGTGATCATCAAAAGTATTGGTAACTGGTGTAATTGCTTTTTTACATTTCCAACCCTAGTTATAATGAAATCGGTATTTTAATAAATACTTTACTTTCAAAAATCACTATTTTTATCATAAAAGAAAAACTAAAATCTATACGAGGCTTATAAATGAAATATTGTTTTTTCTAACAAACTTTAAGATCTACAGGAACTGTTAAAGAAAATTTACGGAGGTTTTAAGATGTCTTAAATGGTTCGATTTCCGAAGGATTGTATTGTGCATGACAGTTATACTGTTTATGGTCAATTTTATTTCAAAACAATAAAACGAATTTGTGAATTATTCCAATATAATACTTCATAATTTCGACCTTTGATGAAAATAAATTTTGTCACTGTTTTTGTGATTCAAAAGGAGCAATTACATACATTAGTTTAATATTACGTATGTGTAGTGGCAACACATAAATAAGAATGTATATATACATTGCTATCATACATTTTAAAATTTTGCCGCCTTAATTTATTTAATGTCTGACATCATCAGACAAATTCTGATGGAAAAAACAACCAGAAATAGAACAAAAATAATTGATTTACTTCACGTCGTATGTGTTGTAGTTTAGGAAAAATCTTGGCATCTGTATTTTAATATTCTTTACTAGTTTTTCCCCGCGACTTCGTCCGTGTTAGTTTGGTCAAGAGTAATATATGTAGGTATAGCTGACCAGGCGAACTCTATTCCGTGTAAGAGGCCATAAATAATCAGGTTTTTCCTGTTTCAATCAAACAGAATGATTGACATATTAGTTAGTTGTCAAATCTAATGTCAAAAAAAACGTTTGTATGGGAAATAGAAAAGGGCTGTTTTTAGGGTTTTCCCGGCAATTATTCCAATTTTTCTCACCTTTTAAACCTTCCCTGGACTTCCAGGAGTACTTCAAGACTAAAATTAGCCAAATCGGTTGAGCCGTTCTCGAGTTTTAGCGAGACTAAGGAACAGCAATCCATTTTTATATATATAGAAGATTTCTAAATTATAAAATTTAGGCACCAAAAAAACTGCAGTGTAACTCTAGTAGGTCCATAACTTGTTTATATTTATTTTATTTATTTGTAGAAATTTATTAAACTTAAGTTATTTTCATTTGAATTTATTAAATGTTCACGTGGGTCACAAGACCCAGAAACTTTTGAAGCTCTTCTCTGTGCAACGATGGACCCGGCACCCGCACGGTGAATCCATGGAATGCTGAGAAGTTATGACTCACTCAGGCAAATGGTACATCGAAAATTCGTCTTAATATCAAGAGTAAGTTCAAGCATAACATTGTATTAGATATTCAAGCATAACATTATATATAGTGGTTAAAGGGCCCGCCTCTTGTTGCCGAGGGCGCGGGTTGGATCCTGGCCCTGGTAAATACCAATGTGATTTTTCGGAGTCATATGTACTTTCTGTCAGTATTTAGACAACACTGACATACGGTGAAGGAAAACATCGTGAGGAAACCTGGACTTATAGTTTCACAATTATAAGTTTGAAATCACCAACCCGTCTTGAGCAAGCGTGGTGATTAATGCTCAAACCGTCTCCATTTGAGAAAGAGGCCTTTGCTCAGCAGTGGGCTCTGGTAGGCTGATGGCACTTTCAAGAATCGATTATTTCAATTAGTCTTATGCCCAGTTTTAACATGACGATTTATGTCCAATTTTGAAATATGATATAGGTATTGTTAATTCCGTTAATTGGATTTAGTAAAACATAAAATTAAAAATCATTTTAAGATGTTCAATAAGATTGATAAAATTGTTTCTTGTTCCTTTAACAATTTTTCTTTGGAAAAAAAATTGCACATGGTGTAGATTTTATTTAAACCTATGTACTTTGTTTTTCCTGAGAAATTTGAAATTTTGAACCAAAATAAATATTAAGGCGTAGAGTTAGTTAAGCTGAAAGAAACATTTATTTTATCGAAGGTAACTATAGTTTTCTACTATTAAAGTGTCTTGAATTTAATTTCAAATTAATAAAAAAATTTTTTATTCATATAAACGAAATGTAATTGTAATAATTTGACAATTTTTTTTTCTAAAATTGTGAATAAAACAGTTTTCTATAATTTCAATTTAGGATAAAACTGATATGTATTTTTCGTTCATATAAGTGCTATAATTGGAATAATAGTTATATATTAAAACATCTATTTATTAAAACGCATTTTTTATGTAAAATGAATATAAAATTTTACAAAATTTCTGTAAACAATATTAAAATTACCTGAAATATGAACCGTTGTTTGACAAGATTATTGTAAGGTGGTGTATATTGAATCTGAACCATTATTGAAATTAATATTGACGTATTTAAATAAAATATAATTATTTTAATGCAATTTACATTCCTTTTTAAATTATATCTCTGACAAACGAATTTATGACGTCAACTAACCTATACAAATCAAACATACATATACATATATACATGTGTACTTATTATATATGTATATTCCTCAGCAAGACAAAAAACAAATATACATATACTGTTATTTTATACTGGAATTTTTTTTTTTCACCTTTTTATATTGCTGGGGAATTCTAGCGTCACGGGTGGGACAGTTGTATCTCGATTTTCAGCGTGTGTGGCTTATTTACGCTAATTGTATCAATGATATCTAATTGATTTATATAGAGTATAATAAATTTATCCATGTACTTTTATAGGTACAATAAAGACTTGAATAATACCATGTAAAATTTAATAAAGAATACAGTAAATGTTTGTCACGGGTGGGACAAAGTTGTGACATTCTTGTTACACATGCATCATCTTCTATATATATAAAAATGGATTGCTGTTCCTTAGTCTCGCTAAAACTCGAGAACAGCTGAACGGATTTATCTTATCTTAGTCTTGAAATGTTCGTGGAGGTTCAGGGAAGGTATAAAAGCTGAAAAAAATTGATTCATTACTGGGAAAACCATAAAAACAGCCCTTTTCTATTTCCCATACAAACGTTTTTTTTTGACATTAGATTTGACAACTAACTAATATGTCAATCATTCTGTCCGATTGAAACAGGAGAAACCTGATTATTAATGGCCTCTAAAACGGAATAGAGTTCGAACGGTCAGCTACACATATATTACTAATGACGAAACTAACGCGGACGAAGTCGCGAGCAAAAACTAGTATTTAATAAAACTCTGCTAGATGATAAAACTTTTTAATGCAGACTACAATATTTCTTTGAGACAATAAACTAAACTTCACATTTGAATAGAAAATAATGTTCTATTATTTACTCATATTTTTACAAAAAATAAATAAAGTGTGTCACGGGTGGGACTTTCACTGTCACGGGTAGGACACGTACGATTTACTTGGTATAAGGAGTCACTTATAAGTTTTTATTTCTCTATATGGATGCTAGTTTCATCATGGGAGTCAGTTCAGTAGCTTGGGTCTGCATCAAGGTATACATTTTAAACAATCAGCTTGACAGCTTTGCATCTTTTCAAATCCAACTCAGCATTAGATTCATTAATCAAGTTTGCAATTTAATAAAAATTAAAAAAATATTAATATACTAATATTTTTTAAAGTATTGTGCAATTTTAAGTATTTTGTATCGATATATATAATAATTAAAAAAAGAAAAACTACAAAAAATTACATCAAGGTTTACTTTCCCGTAGAATCGCCCTGCTAGTAAAAACCGCTTATATTTTAGACTCGTCTTGTTTCAAATATTTTTAAAAACATAGACTAATTGTAACTCATTTTATTATAGAGAATCATAATAAAATTATTACGTTTAAAAGCAACGTTCAAATTTTCTTTAATCGTCAAGTGATTTCAAGAAATGCTATTTTTTAAAACTAAAATATTATCAAAATATATTACTGAAAGTTTCTAGAGTCATAATAATATTAATCAATATGTAAAAGAATTGACATTATACTTGTGTACACAAAGATTCCTTAATATAATTAAATATTTTTAATTTCCTTTCTTAATTGAATATTATTACTGTTATTATAAATTCTACATATATACAATAAATAATAATTAAAAATATTCATGTCTTTGTTTATTATAAATCAAAACGTGCTTTTGAAATATTTTACTATATTTTAAAGAGAACCTGAATAACAAGTTGTAAGTTATACATACAATATGTATATGACAAAACTATAAATCTAGAATATTGACTACCTAGAATATAGAATTTGTAACATCTAGAATATATTCTACATAAACTCTTAAAACTTTCGTTTATTCAGAATATATGTATTTATTTCTATAAACGAAATCTAAAAAGATAATTAAATAAAAATACGACTACAAAAGATTCAATTAAAATAATAATAAATGTAAGTAAAATTTATATTGACACATATGAGAATGATTTACAAATATCCGACCAAGGTCAAATAGAACCATGTCAGGAAATATTGGAGCCGTGCCAGTAATAAGAGATAATATATCTGAGCATTTAATATTTATGGAAATGTCAAACAGCGAATCCACTAACCTGCACAAAGAAAATTCACCAAAAGAGGCGCGGCGTATAACAGAAATTGAATTTGCACATTGGGCGCAAACGGATACGAGAAGGTAGAAACGGGTTACAATTTCTTTGGCCTGGAGGCCGAAGTAATCTCCAAGGTAACTGCTTTGCTTCCGATGCAGTTAGTTTACAGTCGGCTGCAGCCGGGTTTAACGAGAAGAGCCATTGCCCGGGCCAGCGGCCGGCTGGGAGCGGCACGGCGAAAACGATTCACGCTACAGGTTATAGGATTGCATTTCACACTGCGCTCTACACGAGCCTGTGTAAGTGCATAATGGCGTGTAATGTGTGTGTAGGTGGCGGAAGGGTATGCGGGGGGAGGTCGTCCGGGCGGGGGGGAGGGGCGAGGTTGCAGGCTCCGTAGCTGTTCAGGTGAGCGGGCGTCTGTGTGCGTCAGCTGAATCCCGGGGAGGCGCGAGCAATGACGAGCTCGTTGCTATAACGACAGTCAGAATCTAATATGGCAAATGAAAATATCATATGATACACCACCCGACCAATGGGCGACGAGTGGTGACTCGGATAATACTGAAAATGATACTTTATTATAATTGTAATAAACGAATTGTAGTGTCATAGAATATTATATGTAGATGTTCGATATCGTGACGATTTACAGGTTACTTTCTTACTTTCCATATCTATTATACATAATTATAAAATAAACTTTCAAATTTGAGTAAAACCCTCTTAAATATAATTACGACAGGGTTTCATATCTAAGAGATTCAAGGAATATGTCGTAAGAGATTTTTCCTCTAAATGATATTTAAATAGCTATTTGCTTTAAGAGCTCTAACGTTCGTATGGCATCCCTCTTCTACGAGTATAGTATGTTCTGAACATAACAAGATTTCCTCTAAAGCAAAATGAAACGGACCCGCTCGTTTGCTTCAAATTTTTGAATAAATGCTCTCCAAGAGAGAGAATATAAGCCGATTATTAACAGACGTCGACTTAGTAGATGAGATTTTATAAACGTGGAGCGGGATGTATTCAATGGAGACATTTTAATTTCATTTTATATTACAGCTTTTACACGAGCCTATTCATGCTTACACAGTTGGAGTGGAAACAAAAGAAAAATACTCGGAGTAATAAATAGCAAATGTTCTCGTTTCCAGATTTCTTTTATTTTTTAAATTGGTAATCGCCGTTTTTAGTTATAATAAGCCTATAAAGTAGTGACCTAAATATAACTCATCTCGTAGTTTGATTACAATAGTAATTACTAAATAATCCAATCAAACACGGCAAAGAGATGATTATTGCCTACGAACAGACCGTCTGTAATACTCGTATACATAAATTAAACATGATTGGTTAATACATATATTAAAGATTATTAACTTCATGTATATGCAAAATAGTATTCACATATAAGGCAATAATTAGCTTGAAACTTTCTTAGTTTTTGATAAAATAACCAACTTATATTACTGCTTCTGCTTTAAGGTTTTCTAGCATAATTTTAAAGCATAAAAAAATTAGGTAATTTCGCTGGCATTGCCTTATATAATTTATATTTGGTGAACAAAATCCTTTAGCTGAGTATATTTAGAGGCGAGGGTTGGTTGTACAGTAGCTAGTGATGCGTGTCGCGTGGGTTCGAATGCCAAAAGTTAACTCGCGGTCCCTCACGTATGAGCGCACTGTGTGACCGTTGCTTTTATTATATACCCGACTAAAGAAACAAAATATAATTTATATGGACTTTCACTTCAAAAATTAATCATAATATTTAGAGGTACATGCTGGCAGTAAAAAAACCTTCTGATATATATTTTTTTAGGGATTTTATTATCTACTCGTGTTAATTTATATACTACATATAAATATTGTATTTTCTTAAAAGAGTACCCTTCGAAATACGTTTTAAACCACATTCTTGTCGACCTTATTTTTGATATGACACAACCTAATATCAATATATTAAGCTTCGCCCGTTTGAAACCGTTTAACATTCATAAAAAAATTCACATAAAATTTGACGCCATCTGACAAGGCTCTTTACATTATTTGGTAAGCGTTCAATTACAAAATGTAAACATGAAACAGGAATATGAAGTCGTAATAATAAATTCCGTCTGGAACAAGTCGGGCGGGATTGAATCCTTGCTTGTTTGAATTGAAGTGCGCTTAATTTGTTACCCCGCGATATTTGAGTCGCGTACAAATATTGGCAAGAGTAGTATAATTATGCCTAAACATGGCTGGAATGCCTGAGGCGGTTCGTTGCAGTGTCTGTCACCCTGTTTGAGAACTCCTTGCCTATTCATGAGGTTTTATTGCTCAAATTGTGCAAATACCAATTGGGAAAGTGGATACAAAATGTTCGTTTTATATTTTAGAGGTATATCTTTTATAAGAGTCGTTTATTATCTGCTTGATTAAAATTAAGAGAAGTAATAAATATATGAATTTATCTTTCTTTTACATAATATTTTGAATTTTGTTACAAGCAACATGTTTTGCAATTTTCCCTAATCACTTAATCACTTTGCGTTATTTTTTAAAATTTTCTTGCATCTTATTTTATCTTTATAATGTTATAAACATAAATCTGCGTTCTTGAGTGATTGTTTTTTACATGTATACTTTTAATTTTCAATTTAAATTTTGCAGCTTTTTGGTGAGGTCGATAGAATTAAAATTTATGAAATTATTTTTTGTTTTTGTTCATCGCCATTAAAATTTACAGGAAAAGTGTTTTAATAATAGTTGAACTAATTTTTCGAATGAATAAATATTAAAATTTACATTACATTATTGACATTAACAAAATTATTCTTTGTTTTACGTCATTTTAATAGCGAGCCCAGATATTAGAGGTTGGTAATTTGTTCTGTAATGTATCTCAGTAGTAGAGCGTTGGGTCGTTAGTGGAGATGTTGTGTAGGAGTTGGCAGGTGCTAGCTAACAGGAAGCTAATACAGAACGTGCCGCCCCCAGCACCGGGTACCGGCTGCAACTCACTAACTCAAAGAAACTTCTTCAAACTACCAGATACGTAAAATATTACGCGACTTGTTAAACGTGTAGCGTTCATTTGTCCTTTACATCCTTGGAACAATTTAATCGTGACACTATATAGGGATCTAGATAACATTTTGATACATTTTCTTATGTGTACATGCGTATAGGCGTTGTGAGTTTAAAAAAAAAGTATAATAAATTAATTAATGTAGTAACTATGTCGTGCTGTAAGGATTGCATTACTTGTAACAGTATAGGTATCAGAATTAGATAGTGTCCATCCGTCGGCAGGCTACATGAGTAATATTGAACAGCCAGCGGCGGGCACACAAAAGTTGACGGACGTCCGGCTTGATTGAGTGGGATCCCTCCCGATACAGCCTCTAATGGCTCGATGACATGGCAGGGGGTGCGCGGGGGTGAGGCGGCCCGGGCCGAGGAGGGGCAGGGGAGGAGGGGGAGGTCGATCAATGAGGACCCACGTGAAGCTCCGGCCGGGGCTCGATAAACATCGCCCGGGGATCGCTACTCTGTACGTTAATGCAATATCTGTATCTTTAATGTGTATTTGTTTTGTACTTAGCTATTAAATGTTACAGGGATAGGCTACTTGATTATAATTGTAATGAAATTAAATTATGCGTCATTCTAAAGTGGACAATAGTGGAATTATACGGATTCTTAAGAGACTTTTGTTGTATATAGTCACATATTAAATTGATTACTTAATTATAATTGGATATTTATAGTGTGTTAACGGAAGTAAGGAGCTGCATGCCTCCTTCATGAATTCCCTCACCGTTATAACTCATATGTCGTTTAGAGACGGTTCAACCGTATCATGTTACGCTACACTTGTTCTGGAGAATTTAAACGTAAGCCACGGAATCATATATTATGTACACGAATGCGTCGCATGATATATGAGGGACACGATTCGAAGCTTGCGGCGGTCACCACCGAGTTTCAGCTCAAAGGAAATCTCATTTTGCACCCCCTTAGCCCCCCCTCGGGCCACCCACAACCCGCTACCCCCTCGCCCGCCCCAAGCGAAGTTCTATTAAAATTATTTGAGAAAACTCAACACCAGGCTACCCTCCACACTCCTCGCCCTGTTTACGAGGTTTTTTTTTACTTTTTAAGTTCTTTGTTGGATCTGGACATTAATTAGATAACGCCTTTGAGCCCTTTTTATCTTCTAAAGTAGTCTTCCTTCAAAGCTCTTCTTCTGGATAAAATTAAATGACTAATTCAACTCATTTTCAGATCAAAAATGGTGTTTTTGGTTATATCAACAAATTTTGTTATATATTTATATTTGGTTGTGTTAATTTGTTGAGATTTAAATGTAGGTCATAAAATCAATTTCTCTATATTTTTTGATAGTTATACAATTTAATATTTATCAAGTGTCTTGTAATAGTGTGAACGACCTTTACAATTAGCTCATTATTTTGACATATTCGTGTTGTTTTTGTCTACGATACTAAAGTTGAAATTTGAGATTGAATCATTACCTTTTTATATATCTATAAACAGATGAAACAATATTATAAACACTTCGGAAATCAAAGAATGAGTTCAAAAAAAAATGTATATTTAACTAAGTATAAGAAATTGAGTCATGTAATTTTTTTTTAATTTATGACTATCAAATATGAACTTTCCCATAAAGAATTGAATTATGAGTGTTATGTATAGAAAAACTGTGTTTCTTACTTTTCAATTCATATCAGTTTCGGTCATTTTAGTTTATTTAATTTTTTTTGAACCTCTGTACTTATATTGAAGACCAGCAGTCTTACGAAAAGGTATTTTTTTCCCGCGGTTTATGTGACACAAAACTGTTTAAGTTTTTTAATAAAACTCTTTTTGCATACATCTTTTGTTTATTTGACAAAATATAAAATATGAATGGAGCACTTTACACGGAATGAATGGAATGTGGTGTTCGAAACACAAAAGATAGGTACGGAGGGTTGCATATGGAAACAAAACTACGTTTATTTTGCAAATTCAGATAATTTTGAAAAATATCGCTTTATATGAGATTTATTAAGAATGACTTTCTAAGATATTCATAATAAATTAGATGACAATTTATGTGGCAATCAATAAATAAAGCAGTGCCAGTTATTTTTTTTTCGAAATGCCTTGTTTACAGACACACAATTGATTAAATTTATGTATAATAGCATGTTATATATAGCCACAAAAGAACTGCCGATTGCCGAGTGATCCGCGTAAAGGGTTCAGCAATACAAACAGCAGTGCCGCAACACACAGAATGGACAAATGAATGTATGTCCAAGCAAATATTTACCAACAGGGCATCGATCTGGTAACTCGTGCAGAAGACGGGAAAACCATCGACCAACAAAGAGTTTGTTTGCTGGTTTGTACTATTATTTGAACAAAACAGATTTCATTGTTATACAGTTATAATAATTTTAATATTCGAATTGTACGTAAAAAATTAAAAGCTATTTTAATTAACTTGCGTCGAATGACGCATATTAATTGCACACGTAAAGCCGCTTTGGTAATTGAGTAAGAAAAAAACGGATATTTAGCGCAGTTTCGTTCATCTTCAAGAGCCTGCACTTCACTTGATCCTGACTATGATAATTCCTACGAGAAGTGCTCTTCCAAGTCCTTACGAGATCGCGATTTCTCATTTCGTTCTGTCAGTACTCGAGCAAATTGTTTCTGTGAGAGTTTATTTCGTAAATTACGTTCTGTAAATTGGACAGCATTTTAATATTTATATTTATCTGCGACATATATTGTATATTACAAAAAAAATACAAGCGTTATATTATTATTATTTTAAATTTTAAGTATACATACTTTACAAAATATCTACATAAGATTTTCAAGTAAAAGTATTACTTGACTCGAACCTGTTTCGCTCTGTTCTTTGAACGGGCTTTTGCTATTTCAAAAATAAATATTAAAGGCACCTATATTGTAGTCAAACATGAAAAATATTTGGCATCCCGCTTGGCGGATTCCAAATTGCGAACCGCGTCGGGGTGTATTACGTCTTACGCTTCACGGCACCGGGATAAAGGCACGTTCAGATAAAATTATGCATAGCACCGAACAAACGATATATTCCAAGTTCCAACCAGTAACCATTTCACAATTGATATGCTATTTACAAAAAATAAATATATCTGTTTTAACGAAAACTCTTCTAATTTTATAATGCTTGTCTCTAATTTGAAACACAGTCATAAATCCATTGTAGGGATGTTTTTAATATATTTAATTTTTGTACATTTACTTTTTTTACAACAAAGTTGTTATGAAATAATGAAAAGTGTAAGAAAGGATTGCTGTAGAGGAGTTTAATGATAGTTAATAACTATGAACTTAATAGGTTTAATAAAATACATATGGAATATTGTTTTTTTTTATATTTCATTCCGTTATTTCTGTATGTAACACTTGTAAACATTCTGTATTTGTCCTCTGGTTGTTTCAAACGTTTCTGTTATTGTCAGGCATTGTTAGTCGTCAGCTTTACGCGGGGGGCACATTTGTTACATATCTGAAGGTGATTTATCACATTAACATGATTTTGACGAGGCCATTATTCGATGGCTGTGAAACAAATGATTACAAATGAATCGGGTGGTGTGAGCGGGGAGCGTTGCCATGACAACGCGAGACGATCGATCGCCCTCCCCCTCAGACCGCGCGCCTTCAATTAAATAATGATTCACACGTTGGCTATGATGAAAACGCATTATGTGAAAACCTGTTCCGGATAATAAATACATATGTACAAAGGGGGCGGCCTCTACGGTTTACGATGTCAAAGGAAAAGGGAAATATGTCATATATAAGTACGGTTTCAATAGAGATGGAACAATGAACCCCGCTCTTTATAAAATTTATTGGATACTTAAAGCGGAATTAAAACTGTTACACTGTCTATTATATTACTTCAAACCAATCTTAAGAGTAACGACAATTATAAGGAACTAAATCCAACAATCTTGTTGATTTTCTCTCAAATTAACTCGTTAAATTTACTTATTTCTTTTAATCTTATAACGACAATAATACGTTTCAATGAATATTACATCAATTTCAAACTAATATCAAGCATTACTTAATATCTCTTTGATTAATTATTAATATTCAATCACAACATAAAGATTTATCATATTAAATACATACAAATGTATTTGTATCTTCACTTTCCATCTAGGTCGATGTTTAAAAATGGGATAGACTATTGTGAGTCTATAAATAAAAACTAAAGCCTCCTATAACTTTAATGGGGTCGGACCAATATTGAAAATATACTTGACGGGTCGCCTACTGAATAATGTATATTCATTGAAATACAAGCAAAATTGTTGTAATTTAAGCATAACAAGGAAAGAATAATATTCATGGCAATCAGATTAAAGCGGTTTTGATTGAAGGCGTGAGGATAATTTTTTTAAAGTAGGAAGGCCTTTCAATATTGGGAGCTAGAATATTTGTGAAAAACTTTAAAGCATTTCATAAAAATAATATTCATAAAAGAGATTTCATTATAATTTTCATTTGTACTAACTAATAAAAGTATTCAAATAATTTAGAAAGTAATCTATTCAAATAGAATGAGCTTTAACATATGTTTTCACCAAAAAGATCAGAACGTAAGTGTTGTGTTGATTCATATTTTAAAGATTCATTGGTTTTAGCGAGCGCGGTCCGGATTTAATACTGTTACGTAAGATTAAAATTGGTCCATTGGCGGTTACGAAAGGCTTCCATTTCCAGTAAACGATTGGCTGGCTTGGTCTCTGCCATATCTACACCAGGTCTATACGAGCACCTAAAATAGAGCGTTTAAATACGGCGCGGCAAAGCGTTCCCAATGTAAGCTTTTATCGGATCAGACAGGCTAAACTTTTACCAACCCCCTGTTAGGGGCTCTAAGTCTCTCTCAGACTAAGTTTGAATATTATGTTATATTATGTACTTCAAAGAGATTATGATTTGAGGCACAATGTTTGTTAGTCTCGGCAAGACCCTTTGTTAAAATCTACGCGATTAATATACGTACAATAACCTATCATTTTCTTTCAAATTTACTTTGTTATTCCATTTTTTGAACGCTAAGAAAGCCGAGAAAAAAACCCACATTTCCTTACTCTTTAAGCAATTTGGATGTTATTAAATGTATATAATTACGTAAATATGTAAATAAATTGAAAATTATCAGTAAATTAACTTTCTCAAGATAACTATTTCAGTTCACAGAACAATTAAGGTACAAACAATCTTTCTCATATATTCTTATATATACATCCACATATCCCATAAAATATAGTTTCCTTAGAACAAAAAAAGAGAAATCATTTCACGGTTCATTATGTACAACATTAAATTTACTGAAGCTGAATGGTCGTCTATCCGAGAGAGATCTTCAAAGGAATTATGGAATGTAAATAGAAATAAATTTGGACACCAAAGCATTCGAATGTTCATATTTTAATTAGATTTAGAATCCACGCGAATGATCGTTCTTCGTATCTCTGCTTTTCAAACGAATGCGCGTGTTAGTGGTGGATTTTAATTAAATTCTCGTAGCGAGATAGCGCACGTTGTTGACTTTATATTTCGCTTTTTTCCAGTGATTTGCTTGCAGCCTGAAATTGAAGTACGTTTACCTTTCAGAGAACATTCCATGGTAGTGATAATGTTCTACCTCTACGATGCGGTGATCATTCCAAGTCCTAATTTGTTAATACACATCTATTATTATAAACATGGAAATGCAATAATTATTCATGTATTTATTTTATAACACTATCAAATAAAACTAAATCATTTGTGTGCATATTTCAGGTGTATTTATGGCTGGCCAGCAAACTCATCAAATTTTCGTCGGGTGTACAAGCGAAGCAATTAATACCCATTTCAATCATACGTGGGTGAGTACCGGGCTTAATTATTTCCCCTGTAGCTTTGTTCAGTGGAATAAACAGTCCTCAGGTGATAATAGCGTGACTTGTAACTAACTATTACACTGGCTCCGGTATATACAGAGAGACAATAATATGAACACAGTTTAATAACAAAACCCTTTCGGTTAACCGACATATGTATCGATAGTTTATAGATTGTGTGGTTTTTTGTTATTTTTAGTTAAAACTCCCAACTAATTCGCGTACTAAATTAATTTCGAGTTACTCCGCAGATATAATAGATGAATGGGAGCATTTGAAATGTTGTTTCTTTGTCTTGGGAAAAGTAGGGCTCAAAATATAAGATTTCCTTTTATGCTACCTTTACAATTTAAATCCTCTTATAAAATGAAAAGAAATTCTAGCAACTCCTCCATTATACCAAAATGAAAAGCTTAGGAAACAAAGACATTCGCAATTTTTCCTACTGCTGTGTATTTCTTGCTCAAATCCGACCTGCCAACTAATTGGTTCGGTAAAAGGGTGGAGTAGCTCTTGCATCGTTGTAGGGTACAAGAGAAATTTCTTCATTGAAATACGTGAAGTATGCAGTGCGAAGTGTAATAAGTATTTCTATAGGGTGGTGCTGCGAGGGCGGCGGTCGAGCAGATCAAGGGCGCGCGAGGCTGCGGGGGGTTGGCCGGGCGGGAGGGAGCGGGCCGCGGGGGAGGGATGCTGCGCGGTAATGCGCGCAGATCAATATCTCATGTTGCCGGGGTGATGCCGCGCCAGACCGAGTGCCTCCCGTACTATGTCCCCCCTCATTTGCCCACTACTCGCTTATTTAATACATGCCGTATCAGGGATGCGAGCTTTTTCATGTTAAATGACAGGGCAGCGTAATACACTTTAATTCCGAGTCACCGCGCCCGTAATAGACACAGCCATTGAGTTATGGGCGGCCCCTCGCCAAAAATCTCCCTACTGAAGTTCGTACTACGACATTGACCCCCATACTTAGAGTATTCGCGAAATCTTCCATCACTTTTACCCCACATAGCGTAAGAGGACAATGATCAACACTCCTCACTGACACACTTAATGAAATAATATTTATTTTTATATATTTCGAGTACTACTACACTTTTCCAGACCATATATTACCTATTGATCGATCAAGAAATAACTTTAAATATGAATTAAATAATAATTTATTTCCATTAAACATTACAATGACATAAGACTAATTAAAAATAAAATACGCAACATCTATTTCATAATTATGAAGAAAATAAAAATAAAATACAATTAATTATTCCAACGAAGTCACATCCTTGTATGGAAGTTTTCAGTCGTCTATCTTTCGAGTAAATTTTTTGCTCTTCATAAAATTCCGTAAAATTATTTTTCCCTCACCTTAATAGCAGCGGACGGAAATAGCCGTCTCAAGCGTAATTACATCCTAAGCCTTAATTAATTCGATCAAATCAATAGATTGGAAGATTCTGTTCATAATTAAAATAATAAAAAATCTTGAAAGCTGAAATAACATCATTTGAAAAAATATCCCGCTGCCAGTTACGACGATCTTGCATTTTTCCTGCAAAAAGACAAAACCAAATTAATGTTAATTAACTCAACGAGAACAAAGGCGGAGGGATTAGCACTTTGTACGGAAAACTGAAAGGCATCTTCAACATTTTGTTCTACACTAGAATGAAGCATTTTCATTATGATTAATATCCAAGACTTTTATTATAATTTAAAAAAAAATACAATGAAATTATATAACGACGTCGTATTTTTTAAGAATCAAACAATGGATCAAAAGTAAATATTTTGATCAAAATAATAATAGCATATACATACATATATACATATTGTTTTTTTCATGACAAAATATTTAAATATAAATCTTTGTTTATTGTTTTATTCGGCTATTTTGCGGGTGTTTGTGATGTTTGGGTCAAAGCCAGACAATGGGAGTTATTTAATTGAAAGGGTAAAGTTTAAGTTGACAAAAGAATAGATCAAGATTCATTATGTTTTTGAATATTATTTTTTAATGGCAAAAAAAGATTTGTTTGGTGTGATCGAAGTTAATTGTTAGAATATTAATTTTGAAATAAGTTGCATGTCTCAAGTCCTATGACCGGGTCGATTCAGCTAAGGTGGACGTAATATAAGTAATGGATATCGTTCTCCATGAAACAAAACTAATTTAAACCTATCATCCTTAAGTCATTTGATCATTATATTGAAGTTTAAAATTTATATATTAATACAATCCATTTTAAGCAAGTCTTAAAAAAACGAAGACCTTATAAATAGACCATCGCCTAACATAATAATAAAATGTAAAAATCGGTATACATAATTTACACTTCAATTTACAGTGGCTATAATCGCCTTCAAACATCGCTTTGTCAAACCAAAAACAATTTTCATTTACGAATGAAAACAAAAAAAAAGCGATTGCTTTACTTTGTCACCTCTACTTGTTAGTACCAGTCAGTTTGCTGTAAACCACAAAAAGAGTAGTATATATATACTAGAAGACCCGGCAAACTTCGTATTGCCCTATAATCAAGAAATATCTGTTACGTTTTTTTATTTATATTTTTGGAGTTTACCTATCAAAGCCATAAATCTCCGTGTTTTGAAGTGCGAGAGAATGATTGACATATAAGTTAGTTGTCAAATCTAATGTCAAAAAAAAGTTTGTATCAACAACTACTAATAAATTAAAAATAATTAAAAAAACATTGTCCAGCGGACAAAATTGTGAATCTAAACCATTCTCAGATCCCCTTGAACAAACACAAAAAAATTCATCAAAATCGGTCCAGTCGTTTGAGAGAAGTTCCGTGACATACACAGTCACAGAAGAATTATATAAAGATATACATACAATGTATATTTAGAAGGGTAGTTGTGTGAGTAGCGCGACGCCCCTCATGATCCAGTGGTCGGGCGGCTGCGAGGTCGGCAGTCTCATGAACAAGATGTAGTTGGTGGAGTGACCCGTAGTGGACAGGACACCGCGCCGGTCACCCGTCTTATATAACGGACAGTTGTAGAACACGTCCGTCGGTACGTCCTCTCTCTTCAATGGTATCAACCACACCTACAGAATTACGCACATTTTTATTAAAGAATATTTTCTATTTCAAAACTTCCAAGTTATCTCAAACAGAACGATATATAGACGTAAAATATATATAACAAGTTTCTTTTAAAAGATTTGGTATAAATTTCAAAACAGACTTCTGTAATTTGGAAACAAATGCTCATCCACCTAAATCCATCCCAGACTTATAAGATACATGTATGTATGTATGTAAATCTCATCATAATACCAATATTTATATGACGTGTTTCGCTTACCGGCGGAAAGTCGTCGTAGAGTACTTTCGGGTAGGACTCATCTACATAGTAGTCTTCGTTATTCCAACGAGCACCTTCCATGAATAACCCTCGGATATAAACACCTTCAGGCGGAGGTGTCTCCAGGTGAGTGGTCCGTTGTACCTACAGCAAATAAATTAATATCAAACATATACTAGTATTATTATCATTAAAGTCGTGGTGGCTTAGTGGTTAAAGGTCCGCCTCTCACGTATGAGGTTGCAAGTTCGAAACCGGGCAAGTATCAACATGCTTTTTCCAAGTCATATGTCTGAGAGTATTTAGACACCATTCACAGACGGCGTAAGAAAATATCGTGAGGAAACCTGGTTTTATAATTTCCAATTATAAGTTTGAAATCACCAACCCGTTTTGAGTAAGCGTGATGATTAATACTTAAATCTCCTCCATATGAGAAGAGACCTTTGCTAGGAGCGGGCTCTAATAGGCTGATGATGATGACTAGTATCGAATTCTAAGTTTATCATAGAACTCACCTCATAATGAAATGCCAATTGGTCAATAGGTATCTTGTATTTTCTGGCGTAACTCTGTTGAGCTGCTGTAAGGAAGGCTTGTGGGAAGTAAAACCCGGACAACCAGAACACTACAGGCGGCCCGTATTGATGCCAGTGCTACAAACAACATATATTAATTACGCCAAATAATTCTGTATTTAAAAATATAAAAACAAGTGTTATCCCTACTAATATTATAAATGCGAAAGTAACTCTGTCTGTCTGTCTGTCTGTTACGCTTTCACGCCTAAACCACTGAACTGATTTTAATGAAATTTGGTGCAGAGATAGACTTAACTTCGAGAAAGAACATAGGATAGTTTTTATCACAGATTTTTGAAAGGTTCTCTTGGAAACGCGATATAACCAAACTACACGCGGGCGGTAGGCTAGTTCCAAATAAAACGTTCCTAAAAGACGAATATTTATGTATCGCGTTGTTTTTACCTGTAAGAACTCCAGTCTAGCGAGGAGGTCGTTAAAGTACCCAGCCAGTGGTTTTAGGGAAGGGTAACTCTTTCCCTGCCACAGAGCGGGTATGCGGCCGCGGACCATACTAGTGAGAACCTCTTCTGTTATATCGTTCAGAACACTGATACCTGATGGCACATTTAAAATATAACATACTCAATCTCAAATATCAGATCTTTAATAAAACTTTAGTACTTCTTTATTATATTCTTAGCCATATATTTTAATTTTAAGTTGTAATCAGATAAAGTATTGAGTTGTTGACAGAGCTAATTTCAGGAACATTAGAAACTTTGCAATTTAAATTGGTTTCTTGTGAAAATTTGGTTGTCATTTTCCGATATACAATAAACCTACAATAAGAAACTGAGGTTGCAAGAGGATTGGTTAATTTTTTGGGTTCTCAAATCCACAGAGTATCAAGTTGGAATACCCGGTGAAGAAAAAAGGAAATTTTGCTGAAGTATGTATATTAACATCAAATTTGTTGGCTTCGCACGAATTTAATATCAGCTCCAAACAATATCTAATTTTATGAAAAAAAAAATATAAATAGAACTTTAATTATACCAATAAAAAAATATTCTAAAATACAAATATAATAAGAAGCACTTTCAATTTCCTTTTGATATTAACAACAAGGTAAAAAGCAATCTTTGTAGCCTGTCAACTTCACGCGCCGTCACCGCCTCTCTATACTACATTTTTCGTGATGTCTACTTTATTAGGAAACTGTCGGGCTACAGACGACGGATTCAATTATTATAACATTCAATTAAATGTATGAGAAATTTTAATAACATTATAAACAAGCAACGTTCCTTATTCCCAAAAAAGGGTTGATGTCAGGCAGGCGGCCGGTCGTAAAAACAATTAGCCAAAACTATTTACAGCATATAAGGCAGACCCTGGCTAAATCTGGGAAACTGGCAGATAGAAGAAGAAACAAGTAATATTCCTCTCAATTTCTGTCTGACCTTGAACAGCTCCGATGACGGCCCTGGAGCTGCTCCTCACCACGTTCACGAGTCTCTCATATCGAGCTGCTTCTTGTATTACAACGATGGACATGGGCGTCATATCAGCCGGCTTGATGTCCCCCTCGTGTGAAGGACCCCTTAGTATGCTCGTTGGGAGTCGCGAGAGTATATCCTCAGCTATCGCCATAGCCTGCTGTTCCGGAGTAGCGCCCCCGCCGCCCGCAGCCATTGTATCCTAATATTATTGATCGTAGCTATAATAATATCTCTAACAGAATTCAACACAAAGAATTTTAATAAAAAAATCATTCAAACCTTTAGTAATAACATTATAAACTGTTTGTACTCACCAAATATACTTTCAAACGATCCTGAGGGCATGGAAATTAATAAAGTAACTAAGATACTCTAATATTATAAATTAGTTTTCAATCATTACGATGTAACTCACCGTTCGATCCTTGTTGCGACGATGGTGAGATGAAATGAAATAAAATATATAATGAACTATAACAGAAATACAAAATTATTATAATGATATTAAGAATTAAAGTATCCCCATAAACTGTTACTTCATAAAATCGTAACTCACAGTAATCAACAGTAAATTGATAGTGTGCTTTAATGCAACGGACGTTTCTTCTCAGAAATACTTATATACGGCTTTGCTAAAGCATACAGATTATTTTGAATTAAGAAGATACTTTAACGTAGACTGAAAGAACGAGCAATTTCACTACGTACTTACGCCACCACGAGGAAAATAAATATAAGGTTCATTTTCTGAAACTGCTGTAATTTAAAATTCACTAGTCTAAATAAATAAGAGTCGATCTCAGAGCCGGCTCGTAAGATATATTACAACACTTAGTACCACATGTGCTATATTTCTAATTATTCCTCTGTCTACTTCTTTATCAAACAGATCTCACAATACTTATACTGAATTTTCTCAATACTTATTAACTTTTTGTATAAAAAAATGTCTTTTTTATACCTGAGTAAGTACACCAGTGCTAAGTAATTCTTCTGCCTCACGGAAATGCTTAGTGATGTCAGCGTTGGGATGGAAACCGAAAACACTAGGAGGAGTCGCCACGGGCAAAGAACGAGCGAAATTGATGAAGTCACTGTGTTCACGGAGAGTCGGGATATGATATACACCTAGAGGGATTATGAAGAATATTATCATTCATACGCGGAATACTCAAAAGCAATTACGTATATTTTACACATGTTATAGGGAATTCAATAAGTATTTTTTTGGTAAAACATGAAAAATTTTAAACCAAATCTCTTTCTTCAGGCAAAATTGATAGAATTATGGTAATTTTTTCATTGTGGCTACTCCAATATAATTCAACATATAAAATATTTAAGTTACAAAAAACAATCTGATTCTCCATTTAGTCTTATGAATGTCGTTTTAATTTACCGGTGGGGTCCAAGGGGTATTTCTCTTCTTCTATAGCCCTTGTATTATAGAACTTGTACAGTATGGTGTTAAGACAGCGCCGGTCCCAGTCATCCGTCACTCTTCCTCCATAGTTACATTCTCCTGTTAAATACCTCAGAGCTACGAATTGAACATCCTGCAGGATATGGTAAATTAGAAATTATCGCTGTCATATCTATTGCTACTGATGTTGAGCTCATATAAAAAAGTACATATAAATGCCGTATCCAACTTACATCGTATTCATTAAGGAACATGTACAATTGAGTGACGCTGATGCGGAGATCAGTTTCGTTGAACTCGTATCGAATGTTCCACCCGAGAGGTCCGAACTGTCTTCGTTCTTGAACAACCGCGTGGAAGAAGCAAAGTGAAAACAACAGTTTCTTGAAGATCTCCGGTTGTTTATTTCCTTCGAACCACTCCAAGTCATTGATGGGATCGCTTTGATACGACCGGGCTATGTTTGCTCGTAAACCTTACAAATAGAATTAAATTGTAACATATATACGAAACTCATGAGTTCTTCCATATATTATGGATTCTTTCGTTACCTTGAGGCGGTTCGTTGGTCATTTTGACACCATTCTGAAGAACATAGACGGGGAAATGATCAGCTGGATATGAAGTTAACCACAACCTAAAGTCCGGGTGGGTCGAGTCTGGCGTCAAACCTTCACAAATCTATAAAAATGAGCACTATTTTAATAGTTATTCTGTAACTTTGTCTTTATTAAATTAAAGTATTCAATTTCAAAAATGGAGAGAGAGGAACTTGGACGGTGCTTAGACAGAGGCCCCTTAAACCTACATCTGGGTCGCAAGTCCCAGGCACTGTTGTAGCTCTTCTCCCTGTGACGCGACGGACCCGGCACTCACACGAAGAATCCATTGAATGCTAAGAGGTTTTTTCTCATACCTTCTCCAACATTGGCATCCAGCTCTTAGCCAAGTGACAGTTCTGTAACACCACCCAAGTACCACTTCTGACGCCCTCATCGATTAATTTAACAGCGATTGGACCTTGACCTTGGCCCAGAGATAACGAAAATAGACGCGAAGAACCGAAACCCTGAAACCGAAAATAAATAACGTTCAATTCTATATTAGAGCCATCGAACAAATATATTGTTCTTATTATTTTTTTACCTGATCGTCAGCAAATTTGAGTAATGTACCCATAGGGTCTGATCCCGGAGTTAGAACAAAAAGGAGTGGGATACAACAATGGGAGTCTCCGTAAGACGAGGCAAGGTCAAAGAGCGGGGGCTCTACAAACTGACGACCCATTTGAGCTGAAAATACAATCTTGATAGAACTAAATATATGTATAATGTATGAGTGTATGTATAATTCAAGGGAATAATTATAAATAATTGTGAATATCGATGTTATATTTTTAAAATAGTTCTAGGATTAGGAAGCATTGAGCTGCAAAGGAAAAGTTCGATCCAATCAGATAGTAAACGGCAAAATATATCTTACCTTCTACAAAATTTTGAACCGCAGGCACCATCATGTCCAATCGCATACAACGTAACACCATTATTTTCTAAGGAGAAAATAGTACCATTACTACTAATTACATCATTTATTATTACGAAAACATAAGCTACCTTATAGTTTATCCCATTAAAGTTTGAGACAATTAATGATAAAAGCAAATCAGTGGATATAAAGTGTGTAAATCTGGTGATTCTAAGTTATTGTCAAAGGCAACCTCAAACATGTCCAACTGAGTATTGTAAGGCGCTGGTAAAGGCTGGTTTTGAGGGTCGGGTCTATTGCAGTAGGCCTCCCATTTACTCGTGTTTGCTAAAAAGTGGTCAAGAATGCCGTCGAACTTCTCAATCTCGTTCAAGCTGAAGAAGAAGCACATAATATTAATTGCTTATTTTTTTTGTGATTGTCTGAGTTGATATGAAAATGAGAGGCAAATATGTAAAAAGACATTTAGTTCTCTATATCTACCATTTTCTAAACTACTGAGGACAAGGATATATGTACATTTATAAGGCTTTATATTTTTATTAAAAGAAAGTTTCGTAAATCTAAAGATTAATACTTACGAAACTTTTTCGACTCACCCATTAAACTCAGACCAGTTTTGTGGACTGAGAAAACTCACAGGGTTGGGTACCACGTGCCTCGGCTGCGCGCCCGCCAACAGAAACATCACGTTGACTTGAGACAGGCGGTCCTCCGCCACCATTATCGTCACCGTTAATAATAATGAGAACACCAACTTGTCCTTAAAATTAAAAATTATATTCAACGTCTGTTTCCTAGTTTTTTTTTTTTTTTTGGCATTTTAAACAATTTCTAGTTCAAGTAAGATCAAAAGACAAAGACTTTTAATGAGATTCAATTGTAGTACTGTTTTGGTGTTTATGACATTCAAAAAAATGTTTTATAATCTCTAACTCTTTAATTTTAATGACTTAAACCGTTTTGACAATAACTAATCGTAGAAGATTAAACAAATGTTGATAAAAACCTTTTCAAACAGACTTCTACATATATTTGCATACAGTGAGTATGTGAAATGAGCTCTTAATATCTCCAATCTTTCTGGAATTTCTTCCACTTTTTCCGTGTTGTCAATAGAAGCTGTGAACAGACCCTCAAACCATCCCAAAGAATATTGGTACATAGGATCGATGTTTGCCAGTGATGCTGATAGAAACAAATTTCACTAATTAATAAACATGTTTTATATAAGAAAAGTAATGCAGACTAAATAATTAGTAGTTACCAATAAGGAAGAAAAGATTTGTGGAATGTACTGCTATAGGCACATAGTTGTCTCTGGCTTCGTCAATTTCCTTTTCTGTGGCCGTCGCAATAACTTGCTTTTCTTTTATCTCGTTTGACATATCTTTGGCAGAGTTCAGGATCTGTAATCGTTAGTATTCTCAGTTTCTGAGTTCTGACTTTCTGGGTTCTGATTTTCAAAATCGAAATCCATTCAAAAAATATTTTTATATATTACCTGAACCGCTTCTTCATCTTCGAGCAGATGTTCAGAGGTGGATAATACGTTTAGAATTTTCTTTTCAATTTCCTGAAGTAGTCTCCTGTGTTCAGCTCCTTGAGTCGTTAAATCGGCTTTAGCTTGCTGCAGGTCCGGTCTCTCACGAGCTACAACTCTCGCTAATAGTTGTGCTTGTAAACCATCTTTTGCGAGCATGAAGTTTACTAAGGTTACACGAACTCCAACCTCCGGTAAGTAATGAGGATTCGCTAGTTTCGTGCTTATATAAAGTCTGCAAAATTGAATAATAAAATTTGAGATAGGCTGTAGTTATAATGAGACTGTCATCACAAAACTTACTTAAAATCTTTGCTGTATTCAACAATAGTATCTCCGATCTTGATACACAGGGCACCTCCTTGTCTAAAAGTTTGTTGCTGCAGTAACGGTTCCAACATTGGATCCAGTTCTTCTAATACATTCTCAAGCAATACCTATTTGGTCAATAGTAAAATGTTCTATATTTAACAGTCTTTCAGAAAGAGTCCAATAACACTTTTTTGTGAGAGCTAAAGGTCTAAAGGGGGGCGGCAAAAGCCCCAGAAAAAAACAGGGGGATGTCGTGTAGAGAGGTGATTTAAAATATAGATTAAAATAAAATTAACAAGGCTTAGTTATAATGCTTTTTCAGTAGTTTAAAAATGGGGGGCGCTAGAAAATAATTTATTCTTAAAGGGGCAGTAGACAAAGTAATTTTTGAAACCCTTGGTTAAAAAATGTTGCATACAAATAATACATAAAACACTGAGATTACCGGTTGACCGAACTGCACGGCATTTTCTAAGACGCGTCCTAAGTCTGCCTGTGTCATACGAACTACGCTCAAGTTATTCGGTTTCTCCATATTTTTGATCCAACGGTTAGCTTGTCCTTGAGGATCTATCATCAGAGGCCATCGTCGGGCTGTCCTATATACAAAATTTTTATATAAACAAATTTTCATGAAAAATAGAGCATTTAATATTTATTTCATTATTAACAAGGTAATAAGGCATTTTTTTCAACGGAAGGTGGTCTACAAACATGATAATGATGGCGCTTTCAACACTGAAGTCATCAGCAGGTAATCCGTCAATATTCCACTGCTGAATGGTAACCGGCTCACCCAGAGACTTGATCAGACTGAACTTTAAGGTGCACACGATGCCGCAGTCATGACAGGCCTGGGCCCATTTCTGTACCTATATATTAATTACATCCTTATATATTTATTCTTTGCTCCATTTGTGATGTATATAACAAAAAGAAGACCTTTATGTTATTCCCTCATAATAGCAAATGCAAAAGAACCATCCAAATTATTTCTATACCATCATTGTTTTTTTATCACAAATCAGACATGTATATACTGCGCTATTATACGAGTATTATTACTACGACAATAATAGAATTGTAACTCTTACCTGATCATTTCTAAACGCTGCAGTAAAGGGACCAAGATATGCAATGATTCCAGCGGCTATTAAAATATCACCTAAAATAGAATGTTATTTAAATAATAGCACTATGACCTAAAAATATGTGTCTTATTTAATTATTTAAATAATAGCACTATGGCAATAAAATGTTTAATTTAATTTAAATATTCCAACCGGTGAGTGAGTTGTATGTTTCACGAAGTTGTTTCGCAATTTGTGTCCATCGATTCTTCTCTCCCCCGAGGCCAGATATCAACATCTCGGCTCTCTTCAGTTTGTTGCTACAGTCCATAACTTCATCGTCCAATATTCGTTGCTGCCGATTTTGCTCCGACAACGCTGCTTCTAATTTCGCTAATTTTTCTTGGACCTAGAATTAATATGTACAAAATTTTTACACATTGTTACGAAAATCTTTATATATATAATTCTTCTGTGAGTGTGTATGTCACTGAACTTCTCTTAAACGACTGGACCGATTTGATGAAATTTTTTGTGTTTTCAAGGGAATCTGGGAATTGTTTAGATTCACAATTATGTCCGCTGGACAATGTTTTTTAAATAAATTTTTAATTTATTAGTAGTTGTTGATACAACCGTTTTTTTTGACATTAGATTTGACAACTAACTAATATGTCAATTATTCTGTCCCACTTCAAAACACGGAGATTTATGGCTTTAATAGGTAAACTCCAAAAATATAAATAAAAAAAAGGTAACAGATATTTCTTGATTATATGGCGATACGAAGTTCGCCGGGTCTTCTGATATATGTATATATTATTGATTGAGAACTACAATAATATCCTGTCAAATGGAACTATACTATTACATAACTTTCACTTATTTACCTCCCTTAGCTGTGCTTGCTTGATGGCGAGCGCTGCCATGGCCTTATCGTAAACTGCCTGAGCGGCTGCTAAACGTTGCTTTTTAGGCGCGACCACCTTTGCCACCTTATCGTACTTTGTCATCGCAATCACCCACTTGCACATGCCTAAAATATGATAAAAGTTAATTATTGCTTCTTCATGTTGTTTATGTCTCTGGATGTTAATAAGGTAAGCAATGGTTTAAAATTATGACGTGAATTTTGGAAAGTTCATAAAATAATACTAGACCTTCAGCAGCAACCGAAACAGCCCTAATTTTTTCAGGAACAAACCCATCATCTTGCATCACTGTATTCATAAGCTTCTTCATGACTGGAGGAGGAATGTTATCCTTATCATAGTTCTGAAGTGACTCCAAGAACTTTATATCATTAAGAATCTTCTTCGAAGGACCCCAAAAATCTTCGATGGTACCAACTCCCGATGGATTTGGTATTTTATCAGGTTTGACTTCCTAAAAATTAAATGCTTATCAAAAATTGCTACACTGAAGAAAAATTTCGTAAATACAAAAGTAATATTTGTTATTAAACATTATTCACTTCATTAGAACAAATTATGTCTATTCATAATTTCTTACCGGATCATCCTATAGAGACAGCAAGAAGAAAACAAAAATAATTAAAGAATTTGCTCAAAATCAACTACTACATCTTCTTGTATTACCTTCAATATACAGATGGCCTCCATGACCAACCTAATGCCTCGAGGCGGACTCTTCATAGTTTTGATGAACGTGATGTCTTGCGGAGTGAGAGTGTCCAAGGCCGCCAGCGCCGCGTTTAAGATCGGCATCGCTTCCGCCAAGTCCGCGTCGCACTCGTCCTTGATAGCTTGAGCTTCTTGTGCCTATTCGGACGAGTTGTATTAATCAGTAATAATCATTGAAGTATGATCCTTAAATACATGAAGATAAGGTATTATACGTGGCTAAGACAATAAATTAATTCTCACATGTGAACACAATATGAACCAGTCTTACATAAAAAATATTTTTAGAATTGCCTAGTTTATTGAATAAATCCATTGAAATGGTCTAGTATGTATGAAGTACATGTAGTGAACATGAGAAATCAGACGCTTACTTTATATTGATAGTATTTTTTTTGAGACTAAAAATCCTGCTTAGTGTCAAAATTTAAGTCTTCATCTGGACAGGTGTAACGTGATACCGTTATTATGGCGTTCATGAGAGTGTAGACACCTGATATTTTTAAATACTGTTCTACTCTTACTTGTTTTCGATTTTGTTGAGTTTATTTTAACATGCTATTTATTTCAACGTCAAGTTCGATTTGATGGTCGCAAAATCCTTAATTGTAATCAAGTTTGAGCATTGCACGTCTTGCATTTACTATCGTTTTATGGAATCTACATTTCATAATATAGTTAAAGAATGAGTTATTAAAATGTGTATCGACCTGTTCTTCTGCTGCCGCTTGATCTACTAATACTTCAGCTTCAACCAGAGCTACTCCCTCCTTTTCTTTCTCCACCTTGGCCGTGGTCTCAGCAACGGCGGCGGCTCCAGCAGCTAACTTTGGTTGTAACACTTCCAAGGCCTGTTGTAGAGCTGCTACCGACTTAGCAGCTATAGCCAGCTGGTCCAAACCCGTAATGTAACGTTTTTCTCCAGTTAAGAGCTCGCTATCAAATAGAAAATATATTATATATATTAAAAGTAATATAATTCTTAACAAGAAATTTCACAGAAAACTTACGTTCTCTTTTTTGCTAACAAAGATTTAAACATATTAATCAATTCCAGATAGGCGGTTGGTGTGACGTAATTGTATCTTTTCAGTCGTAATAAGAATTGTCTCGTCAATTCTTGGGTGTCAGTGTGGAACATTTGACAAAGTTTGATAGCAGTATCTCTCTCCAGGTCTGTTAGCTCGACGTCTTTCAAAAAGCGAGTTGCTACAGCTAGCAGAGCGTCGGGAGGCCATTCCTAAAACAAACAAGCAATTTCAATATGTATGTATGTATGTATTCCAAAGAAATACTATTAAAAATAGTCTTTGTCTAACCTGGAACCAGTCAATAGTGCAACAATTGACAAGTGAAGGGAATTTCCTGATACGAGTTCTGAGGGATGTTCCGGCAGGAGACATCGCTAGTACAATGTGTAACTGGTCACGAACAATGGAAACGAAGTACGCGTACAGCGCAGTTGGGCTACCGTCTGTTTGGAGAGATTTATCACGTTGTCGGTCGATCTGAAAGTTTATGAAGAATTTATAAAAATCTTGTGTTGTCGTAGTAAAATTTGAAAATTAAAGCGTTTTTGAGATAATAACTCAAAAATTATTGTAAGAATTTAATATCAGTAGTGGTATCTTTGGAAAGTGTCTTCTATAGAGCTAGTTAGAAAACATTGACTAAGAAAACCTAAAAGATGGCACCTCCTTCCGGATGTGATAGTTATATTTATAGATTACTTATTTCATCGACTCGAATCCAGAGACGATAGCTTCTGTAGGTAAAATAACTAGTACGTGATTTTCTGGAGTTATGAAGTTGGAATTCTGTTCATCTCAATGAATTTATCACTACATGTTTTTTTAATTGATATTTGAATTGGAATCTTTTGGAATATTGGAATTTTAAAGTTTAAATATCACAATTACTGCTTCTATATACTTACCACTCTCATCTTCTCACATAACTCTGCTTTCTCATCTGCAACGAAAATGTTTGGAACTTCCCCAGAATTCAACATATTATTGACGTCCTCCAGAAAACCTTCCTCTTTTATCTAAGGAAATTATTAAAAATAAAACTCATTATGATGTATATAGCTCATAATAATAAAAAATGTTTGTAAAACTAAAAATATACCTGCGATTCAATAAACAAAAACACCATGTGCAAATCCGGTGTACTGGATTTTCTCAATAAAGTTTTTAAATCTTCTCGCCATTCAGTTTTTCCATAAGTTCGACTCATTTCGACCTTGATAAAAAAGTGGTGTCAAATCATTTTCTTCCCTTTTTTGTGATTATATTAAAATATTTATCAAAAGCGTAAAAGATTTCAATTCTGCCTAATGTAACATTTTATAAAACTAGTTAGTTAAATGTATTTAGTAGCTGAATGACCATTTTAGTTCAAGACATAATTATAACTCTCGACTCGTCTGCTCTGATCACGGTTGCTGTAAAGTAACCGAAACTATGGGAGTATGTTGTTAAGAATTATTATAAGACGAAGTTATTAGTCCTAATAATATTAGTTTTATTTAAATGAATACTCGCAAAAATCTCAGATCTCAAAACATATACATATATATAACTCATATATATAGGTCATACTAACCTGGAAGAGATCGTACTCATTGATGTGTGCGGCGAGGCGAGTGAGTGATTGTCGCCCGGAGCCTCCCAGACCCACGAGCAGGGCGTGAGAACGAGGCTGAGTTAGAACACGACATATACGAGACACGTGCTCTATAGCGAACCTACGAATGTAGAGATATATAGATCTACTTCTCGATGTCCACGATACAGGCCTAGCCTAGTATGGACGTCAACGTTCACTATAAATTGAATTGTTAAGTGATTTTGTTAAATTGTGAAGTGTTTTAACTTAGTTTAAGTGATTTAAGTGATATTATAAGCATATTTGTAGAACACATGATAAATGTAAACAGCATTTTCACAGTGACTCTAATTATGTCTTAAGCAATTTAATAATAGAAGATATATATGTGTAATAATTTATAAGCTGCAGTGCCACATTAAGTATAACTGAATGTTTAACAGTTTCTAGAAATTTAAGTTTTAAATAGCTTTCTCATGTTAGGTTCGAGAATTTTCTATTTAAATATTATTAGTCACTCAAAAAATTTGTTTTTTGTTAAGTCAATTAAACGTAAAAGAAACAACATAAACTTAAACTTCTGTCTATAAGGAGAAATGTTTCATTATTCTGTGTCCATATTTACCTGAAAAGTACCAAATTCATTGGCTTCTTGGACATGTTGTTGAATTCGACGAGGAAAGCATCAACCGTCGAATTCAAATGCTCCATGTTAGTGGTCTCCATGTAAAAGCGCGTATCCACTTTCGGATTTGCAAAGTCACAGTAGATCAGTTTACGTAAATGTAAATCTGTTATCTGAAATGTTGTAAGAACGGTAAGTAAATTACGTCTTTAGATTTTTTTAAGTATCAAATGATACGAAAAAATACCGTATCATCTGGTCCATCTAGCAATCGTGAGAGTAATTTGTCGAATTCGTCGTTGAGATGTAAATGAGTGGCTTCTCTCAAACACTTCACGAGCCAACTCCTGTCCGCGTCTTCGGTTAGTCGGTCCGAGAACACGCGCAGACATTCGTGCACCCACAGACGTTTAATCGATTGCAAGTCTGGAGTCACTTCTGGCACGGACAGCAATACGCCCTGACGATTACAAATAATACCACATAAATAAACATTTCTTAACGTTTTATAAATTTTGTAGATTGTTATTTTTTTAACCGAAAACGTACCAAAATCACTTTTGAGAAGTCTCTCAGATTAAAAGTGTAGTGAGATTTTGAGGGTGTAGGTAGCAAGTTTAGTCTGCATTGCTTGTATACTTCCAATGTCGCTGATACTATTTCTTCTATACAAGGATCGAAATCTTTAGAAAACCCTCTGGAACATGAAAAGTAATTACCATGTGTTATGACTATGAATGATATATTTAAATCAACATCTATTTATTTCCCATTCACCTTGTGTCCAGATGCCACAGCATGATCCTGCCAAATATTACTTTAAGAGTTTCATCGTCGAACTCATCGATACAGAAAAACGAAAAATGCCGCGAGAATCTTGGTGTGACGAGTTTAGCTCCTGGCGTTGGCTTTCCCATTGCGCACATGAACTAAAAATATATTTAATTAGTAAAATGTATTAAAAGATTGCAAACAGAAATATTACAGCACTATCATACATACTGCAATGAATGATTACGGAATGAATACAATTCATAAATTAGTAATTGGACCTTGCAAACAGCATAAGAATTATATTGCATGAAACATTGTTATCATAAATTTGAGATAGCTCGAATTATAATCTATTTCTATCTTTAGTACTTGGACTGTGAGGCTACAACATATGGGAGAGAATTTCAGTGTACTCGTATATAACAACTAAGTAATTTATAAAAGACATGGCCAACTATTTGAACGAAAATCATTGAAATCGTCTATGTTTCAGGTCTTTATGCCAAAAAATAAGATGCTTTTTAATAAATTATTCATGAGAAACACCAAATAAAATAATAATACATACGTGATTTTCCTTTTTTTGCGGTTTGCCAAAATCACAAATTCCTAAAATCATTTCATTTAATACGACTGTAACAAAGTTTGCGCATGAGTTTGTTATAAATATACATTCCACTGACCTGTACATCAGTAAGATGCATGGCCACATTGGTCTTTCTGTCGTACCACAGTCCAAGGTCAATGCCCTGCCTCAGCACCTCTATAGGAGGCTGAGCCCCGTACGTCTCCGCCTGCGGCATGCTCACGTCGTCCACAAAAACGACGCAGTAACATCCGATTGGTGGCCCAAATACACCTAATTTACAAATTTCTTATATAGCCAAGTGTGTTATTAAATATAGTTAAAACATCATTTTAAGTATTTTAGTATAATTCAGTTTCTCTGCTTATTTTAAGCTGTTTTCCAGAAACAAGAATGATTTATGTGCATTTTTTTTTCAGGTTTTAGCCAAATCCGCTTAGCTATAAAATTTAGAAAACAAAAGTCTGTCCATCAATTACTAAAATAACATATGAAACTTAAGATTTAAGCAGGAATTTATATGGATCTACCATACCTTTTCTTCTTTTATCCAATTTACCCATGATAATATCTTGCGTTTGATTACAGTTTGTTTGAGCTGAGAACGCCATTATGAGGGCCTTGTATACTTTAGTGTCAACGCGTTTAACTAAATAATCCTGGAAATAACATATTATGGAATTAATTTTGAAACTACTTAAGATTGCAAAAAAAATCAGTTTAAATGTTGTATAGTATTTATTAAGTAACCTTCTCACGAAGCGTTTTAATATCGCTGTGAAATAGTTGCCAGTTGATTTTCTTATCAATGAAGATTAATATGTATTTATTATATTACAGAAAAAAAAATACTGTAAACTTTACATACTGGTAGAAATTCTATGACATGAAACCGCTAATCCACGTCTCAGAAAAATGGTGAGTAACTATGATTAATCTTTACAGTAGGTCAACTAATTACAATTATATATGAAGATTTCCCAGTGCCGGTCGGTCCAACCATCATGACTGCCTTATGATGTGTCACGAGGAGCCTGAACAGCGCCAGGTACCGCACGCTGTCCAAGGTCGTCACCAGAATCTGGTTGGGAGGAGTGTCACGACTGATGGGCGGTGCGGACACTACATCATCCTGCCATGGCTTCCATTTACCTTTACCCTAAATTAGATCAATATTTAAATTACCAAATAGATTTGTTATCGCTTACTCCTGCAGCATTCTAAGAATTCTCACCTCCTTGATAAAACGGTAATCATAAACTGTCGCTTCTTTTGGGATGGTAAATATGTATTGCTTTTCAGGTTTGGGAATTTCCTTTGGATAACCCAATACTTGTAAAACCTAAAATATGTAAAACTCTTAAATAGCCTCTTAACTGATTATAATTTGTGAAAATAAGCAAGTTAGTTTATTAAATGAGGACAAATGTTTTTTTGCAGTACCTTCTCGGGAAATTCTTTTTCGAGCATACCCCTAAACAACATATCAAATTTCGGACGCCCGTCACTGTCTATAGTAGCTCCAATAGACCAGATAGTAGAAAAAAAGAACACTCCCTAGTAAAACGAAATGATTTCAGTACATAATCATAATATTTTTTTTTGTTTAATAAATGATGTATCAAATATAAATTAATTTTACCTCAAGCTGCGCTCTTATGTCAAGATCCGATAAAGTTTCCATATATTTTTCATCATAGAAATCATCCATAAAAGTATCAAAAAGATTCATACATGACCAAACCAAATTAGTGCGTGAAGTTACATACATTTGCTGAAAACAAATTTCAAGGATATCTTTAATTCACTATCGTTGAGATGTTTCATAATTCTATATTTGCTCACTAACCTTAACTTTACCAGAGAGTTCAACCAGCCAAAGTAACGGTGACATGAAACGATTGAACAGTATACGAATGTAGTTACGATTGAACCCGTGCAGGGTAGAAGGTAATGTATTCAACCAAGACTCCAATAAACATTTCCAGCCCAAGCCCTTGGGCTCCAGATAAATCATACCACAACGAGATACCTTCAAAATTAAAATAATTTTAACGTAAAGACAGAATTTTAATTAGTCACAGTTTGTCAATAAACGATTTGTTACAGTAGCTGGTGAAGCAGCTTCCAAGTCCATTGGTTCAAATATAAGGTTAGTGGTGGGCGCAAGTTGGATGATTTCTCCACTCATGAGACAGAGCTTCTTGTTGTCATCCAACACCGTATTTAGGTTCTCTATCCAGATCGCATCCACTGGTCCATCGAATACTAACCACTTTCTATAACCATAATGAGGCCATTGATGTAGTAAGTCTGATTACGTCACACATCATTATCTACGTAATATTATTCTTATCAAAGCTCTATAACCTGTTATCATTAGTTGAGACAGCGAATGCTCGATAGGATACAGCGAGTATACCGTCCGACCACTCGTGAGACACTGGATCGAACTGACCGTAAAGCTGTCCCATTGTAATTGACTTTGGATTGATCACTGTCCATTCCACGGCGTTTTCTTCCATTAGTCCCTTAGAGGTTCATAGTTAATATATCATGTAAGAAGATTACTCATACGAATATACTAAAGAAATTAAGGCTGGATCCATACTACACAACAAGCGAGCCAGATGAGGAAAGAACAGTGATAGGATTTATAGTCTGGAACGAGCCTCAATACTCAACTTTTTATATTAATCTGAACCCGATTATAAAATAGCTACTATCTACCGTCTAATATTGTTGTATTAAATTCTAAACTCACTTTTTCCGATACCATTCCCAAAGCATGTCCAAGAGCGTGATAACATTTAGTTTTACTTGAAAATGGAAAACCGACCAACATCAAACCGTGTCTCACCAAAATCATTTCATATAATTGTAAAACCTGTAAGAAAACATTTATATGTAGTAAGTAAATAAATTCATAATAATCAATAAATAAAGAAGATTAACATTTTAACCTTTTCAATGAAGAACTCATTCGCTTGTAAGTTAAGTGGCACACAAACTTCCTTGAGACACGCGACTAAATGTGGCAGACCTGGCTGAGGAAGCGGGAGACCAGGGAACAGATCTCCGATAATGCCCTGAATTAAAAATTACAGGTCCAAAAACAAATAAAATTACAAACTCAGCTAATAATATTAATGTGCTTGTTTTCCTAATTATTTAAATATAGTAGTTATACCCACCATAAACAATGGCACATCATGTTCAAGGAACTTAGGCAAATTGACGTCTTTAATGGATCTCAATAAAATGATATCCTCAAGTTCACCGGGATAACGCAGCTTTAATGCACCCGCCGCTCGTAACACGGATTTTACGGCTCGCATACCTGGAAAGTTAAAAATAACTTACAGTTTTGTCAAGTTTACGTTCAGTCTGCGAACTTTATAATTTCCAAGTTTCGTCATAAAACTAACCATAATCGTAATGACTCTGTGATGAGAGCTGCTCTGAACATAATTTGTATGTTGCAACAATCTTGACTGCCAGTGGTTTGGCATTCAAGTATCCAAAGGCGTAAAGCTCGATCTCCGAGATAAGGACGTAGTCTGGCACCATCATAGCCACAGATCGGAATAAAGCCTGTGAAATACACATACAAACACAAAATACATGTAAAAAAACGCAAATAGGATATAAACTATGTACAAACCTTCAAGTTATCCGGTAGTTCTGATCTGCCAGCATACCCGGGATTCATTGTGATAAAAACAGCACAAGACTTGTCTAAGTTTAATAATGTTCCCTCAAATAGTAACTCCGTGGCACCTGAATTGATTCCTCGTTGGATTGACAGAATTTGTTGCGCCACAACAGAAAGCACTTCGAGATCGATTCTGTTGAATTCGTCAAAGCAAGACCAAGCACCACAAGATGCTAAGCCCTATTGAATAAAAGAGTAAAATTTTTACACTGATATAAAATAAGGTCTATGCTTCGTCACAATTTTACTTGCCTTAAAGAATTTACCAAGAGCCAGATAATCTAAACCATCCGAGCAGTTAAACACGACACATTGTTTAGCCACAGCTTTCGCTAAGTCTTTCGTTGTTTCCGTCTTTCCAGTACCCGCTGGTCCTTCAGGAGCACCACCTAAATAGATTTTAAATACAAGGCTACAGTTCAAGTACAAAAAAAATATTTTTTTACAAAACTTTGCCATAATAAAAAGCGTTAACAAAGATTTTTTTTTAAACTAATATTTGCCGGATTACTATGGGTATTTTATTATTTTAAACTACATACTCCCGACCTTCGATTACTTTGCAATTTGCAGCAACCGTGATCACGGGCAGACAAAACGTGGGGAGTATGTACATAGTTTAAAATACCATTACCCGCTTAGTAATCCGAAAAAATATTAGTTTCATTTGTATGAATTTTCCCCAAAGTCAAAGATCTAATTATATTTTATTGTTATTAACCCAGATTAAGATGTAAAGCCCCAAACAGTGTTCTGAAGCATCTGTCAGTGAGCGGCGTGACCACGAGGCGGCCCGTGTTCCCGAGGTACTCGTAGCCGTACATCAGCTGGGAGTTTATCATACGAGTCGCGATCTGCATACTGTTGTCCTCTTCTTGGTGCTGACAACAAAAAACATTGCTACTTTGTTCTGGTTACAGACGGTTTTAGGAAGCGTGTGAAATGTTATTCTCGTGGGTTACAAGTTACGTTAGAAACAGAATCTAAAAAACTTTAAAATAATAAGGTTCATAAAGTTTATTAGTTACTTTGAAGAAGTTATTTAATATTTTAATTAAAAGGTTATACGAGAGATTTTATTTGATAGTAATATGTAGCTAAAGTTTGATAGAAAGCAAAATAGTTAATATATAAGTAAATTCTATTTCGTAACAGATATATTAATATTTTTAAATTTGAACATAAGAACTATAATCATTGCAGGCTAAGAACTAATAGTTTTAAGCAACTGGAAAACTGAACAAGTTAATACTTAAAAATTATATTTATTTTATATTCAGTGGAAAAAGAAGTTTTTAAAATTATATTATATAATATAATGTACCTCCCAATAGTATCTGATTTGTGACAACCAGTTAAAGTCATTGTCAACTTGAACGTTGAATTCTATCAACTCCATAAGGACGTCTCTGGCGTGTACATCCAATACGACTAAGGCTCCTACAAAAATAATACAAAGAAATAAATACTTTTACGTCATTTTGGGTTAATTTAATAAAATGTGACAACTAACCGAGAGTAATTCGATTCTGTAAGGAGAGTTCTCCTCTTACAAGGTCAACAATTTTTGATATCTGATAATTACATTTATCCCAATAAGCTCTCATCGCTGGTATGCTTATGTGAATGGCGTCTGTTACTTCGGATGTCCAAAACGTCATTGCAATACATTGAACCTAAAATATTAAAAAAATTACAAGAAAATGAACATAAATAGAATTTATGAATGATAAATATTCAACTCACGGTTTGTCCAGGCCACACTAGCACCCACTTCTCGCGAGGACAATGGAGGTAATCGTCATAAGAAAGAGATACAACGTTATGTACGGACGCCTTCATTGATCCTTCGAGCTCCAACAGCCATTTCTCTACCTGTAATAAAAAAACAATAGGTATATAGGTTACCCATAGTTTGCAAATTGTTGGTACATTTATTAAACCATTCTTACCTGACCCCTAGCCGCGGCTGTGTTTATAGTCATAGTGAGTTCAACGACCTCACCTTCCGAGGACTTCATGTGAGTTACCACCAGATCCTCAGTAAAGTTAAGCTTAGCAATACCTTCGAAGCACTTCTTGAGATGAGGTTGTACTCTAATTTGATAGACAAAATTTAGTTGATATTAAAAAGATAACAGTGTTATATCCTACTAATATTATAATTGCGAAAGTTTGTGAGTGTGTGGATATGTTTGTTACTTTTTCACGCTCAAACGGCTGGACCGATTTTGATAATATTTTGTATACAGGAAGCTGACGTCCAGGAATAACACATAGGCTACTTTACATCCCGGAAATCCCGGAAATCATCGAGTAACAATGCGGGGCGCAGATAGTGTATATATATATCTTACTATATATCGAGTGAACTCACCGCATAGGATCTTTAGTCTCAGAAAGAATCTCGAGTAGTTCATCATTGGACAAGAAGAAGAATCTTGGGAAATATAAACGTTTCTTCTCCAGATACGCGTTCAGTCCACGTTGTACCATCTCCAGTAGATTGTTGGACTTCTTTAATCTGTCCAGCATTTTCTCTATAGTGATCACATCAAGAACGCGCGGCTCCGCATACGCAACTTTCATTATTTCCTTCCACATCTATAATAACATCGAGTGTATTTTGATATTATTTAACTGTTTTTTTGCCTGAACACTGTGTATCACAAATCTTTATATAATATAGACCTTATCAACTGCGCTGAATCTTCGTCCTTCTTCGGGTATTTGCTGTTGAATGTCAGGAGAAGAGAAGATGGGCTCTAAGTACATCCAGGTAGCTTGAACCTTCAACCATTCGTCTAAGATCTCTTGTAGTAAGACGAGCTTACCCTCCCAGTCGCTTTATAAATTAATAAATGCATCATAGACAAAAAATCAAATATCTTCTTAAAAAATTCTGTTCGAAATTCAAAAATCTTAAATTGTTGATAACTTTTTTTTTAATTGCATTTAATTTCAATAGGCATATATATAAAAATTATTACTTACATAATGATTTCTTCGAATGGTTTAATATACGGTGAGTTCTTCATAGTCTGTGTTTTCACAATGTGGTCGTCCAATAACAATTGAATTTCGTCGACACTTGATAAAATGTAAGTTCCTGTATCCCTAAACGACAAAACAAAATATTGTTTTAATAATATTCAAATAACAATTCAAGGTAATACTGATGACAAAAAAATACTTGTATGGTAAAATCTCGAATTTAAGTTCAGCCCATTCCTTGATCATCTTATCGAGAGCCTTCTCCAGATTATTTTCTTTGGTTGCAGCTTCCGATATGTTCTCAAACTTCTCTATATAATCGTCCAGGTTAAAGTCAATGACCTTCTCCAATGATAGTTCGTCATCAACTACTATAGGGAATCCAACGATTTCCGAAACCTTCTCCCAATGTCTCGCTTTCATACCAGGATTTCCGAGTGTTTGGATGATTGGCATGTGAGTCTTAAATTCTTCCATTTTTTCTCTACATAAGTAGCGCACATCAAAATATTGTCCTATCTTATTAATAATAAATAATTATTCAATCGCTCACCTGACCGACTGAGCCAGTCGGTATGTATCAGGGACCTCTTGGAAGGATTTCTCTAATTTATAAACTATTTTGTAATAGTAACTAACATCGCCCTCTATATCTTCAGGGTCGAAGCTTCCGACCTGATCAAAACAATATAAATTAATAAAAAGAAACTTATATATATATGGAGTAAGCTAATTTTTTGTAACAGTGACCTTGGAAGACATCCAATTATTATATCTTTCCAAAAAGTCATATCCAGCGTCAAAGAGTTTCTTGAAGGGTACGAGCCTGTCATAAACAGCTTTTCTCTTGGGATACTGGGACAGTTCCCACCCAAACGAACTCTCTTCCTCGTTGAATTGATCTATTTTTGTCAAAGCATTCGCGAGCCTGTGAAAAAACTTTTAATTAAAATCGTAATTAAAACTGTAATGTCAACTTTATACAGTTTTTTTAGCTAATATTATCAATATTTTTTCTTATCGTTACCGTATTTAAGAAATAATTGAAAAGTTCTAACAAATTTTAATTGCTTGTACGAATATACCTACAGTTCATGTCTATTTTTATAATAATAATTTAATATTTACTATTATATATTATAAACTCACTATAACAAAATTGTATAAAAACCAATGAGACTATATTGCTGAATTGTACAAACTAGTGGTGTAGCTACCATAACATCCAAAATATATCATTAGAATGATACATAAGAGTCATATGAATATAGACTTTGAGACTATACTAATAAAGTTCTATTTTATGTTGTCATACTTTTCATCCAAACGTCGTGCGCGAGTAACATATTTGGATATCTCATTAATGTCTCCCCAATATTGCACTTCATTGCACTGAGTTTCATAAATATCCAGATCGTCGATAAACTGAGCGATTCGCACCTAGAAACGATTTTCGTATGAGTATTCCGCCACTGAAATTGAAATAATCTAAAAAAAAAGGTCTATATATCTTACTTGTAGCAACTCTTGATACTCAGTCTTCTTCTGTTCACAGATCACTTTGCACTCTTCAATGACGCCGGGAAGACGAGCGTACCTGTAGAAAGAAAAAAAAATGTACTCAGATAATTAAATAGCTGTATTATTTCAATAGGAATACAGTTTATTTCCTTACCAATGAAACGATTGATTGTTGGCCTTCATTTCCAGAGGCGTGAAGATGGTATAGTCACCGAGGAAGATGATGTATCTCATGACATTTCGTAATTTATCTTCCATTTCTTCTAAAAGAACCTGTTCTGCCTTCTTGCAGTACTCGATAAGATCCATTAGTGCGGCCGTGTCCGGCGGAGAAGTGAGTAGTGTTGTGGCGATCAGAGAATATTCATCGTAGATTCTGATAGAAATATGCTACATTAGTCATTAAAATTAGCGTAGTTTATTATATTAAAAAAAGTTCCTTGAGCATTATAAGAAATTGTATTAGAATCAACTAATACTAGTTTTTTACTGATATAAGTACGTCTAAGAGAAAGGTTTCAACACACAAATTTGACGCAGTGTGTGGTAAAAAATATTATAACATCTAAATTAAAAATGAAACAATTAACAAAAGATTTAATTCATTCTAGTCTATTTGAATTGTTTTCAAATTGTAGGCCGGGAAACGCGGCAGACGAGGAATTTTCGCGAACAAAACGTGATGATAACACAAAGGCACATTTGCTAAAGTAATTTATATTATTAAAAATTTTACTTCTATATTTAAGTCAAACAATATATCAGATGTGTTGGATAAACTTGTCAACTTACGTCTTAATCATGTTTTGGTAATCTTCTGTCATTCTTCTTAGTAAGGTATTAGCAAGTCTCGTGGCAGCGCCTCGCAATGAATTTATCAAGTCTCCTCTCTGCATTCTGAACATGCCTATGACTATGGTTCCCTCTAATTTGGAAGGTATTTCCTTCGCCACATTAACGTACTTCACAGACTCCTCACAAAACTCTTCAAATGTCTTTTCAGGCACAGCATTAATAAATTCCTCAACTTGGGACATCGACTGAAACATTATCAAAGTAAAGTATGAAGATTTTCTTTTGTTAAAAATATAACATACACTGAAGAACAATAATAAACTAACTTCTCCATTAAGCAAACATATATAGTTATCAAAATCTTGCACTCTTAGTTCAGGACCAATTCTCTGTTCATTTATTAAATCTGCAATTTGTTTCTTGTATCCCTCAACAAGATCATTATCTATTATAGGCTGTTAAAATAAACAAATATAATTAGGTAAAGCTTGAAGAAACGATAAATATTACTGTGTTTTAGTTATTTACGTACCCTAAGAGTCATTCTGTTTGTTATTATATAATCCTGATACAATATTGTCTCTAATCTTGGCGTTTGTCTGCAGGCGTCTATTATAAAGTCATACAAGAGACAGAGTTGATCTCGAAACTGTTTGAAAGTGGGTTCAAATTCGATGGCGTCATCTTTAAAAATTAAATTTATTACGAATCCTTGATTCATGTCCTGCAAAACAGATATTTATATTTGATTTGTACTATCACAGTCCAATTCTAAAGAATATACTACACTTACGCCAACATCCAAAATATACTCCGTATATTCCGCCATAGATTTTAAGCATAAAGTCTGAAGATTGAACGTCATAATGCAGGCCAGACAATTGTAGAAGTGCTTCATCCTTGAGACCTGCTTTGGTTCTGGTATTTGCTTCTTTTTACTACCCTGATATAGTATTAGTTGTATATAGAATATAATTTTAAGAATTTATTGACTCGATACCAAATACATAAAATAATTTTGAAGAGATTTAATACACGATCAGGCATTTATACTTTAAAAACATTATCATACAATGATACAAATAAGATTTTAGGTGATTTATTAACAAACACTCTGAAAAAACCCCGTCAACATGTTACTTAAACAGTATTATAGCTGTATGAATATGTATTAAAAACGCAAAGAAATTCCTAAAGATAACAGCTAGCACAAGAGGCGTGCCTTAAACATGCATACTTTTTTTCATAACTTTAGCTAACAACGCCCTTGAGTCACTTAAACCTTCCAAATATAAGACTCTTCAAAGAGGTACGCTTAAGAGAAAAGATAAGGTTACCAGTCATTTGGAGACTTCATTTTCTATAGTGAAAAATTTATAATATGCAAAGAAGTATGAATTTAAGATTTTTTTGAATATCCTATATTATCGCTGTCCTAAAAGTATTGTAATATCTATTTATCCCACCTGCATAAACACTGCCTGTAATGAGGGTAGCCACTGCAAGTTGAGGACTGTACCGGCAGCATCAATGTGCCTCTTACAGACGAAGCAGAAGTCTTGCAATTCATACGATTCGTGGGTCATCATGATGTCACGCATACTAATTAGTCGTAGGTCACTAAGAAGTTGAACACATGTGGTTATTTATATATATAAATGGTGGTTTCCTTACCTATATTTAATTAAAGATAACAAAGTTAGCACCGAGATTACCTAGTCTAAAATAATAATTTAAGTGAGATTTTTGTTAAAAACCCTTTATAAATATCACCAATTTATTAAAAAAAAATGCAGTAATAAAGTGTATCTACATTCTATTGAATGAAGTCTTCGAAAAATTATTAGGCAAAAATACAAACGCCAATTCAAATATCATGTTTAAATTCACCTGTTAAATTATTATTATTTTATTCTATTATAGTACCCACCAGAAAAAATATCACAATAAGGACAATTTTAGGCGTCAAAAATCAGTTATTTCATAAATAACATATATTTAAGGCCGAAAAACGTTGTTTTAAAATAATCAAAGTCATTCTCAACAATTCTTCTGTTTCATTAAAATTATTATAAGAGTGAATGATATCGGTGTGAACTTTAGTTTGAAACAATGTGTAAAGTGTAAATGTTAGCATAATCATTACACAAAATTCTGTTTCAGAATCTATTCACAACCTTTTCATTACCACTTAAAACCAAGCTAGTAAAAAATAATCATTAGTGTATTACTATATGCCGTCAACAACATAATATTTCTTAATTACTATTTTTATTACAAATCAATGTTTTATATAGTTATATAAATTGTTTATACGAATACACGTTTTATTATACGAGTGTAATGTGGAATTTGTATATATTGATATAAACTTGAAACATTTTAACAATATGTAGTTGAAAGATGTTTTAAATCGCCCGTCTAATTACAAAACAATGTAAAAAGTCAATCAAAAAACGAGTATTGAATTCGAGCTAAGATTAATGCGTAACCTAATATGTGGTCAAAGTTGCTCTAGTTTCTCATTCATATAATTACGTTTGCAAGCATCTTCAAAGATATATGAAAGAAAAATTAAAAACCCTCCGTATGTAGTGTGACGATGCAAACTAATGATGAGGATACTTGATTTTTATTTAAATGGCTTTAATTTCTATTTACCATTTTATTAAAAATATTTCAATATCCGCAGCAATAAAATATACGGATTTATTTTTTAATTTTTCAATCATTTTGGTTCGATTGATTGATTTACTGTCGACGTACAAAAACAATTTCCTTTCCATCAAAGCATGACTTGTTTTTGTTAATTCCACCGTCACAGAATTTTTCAAAGGATTTGAATAAATCTACGTAAAAACAAATCACTCGATTTTTATCAGCAAAGGACCGGGAGAAGTTATTTGTTCTTTTGTAATAAAATGAAAATTTCCCGACAACAAAGACACCGCCGGCTGCTAAAACTCTCTGCCCTAAAGTGGACTTACACTTCTCAGGTTAAAACGCTATATTTTAATTGAAATTGAAAAGGTAAAAGCGTCGCCCGAGGTCCAAAGCAAATTAAAAGTTCCCTCAATCGTTTGAATTCGCTTTTTTCGTTATATTTTATTATAAAACAAACATTTATAAGTAATGATTGTTCGAAGTTCACAGCTATGAAAAACGTTCAATTATTTCACATAACGCTATATGGTTAATACATATGTATGGCATAAATTCAACATGTATTTGTGTAGGCATAACATCGAATATTCCAAGCTACTACAGATAGTACACACCAATAGTATTGATTGATAATTGAAGCGTAATTAACAACCGTCTGACAATTCGAACATGGCGTAGGTTAAACGCTCTGATATATGCCTATAACTATAAGCAATAAATTATAATTGGAAACATATGTATGTATTTATAGTATGATCCATTCTACCTGCTCTCAATTTCTCAGCTTCAGCCAGGGTCTGCCTTACATGTTGTGAATAGTTTTGGGTATTTGTTTTTACGACCGGCCGCCTGCCTGACATCAACCCTCTTTTGGGAATCAGCATTAATCAATGATAACTAAATACTCTTAGAAAGTACATACGACTCGTAAAAATCACATTGGTACTTGCCCGGGCCAGAATCGAACCCGCGCTCTCATGCATGAGAGGCGGGTCTTTTAACCATTAGGCCACCACTGACTTCCATAGTATCTATAGTATGATTACATATGAAAATAATAAAATGCGTGCCCTATTACCGTATCAAATGTACATTAATAATAACATCAAAAGGGTTCCAATTAATTGTAACAAATAAATGAAATGAAAGCTGAAGCTTATTCAGTAACATGAAGACCGCTTTTCTGAATAAACATTGAACTTGTCAGTATTTTGAATTGAATCATTCAATATTCTTTAATCGCAAAAAAAAAACGACTTAGAAACAAACAAAAAAAAACTCTTAGTTAATTATCTAAATTCGTATTTAGATATAAAGACGGTCATACACCTGTGGGCGTGGCTAAGATGATTTGTATCCTAGCATTTATAAACAGTTTAATGAAAATAAATACAAACAATACGCAATGTTGTTTTACTGAGTAGAACCATTTATATGAAGCTGAAAAGTATAAAAAAAATAGTTTTTATCGCCTTTAGATGGACTATTTCTTAGTAGTAAAATTAGTAGCTATTTGTTAACGATCTAAAAATCGTTTTACAGACATATTTCTTAGATTGATAAACCAAATGAAACTCAAACAGATCTTACTTATACTGCTTCCACCAAATTTGCAGCACCTGCGCGATACAAGGATTGACGCTGTACAGCCAGGAGGTCAGGTACTTCCTCGCCACTACATAACGGTTCCTCCATGCGTCGTCTTTCATAGCTAGTTCACGCTTCAATGGAGTATCCTCTTCTTCCAAAGACTCTTCCTGTTAAAATACATAAACATCAATAATTTCAAATAGCTAAATTTTAAATTAAAATTTTTAAAAAATAATCTTACCGTATTCGGATCTTTCAAAACAAAATCAACGATAGCCTTCTTCATACTCATCATAAAATCCTCACGCATTTCATCCGTGCACGTGAACAGGCATTCCTTCCATTTCTTCAACTTTATTGATATTAAATCGTGGACTCTTTTCAAGGGGAAATCAGTAAGTTAATTGACGAGATAATTAAATTTACAACGGGGTTTCTTTGGGGGAGTTCTATTACTTTAATTAAATATGTAGGGTACTTTGAGAAAACTCAATTTCGGTAAACTTAAATTAAAATATTTCTGTCGAATATCATAGACTAGTCTCACCGTAATATTATTTTGTTGTCCAAGGGAGCTACGTGTATCGTGTCAATACCATATCGTAGATAGTAATAGTATCTCAACATATCCTTTTCTTCCCCAGAAGGAATGGCATCACCGTCCTCTCCCGGAGCCGATTGACAAATTAATTTCATCAATTTAGCCCTAAACTCTTCTCTTGCTTTTCTCATAGCAGTGAAACTCTGCATGACTGAGGATAGTTATTTATTTAAGTAACTCCTATATTTATAGTTGAAACAATGTCATCAAGAATCTGCATATAAATGTATATAAAAATGGATTAAATGTATCTATCTATAATTATAATTTATAGTATAACTACATTATAATTATAAGCTGAAAATTGTAATATTTCTAGAAGACTCAGAAAATTTCTTATCGCCTAAGATACTTCGATTGTTATGAAATAGATCAGATCAACATAATTTTAGTCTTTTACAAGACCTTTTAATATAATGAAAATATTTTTTCTAACGGAAATTATTTTGATATTTATAATAACTTCTCTCTTTGCAAAAAATATATTCATAATACCACTTGATCTCCTCCTTGGAACAGACTTAGATGCTTGAATCCTAGCAGCTTTGTTTTTCGGCGGAGGTAACTTTAAAACTTCTTCAGGTAGTGAGAAAAGGGGTTGAGTTCTTATTTTAAAATCATCAGGCATTTTTATTTTCGCTATTTTAGGTAATTTTACATCAGAAGTTGAAGGTCCAGGTTGACCTTTTTTGCGACTGGGCTTTGGCCGCTGCATTTTTTCGATAATTCAATTTTAATTTTCTTTATTTTAAAGGAACCTAAAAGGGCGATGTTATCGTTATTTATTGTATTTTTTTATCGATACTTTTGCAAAAACAAGATTGTTAACCCAAATGATTTTTTTCTAAACGATACTAAAATATGATTAATGAAGTAAGGACTTGTCACATTGACAGTTTTGCAAAAGAACTTAAATTTGTAGTATTATTGTGTAATTTCCTAAATAAATTAATGTGAAGAAAAGTGGAAATACTCCTAGCAATTAATCGACCTTGCTTACCTTAGCAACTGGATTAGAATCCGGCAAAGTGATACAAATAACCAAAGAAAGGTAACCTTCAATCTCTTAATAAATAATAAAAAAGCTCATTTTAAATTACTATACCTAGAAACAAACATTATTATTACTATTTATTAAATTAAAAAAATATTTGCTAGCTACTCTTGACAGAATAATAGAAAAATTGTTAATATTATCTCTATGACAACAGATAGTAACCTCTTTCTATCTAGCCAGTTACATATTATACAACAGAGTTCGAATTATACGATTTTTTTCATTTCTAAGTGTAAAATTGACGAATGTCTTTACTGTTTAAGGTTATACAGTAAATGAAGCAAAAAGTCAAATATTCAATGGTAAATGTCTGCATAGACTGATGGCTTTACATGTAACTTTTAAACTGACACTTTAACATACTCATACCTAATATATATACTTTGAACATGTCCTTGATTCGCTTGGAGTATGATGACATCATTCATTCCTAAATGATCTATCTTAGAGGCCTACACTAATATGGTTGACTTAAAACATTGCTGATCTAATATTTTTATAATAACAAAACTTATAATTAAGTGAATATTGAAGGAATAATATTAGTAAATATTTACTAACTCAGTTTTTGATGATGTGAGTTAAATTGTAATCTATTTGTATGTATATAATGATTAAAATATTATTTCAGATGATATTTCAGCTTGTAAGAAATATTCACACAAGCTTTGCTTGCCGTGCTGCTGAGTCTTCGCTTCTGGCCAAACTTAGAAAGAAGACTGGATATACCATTGCAAACTGCAAGAAAGCCCTTGAAATGCATAACAATGATTCTGAAAAGGTAATTATTTAAAATTAGTAAGGATTGCATTTGATTTTGATGTATAATTTTGTAAATAATTTTTTGTACTAATATTATTATTGAAATTTTATTTAAAAAAGGTTTTCTTAATTGCTATTGTTATATATATTGATCACTTAATAATATATAAAATATGAGTAGAAATAACTTATCTTTAATATGAAAAAATTAAATTGATCACTTAAATTTTAGCCGGCAAACTTTGTATGTAAAAAATATGAGTAGAAATAACTTAGCTATCTCTTATAAGAAAAATAAATAAATTCCAGGCTGAAACATGGCTGAATGAACAGGCACAAGCCATGGGTTGGGCGAAGGCTACAAAGCTTGCCGGTCGGAAGGCTTCACAGGGACTTGTGGCCGTGAAGTTTGATAAGCAACACGGTGCATTGGTAGAGTTGAACTGTGAAACCGATTTCGTAGCAAAGAATGAGAAGTTCCACAAAATGTTAGAGGATGCTACACTCGCTTGTTACAAGATGGCTCACACAAGTCTACACTCTAAAGGACCCATTACTAAAGTGAGTTTGTGAAGTAAATATTCATTTATTTAAAATTGTGTGCTTATAGGAAATACTGAATATGCATGCGTACATTTGACAAGTTTCAAAAGAATGATTTAGATACTATAAAAATATAAACCACACTTTAAAAAAAGTAAATTTTTAATTAGTTAAATGGCTTCTTTTATATCATATAGTGCACATAGAAAAAAAGTACTTCTTGTACTTTTTACATCTCAGAACCAGAATATAAGTATGTTTTGAACATTGCGAATGATTACAAAAAAAATTGTTAAATTAATTCTTGATAATTTTAATGTACATATTTGTTTATAATAGTTAATATGACATGGACAAAATATTCTACGATCCCAGTGTGAATGAAGTCATAGCTTAAAAAAAGTTATTATGATCATCATATTAGTATTTATGAATAGTTTTTACCACAGAAATCCAAGACACACTTTAAAGATATATTTTTTCATCACTATTTAAACTTTAATATGCATTATATGTATATCAATAATGGCAACATTTCAATGTATTTTTTGATATATGATTATTATTTTTAATTTATTATACATAAGTTTTGGGTAACAGTTGTGATAGGTATTCATAGTTAAATTAATTCCTGATGTGTGAAATTGTTAGTGTTAGAATGAGTGTATATTTCACACGCACATATGTATACATATTACTTATATTACATTAGAAGAGATATTAAACAAAAAATTATGGAATATAAGTAAATTATTGTCATTTCAGGTACATCTTAAACCTCCCTTATGTATTTATATTTGTTGTAAAAATTTGTATTGTTTTAATTTCAGATGGAGTTAGACAGTGAACAACTAGGGAATATATCGGTTGAGGGCAAGAAGCTGTCGGAAATTTTGGCTCTTTTCATTGGATCAGTTGGTGAAAACGCCATACTTAGACGAGCTGAATGCTGGAAGGCGAATAGCAAGGACGTCAAGATAACAGCATACACCCACCCCGCGCCGCCCACTCCTAGTGACTACTCCTGTGGGAAATACGGTGCTTTATTGGCCTACAAACAACCAACTGACCTCGATGACGTAGGCAAGCAGATCTGCCAGCACATTGTCGGATGCGCTCCAAAGAAAATCGGCGACAAGGAAAAAGATAAGCCCATAGAGAATACGGATGACGAAATCTGTCTTATATATCAGGAGTATTTGTTGGATCCGTCATATACGATACAAGAGGTTTTGGAGCAGAACAAAGTTGAAATCGTTGATTTTGTGAGGTTCTCGTGCGGGGAATCCGATGAAGCTAACTTACCAGGTGTTGAGAAACAACCGCTGGAAACTGTTCAGACACTACAGTAGAAGACCCTAGGTCGAATTTAATGTCGAAAGCATTTGTTAATTAAAGAAGTTTATGTTAATACTATCTATATTTTATTTTAAAAAATATCACGTTTGCTTCGTTCATATTGCTTGTCTTTTGTTTTTGCCCTTCCAAAGAAACATTCTGCAGTCTTTCTTCCAAAACATAGCTATTTGGTTCGGTTCAAAGTTGTATCCGTGATAGTTTAGTACCTCCGGTGACACTACGTGTAATGCTAGAGTGTTTCGCTCTCTCGTCCTGAAGGGCACTAACGCGGCCGGTCTTAAATAACACCCACATGGGCATCCTGCGGTCAGTTTTTGCGGGGATGAGCCGTTTGTTCTATTGCAAAGATTGAGTCGTTGGAAATTGTTAGAAAAGCGTAATTCTTCGATGGCCCCGGTGAAGGATTGTGTTGAACGCAGAGCTAGTGGCCGAGCATTCTGATTCTCAGGATTGTTTCTGAACCCAACAGTGGATACTGACTTTTTTGTTACATTAGGACTCTCGTCGGGGCTCCTCTCCTCGTATTCACTCTCACGATCGGAATTTTCGTCAGTGTACATTACAATTTCCAAAATATTATTAAAACAAATTTATTCCAGTAAATATATCAGATATTTATGACGAAATGATCATGTCAAATTCACCTGTGACATAAACGACTCAATTATTTTAAATTTATCAATTTCTTAAAGGAATTTCTTTATGAAACCTTTTTAGTTTTGTTCAACTGCCTCATTTAAAATTTATATTGTTAGCCTCTAAATTTAATGATGTTGCTCGGGTCCTAATATTTCGTGTTGGGTGTAAAAACTGTAAAGGTACTTTACGTAAGGTTGGTGTAAATACTTAAACTTCTTCAAGTCTAGTGAGGAAAAAAATATTCATACAATCATAATGTCGATAAGAAGAAATAACTATTCGTGTGCGGGAATATGTAGTTATTATTACACTGCACCGGAGCAAAATAGTGAAAAATCAATATTAAGTCAACAGAAGATACTCTATAGAATTAAAATAAAAATTTATTTGGTAATAGATTTTAAAAACCCAAATAGCTCTAAGCTTATAAATGAATATACTTTTTGTTAATTAAAATGTACGGAACCATAAATCATTAATTCTAGTTAACAAAAAATCATTAACCATAACGTTCATAATTACCTAGTGTGCTAAATATTTTAATGGGGGACCGTTTCATATAAGAAAAAAAAGGAAACAACATATTTATTAGTTATTAAATTTAATTTGAAATAAAGTTGTAGGTACATGTCTTTTTAATAGCGACTTAATACGGTTTTTGTTTACTTTCTTGTAACATTGTTGAGAGCTTCGATCATCGTATTGATATCGTCTATCTAAGATTTTCGCGAGTATTCATTTAAATGAAACTAATATTTTCGGATTTAATACGCGATTTTTCATTTTTGACTATAAACAACATACTCCCGACGTTTCAGTTACTGTAAAGTAATTTGAAAATATTAGTTTCATTTACAACTTTTATGTGAAATATTATTTGCCTTTTGATTAATGATTTGGAACTATTTGAATACAGTCAAAAAGAAAAAGTCAATTAAATACGAAATTGTTTTCTTATTTTTCTATTCATTTGAGAATTGTTGCAAAATGATGACAGAATTAGGAAGTCGAATACTTTGAAACAAAACAAATACGATTTCTTTTTAATATTGACGAAACTATTGCATACCCAAACTTCCTTGAATACATCATTTAAAACTTGAAGAATTTTGCGATTTCATGAAGCAAAATATCTATGCTATCCAAAACCCTTCTTCATCGGCTAACTTATGAAAATTGATTTGTTAGAAGAAGATCGTGTAATAATCCTTGGTGTTGATTTATTACTTAAAATTGTCCTAATACGTTCTGACGGCAAATTATTACAGCTTCACAAATAGAACGGAACCCGTTGTGTATTGTAAAACTCACACTTGATTGTTTGTCCACATGCGACCGTGAATGTCAACGTATTGTTCGTAATCGGCAATGAGGATTACATTTTTTTAACATCGGATCACTTCAATAACCATTGTGATGTTATAACGATTGTTATTAATCCATATAATACTGCCGACCTACTTTAACACCACTGGAGCGTATCACATCATCTTAAACACCTCGTGCAACGTAGCTGGTTATTAACATTTTTATTATGAGCAACCGTTACTGATATAGATGAATGGTTCGCGATCTAAGCCATTGCTAAAAGTATCTATAATTATGTCTCAAGGACAGTAACATAATTTAATATTACCTAAACGTTTAAAATATACATAGATTGTAGCAATAGTAATGCAAATATAACGGATATAGCCATACCTAATATTAAATGAACGTAAAAACCCAAAATGAAAACGTTACTGTAAGCAATAAGAAGCTCATGAAATTGTCAATTTTGGTCTAGCTATCAGTGGAAGAACCCACCTCTCACCAAACAGTCATTGCAGTTTCACGCCGCGTATCGAACGAAAGTAAAACGCTAAGTCACAAAGCGCGCGTCGGACCGTAGTTCCCGAATCTAATGTGCGGGCCTGCAAATCATTGAGCGTTTGGAATAGCTAGTATCACTATTGCGTGGACCTAAACAGCTTGCTTGTATCAAAACTCATCGTTGTTAGATTCTTAACTAACTTTCTACCTCCAAGAGAGTGTTACGGACCTGTAAAAAACTTTGATGGACATAACATATCAGGTGCATATCTGTTTTATTTTGTTTATAAGTATTCATTTACATCTACATAATTGTATGCAAGTTTTAAGTAGCGTTTTGTTTTGACTTTGAGTTAAGACAATACCATAAAGCTTTCTAAAATAAACATTACTTTTTGAAGCTTAGGCTTCATTCGCACTAATAATTTAAACTAAATTTGTGGAAAATGTAGCAAATTTATCCGTTTTTATTTATTGATCGAATCATGATATAAATTTGACTACTCACATCACACTTAGGTAGTACGTGAAGCATTACTTTTAAAATCTTATTTACTATTGTTTTTGAAAAAAACTTAAGTTAATTATTAAACAGGTAATAAAATTTATTCTTCTTACAATATGCTTCGATATTAAACATATAAATTTAACATTATATTTCGAGATAATTCAAAATATTCTTATTAAATTTTTAATATTTTATTTCCTTCAATCAACGAACAATTAGGTATGTCTATTTAATAAACATGTATAATTTAGAGTATCTTAAGAAGAATTTCGAAAAAATATTCAGATCCCATGTTTTTTTAGTAATTCTTTTAATATTTTATGGAATTATTTTTCTTATTGTTAAGTATCTTAAATCAACAAAATTAAAATATTTTTGTTTTAATATTATTTAATGTGGGCAGTATTAAAATCTAATTATAGTATTAGGCTCAAAAGGACTCGTGTCCAGAGCCGTAAAAACATTTACAAAAAAATTAATAATTAAAGTATTCAAAATCGTTACAATGTATATATTTAAAATATGGCTATATTTATATTTTTAATGAAGCAATTAAGTGCAATTGAAATTAACCGTGATGAAAATATGATATTGAACATAGAGCACACGCCACTTGGACTTTCGCGGGGAATAATTTATTCTTGCGTTTATTAAAATACGTGTGTTCATTTAGCGTGAAAAAAGATTTTCTTTTCTCGTACATTGATCAGTTAAGACGTGTCTAGTGTGAGGAGCGAGCTTCTTGGACACGGTCGTATTTGGGTCTAATTGCTTGTGTTATTCTTCGGATTTTCGGTTATGGAAGTACGACATTGATCCTAACTGAAGGGAAAATGCATATCCTGGAGATAGGCGCTGAACAAGTAAATTTATTTGAATATTTTAGTGATTGATATAAGAAAATGTGTTGTGATTAAAATAATATCGGTGTTAAAAGATATATCTATTTTATATTCTATTATCCTAAAATAATATTGTTAGTATAAAGATTAGGAAGTTTTATGTGTCTTTATGTGTATATGATAGCGTGATTACATTTTTCAATCCACAAAGAATGAATAACCACTCCCTGAGCTTCCTTGGGCTCGGCTTTATAGCTCCATTCATTGTTGATATACGAATCATTATCAAAATAGATTATATGTTATATGTAGACACCAAATACAGTAAATTAAAGGCACAATACCAGAAGAGAATTCACAAAGCCGTAACATCTGTTATAACTCTCAATATGAGGGTAGTTCGATAAAAGATACAAAGAAAACGGATTGTATTTGTATTTGCAAAACAATGTATTGGGTGTTTTAAATTGTTATATGAATGATGTAATAGTATTAACAATTTCCATATCACGATATAGGATGAGGAGGTCTCCGGACGGGTTCACGAAGCTGCTTTTAGAACCGTCCCCAAGGATTATACAACCTTCTTAATCTGGAGGATAACTGTAAGTTACTTGTACATATATTTGATTCATATTATCAATGACGATTTCTGATTATTTTTCTAATACAAATTTAGTTTAAGCATTTTGTATATAACTATAACATTATTATAATATTGGAGCGTAAATGGAATTAAAAACGACAATGTTTACGAGTGTCTTTTGGTTTTTATATTATACCGCGATATAAAATAATGTTTCTTTAAAGTTTAATCCTTCGATCTAGTAGTTTGTTTGTTTGGGCTTAGTCTTTGGAACTGATGAATAGATTTCAATGGAACTTTCACTATACAATAAAGAGTACGGTCAAACCGACAATAGTCCCTTGAATTATCTCCAAGATCTTATTTTCATATATGTAGTAAATTGGTGATGCATTAGTTCTAGAAGTTATAGAAGCATTATTTTTTGAAGTTAAATATCTAACCAATTTTCTATTAAAATTATCAGTATTAAAATTTAAAAGGCGCTTTTTTTACATCCAAATTAATATTTTACATGAGGAATCTTCATCAAAGAGTTCTTATTCGCCATTAATTAATTACAATCAAGTCAACAGTTCTGACAGACTTATTAGTCGTTCAGAAACGAAGTAGGTTAATAATAATTATTAATTATAAACTCCATTTTCACATTTTATGCTATAAATTGAGTTAACTATCCAATTAAAACAATTAACAGAGAACTGTTAACTGAAGAAGATTTCTAAGTCTATGATGTTTCTTGCTTAGAATTTTTCTTAGATTTTCTTTGAGATAATTTACGTAATCTTAAGATTACTTTTTGTTCCATATTTCGTAATTTTTATATGTATGTGTTACGTGAGAAAAGGTTATTATCAACTGTAAGGTGCATATGAATCAAATGAGCTGGGCTTATGATGAACTGTCACGCATGTGTTACAAGAGATTTTACTTTCACTGGACATTTGTTACACACACTTATTACTCAGGAGTTCATAAAAAAATATGATGAGAATCATAATATTCTTGTTTATATTTACAAGAAAATCTAGCGTATTACAATTATATCTCACGAAATATATTGTTTATATTATATTTTAATTAAAAATATGGGATTTTTTTTCTATATTCAATAACAATTTATATTTGATAATCTGTCAAAAATTTACTTTCAATTATTGAAACAATACAAAGGCCCAAAAAATATTAATAATACTGACTAGAAACTTCATATTTAAAGTTTAATGACAAATAATTTTAGCAAATTATACATAATTTTGTATTATTGATTTGTATAACACAACTATAAGTTATAATAAATTTTTCAAAAGCTAGAATTTGTTTAAATCTTTAAGTTTATTAATTATTTTTTCTTTCAATATCTTTAAACTTTGTGTTTCTAATTTGAAAAAATAATACAGGAGACATTTTTTAATACATACTTTCAAGACTTAAAATTTATATGTTATTACTAAATTTCATCATCAAAATGTTAAATTACAATTTCATGAGACATAGAAAAATAAATTATAATAATAATTTGATAATATATAAATGTTTTTTCTAGTTTCTATTCCAAAACATTTTATTATACATAAAATAAAATATATTTTTCCAATGTTACATAGTTATTGAAATCATTTAATTGTTTTCGCTTGTGAGATAGTTTTTGTGAAAGGCTGACACAAAAATCTGATTCGGTCTCGCCGTGCGCCGACGGGAAACGAGATATTGTGATCTGTAAAAACAATGGAGGTGCTATTTTTATTTTGGTTATTCTCACGGCCTTTATCTATCCAAAAATTTTGTCAAATATACGATTTTAGAACAATTTAAAGCTGACATGAAAGTTTTTGTGATTTACTATTAGGTACTTTTCTATCGAAAAATCTTTTGTAGCTTAAATTGAGAATGGAAATAGATATAACGATGATTGAGTTCTCCTGGTAGAAAGTCACTTTCATTATACATATCTTATGCTTTATATAAAAGATTTGACAAAGTATATATTATATCTGAAAATGGTTTTGTTTGAATACATTCAGATTTAATAAAAAATTTAAAATTTTGATGTATGTCTTTGTCAGATTTTGAGAATTTTGATAAAAATATTGATAATATTCATACATTTTAAATACCTAGAAATAAGTACAACATACTTTAAAGGCGTATCGGTCTTCAACTTTATTTCTGTCAACATCGAGCAATATTTTGTATATCGCAACTTTAAACATAACCAGAAATGAATATTTTTTTAACCGGATAGTAATATAATATGGTATATATAATCAAATTTGGTACTCACTGAATGCTTTATTTGTTTTGACCTCATTCTCTTCCGTACTTCATTACAGACGCCGTCATAACAAATACTTCACGGTTAAAAGATTGAACCATGAAAAATGTAAAAATACTTGCATTAAGTACTAATATTTTACAAAGTTTTCATAACAGAAACACCAAATATTATCTTTATTTATTATTAATAATTTTACCAAATTAATTATCAGTGAGGAAAAAATAATAAGTTTGAATAGATGTCACCATAGCTTTAGACAATTGCATTCTGCTTTCTTCGTTTTTGTTTTCTAAAATTATACAAATATAATATTACATTGATATCAGAACACAATTTATATTTATCATCTCGTCTATAACTTGCAACAATAAATCGCGAACAGTAACTATAATTTTCTAGTTCCTTGGTGGCACGGAATACTAAAATAGTAACTAAATTGTTGTGATCATAAACCATTGTGGACCATAAGCCATTCGTAACGAAAGAGACAATGATTCATTCTTTACACAGCTTTTACCGCTAGACGTACGATCGTCGACGTCCAACAGACGGATAGATAATAGCATAGTTTTAGCTTACTATCAAGAAAGGGGTCAGATGAATCATTTTATACTCTCCTTCGGATCAAACACCAGCTTAAATTGAGCTATAGTTACTTAACAGCTATAAAATAATTGTTGCCAATAACTAAATTGTATCATATTTTACTTCATATAAATTATTGGTGCTTAAACAAAATCGCTGTTACAGTACACCGTTATATTAAGTATAATAAAAAAGTAGGCAGTAAACGTTTCAAATAGCCTGTTGAATATACAGCTGGTAAGTGTAATCTATAATTTACAAGTTTAAGTCGAATCTAGTCATACATTAAATAATTTTACCAACTACATACATGCGCCTTAGGGCTGAGAGTTTTACACACTTGTTTTGTTTATACATAATAATGTAGGTATTCTATGTTAAGTATATTTATATAATATTGAAATATTACTACGAAATTAAACTGAATTTAATATGAAACGTCCATTTTTGCAACACTCCGTCGGCTTTCCGTTATATGTGTACAAAAAATGTACATACCCATATGTACATTTATTGTACATAGTCACATATATGGTTTCTTATTGCACACATATGCATAATTGATAATAAATTAATATTCGTATGTATATATTCATTTTTCAAGAACAAGGACATTTTTCAAGGCACCTTATTCGGGACAAATTGTTTGTATGATAGCGTATGATAAATATTTACGATTAAGAAACTCTTCCATAAGCTATTTTTAGATTTCTACTTGTCTGTTGTATACTTTGTACATTTCTAAAATATTCGCCAAATATTTAATGAAGCCGTCAAATTAAATTAACGTAATGTGTCTGTCGAATAATAATATTCATTAGTTTGTGCGTGAGTGTTATGTTCCTATTGTTTCCATTAAATGAAAGCGTTACCACTAAAACAGTGATGTCGTGACGAGATGACGACACTATCACGATATGAGATGTCACGTTTTTGTACCAATTAGTCATTGTTCACAATTTTTGTTCCAGAGAGAAGTTTTTTTACTAATGCTTACAGTGAAAATTAAATCTTCAGTATCAATATTGAAGTCAATATAATATGACATCGTGTTAATGCTCATAAAACCTAAGAATTAAATTAAAAAACACCATAATCTTATTTTCGTAATTTTATTGCTAAAGATTTTTTGTTGTTAGCAACTATATATTACATTTCAAATGAATTAAAACACGACATTCTGCAACGAAATAAAAAATATGAACGTCTTCAAAGCTCATTCATTTCGTGTACAAAGTAATTGATGTTTATTTAGCTTTGACTCAAAGTAGGCTGCTTTTCTAATATGAAAGTTTTGTACGTACGAATGTTTCAAAAGCGATAAATCTTTTATATGAGAACATTATAAATGTAAACAGCTATTAATAACTATAGCACTTAAATATTATGAACACATACTTCATTAGTCATAAAATTTCTTACTCACTTAAGACTGACCTAAGCGACATAAGCCAAGGTTATGTAAAGATGGATATATATTTCTAATAATGCAGTACCATTACTAGGAAGGTTTTATGTAACCGCTTTGGAAAACCCTTTCGTCTTTCAGTTTATATTTAATCAGTAAATGTACGCTAAAGAAACTTCTATAGACTAACCACAACCTTGTATAATTATCAACAATAATCATAGTTTTCAGATTTTCGTATTCAATTCAATTCTTTAAAGCCTTTAAATTTGGAACTGATAGAAGGGTAATTAAACTATTTTCCAAATTAAAACAGGGTCTTAAAGAAATACGAGTATAAAATGTACCAATACCGTTTGTTATGTAAATACTAAATAGATAACTACGACTATCTGTTCAATATGCTATTTATATGAAAATCAAAAGTGTGGAATATGAACAATGTGTTTGTATGAATTTTTAAGGAATCCGGTACTGAATTACTGCCGAGGTCGCACTATGGTACATTCTATGATACCGACGCTTACCTGGTGTATTCGTGCTCACTGCCGGGTCAGCCGGCGGAACCGGATATAATTGTAAGTAAAAATCACATCATATCTCATATTAATAACATATTAAGAGGTTTAATCGTAACTTTAAAACTGACCTTAAAATAACACTATTTCTTCAAACGTAAATTTTCTGATAGTTCATGTGAAACGATCAAACATTGGATGCTCAAGCCATGAAAATGAAATTTGATACAGTATTCTGTCTATGTGTGTATTCTGTCTTTTAATTGACATAATATTAAGCATAACTAAACGATAATATTAACATCAAAGGCAACCACAATCAATATCTACAGTAAACATCTTTTACATGTTACATATAAACCATCTATGTAAAAAATATAAGTGAAAAGAAAAAGTATATACTTTGTAACAATTGTGTCTGCCGCTTACAGCGTCGCGAAATAAAAGAGAATGGAACAGAGTATGCTGAGCGTCACGTCCACGCGTGGGCGAGTGAGACACAGGCGGGGACATTGGTGCTGCGACGAGCGAGTCAACTGCTGGCTCACCTCGCGGCACCTCTTGTACTGCACAGGGAAACTGCCACGAAGGAATCACCAAGGATGCTCTCTTATTTCCGAGATGGCATCAGGTAATATACTTACAGCTGCTAAATATAGACGATCTTATTTAATTTAGTCCATAATTTGTACACAACATTTACCCATAATTTGAATTTGTAAAATGTAATTCATTCTTTTTGTTACATAAACGTGTTTAGAGGTTGAAGTTTCATTTTGTATGTTACAGAATTCTTCGTAGTGGTTGCCTGAACGGAGGTCCTCGTTTATACCGAGTTCAAGGTCATCGACCTGTGATGCTTCAGCTAGAGCCGGTCACGTGGGCCCAGCTCGCCTCTGATGGTGTTTTTGTGCTGGACACCACCAATTTGATAGTTCTATGGCTTGGCCGTGCTGCCAATTTAATTGAGAAAATCTTTGGAGCCAAAGTACTGACTTAAAATCTTCACAAGAACGAATTATTCTTTATAAATAGAAGACATCAAGTCTTGTGTTTTTTGGTAACAATGTAATTATTTTCAGATTGCATACCGTATGGCTCGTGGAGTAGAAAAGGGAATGATGGCACGTCGCATCGCTATCGCTCATGATGGCTACGAGCAAACACTACCAGTCGCGGACCGAGAGTTGTTGAACAACATCTTGGAACTACGGTCAAGAACCATCCGTCCGTCACCAGTAGTCTCCGAAGCCCCTCGACCCGCGCGTCTGTTTAAAGTGACGCAGCCGCCACGAGTATCACCTGTCACCGTGCCTTCTCAAAGAGCTGCAGCACGCCTTGAGGAAATCAAAAGAGCACCGCTTTACCGAGAGGACTTAAAGGACGACGTAAGTTAAAACCTCCAAATATGAAGAAAACTTGTATTATTAATAATAATTGGTGGAAATGTTAGGGTGTGTATATAGTCGAAGCTGGATCGCGAGGAGTGTGGGCGTGGGTGGGTGCTCAGGCTGGCGCTGCAGCAGGTCGAGGGGCGCTGGCCGCGGCGCGAGGACTGGCTCGTGCTAAACGACTGACTGGACCTGTCGCCACCATGCTATCAGGTCGAGAGCCTTTGGAATTTGCTGCGCTCTTCCACCGCTGGAGTTGGGCGGATTCACGCCGCGACATACGCGTGAGAGCGGCACGGTCTGCCACAACCAAATTGGATGCTGTCAGTCTAGCTTCAAATTCATGGCTGGCTGCTGAGGTATGAAATGCTATATGTATGAATGCAATATATTATAACAAAATCACATGTCGGAGATTCTTAAGTAATGTTTCCTTGTAGGCACAACTTCCAGACGATGGATCGGGGTCGCTGAGAATGTGGCGTATTCGATGTGAAGGTGAAGGACCGATGCAAGAGTTGGAGCGTCCGCAGCATGCAGCCTTTTATGATCAAGACTGCTACATCATACTTTATACATACCATGCCCCTATTGGAGACCAGACGATCCTTTACTATTGGATGGTAAAATATACACGAAAATGCTTAAATTTTTTATTTAAAGCTTGAAGTATACTTCATTCAAATATATCTATGTACAATGTTAATAACAGGGTGGCTCTTCGCCAAATGATCTGCGGAATTTGGGCGCAAAAGAAGCCAAAGACCTCTATACAAAACTAGGTCGTCTTCCCATACAAGTATGTAGAAAATACGATAATCTATTTCTAGTAACAAACAAGTAGTAATGTAATATAATTTTCTAGGCGTGGGTCTACCAAGGCAAAGAACCTGCACATTTCTTGCAAATTTTCAAAGGACGTATGATAACATACAAAGGAACTGCTACCGATTATGATCGTGAGTTCGACAATTATGTACAATAATTTAAGTAAAGTTAAATTTTGGACTTAAATTCTATAGGTTTTCCCGAAATAATTTCTTAAACATAAAAACGACTACTATATTCTTTTGCAGCTAGTGGTCGTAGAGTTGTGCCTCCGCCGCGAACACTCATCCGTGTATCTGGTCAATATGCACGCGAGGCTCGAGGAGTGGAAGTATCAGATGAAATTGTTTCTGGAGGAGCAGGGTCAAAGGGAATCGCTAACAGGGGATCGTGTTACGTGATGCGGGAGGGAACACGAGTGTGGGTGTGGTGCGCCGCCACTGCCACTGGTGACGAACGAGAAGTCGCTAAGAACATGGCCGCGGCAGACCATACGTTAATTATGCAAGGTACATATATCTATTCACTTATAGTATTCCCATAAGTGATAAGACCGAGTAATCTGAATTAACTATCAGTCTATCAGAGCCCACTGCTGAGCAAAGACTCTTCTTAAATGGAGAAGATTTAAGCATTAATGACCACGCTTGCTCAAGACGGGTTTGTGATTTCAAACTTACAATTTGAAATTATAGTCCGGGTTTGCTCACGGTGTTTTACTTCACTGACTGTCAGTGGTGTCTAAATTAGCTTAGAACTTTCTAATTTACGTACATATGACTCGACGGTGATAATATGACATTATTCTGAATTACGGTCTGTTATAAGGAAAAGAAAAAGCCGACTTCTGGAATGCCCTGGGCGATAGACGTCATTTGCTCGTGGTATCTCCACTGCAAGAAGTTGAAAGGCCGCTGCCTCCGCGCTTATTTTATGTTTCGATTGGTGCAAATGGACATTATTCTTGTAAGTAAAGAATATCTATGACTATAGTTAAGCTTAGGTATATTTTGGTCTTTGTTTATTTATACTTTTATCCTACAAAACGCAATTGACAGAAATATAAGTAATTAACAGAACAATGATAAGATATAACATAAAAGTCTCTCAGGCGAATTCATTTACAGTTACAGTGAAACGTGATAGAGATTTTATACTATAGATTTACTTGATGACTATTTAAGCCTATTAAATTATCATTAAACAGTGGATAAGTTTAATAATTATTATACTCAACAATTGTTTGTTACTCAATTTTACTGACCTAATATTTTGAAAATATCTTTTCTACTTTCCAATTAAATTTGTTAGTAGCAACAGTAGAAATATAGAATAGATATACTAGAATTTCCATGATCTTCGTTTTTAACTGACGTTATGTTGAGATCTAAGATTTTCGCGAGTACTCATTTAAATGAAAGTAATATTTTCGGATTTTACCTCGCTTTTTTTATTTTTGGTTACAAACTACATACTTCCGACGTTTCGGCTACTTTTTAGCAACCGTGACCACGGGCAGACAAGATGTGAGTGTCTGTCAGTTGGTCTTGTTATTTTATCACCTACCGCCATCGATTTCTTAATCTTCTAGCGTACCGATCGGAATGTCGGCAGAATGCGCTTACAATGTCTCGAGGTCCTGCGGTGTGGTCACGGACATGGGATTTTATATGATTATATGTTCCAGTCGAGGAGATCATCTCAGTGTCTCAATATGAGCTAGCTCCGGAGATGGCGGGTGTGTTAGATGCTCACGCCGCCCTATTCGTGTGGCTCGGAGCCCACTGCGCTCACCGCGCTAGGGAAGACGCTCGACAACTTGCACTGTCATATCTAGCGCAGGGTAACATGTGAAACTATTGTCCTGTAACTTTGACTGTTATTCAATTGAACACTTTGGGGTTTAAAACTAAATAAGTAATGTTTTCCTCTGAACGGAAATAAAATTAAACGGAATCTCCCTTTTCTGTTTATGTGAACTTAACATAACATTTCTATTACAAATTTAATATAACAACGTTTTACTTATTTTGCGAAATTATACAGCAATAACTTAAAAATAAATCTTTTATGATCTAAATCTAGACCCAGCAGCGAGAGATGCCGAGACTCCGATCATAGTTGTCCATCAAGGTCGTGAACCTCCACATTTCACTGGATTCTTTCCTCACTGGAAGAACTCTATGTGGAAGGTGTGAAACCTTTACAAAATATAAAATAATTTTAACACTAACATACAATCCGTACAAAATTCAAACATTTCCAGGGTCACAAAACCTTTAGCGCGATAGTAAGCGCGTTGGAAGGTAAGGCGATCGTACGGGGAGGGAACAGTAAACTTCAGAGCGGTAATAGTGAGAACCGATTCGATCAGCACGAGAAATATCCGCTGTCGGTACTTCGAGGACCAAAAGAACATCTCCCGCAAGACGTGGACCCACTCACTAAAGAGGTACTATATAATAACTAATAATCTACTAAGAAATAAGACTAGTATTCTATAAAACTGATATTCCTTTTTATTTAAATACAATGTATGTATGTAGTCAAGTACAATATATGTGTAATTTAAAAATTAGTTTAAAAAAAGTATCATAAATAAGATTGCTTTTGCTTTGCTTTTGTAAATTTACTAACCAATTCATTTATTAAGTTTAATTTGTAACGTACTAACACCATATGGATCTATGTAATATGATCTGAAATAAATGATTTATTATTATTATTTAAGTATCAATAGTTATGTTTATGTTACGAGTGACGGCTGTAATTTTATATTGACACACTATCAGTTGTCTTCATAATTAATGGTAATTTTAAATTAAATATTTGAGATTAACGGCTAAATAGACATATTCATTCAATATGGCGGACAACCAGAGACATTTATTTATTGTTCCATATAATTACCTAACCAAAGAATATCCTCTAGCAAAATTCAGAATAAAAATGTTTTAATATAATTTCACCGACTATAACCAATATATATCACTATTACTATATTTTTGACTGACTTTATTAGTGGTAGTAACATAAATTATGTTTTTTCTTAAAGGGCTTTTAGGGTACATATGTATTAACCTTGGTAAGCAGTAGGTACTAGCTTTGTGATATAATAAATATTTTTTATGTAGTAGGTTAGTATCAAGTCATATTTTATTTTATTACTAAGTTCGTTTTATAAACAATTTGTTTCTTTCTCAGCTATATCTCACGCACGATGATTTCGTATCTACCTTCAACATGACGTACAATGACTTCCGATCGTTGACCGCTTGGAAACAGAGGGAACTGAAAAAGTCTGTGGGATTATTTTAAAACTGATATATTATTAACAAGATCTTGTTATTGGAATTTATTAACATGATTTTATTACGCTTAAACTGCAACACAGTTTACAAAATAGTGAATAATTATTAAAAAATATATAACTTCAATATAAAATGTCTGAGAAAAATAATTTTGTATCAATGTATGTAACATTCTTAATTGAAAGTAATACAAAACATACACAACTACTTTCATCGTCACACTGTATATGAAGCGTTTTCAGTTTTCCGTTCAAGAAATCTCACATCTCAGATGTAGATTATTTAAAAAGAAATTTTGATGAATATGGATGAATGTATGGAAACTTAGTCCTTGCAAAACTGATATTTAATATTGTAACTGTCGACACTACATATTTTAAGTAACATGTAACTCAGAAACCGTATGTATTTTTAAGCATTTATAATTGTTAATTATTAATTTTATAAAATATATTTATTATTGTTATAAAACAAAACATTAAATAAAACATTGAAATTTTTTAAAATGTTATTTATTTTTCACAAATGTAGCACTTAAAATGAGCTAGGCATTAATTTTATGATAAAATTAATAATATTCTTTACAATATACAAATTTCTTAAAAAAAAAATCCATAAAATATTGGTTTATTTGAAAACATATGTACATTATAACTATCCATACATGTAACATAGTATGCCTAGGTGATATGAGAGTGGGCCGAATAGCTAAGGCACGTCTGTATTAGTATTGCGATAGTCCTATACTATCATAAAATCTTAAGCATTATATAGAACATATATTAATATAATTGTTTCACTACACCCACGTAAAGTATAAACGTTCAACTCGGTAGTGTCAGCGATAGTCCTTTCAGATATGAAGCTAGCTAGTTAGGAACTTAACATTTTAAATCGTTAAATACATTACAGTAACGGATGGTATAATAAATTAATCATATATATATGTATATAACACTGAAGCTGTTGTGTGGTCTACATCATGAGAGTATTTCTTAAACCACCACCATGTCTGATCCTAATAAATAAAAATACTCCCAAACATGATAGACCAGTGACGAACAGTGGTTATGAACTAAAAAAATAACGTTACAGATATAGATACTGAATTAATATTTAATGACAAGCATGAATTATTAATGAACTAGCAAAAAAAATTTAAAAATATGTATCATAAATTGCAATCGTATTTGTTAAATCAAAAAAAACAAAAAATACAAAACATCCAAAATTTCTTTGGTAATAGAGAACATAACCGAATTATTAAACAATTTGTGGGTTTGAATTATGTCAATGCGATAGCTGCCCTAAAAAAATTTAAAAAAAAATATAATATCAAAAAAACATCATAAGCGTACAACTACCATATAATCGCAATTTATCAAACATTTTAAGTACGTATAATTGAAATTATTTCAAAGAGATTGTCCGTAACTTAAAAACTATAATAGAAGCGGTAAGGGATCGAGCGACGTTCCTACTCCGGTTAAAGAAAAAAAAACACTAACAAATAATAATAATAAAACAACGTAGCATTTGTTACGGAATGTAAAGTTCTGTGAGAAATAAAACAGCGTATTACAAACTTTCAACAAGTACCATAGGTAATAACAATGCGCGGGTAGTTCAGGATTTTAGCACCAGGTGTCACTACTTCAATATCACAGCTGCTCTCAGTTGAGATATCTCATTACACATCTTCATATATGTTAATGATAGAACAGATTAGTTTCTTACAAACGTTTGATGGTATTCTAACATTTCAGTTGAATTAGGCAGAGAATATTGAGAAATAATTGAACGATAAATGTATGTACTTCCACATCTAATTTTGTACTTTAAAAATCACTATCTGTATTAAACAAATTCTTTACGGTTTATTTTGGTTTCAATAGATACTTTGGAATCTATGTCCATTAAGCTCATACGTGTTACAACCTTATAAGAATGTGTGTGAATATGTCAGATAAATATCACTATTAAAAATTATTTTGTACATCATCATGAATTAAATTTTGGCACAGAAAAATTATAAAAGATTTGGATAAATGGAGCAATAAATTCTTACAACCATACGGTCGTTCATTATAAATGTTTCGTTTGTTACTTAAACTTTTTCAAAGGAAGCCTTTCAGGTTGAGCAAATACCAAAATTATAGAACACATATGGCACTGATTCGTTAAGTAAATGCTGGAGCCATTTCTGTTTATATTAAAATATTATATTACTTCAGGCTTTGTGTAGAGTTAGTTGTATACCAGTGCAGAAAAAACATACCTCCTATCATTCATCTACATATGCAACATGATGTTTAATAAAAAATATAATTAAAAACAGTGCAATTCCGTAGTATACTCAATGTTTCCTTCAATTACGATTTAATGATAGTTTCTTAGGAAACTAACACTATGTATATCTTGTAGGCCAACAATTATCATCTAAGTACGTAGGATGTGTACAGTAACATTCATTTAAGTTTCAGTGAGTCAAATGTTATCAATATAACGATCCAATCGCCAGTTAGTTAATAACATACATTTAAAAAGTTTTTTTGTACAAAAATATTTCTAATTATCAGAGATTTTATAAATCGTTACTATATTTTTTATATAATGCTAATTGGAGTTTTAATATTTCTATCAATTTAGTATAATTATTGTATTGTTTTAGGACACTGTGTTCCGTATTTGTATTAGTTTAAAAAACTTCGACTAAAAGCAAGTTTTGGTTATTCCTTCGCAATGAAAAATCTAGAAGCGTTGTATCGCACCGAAACTACTCATATTAACAAGCCAAATATAATAACATAATATCAACACAGTTACTTATATGTACATTGAACTGAACACTTAAAAAACTTTTGTATAATCATAATATTATTATTTTTTAAATAAAATAATCGTTATTTTACAATAAACTTGTAAAACAAAATCAATTCCAATAATCAATTCACTGTTGTGAAGGCTAGCAGTCATGATCTGCCAATAGATTTTATCAACAGTAATGTTTTCAAGTAAGTGTGCTCATCCAATCTCTTAAAAGGCAATCATAAAAATTGTCATATGAAATTTCAGACGTCAGATCTTTATCTATAAATTCCTATAATTTTATAAACCACAATAAGTACATGAATACCTAACACATTGTATTTGGACATTTTGGAAGGCCTACGTTTTAGGAGACTAGCTAAATTATATATAAGGTACAAAAATTTCGTTCATCAGTCTGAGCACACGATATAGTAGAAAATACATGCACAGGGCTCTATATATTATTATATTGCTTGTGGTCACAACCACGTCGCTAGCTATATAACAACTAAGGCCTATGCACCTTTCATATTAATAGATCAAACATCTGTAGTGTAAGGAGTATAGTATGATATTCACTGGCGCGGGAGGGAGGCATTCGCTGGCAGGGTTGAACTACGCTGAGATGCGTTCAGATATCCCGGCTTTAGGTTTGAACGCATTGAGTCCCTGGAATATTAATAATAAATCGTTACAATTATATTTTATATATGTAAGACCATTAGAAACAGATAATGAGTTCAATATAAATATTCATAGTAAATATAAACATTAAAATTAAGTGTATTAATTATATATATATATATATATATATATATATATATATATATATATATATATATATATATATATATATACATTCCGGCCGCTCAGGATTTTGCGCTTCTAACACCTGTCAATTGTTCCTAAATAGTTTTGCTCAAAAAAACATTATGCATATTAAGTTCATTTAATGCTTTTAATTATTTTAATTTAATATAGATTTCGTTATTTATACAATAATTATTTTTCAAAGTATAACTGATATCACGACAATTAATTTTCTTAAGTGTAATTTATCGTATCTTTATCTTATTAACTTTATTAATACAAGTGCATTATATGTATATTACAGAACAACATTTTTTATGTTATTAAGACAAAGTATATCAAGTTTACAAAACTATTCTATTATTTTGACATGTATATGACTATAAAACAAACAATTGACTTGATCACATAAGATCTCGATTAAAAACTATTTTTTCTATATTACATAATTTATTGTTAAATTTAGCCCAAAGTTGATTGAGTTGGCATAATTGTTAAACCATTAATAAGATAATTTTCTTTTTCTAATTTTTCCTTACGTAAATTGTACCTCAATTGAAAGGTAGATTTTCGATTACAACCTTTTTGAAACGGAAACTAGGAAATATAAAATGCAGTCACATATTCAGCTATACGAATCTTAATACTAGAATATGTAAAATGTTTTTGGCGACATTGTAATGCATATGTAGATATTTTTCTTTAATAACTCCTCAATAATTATTTTAATTTATTTAAATAGCTACTTTTGCTTCGCACAATATGCACTAGGAAATCTTTTATTTTGTGAAAATTATTCTCATGTTTTATAATTACAGATGCAAAAAAACATCAACCAATTTAATGAAATTAAAGCTAAACGCATTTGCCTTCAACAATCTTTGTTTTTGAATAATTACACAACAAACAATTCATTTTGTTCAAACTCCTACACGTTACAAATAATTATTAATATTGTCTGGCCTCATTCAAAACACAAAACACATGTCTCTATGTGCTTCCTTCTTTGCCTGTCTTGACCGGGACAAATTTAGCAAAAAAAAAACACATTCTTAGCCTGCGACGGGGACGGATTTAACAAAAAAAAAAAACAAATGTCATACCTGGGTGACAGCTTATTGTTCTCATGATTATTAGTAATGGCCGCCCGGTATCCGTGTCTCTGCACGCGTCGCGCCAGTCTCGCGACCCAGCGCCTCTGTTCGGGCGCGCCGGCCGCTAGCAGCAGCAGCTCCCTCGCGCGGTCGGCGTGCAGCTTACAAGCAGCTACACCCTCGCCCTCAGACACGTGCTCCACGTGGATCTTCATACGACAACCTGTAATACACATTAATATTAACTATAGAATTAGATTATTAACATTATGTAATATTTTGAAAAGAACAATCCATTCTTTTCAGTTACAATCGCAATCTCTAAGGATCTTCATACGACAACCTGATATATATTGACATTAACTATAGAATTAGATTATTAACGTCGTCATCAGCCTATCAGCGCCCACTGCTGAGCAAGGCCTCTTTCTCACATAGAGAAGGTTTGAGCATTAATCACCACGCTTGCTCAAGACGGGTTGGTGATTTATTAGATTATTAACATTATATGTATATTTTAAAAAGGGCAATATATTCTTTTCAGTAACAATTGCAATCTCTATTTAACTAGTTATAAGATTATCAACATTATGTTATGTTTTTTATTAATTATTTCGAAAATTAAATGAAAGGACAATTTTGAAAGAGTAAATCGTTTTTTTAAGAAATAATAATTAAAAGCTTTAATTAACGAGTTAATGTCCACTACTTCGTTATTGTTTTCAAAGAAAAATGTGTAATGTTTGCTTAATGTGTTTAACACGTCACTCGATCGTGAGTCATGTGACTCCATACCACAAACTACAAGAAAATCTTAAATATGTTATTAAAGCTGCATTATTGAAGTTTTATCAAAATAAGTCCAGTATATTTGCCCGAAAGACCAATAAACATTTATTACAACTTTAACATTATTTAAATTATTGGGACAAATACGGAAAGTGATTGAAAACTGTTGCAATACATATATAGGTCAAAGAAAGATTGGTTATCTACCAATTAATTAATTATATTAATTAGTCGGTCGCTTTGGATGTTGTCTATAGATAAAATTAGCTTCTGTACATAAATATAACGAGCTACTAATTATGAATTACATCTTAATATTGATAGTGGGGACCCAGTTTGTATATCATATGTGATATCTCTATACTTATTACGAGTATTGTATTTGTTTAACTATGAGTTTGATCGTGCAGACTCATGGTAGGGATAATCTTTACCACATAATTACCTATTATAGTAACATATTTAATCTATATGATTGTAACACATTTATTTTGGCAAAAAAGACAATATGAATTATTATTCTTTTATACATATATTTCGTGTATCTTGAACCGTTTTCATGGCGCACGCAACGGAAGGCTTCAAAGATGAAATAATTTCTCCCGTTTTTTTACACATTTACCACCATATCTTTGCTCCTATAGGTCGTAGCGTGATGTTATATTACCTACAGCCTTCCTCGATAACTGGACTATCCAACACAAAAAGAATTTTTCAATTCGAACCAGTAGTTTCGGAGATTAGCGCATTCAAATAGACAAACAAAATCTTCAGCTTTATAATATTAGTATAGATAATATAGGTATGTTATAATCTCACGTCTACACTCGTAGGCCTGCGGCGGACGGAACATGTTCCACAGAGGCCGAGTGCAGACCTCGCAGGCCGTGGGGATGTGGTACGTGATGCTGACCAGGTCGTGACCCTTGTGTTGGACCGTGTTACCTGCGATTTAATAAGTAATTACAAAATATACATACATTTTCTTTGATATTTGTTTTAATGTCACATGGTTCTGTTGGAATTATATAAAAATAAGGCAAATATTATTGTGTATAACGTTTTACCTGCCAAATTGTTCATAATAATCTAATTACGTTTGGTTGCTATAGTCGTACGTATTGCAAAACAGGTCTTTAGCATGTCTAAGTCAAAACTGACTTATAAATATTTGTTTACACTTTGTTGGAGTAATAAACACATTTTTATATGAATATTTATAAATCGACGTCAAATATAGTACTTGTCGTATAAATCCCTTTTTATCATAAATACAACTTAACACTGAATTACAAAAACACTTGAAAATTATAAAACCATTTGATAGACATAATAGCCAGATTAGGAGATATATAGAAAAATTACTTTAATTAAACAATAATATATATTAAACCATCGCGTAAAAAATACGTCATTTATCATTACTAATTTAATCCTTCTAATATTATAATTGCGAAAGTTTGTGAGTGTGTGTGTATGTTTGTTACATCTTCACGCTCAAACGACACAAACAATTTTGATAAAATTTTGTATAGAGGAAGCTGACGTCCAGGGATAACACATACTTTACATCCCGGAAATCCGAGAGTAACACCGCGGGGGCAGCTAGTGTTTTAATGAAAGTACAATAATACCCCGTTTAACGCGACCCCGTTATACGCGGTTTCACTATAACGCGAATTTCAAAAATTAATTCAGATTTGGATATATTGCAGAGTATAGATAATAATGATGACCGCTTCTTGACCGTATGTCAAACAATTAAAAACAGTGTTGGGTGTTACGAACTTATTTTACAAGAACGTAAACAACACGCTACCCAAAAGACTACCCAATACATAGGGTATTGTATAGTGTTCTTAGAATTAAAGTGATTGATTAAAATGATTTTTATATTTGTGTATTAAATTTTGACTGTGTTTAGCCTCGATATACGTGAATTTCAGTTAACGCGATTTTCTTCGAAATGTATCCCTCGCGTAAAGCGCCCCCCGCTTACTACTTTATAATGTATGTGTGTGTATGTGTTATACCAGCATGGTCCGGCCCGTCGGTGGGCGTGTCCTGAGCGTCTCCCGGTCGCCGAGCCTCTCCCTCTCCAGCGTACAGCAGCTGGAAGATGCGAGGTATGTCCTTGGCGTCGGCGCGGATGACGTCACCCTGGGTCACTGACCTCACGTGGAACACTTTGCTGAAATTATATAAGAAAAATATAAACATGGGGTGTTGGTCCCATAGTAATATCTAATCATTAGTAATTTAATTCATGTATTGGTACTTTCGCGTTTTTCATCTTTCGTTTTGACGTAATAGATATTGCGAAGCAATCGGAATGCTGTATTTATAAAAACGTAAATATGTAACACATATATTTTTTTATATGAATGGAAAATTCATCAATAACAATTACTTGCAAAAACCATCGACGCGAAGGACATTTAATAGTATTCATTACATTATAGCTACTATTACTTTGACGAATTTATCTTGTATAAATCTAGACATACAATTTTTCATGTGCAATATTCTATATGTAAAACTTACACCATATCCCAAAATATATCAACAAGAATATTTTTAAGTAGCGATAAATATCGGCTAAGTTTTTCATTATTCAGAAAGGAAAGTATTCATCAATTAAAAAGTACATTAAATGTCAGGTAGACTAATATATAATGAACCTGAGGTCTAGTATCATGACGGGGTCGGTGGTGTTCTGCTTGTCGTTCTCCGAGTTGTAGAAGATGATCTTCTTGGAGGACACGACCACGTATTGTTTCTTCCAGCCGTGCCGCCGTATGTTCTGTTTGAAGGGCACGGACAGCCAGCCCTCCAGCGTCTGTTCCGTCTCACCGTCCTCAGCGTCGGCGGACGACTGAGACGCCGTCTCGCTGGTCAGCGCCGCTAGCTTCTCTTTTAATTGCTCGATCTCCGCGTCCTTGCTGTCGACCTGGAGTATTTTGTAATTTTTTAAATTAAGAACACGATTAAAAATTTAATCTTTTTGAATATGGAATTAGAATCCCGCTGAATAATGTATTCATCTCGTTTTAATGCATTTTGCATTGCGTATTAAAACTTTTATTGAAGATAATCCATTTTTAATTTATTACGTTTAGAAAATTTTTGTATGAAATATAGAATGTAATTGCACAAAATCCTGAATTCCATTTGATAATGAATTTGTCATTACTACATATTTAAATTTCGAATTCAAATTGAAATAATCGATAAAACGTTACTATTGTTATAAAAAAAACATCAAGAAAGTAGTAAATATATCTTATGAGTATATGTAATAGTGATCCTATTGTAGTAGTATCGTAGTAGCAGAAAGTAGTAAATATATCTCATGAGTATATGTAATAGTGATTTTCGTAGTAGTATCAGTAGTAGTATCGTAGTATCACCTCCATAGCCAGCCGTAGCTTCGTCTGTTGCTCCTCAAGTATCTGTTGCTGCGCCTCTTGCAAGTCTCGATGTAGTTTACTTATGTGTTGGTCGAATTTCTCCTTTTCCCTTGTTAGTTCTTGTTGCAGCTTGCGGTAGTCCTTGTCCTTGCGTACAGACATCTTACTCTTGTTCTTAGTGGACGCTGGATTCATGTCTTTCCTGTTTCGTTTATAAATATACTAATTAATATACTATGAATACAAACAAACTATATAAGTAAGTCTATTCAAATGAAACAAATTTTTAAATATATTATGAAGACAAAGTATGATAATTCTATTTAAAAGAAACAAGTTTTTCAGATACTGCGCGTCTTTTTTTATATATATCCAAATTGGGATTCAATTTTACTGCAACCATAGTGACAGAATGATATGAAGGTGTCTTCTGCCCCAAAAAATTACTTTTATTTAAAGAGTGCACCCAAGAATCTTAGATATTATTATGGTAAATTTATCCAGAAATGTACTCAAATTAGTTCAATTATTCTTCTTATATCCTACATTGTTTAATATATTTTATATATGTGTATAATTTTGCTCATTATCCCTACAACTTTTATAAATGCGAAAGTAACTGTCTGTCTGTCTGTTACGCTTTCGCGCCACCACCACTGAACTCATTTTAATGAAATTTGGTACAGATATAGAGTTGACCTTGAGAAAGACTTTTGAAAAATTCTCTAAGAAACGCGATATAACCGAACTCCACGCGGGCGGAGCTGCGGGCGGAAAGCTAGTATGCCATAATATTCAATATATGTGTACCTGTTCATGATCTCAGCCAGTTTATTGACGGCCTGTTGTTTGAGCATGATCTCCGAGTTGAGTTTCTTGTTCAGTCGGTCGACGTCGTCTTGTAGTCTCTGTAGTGTGGCAACTCGTTCAGCCAGCGCGGTGCCGCTGCGTCTGAGCTCGTCCACCTCCTGGGAATTAAGATGTAGAAAAGACATTAAACTATCATTTAATAATCAGTTAAATAAAATTAATTTAAAATTTGGTATTAATATGTATATATTTCTAATTTAATTTTTTTATAATGTAGGCCTGGTGGTGACCTAGAGGTTCAAAGTCCGCCTCTCTTGTATGAGGGCGCGGGTTCGAAACCTGGCAAGTACCAATGGGTTTTTCCGAGTCATATGTACTTTCTAAAACTATTTAGACACCATTGACGGACGGTGAAGGAAAACGTCGTGAGGAAACCTAACTAATTTCTAATTATAAGTTTGAAGTGATCAACCCGTCTTGAGCAAGCCTGGTGTTTAATGTTCAAAATGACACCCCATCAAAAATACGTTCGCTAAACCAGGACACCGTACGAATACAGGAAATTTTTCACCTATTACTTGATGCATCAGAACTTACAATTCTATAAATAGATTTGACATCGATATCCACCACCAAAATTTATTTAGTTTTAAGAAATCCTTATTATATGCTGTAAGTGAGTAGTACATTAGTATGTTGTTATTATACTTTTATTTTTAAAAATTATTTTTATTGGCTTATAATTATTTATTTTGTTTTTATTGCCTGTATTGTATTTATGGCCTTAAACCTTATTAGTTTATGTTTGTTCTAGCTCAAGTTTTTAATATTATATAAGTTTTTAATAGTATTTAAGTTTTTAATATTACTTGAGAGATTATTACTTTGTTTTTAATTTAACAGCGCTGTAAATGCCTGTAGTGGTTTATCACACTGCACTGGTCCGTGTACTGTTATTACATAAGTGTTATTTGAATATGCCGATGGTGTTTCAAATAAATAAAATAAAAAATAAAATAAAAGATGAATCAGGCATCAGTTTGTATGACACCTGTCCAGTATAACTTGGCCTCTCCTACCTTTCTCTGCAAGTCTATAGTAGCCCTGTTCTCGTGGTCGCGGTCCCTCAGTCCCTGCACCAACGCGTCCCTTGCCGCCAGTTCCCCGCGGTGCTGCGCCAGAGCGTCTCTCATCTCCAACTCCTTCATCGTCTTCTCTTTTTCCAATTCTCCAACCGTCTCCTCTGCTATGGACCTGATATACAAAGTTATACAATTAATCATCTAGTTATATAATGAAATTAGCATTAATTCCTTTCCTATGAGAGCCTATTTTTCCATCTTAATATTGGATAACAACAAAACACAAATATTTATTATAATTTAACTATAAAACTATGTACCGATATAATTTGTCACGGTTAATCTTCATGGTTAAAACAAAAAAATCATGAGCGGAAATAATTCTAACTTCTAATGAAATCTTCAGATCACATCTTTGATTTTGAACCTGAGATGAGTTGTATATTAAGAATATTTTTTTCAAGTATATCTTAGTATTGAGTGCTTGTAGGTAAAATAGGTAGTAATATTGTAATGGGTCAATGACCTGGCGATCGCCTCTGAGTCAGCCCTAGCGATGGCAAGCTGCAGCTGATGCATGAGACTGGCTCGTTCTTGTTCCAGGTCCCGAGCTGATCGTTCCCGCTCGTCCAGCTGAGCCCGCACCTCGTTCACCTGGTTGCGGTACACGACGCAGTAGTGCTGTTCATTCTCCAACTGGGAACGTAACTCCTCGCTCTGAAACAGGGATGTACGGTTATATAAGTTTAAATTTTAATATACAAACTCTATTGGAAGTAAATATAATTGCATACATTTCTATATTTTGTTATCTTTTAACTGAAGATTCTCTACATAATATTCTTGAAAGAATGACAAACAAAGGGATAAGTTTATATACATAAACTTAGAAAATGTGAGTACATATTGGATTCGATTTTTTTTATTATTATTATAATATTATAATAATAATAAAAAAAATCGAATATACATACATAGTTTTATATTTCTTTATCTTTAAATTTATTATCTTTTGTACTTATTATATCTCTGTATATAAATTTTGAGAAAAGTCTATGTTTTATGTCTATACTGTTACATATTTTTTGATCTGGTGCTAAACACAAGAATTATTTACCATTTATCTGGATAAATAAGTCTCCAAACATAATTCATTTTCTCAATCATTGAAAAAATAAACTGTTACAATGATATTTAATTCTGTGTATTGTCTTAAACATCCTTAAAATATAACAGCTACCACACAAATTCACCGTTAGCTTAACGCTCAACTCAGAACATCACGAAATTAACGAAGCGCGACCAAATGGTGTAAATTTAGGCATATAAAATTTACTTCTCAATTTTTATTATGAAAATGACTTAACAAGTATCAAGACGAACAACGAGTATCTAACAGAAGTATATCCAGTTATATTTATATTCAAATATACTGCTTACAAATAGTATTAAAGTTAGTAAAATTCTCTAAACATGATTCAATATGATGATAGGGAAATAAAATGTGGACATTACTTAAGAGCGAACATATTGTAGTTTCTGACAAAACTTATGAAGTCGTGTTCACACATAATAGGTATTCGTCATACGATTGCTTCATTTACATTCCAATGTTACTTGTTACTCTGATAAGATGATTCTTAAATGATCAGACGTTTTGCAGAATCTTATAATTATATTTAAATATTTTTGCTATTTTTTACGACAAAACGTTGACATCGCAATTTAAACTCAATCGGATTATAAATGGACTAAGTAACGTTTATGTTAATGAGACAAAAATTTTTAAGAATTTTTTTACGTAAATCTAAAATGATATAAAAAAATCAAAAATAAAACAGCATTTTTCTGAATTCGACCCAAGTTATTTCGTTAATTATAATAAATATATCATTTAGAATATTTTTAAAAAATGTCGACCAAAAATATATATAAAATTTTTCTAAGTCAGTAGCGATGTAGTACAATCACGATAAATCTGTTGTATTCTTTAACTGGTTTAGCACAAGATGAAATCATCAATGTTTCTAGTTCATACAATTGTATTATTATTATTTACGTACATACAACATTTGCACGCGACATCGGCCGCTTTAAATCAATTTACAATCAATATTTAATTACAGAATGATAAGTAAATTCCTCGGCTCAAAACTATAAACAAAAACATATCAGTGTGCTTATTACAAGTTTGAATTTGATACACGGAATACGCGGCGTTAACAGTATTTCATTCATTAATCTCAACATATAGTATTAACTTTGAAAAACGTCAGACGCATCGTACGTAGTATGTCGATTTAAACTCGTAATAAGGGTACAGTATCATCATTATTTGTATATGTAATTAGAAATGTGTTATTTGATTTTAAGTTTCCTATTCCGCAGATAAATAGTAACAATGGTATAAAACGTCGGGAGAAATAAAAAACCTTAGCGTGGGAAAACTTGAGTTGTACGCGTTACCATTACATTGGAGTAATGTTAATAATTATTATATATTAAGATTGTATGAAAGATATATTTATTTAGTAAACAAATAATACAATATAATTATATGAACCAAATATACACTAATTCCGATGCATCTAAAACTATGTAATAATAATACATAGACAATTAAACGCGTAATCAATTAAATCGTTCGAATTACTAAGGACCCTGTTATAGCATTTGAGCTCTATACATAGTTTCGTCTGAAGAAAAGTATATGTTAAAAATATAATCCTTACCACGAGTTTGTTAATTACTACATACGAAGAATCTAACGTTTGTTATTGTATCAGCTACGTTAACTATAGTTTGCTAAGATTGATAAACGAAATACTGTATAAGATGCGTTTGAAGCGTGACGTTTCGAACATGTACTAAGAACATTTGTGATCCTCTATAAACACAGTGCTATCGAGTGAATGATAAATATAAAATATTTGAAACAAACAGTCTTTGTATACTTTTATAATATTACTTAACTCTTTATACTACTATAAGCCGCGGGTGTTCCTTACTTATTAAATGAAGTTTTCCTAAGAGGAAAAAGACTTAGAAACTACCCTTGTCAATGATTTTGTCAAAGCGTCACAGCAATTGACGATTCTAAATAATAATTTATTTGTTTAAACTTTATATTAGAAGAAACGCATTTTTAATAAGAATCAACTGTCCAAGAAAATTATTTTGAAATCTATCTACTAGTTATATCATGATGAACGAACAACTGCATTCCTCTTTACTATTTACATAAATAACACGTCAGTGTTTAAATTTAAAAAAAGAACATTAAATTAATAATTTAAAAATGATATTTAAATTAAATTAATTTAAAATGTTACATATACGTAATAACGAATAAATATCACAACAATATATAATTAATGACAGGCTCAAAGTAAATATAATTACTGAGGTCAAACAGCTTTCCGCGAACCGTTACGTAATAATATTTCTATTAAATATTAAACAAATCGTTATAAATAAATAAATATAAGTTATGTGACATGTCAGAAAAACCGCTGGATACGTAATAATTCGTTTTTTTTGACGACAGGGTCGCAGGTGTAACGTGTGTATTCGCATGTGTGCACTTGTCTGTGTGCGTGTGTGTGTGTGTGTGTGTGTGCACTTGTCTGTCTGTGTGTGTGTATGAGTCATTGTGTCGTTATGCCGAAGGACATTCTATTTCGGCGTGATGAGACTATGATTAATTCACGGAACAGTAAAAGTATTGCGGATTATAAAAATATATAAGCGACTTAAATAATTTTAAATTATCATATAAATAAATGGGACAGAACAAAATGTCTTATATGTTGTGAGTCATATTTACATATTCCCGTGTGATAATTGTCGATAACGCTTGGCCATTTTGATAAAATCTGTACGGTTGCGTCGACTTAACTAGAAAGCGTATTGAAGCCTTATATTTTTCAATGAAATTTAGTACAAAATGCATTATATTCTATATAGAGATTAATATGAAACAAAATATAAAATGTCATGTCATAATAGAAATATATAAAACCTGTTTGGTTATGTCCTTTTTGAGTACTGGCCATTTTCATAATTATGAATATTTTAACTGACTCACATACAATGTTTATACATACATACATTATTGCATTTTAAAATATATTAATCTTCGTGATAGTTGTATAACCTTAGAAAATCAACGTATTCAATTTATTTTTATTGTAATAATAAACTTATTGTAAGGAAAATTAAAAAATAGGAGTGACGTAAGTCATAAATTGTAAGTAATTAATGTGTAGAAATAAAAATAGATATTAACATATTTGTCATCTACGCGTTGAAACCATTCATTTGTAATGACACTATTGGATTAACCCAAATATGGTCTAAAGATATTTTACCTTAAAATTAAAACATTCTTTCGTAAAATCATTTCTGTAAAAAAATTTATAATCATTTAGAAAAAATAATTCAAGTGTCAGTTTTTTTGTAAAACTTTTTGTTTTAGTGAGAAAATTGTCTTCAGTTTTTATTTATTTTATAATAGCGTTCATAAGCTAATATTTTACATAAATCACAAGTTCTTTGATCTCTAGACGAGTGAGGAAGTTAAATTATTGTTATATATTACACACTACATACGAATATTTAAATATATATGTAAATTTAAATTCCATTCCATTGTAGTAAAAATAGCCGTATAATTGTCATGATTACAAATATTTTCTTTCCTGAGAATTCTATGTGCATTGACCGCACATTCTTAAACTTACTTTAAAAAAATGCATCGATAGTATTTATATTATTACGAAATCTTATGAAACTTTCACATAAAGAAAAATAAAAAATGCCAGTCATTATGGGCTAAGGACGAAACTGTATAAATCCTTAATCTTATTGTACGATGGGATGATGATACCTATGTATGTTATATAGCCGTATAAGTACATATAGGTTGCATACCCGTGCATAATGCATATCCCTTTCAGCGGCTGCAGCGGCTAGTTTCTCCGAGGCGTCATGCAGGGCGGCCCGGGCGGCGTGTAGATCACGAGTACGAGCATCCCTTTCAGCGGCTGCAGCGCGTGACGCAGCCTCCGCGGCCGCTGTCTCAGCGCTGGCTGCCACACGCGCAGCACGTTCTTGCTCCAACGCCGCTTGTAGACCAACGACCTGGACATAATATTGTCATATGTAGTGAGACAGCCATTTTTAATAATTTGATAGTGTGAATGTATGAAAAGTATAACGATATATGTACCAATCTCTAGAGCATAATGTATTCTCCACGAAGTCAATGAAGACGAATGTTGGTATATATATGGATATTTGAAAATGTTTCTTGATTACTCCCATAAATTGGGACGGTGGAACTCGTGTAACATTTTGGTTCCCAACAAAGAAAACGTTCCTAGATAGTACTATTTACGTATATACGTAAGTAACTTTGTTCCTGCCCAACAATGGCCTACGTAATAACAAACCTTCTCGCTCTCCTGGCGATGTTCTCCTTGAAGCTTCTGTAGTCTCTGCTGCATCTGCCTATAGTCCACACTGAGCATGGACATTTGACGTTCTTTATCTTGCGTGTGACACTCAGCCCGATGGCGCGCCGCCTTCTCACCGTTCAATTTAACTTGCAAGGCTGGATAAAATCACAAAGTTTACCACACCAATGTAAATGACGAATAATAACACTATCCAATGATTCTACATCAACATAGCATGCGAACGGAACGCAGCTGCTCCAATGACTGGATATCAGGATATAATAATTAGCGAAATGAACAAACCTGTCAATATCTTTTCCAATATTCCTGAGGCATGCAAAATATTAACCACAGTGATTTAAGGCACATTTTAATATATTATAATTGTACTCGTAGCAGTATTATAGATAGATGGGGAAATAGCAATTTCTAAACCAGGCATCAGTGCTGTTTAACCAAGGCATTGTACAAATAGAAGCAAAATGAACCAACCTTTAACTAACTCTAAGTTAGCCTCCTGGTTGGAAACTAACTGAGACCGTTGCGTTTCTTGATGAGCCCGAACTTCCTGTTGATACATGTGCTGCGAGGCCTTCAGGTCGTGCGACATGGAAGCACACTCTTTTTCTAATGAAGATATTCGTTCAGATAGTTGTCGATTGTCATTTATTATCTGATTTATTTTCGTGGTCGAGCGTTCGAGTTCTGTTTGAGCTGCAGTCAGGCGACTGGTTGTTTCAGCTAGTGTTGCCTCCATTCGTTGCTTGTCTGCCTTTACTGTACCGAGCTCTTCGGACAGATTGCTGCAATCTCTCTCAAGGACGTCCCTCTGTGCTCGTAGATTTGCAACAGTACCGTCACTCACAGCAGCCGCTGCCGCTTGTGCTGCACTAAGCTCGGCCGCTTGTTTTCTTGATTTAGCCGCAGCTTCCGACTCCTGTTTCAGTTTCTCTCGCATTTCATTTAATTCTTTTTCTAAAACATTAATTTTATCGTTATATATTTGCAAATTACTCATTTCTTTAGCTCTCTTGTTGAGTTCTTCTTCTAAACGACGCTTCACGTCGCTGTAGTTGAACTCGGCGTTCCGCCTGCAATCGGCTTCGATTTCAGCTTTTCGTTGTATTTCTTTGAGATCACGTTTCAGCAGAACCAACTCCTTGTCTGTATCTGCAGCAATTTTTTTAGTCCTAGATTCCCTTTGAGCCAATTCTTCTAACTGTGCACACAACATTACTTGCGTGTCTTCTAGTTTACGTCTGCTATCTCTCTCCCTTTCTAAAAGTTTTTCCAAGTGTAGTATTGCTTCAGATCCTGCGTTGGTTATGTGATTGTTAGATATCGTATCTACGACATCTGCTGCCTTTTTCCTTCCACCACAGAGTTGATAGTCACCATTGTACGTGAAGCCGACAAACGGTAAATGATTACCCACAAACGCCTTCGGTTCTGGAAAAGACTCGTCCAAGGCATCCGATTTTTCGATATCATCGAAGTTTCTCGTATCATCATCACTTGACAACTCGGGCACAACTGGCGGTACAGCATCTCTTAAATTCTCAAAACTCCACTGGTCATTTTTAAAGAATGGATGCTGCTTTATTTCTGCAACATCATTTCTTCCAAGTCTTTTCACTCTATCTGTTAACAAACCTCGAATAAGTGACTTCGCCTCCTTCGAGATTTCAACGTCATCGGGGAATTGCAAAGAATTTCTATGATCCATAATCTTCCCGTAAGTACCAACTAAACTATCGGCATAAAATGGTGGATCGCCTATTAACATTTCATATAAAAATATACCCACAGCCCACCAATCACATTCACGTCCATAAACACCTTCTCCATTTTGAGATTGTAACACTTCAGGAGAAATGTAGTCGGGAGTGCCAACTGCATTGCTAGCTCTTACAAGTCCATCAGGCCCCATTCTCATGCATGTTCCAAAATCTGCTAACTTCAAATGTCCATATTTATCAATTAACATATTATCAGGTTTCACATCTCTATGAACAAAGCCCATTCCATGGATCACATCTAATGCCAGTACTATTTCCATAGTATAAAACTTTGCCCATTTCTCAGGTATATCATAATTGGACATGAGACTGACAAGGTCTCCACCCGGCATGTAGTCCATTACCATATAAAGGTATTTCTGGTCTTGAAATGCAAAATGAAGCTTCAGTATCCACTCTGAATTAGCATGGGCCATAATGTGTCTTTCTTCCCAAAAAAATGTAGAGTCTGATCTTTTTATCATTTCTACTTTACTGAGGAGTTTCATTGCATATACATGACGAGTTGATTTGTGTCTGACTAGTTGTACCTCACCAAAAGCCCCACGGCCTATAACTTTGATCAAATCAAAATCAGCTGCTTTCATACGCAAATTAACTACCTCTGAAGCAAATTCTTCATCTGAAACAAAATTTCTCTGTTCATATTTTACAATCATAATAACTATTAGTTTTCCAATGTAATTACGACATATATAAACATATAAAATAAGCTAAAACATTGTAGATTACAAGATGGATATGAACATCAAAGCATAATAAAATGTATGTCATTTTTCTCTGACTACTCTTTACCTAGTAATTGTAAAGGTAAATAAATAATGAATTAAGTTTTATTGGGAAGTAATAGAATTAAAATTAAATCATCAATTTTAATAGTAAAGTTTCTAACCCAAGTATACTTATTTTAAGACTATTTATAAGCATTATTGAAAAGTAGGAAACATCCCAACTAACATTCAAAAACCAATATCCAAACAGTTGTTTTAGTAATAGATATGTATGTCATAGTTTCAGGTGCATAATCAAAGGTTAAAATTGTTGTATGTTTTTATACATAAATATCTAATTAAATATGTAATTTATATATACTTATATACTGTATATATCTCAGCAATGTCAAGGTTTGTTTTGATAATGATTGCTTTTATTATCTTAAACATAAAGATACACATATATACATTTTTATATACATGTAAATATTATTTCTAATATTTAATAGTAGCTGGCACTTCAGCTGTCCTGATTATTAAGAGATAATTTAATATATAAGGTATTCAATCCTTAATTCAATTGATTATACTATATAAAAACAGCTAGTGTTGTAGTAGAAAACAAAATGATTTGCATAAGCAATTAGTAAAACCAAGGTAGAGAGTTACTTTCATTTTATCTGTAATCAAATTAATATAATAATATAATTCTTACATCTGCTTGTATAAGCTTCGACGTTTTTCATCCGTCGAATGGCCGGATAATAACAGTCGCAGACCAGAGCGGTGACGGTATCGAGTAAACCATCCACGTTGCCGACTGATAGAGGATCGCATATTTTCTCCTCCAGGACACGTAGACGGAGCAAACGCTCCTCATCCTTCACAGCCTCCATTCTGAACCCTGGCTCTCTATTTATCGCCCACTAAACGACACCGTACATTCTCCTGATGGATACACCAAATTGGAACACCAATCTCATTACGATTCATCAACTTCTTGATGGGCCATTCATTCAGTTCTATTCGGGGGTCACTAATATACTATGCACCCAGAAACTTATGTTTCATTATCGAAAAATTACTTGCTCAAGTTTTAGAATGACAGCAGATAGAGGTGGTTCTCACAACAAAGCATATGCACGTTTGCAAACATAACAGACTTATTTATTATATTTAGCACAAAAAAAATACATTTAATCGCATTATAACACTTATTTACAAGATAAATTGGCACAACATTAAAAAAACAATGTAAATTAACGAATTAATAAAAACCGCTTGATTGATGAACGATGATCGAACAATAATCTGAAGTTGGCAAAATATTCAATGTTCGCAATGGCGACCGGAGTGAACTTCTCGAAAATAAAAACACAAGATAATGTATAACTATAGACTATAAACGGACACAAATTTCATTCACTTCGAAAAGGTTTTTTTTTATAATTTTATTTATTAATAACAGTGGTTATGAAATTAAATTTTCATCAGTCTTAGTAAATATATTATTATTTTTTTAATACTTGTGGAAGAATTCGCATTCATTATTCACACAATATTTCATTTCTTTCATAGATTTGTTTATGAATCATGTATTGTTTTTTTTAATTATTTATTTAAACGTAAATTATATCATTTAAAGCATATTAAGTTTCTTATTAAAAATAACAAACCATAATTTGTAAATGATTATAATATAGTCGTGTATATCATAGTAGTAAAAAGTGAAATTAAATAGAAAAATATATTTTTTTTAATGGGCTGAAAATTTTTGTAATAAAAAACATAAATAAAGCTAGTGGTTCAATATGGATAAGGATTTATGAAAATTAAAATAATATGGATATTTTGATATCATCTGATAGAAAAAAAAACATATATATTATAATAAATAAAAAGAAATTCACAGTTAATATTTATTAAACTTAGTTTTAAAGTTTAAGCGATTTTGAATTTAAAATATTAATATTATTGTATTTTTCTGTTATGCTAGAGGAATTACTATTCATTCACATACATATTAACATTATCTGTCATTCATTGTTCATTCATTTCGTGTAATTAAGGAACGAATGAAATCATTTTTGTTCTTGCATGATTAGAATATGGCGGTGCTAGTCAGGATGTGCAGAAGCTTTTAATTTTTGCATTAACGTATTACTTATTTCTTAGCTTTTTGACAAGTTATATTTAATACTGTATCTTAAGTTATCGTAACCGTGTGAAATTTTATCCTAAACCAATATAACTCGTTAGTCGACCAAATTGCCATGAAAATTATTACTTCATTGGTGGTATAAAAATAATTGTGACAAATATAGAACATTAATTCAGGTAATTTCTATTTTTTCTATTATACATAATTGTTAAACTACCTTAGAGTGTATAGGACTAGTTTATAATATATTTCATCGCAGCATCCGTTGCTTTGTCATTCAGGTTCAGCTGGTCCTTGTCCGTTCTAGATAAATTCTCTCGTGTTATTTATTGTTTTGTCTTCCTTAATATTTTAAAAATACTAGAATTTAACGAGTGTTATTTAAAAATTTATAGAATTAGTGAACAATCGTGTATTATCTTTGTGTTTCCAATCACGTGTGAGTTAATCGTTGGTGGGGTCAATAACTGCTGACTACTGCCTATTTCATTTTTTTATTCTCATGCATAAGGTCACCGAGGCTTTGACACTTCCTAGGACAATGTTATATCCAAGCGGAAGTTTTCATAATTAAGGTGAGAGTCCTGTTTTGAAGGGTCCTTCAGACTATCGTGTGCCATGATGCATGTTTCGAATGGTGGTCGTGTTTGCGGGTCCCAAAGCGATTTGTATTTTTACCTGGTGCTCTGTTGCAAAAGTTGTCAAGAGTAGGGAAGGTCGTAGAGGGCGGGGGACGGGGCGGGGCGGGGGCCCGTCCGGCAGTCAGCTGTGCGAGTATCATGTTGTCGCATCTCATCGCGTCGTGGGAAGTGGCCTAAATTATTGCCCCTCCATTGAATCTGCAAAATTTTGATTCTATGAGATCAATGGCCTACATTCACAAAAGTATTGCAGTTTTATAGAATATAATATTTTATGATCTATGGTTTGTAAATTTTAGTGATGTGATTTTTGCTTCTCAAATCAAGATGTAATTAAATAATTAGAATAGTTGCAATATTTTTTGCATTTAAAATTTACTATGAAATTTTGTACAAGGTGAACATTATCAAGAGGTACTAAAATTATTTTTATTGTTTTTATTTGACAAGATATTAAAGAAACTGGTTATTTTATAATTATTTTTTTGGAAAAAGGTACCTTTATGTAATATGTGAAAGTTGTTTATTACAATTCATTCTTGCATATATTTTTGTACACTACAGGACATTACTGTTTGTCATTTCAGTTTCCAACATTAATTAACATTTTACTGTCAATATATTTCAAACTTATATATCATGTTGAATTTCTATTAAAAAAATAATAATAATTGTGTATCAATAATTTTGATTAAAATATTTATATCACAAATAAAATAAATATAATAAAAATGGTGTATAATGACGAGCAAGTCAGTATGTACTCATTGTTTCTTAGTGTTTACCATTGGCCATTGTTATGCAATCAACAATTTTCAATATAGTTCCTTTATGGTTTGTACAAGCAACGATAACCGAAACAGTAACTTGTGCTGTTTTTAATCACTATTTGATTATATGCCATGATTCATTTCCTGTTTTTAGATGTTAGTTTATATTTAATTGTAGGATTTTATTTCTAAATCTGCATTCCTTTCTCATTAACTGTCGTTAGGAATTGTTTAAAGTTATATATTTAATAAGTGATGGTTTTAGCAAATAAAAAGTTATTATTAAATTAATTTAGTTCTATTTATTATAGCTTAATATTTAGAATCTGTTGAGTAATTTAAGAGTTGGTGGATTACAACAAAACATAATTAAGTATTTTAAATATACATTTTTATACATCTATGTATATATATCTGATTGCTGAACAAATAGATACTAGACCAAATAACATTCCATGTAGTTCCAATACTATAGTATAATTTCATATAATGGGGATAGTAGTTACTATTGTTGTAATAATTGTTGGAATTGTGAATCAATATCTTCATACTAGGATTTTTTGCATAACACGAAATTTATGACGATTTAGTTGCTTCTATTTATATGTTATATGAATATAATAATTTTCAAACATTAAAATTTACTTCAAAATAGAAAACAATTATATAACAAACAGTATAATTCTATTTCATATTTTATAATTCTTTGCAAGATATTTTAAATTTCAAAATAATGACAATGATCATTTTATATTATGGTTTCACATTTAAAATTATTTAGACAAATGAAACATATTTGACTACCCTCATATCAATACAATTTGGAGTTAATTTGACAAAATACTAAACAGTTGATATTGTTGACACTATAATTAAATTGAAAATGTGCAAGCTGTATATACATATTATCTATATAGAGTAATTAAGAGAGGAAATTCGTTGCATATTTTAACTAATTAATGGTGTTTAAATTCTATCTATAAGCAAAATTAACATTTTAAATTTCAAATTTCCAGTTCGCCGTGGAGGTCATGGCTACACTCATCCAAGAGAATGGTATGAAGTTGAGCAAAGGAACCCATGGTGTAGTCGTAAACCATGGCATGACGACGCACGGTGTCCCAAACCACATGGTGCCAGACCATGAATACTGTGAATCGGGTCAAACCGCGCAAGCAGCACAACAATGCCCCGACACAGAGAGCGACAACCATCAGCCGCCCGCCGAGGAAGAAGAGGAAACCCCAGAAATTGACATAATGATAAACAATGTTGTGTGCAGTTTTAGTGTTAAGTGTCACTTAAACCTGAGACAGATTGCTTTAAACGGTGTTAACGTTGAGTTCAGACGGGAGAACGGAATGGTTACTATGAAACTCCGGCGTCCATACACCACGGCCTCGATATGGTCCTCTGGTAGGGTCACGTGCACGGGCGCGACCAGCGAGGATCAAGCTAAAGTAGCCGCCCGCCGCTACGCACGTGCCCTACAGAAGTTGGGCTTCCAAGTACGCTTTCGCAACTTTCGTGTTGTAAACGTACTCGGAACTTGTAGGATGCCCTTTGGCATTCGAATTATAGCATTCTCAAAGAAATACAAAGAAGCAGAGTAAGTATTTTATTTAAATATATGTATATTTTTGTTGAACTTACTAAATAAATAAAAAAAAACTGTGATATATTAACAAATTATCAATAATCTTTTGACGTAAAGCAATATACGTAAATAATAATCAATAACTTTCCAATAATATAATAATGTTATTCTTTTTTAATTATATATGTTTTTTATGAGCCGTTATGACTTTCATTTACCAATGATATGCATATTATCATTCCTTAACAAATTAGGATGTGATGCTTATTACTTTTTAATTAAAACTTGCCTGCTGGAATGCCATAAAGGGGTCTTTAAACTCTAGTGATGTGTTTTAACCTGTGCGGGTCAATTTTCTGTGTAATACCATTTTGTTGTTTGATTATTTGCTAATAATATTATAATATCTGGTATATCTGCAGTTATCTTTGCATATTTATTATTATTTTTTGTTTTCATGTAGCCTAAACTTTTTGAAAAATTATTTCACAAATTAAAAACATGTGAATTAGTTTGCTTGCTTTTTTAAATGATATTATTCAGTAAGAATTCTTTTATTGGTAAAATGTATTGTACTCAATAGTTATATTTAGGACTTTGCATTAAGATTGTATTATTATTATTTATACATTGATTAATTTTCTTTTTGTTTATCATAAATTTTACCAAGCCATTTTATAATTTTCTTTAAGCAATAAGAAAGTCACATAAAATATGTATGTATTTAAAAGAATATCTGTAAAAGGTTGCTTAGGAAATGAGGTTTAAGCAGTGTCATTCATACTACTAAACCTTGAATTTCTTATTTCAATCATAAATAATTTAAAAGTACTAAAACATTCTCTGGTTTTAGACAAGCTGTAGTTAAAGACTGTAGTCTTTTATTCATATGTTAAATAGATCACAAAATATTGTTATTTAATAATTCTAAATTTCTTTTATCATATGTTTATGTAGATTGGGACACATATTTTCTTAAGTTCACATTTTGATAATGCTAATGTACTTACAAACATTTGTATAGACAAAATATCAAACAAATGGCAATTCCATTACAAAAGCTTTAACATTACAAAAACTTCCAAAACATTAATAGAAATAATTATATCAAGTGGTTTATTATATAATAGTATATTTTTTGTAGTACCTAATTTTTTATTAAACTTTTGCCGGTATATCATGAACTGCAGCACGTTAAAACATTTCATACATTACATAATTGTAAAAAATATTTGAGCCAAGTTCTTTGTTATTGTAATGCATTCATAACAAATGCACCATATTATAATTATTGCTATATGTAAATTATTCTGATTTCACATAACTTTGGCAAATTATGTAAAATGAATGTCACATTCCAAAATAGAATTGACATTTATTAATGTCATTAACACTAACAAAATTTTTCTTATCATTTTATTTCAATATAGTAGCTAATACTTTTTTTGTTATGTATTTTAATTATCTATATATGAACGAAATTTTTCTTAAGAGGAACAAAATACGCCCACACATAAAATACAACTTTGCCTGTTGTATTATTATGTCTTAATTACTGTTACAATTAACAGTTGTTTTTTTAAGAAACAAGATTCAATATAGTGATTCTGTGTTTATTGTATATTGTGTACCAGAAAGCATATTTTATCCTATATATTTATTTACTTTAATAGAACTACACTAACAAATATTCATTTCTTTCAGCTATGAACCTGAACTTCATCCCGGTGTAACATACAAGTTGTACAATCCCAAGGCGACTCTCAAGATATTTTCCACCGGAGGTGTAACAATAACTGGTATGCTATAAATCATATCATACATTGGAAAGCTGTTAATTTAGAATGTCGAATAGTGAAAGTTTCGCCAATTCAGAATTAGTATAGAACCATAAAATAGCTTGTACATATGGATATGATTTTTCATATCGCTTTAATCGTCACAATGCATTTGTAACATCAAGTTTTATTTAAAATGTTTTGATTTCTTAAGTATAAAATTTTAAAGTAGCACTTAATTGATGAAATATAAATTGTACTGTCTATTTACAATATGTTGTTTAGTATTTTAATTATAATAGTATTACGACATCAGATTAGGATCCATACATTTCACCGATTTAATTATACATACATATTTAGTTATCAATACTTTTTCTTCTTTATAGAAATTAACTGTCGAAATTATTTAACATAAAACAAGTATAAATTGTAAATATGGTTGAATATTAGAGTTTAGTATTATATTTTCTGCAGTTTATTATGGTATATAGTTTTTTTCCCTTTCCCTCCTTACGGTACTTAGAAGTACCACCACATTTTTCGTCTAATATCTTTAGTACGAAAACACTTTACGTGAACGGCAACTGACGATCCTTTAGAGTACCGTTTCCGTCAGCCAATCACAGCGCGTTAATTGAATTACCGCGCGACATTGGCGTAAAAATTGAAATTCTTGTCACAACTTGTCGATTGTTTTTTCATTTCGTTGTGCAGTGAAATAAAAAAAGTTTTATAAGTAGAATATCACAGGTAAGTGCTATTTTTTTTACTATTTACGTTGTTTATATCATTGGCTATATTTCTAAAAGCTGTTATAATGTATTATCACGATATTTCATACGAATATTTGATAAAAACTACTGCGGACTTAAAAGTACCGTCAGGTGATTCTAGTCTCAAATATTATGATTTTTTATAATACATGTATACGATGAAGTGGTTATTTTATTTTATTATTATTTTTATAAACCCATGTTATTTTTTTTTTATTATTGTTCTAATCAAGGTTTTTATTGTTTTAGGAATTGAGATGGATATTAAAAACAATACGGCTCTAATTGAAGCCCTGTTATTAGAAGAGCTTCCGGACTGCGACGAAGCGTCTGATGCAGGTGTGTCCGATGATGAAGTGGAAAATGTTCAACTACCCTCGCCAAGAGGTTTCGATGAAATTTTTGAAAGAGCTATAGAAGATGTTTTGGCCGAAGTTCCGCCGTCGTCGCCGTCAAATGAAGATGTATTGGAGTACCCAATAAATCAGGTACCCACATCTTCATTACCTGCACCTAGTGTTCAGCCTGATCTACCATCTGCAAATAACTCTTCACACCGAACTAACCAGCGATTACCCGAACCAAACCGTAAATGGAAAAAGAGGGACCTAAGTACATCTTTACCGGAATACATTGCGGATACTGGAGTAGTAGATGACTGGTTTGCTCACTGTACCACACCGACTGATATATTTTTAGTATTGATTGATGACATTGTTGACAATATTGTATACCAAAGTAACCTTTATGCTACTCAGAAAAGCAAAGTATTGAACCTAAAAAAAGAGGAACTCCTAACATTTATAGGTATTAATTTTTTTATGGGTTACAATACTCGTCCGGCGTGGAGAGACCACTACTCTTCGGCACCTGATCTCAACAACGCGCTTATTTGCAAGACTTTGCCTAGAGACAGGTTCGCTATTATTTTATCTCATCTGCATTGCAATGATAGCTCCAAAATGCCTTCAGGCTGCAAAGATAAATTATATAAAATTAGACCAATGATTGATGCACTCAATAAAAAATTTGAAATGGTTTATCATGGTACTCGCGAACTGAGTGTAGATGAGTCCATGATTAAATTCAAAGGTAGGTCTGTCCTAAAACAGTATCTACCTATGAAGCCCATAAAAAGGGGGTACAAACTGTGGTGTCTTGCTGACCAGAGGGGGTATATAAAGAAGTTTCAAATTTACCAAGGGAAAGACGAAGAACTGAACACAAAATTTACCGGCTATGGATTAGGAGAGAAAGTAGTTTTGGAGTTAACGGAACAAGATTGGAGTAAGGGGAAGGTAGTTTACTTTGATAATTTTTTCACGTCTGTGGCTTTACTTGAGAAACTGAAAACTGAAAACACCTACGCATGTGGAACTATCCGAAGTAACAGAAAAGGACTGCCCGGAAATATGCTCGCTGATTCTCAATTGAAAAGGGGCGATAGTGATCATCGATTTTCAAATTTAGACATTGGATATTGGAAATGGAAGGATAATAAAATGGTTCATTTAGTGTCTAATTTTCACGGGAACGAAGAGGCAACTGTGTCACGTAAAGAAAAAAATGGAACCAAGTCAGCCATTACATGCCCTATAGCTGTCAAAGATTACAATATGTATATGGGCGGCGTAGATACAGCTGATCGTTTGAGAGCCCTTTACTGTATAGATCGCAAATCTCCGAAATGGTGGCACAGATTGTTTTGGGGTCTTCTGGACATCGTATTTGTCAATGCATATGTCATTCATGGACTTATAATGGAACAGACTACCGTAAAAGATTTTAGACGTTCTGTTACTCAAGGCTTGATGACAATGAAAGATGCTAGTCAGAAAAGGAAGACTTCTACTGACAATACTGCAAAAGGCGGCCCTTCCAAAAGACGCAAATCTGACTACTCCACTATAAAAGACGTACGCTTAGGTAACAGAGGCATCCATTGGCCTACGTTTGTAGAGAACAGGGGAAGGTGTGAGGTTTGTAGTTTGAAGAAGATTCAGTCGAAACCTCATAGTAAATGTTCGCATTGCAACGTGTTTTTGTGTGTAAACGAAAAGAAAAATTGTTTTATTGAATACCACGAGGTTAACCTGTATTTTTTTTTTTTTTATTACTACTACTTAAGTCATTAATTTAATTACTGCTAAGTCAATAGTGGATCTCATTATTTTTGTAGTTTCTATCAAAGTTCCTACCACTCTGTTAACACGAAGTTCCTGACGGTACTTATAAGTCTAGGTCTTGGAAATAGTACTTCTAACTATAATAAAAATCTAAAAAAAATCTGTGTTTTTAATTTTACCTACCTTATTATGAAAATAAAGTTCAAAAGCGGAAATTCGTTAAAAATCACTACCCCGGGGGGAAAGGGTTAAAAAAAGTACATAAGTAAATAAAATTGTGATTTTTTTAAAGTTTAAAACTAAAATGTTTATCGATGACTTTGCATAAGGTCAGAAAGCAAGTATACTATATAATGATCATCATTATTTCCAGCTCGAAGCGTGAGCGATGTCCAATCAGCCGTAGAGCGTATCTTCCCGCTAGTATACGAGTTCCGTAAGCCTCACTCGCCTGCTGATGAGGAGAAGCTCCGTCAGAGGCGAGCGGCGCGGTCGCGGGCCGGGCCTCTACCAACGGAGGAGAAGCCCTTGGAGCAAGCTGCACCACAGACTGACGACCCCATGCACCTGGTCACACTGTCCGACGACGACGCCTGGGAGTGACGCCCCCCTCCCCCCACCACCTGCCGCCCAGCGACGGACACCATCCAGCAATAACTGACGGTTGTTAGTGTGATCGATTCACGGCGAGCTTCTTCGGTTCATGCCAAAGATATTTATTAGAGGTGCTTTGCGCTCGTCGCCCGGACCTCTCGGTTCCTCTGTATATGTTGTGTACTCGATTGCTCGCCCCCCTACCGACCTTCCCCCCTAAGCAGGGAGGCGCACGATTCGTTTGATTCGATACCAAATTGTCTCAGTTGATAAAAATTATGAGATAATAAATCTCTTTACCGATACTCAAGTCTCGTTTTTTTTATTATTTGCAGTTGTGATTTATGAATTGTAGTGATAATAGTGTTCGCGATAATGTTCTAAGAAAGTAATGACTGAATGTTAGTTAGACGTTAGTGATTGTAAATACGAAAGCTTTAGACATTATACATTTAATTAAACACATGTTTGTTTTATTGAAACAATTTTATTATATAAAAAGATACACCTTATATTATTAAGATAATTGTGAAAATTTTGTAAAAGATAGGTTTAATGTTTGAATAATGATATTGAAGGCCGATTTCATCAATTGCCTACAAATATTATTAATATAGAAAATTTTAGATTTTCTATATAAGTAAATTACAAGATTTAATAAGTTATCTTTGACCACAAGAAAAGATGAAAAACAATATTTATATTTTTAAAATAGTGTCTTATGTTACATATACATTTGAATCTTACAAAATTAAGTATTGTCATTGAAAAATATTACTTAATGGATCAATGCTAGCGCCATCTTGAGAGTATGCTTATTTTTAAGTTTAAGAATATGTTTCCTAGTCAGTCAGTGTGTCATATTCGTCGCTAGTGATGACACGTGGCCGACGTGACGTAGGGACTCTTCTTTGACGGGTGGGATGAGATGGGGCACGAATGTACGCGCTGAGGTCTACCACAGTCAGCTTAGGCAAACAAACTGCTTTACCTAGAATAAAACAATCGGCCATGAAACTGTTAAAAATGTTCTAATTGTGTTAGTTTATTTTCAAAAATTAATATCAAAGCTCAAATATAACATCCAAAATTTCGTTTTGATAGTATTGTTAAGTGTTGGAAAAAAATAATAGACGAAAATTTAATTATACGTTGTTTTTGAGGTTGTCATAGATACATTAATCTCTGTGAAATGAATTTTATTTGTGATTCATTTATACTCTATGGTACGTATATATCTGTTTCTATAAGTAGTTGAATAAGTATGATAAATGTTATTAGAACGTCTAACCAGTTATAGCAGGCAACAGATTATCTCCAATGTGTACTCTGGCACACGTTCTTTGTCGTATACTACGCGCCGTTCTTGGGGGAAGTGCTCGAATTGCAGGCGGTGACTTCACAGGCAGAGGGGGACTCAGGACACGGGATACCAACACACGACGATCGGGAGACGAACTTGGAGATCTGTTTGAAATTATAAAGATTATATAGTTTAATGCTTAAATCGAATACGAATTGGTATTTTCTTATTCTTAATTACTTAAGGAGGCATTACCGAGTTGTTAATTTATAATAGGTTTTAACATACAGCAAAAATCACCGGACGATAACAGACAAATGATGAGCAAAAGAAAATTAGAACTTTTAACTTAGTTACAAATAATATATTTATACCTTTCTCTTTCATATACTGCTCTTCGTTTTCTTCTTCTCTTTCTGGGATCTTTCTTTTTATTTGGTATTCCTTCCTGTGGTGGAATAACCCCTATATGTCTGTAGTAATCACATAGAGCCTTCGCTAACGATCTACCTATCTTAGAGTCTGAATTTTATTTGAGTTAATTATTGTAAATAGATATTGCTGAGAAATATTTATTTTAAGCTGTATTCTAATGAAGTCAGGAATAAAGGTTTGTAAAGAAAAACAAACATCCTAAAAATAAAATTATTTGTGTTTTAATATTTGTTATATCCGAAAAATCGTATGTTTTCCGAAAGTTGTCTTTGCCTCATGCTTTTAAACATTCACACAAGGTTTTATTAAAAACTTTGAGCATTTAAGTTCATAAACCAATAAAATCTCAATTAAATGGATGAAACACTATGCTTGCAATGCGATTGACCCGGCACATGGTGAATCCATGGAATGCTGAGAGGTTTCGCCTCGTCTCGCTGGTGTGCTAACTGAAAATGTAATTCGAAAAAGATACATGCATCTTCAGTATAGTGAAGGTATGGACCCCTGGGTATCAATCGTCTTCCACCAAGTGATGCTAGCAGGCTGTATGCATCTACGGTCCCAGTCGGTAAAGTTCGACGCGCACTGCCCGCGCTGATAGAATCAGTGTTGTAAAGACATGACTCCTGCTTCCAAGCTTCAACTCTCATAGCCAAGAACTTAGGTAGAACTGCGTGACGTTCAAATCTGTAAAAAATAATAATAGAAGAAGTAAAATTTGCCATAGGAATTTTTACTTCTTAATTTTTGATTCTTTTCTTGTTTTTTTTTTTTTTATATTTCTGGGTGCCTTTGTCTCCATTACTTCTTGTTAAATAAATTACGCTTCTCGATGCTTCAAGGTACACAAAATAGGAAATTATTTTTGTAAATTTATAATTATTACCAGGCTGCATGTTCAAGGCAGGATAGTGGGAATTATTAAACAAGGTTACATTTACAATTTGGGTTGCTATCAGAAGTTTCGCTTTTTAATCTTACCTGTAAACATCATCATAGGAATTACCACGAACAAATACTCCCTCATGACTAAGGTCAGCATGAATATCTATTATGAAGTCCAATTGTAGGGTCTGGAAATCAAAAGAATAGTTAGACGTCTGAATTTGTATATCGTTAAGGAAATGATATGTAATGAATATTAACTTTTTGTTTTAACCTTCAAACTTCTATTCAGAAAAAAATAGATAATATTCGGATCACACTTGCCTTTTCAGCATTTATCTTTTGAATGAGATCATTAACAGCAACAAGAGCTGGATGTGCAAATGTTGTAGCTCGGTTCCAACACCGATTAAGGTCGGAACCTAATAGATCTGACCTCTGATTTCCCAAAAATACACCATCAGGATTGAGCATTGGAACCACCTTAAAGCAAAAGTTAAGTTAATTTGCCGTTGTTATTATATGTAAAAATATTTCTGTAGCTGTAATTACCTCGATACGGATGCCATTTCGTAACGACAAAGCTTTCTCCGATGAACCTATAATGTAGTCCAGAAAACCTAGAATAGATAATAAATTTATAGTAAAGATTTTTTGTTTTGTTATAAATACAAAAATATGGCTGTATTACCTTGGCATATAATAGACGACGGTGGCTCGCCGCCGTGCGTTCGTGCTAAAATTAAAACTACCCTCTTCTTTATTTCTGGACCTTTACCCCTTGTATTCAAATCTTCTTTAACATCTGCCCCAATAACAGTATCTCCAATAGTGAGATGGTCGATCCGCCGTTTTTGCTATTAAAATATAAAAATGCAGGGTGGAAAAAAAATCGTCCAAAGTAAGAAAGTAAACGAGTAAGTTAAGAATAAATTAAGCATTAAAAAAATACTTTAACACAATCAAGTACCTTTACCTTCCTATCATCTCTGAATAACGAGGAAACATTATGACGAGCAGTGGCGGCTGGTGGGTTATCTAACTGGTGGTGCACTTTACTAAAATATTAAAATTAGAAAATGCAACAAAAAACCAATTGACATAAAATAAGTTTATATTTTATACATTAATTAATGCAACGACATTTTTCCGAAGCGAAATGTTCAATCACCTATTTATTAAAATCAGGTATTGTTTGTATATATTTTTTTATTCAATACTAAGCACAGAAAGTGCATTTAGCAAGTGCATGGTATTTCGGAGAAAAGTTTTATTCTTTTCAATTCCAATTCGTCATACATCGGGTGCTCTCGGTAACCTTCGGCCGCTCGTGCGGCGCTCGAGAACCGACTCATTACTCGGTACATTTCTATGAACTATGTTTTGTTTCACGCGTCAGGCGTATTATTTCGTATCTCATACAAGATGTATTAGCAGTCCTCGTGCACTCGCCGAAGCGCACGAGATATTAGTTTAGTAAAGCACTCAAACTTTTGGACTATAATTATAAAATTTAATTTTTTATACGTTTTTGTAAGTTAAGAAAATAAATATTAAAATGGTAATTTAAAAATAAAGATGAAGTAATATTTTGTAATTTTTAAATCTTTTGAATTGGTGGTTCAGCGCACGAGTGCACTTAAGGTACAGCCGCCACTGATGACGAGTTTAAATTTTTATTATTCTACAAACCTTGTGAATTTGTATTATTAGATGTAAATTATGACTTTTAAGATGTAATATTTCTTTTACAGATTATATTTACATATAAACATGTTATAGTTTGGTAGAGTTAAATTATTGAATTAGTTTGTCGTTATTCCTTGGTTAGAACTAAGGTTTCTGGAAGCCTTTTTAAAAATAATATAAATAAATAATAAAAAGTTGAATGAAATAATTTATATTCAAAATATATTTGAGGAAAAATATGTTTACTGTAAAACTATTCAATTTAATTTAAATAATTTGCCCAGTTTCTCACCGTAGTCTGCGCAATAGATCGTCTTGTGGCAAAACCTTGAGCTCTTTTTTCCCATATAGCTAAATACTTTTGCAATTTTGAATAAGAGTATGGCACGGCAGCTGCAAATTGATAGACATCTTCCTCCTTATCAAAAGCAAATGCTAGACTTAGTATTTTACGACCACGATGTATCATAGACTTATGATAGAACATAAGGCGCCGTGGAATGCGTTGCCTAAATTGAAATATGATAAATAAATACAAAAAAGACTTGGGTATATTTTGTTAGCTGTGAGTATTACTTTACCATTTCGGACGAGATGTTGATCGTACTATAGGTGTCATTTCTTCATTAAATAGTGTATACTCTTTACCCATATTGACTATATTGAAAAGGACTCGCTGAAACATTTTGTTAAGTGAAAAAAAATAGCGAATAAATTGTAATTTATGTTTAATAGTTGCTTTGTAATATGTTCGCGTTATCATAGAATGATGTAACAATAATAAAGATTTCATACTTGTTCCTGTTTAACGTTTTCGACGGTGAAGTTGAACCAGAACCTGGATCGAGGCCTGCAGGTGTCGGGTCGGATGAACAGGTCATACTCCAGCTCTGTAATGTGATCAGCTCGGCCGAGGTTACCACATTCGAAGGCCGCGTCGAAACACAAATGACCGCGTTTCGCTTTCCCACTGTGCCCCGGCGGCCGGACGATTAGTCGGTTAAGGTTACCCAAACCACCTTCCCCGTCACTTTCTTCGCTATCTGTTGCGTATAAATACTTATTATTCATACAATACAGCGTTGTATTTTACTCACGACCTCATAGCAAGTAAGAAACATTAAGTAAATTGTTAATTGGTGAACGTTTTTGTATTATTATTGTTTTAAATACCACAGGGTCGACGGCGATATATACTGGCATGCTCAAGATCGTCCACCAAGGCTTCCATTATTACAATATGTTTTCATTAAAATATTATCTACTCTTTGGCCACGATATGTAGTTACTACACAATGGTTTAGAGGAAAGTGTATGGGAAAATTGTTTATCCAACACGCCACGAAGTCGATTCAATTGAAAAGCTAGATTTATTTTACAGGCAAGATTACTTTTAAGCTGATATAAAGGTGTGTTCTTAAAACTAACATTCTGGTAGTTTTTATTTTTTATGCGAATAAAATTTGTTCGAATACTCCCCACCCATATGATCAGTTTTCTTTAAGAAAAATGAGATTAATTGATATTGGTATTATCTCTATCTCTTAAGCGATGTAAAATAAATAAATCATGTCTTTACTATCACTTCACCGAATATTGTGGTTTTTTCAATATAGATTACATTCAAAAACTTTTCACCATTGAAAATCAGGTTAGTTTAGTAGATTGAAATCCATTTTATAGCGATAAGCGAAGTCTAATATCCTTCGGAAATGGAAATACGATTCCAAGTTGTAAGGTTTATTCTTGTGTAGGCTTTAAAAGAGAAAATTGTTTGTCTGTTATAGTAATATATGTTTGTAAGGAAAGGTGTCGTATTTTCTGGTAATTGCAATGTATTTGCTTTATTTCAGTGAGTTCTTTTAACCCTATATATGACTGTATATTTATACTTGCAAAGCTTTGTTTAACATCTCCGCATTATTATGTTTACAAAAATAGTATGAATAAATATATATAAAAAGGTGCAATGACAATAACGGGTCAATGAATTCATATTCAATATTTGTTGTATGACGTATTTTTATGTTTGTACGTCATACAACGCTATTTAAAGCGTACGAGTAACTGTGTCGTGGGTTTTTAAAACCTATTAAGATCCAATTTTCCATCACCTCGCATTTCCGTTTAACGCCTTACGTATTTTACAGAGAAATGTTTCTTGTAAGAAAACAAGTCACGCCATCTTTCTATATTCATTACAATATCGTCTCAACCTCGCCACGCAATGGATAAAGGCAGTTCATTTAATAGCTAAGATTATCACTATTATATTTCTCAAATGATAATAATGTGTAAAACTTTCGTTTTTCCATTTTAAGCCACAGCGAAAATTTAAACTAAATATGTATGTATGTTTTAAGCAAATTTATGACTGTAATATTGAAAATAAAAATACTTCTCACATCTCAAGATAAAGGAAAAATTACTTTTAATTGCATTTTCTTAAAGATGACCTATTTTTCACGCGAACATTACGATATGCTACAGATTGTACTGTTGCTGAAATATGTATAGCTACTATTTTAGTGCATTACTTATGTGTATTTAGAAGCTTCTAAAACGTTTTTTTGACACTTACCAGACATCCTTATTTCATGCTGTTAATGGCTCTATTATTATCACTTAATATTTAATAACTCATTAATAAATAAATCTTTTTATGTTATTTATTTCGTGCATCCTCTGAAACCTATGTTGCTGGGACTTGGTAATAAGTAAAATCACTAAAAGACGTCTGTTCATTTCCACCTGCTGTTGCCACGATAGGCCGTAATGCGACATTTTAAGTTATAATAAAAACAAAAACTTATTTGTTATTTGTACGCGTGATAAACAAAATCCGTTGCCTAGAGACAAAGTCAGATTACAGAAACAAAAAGACCTTTCTGACAACGCTTCGTTCGTTGTTGTACAGATGATTTCCTTTTCGGCAAGACAGAATTTTATAAGCCAATATATTAAAAAAATAACAGTACAATTCAATAATATAGTCCTTTTAGAGTGTATTACAATAAAAAAGTTCTGAAATTAAATAGAAGCAGCCTAGGGTTTTATTATATGGCCCGATTAAGGTGCTTAAAAAGTCAGGACGTTAAAAATTTTCCTAAAAAGTACTTTCAATACTTCTCCACCGACGCTCAATCAAATTAGATATTATAAAATAAAAATGACTATGTCTAACAAACTTAAATATCTCACGTCTTTGATAGAAGAATTGGAACCCTTCCACAAACGAAATATTTTTTTACTCCGAGGTCTACGCCTCTTATAGGCACTCTTGGGATGGGAATATGCCACAGGCTCATCACACAAGTATTTCACGGTTATGTCCCATCGGCCCAAATCGTGAAATACCAAGGTTATTAAGGCTAACAGGTACAGTTATACCGAAAAAAGCTTCATCCCTTTAATTTTATACTCCATTAATTTAAAATGTTGAGGACTTTAAGGTATCAAATGTAAGCTTTAATTATAATAATAAGTAAAATGATTTACGTAATTTTGTTAACGTGCTGTCAACAAATACTTTATAAGACGTTCAAATATTTCACGTATGTGTCAGAAAAAAAAACAATTCCTAGGTGATAATAAAATCTGAAAGTTTTTTTAGTTGCAATAACATTATTATGGCGTTTATTAGTTTTCCGAATACAATCTATTCGGAAAAGAATAAAGAAAGAAAACAATAGAGCCTTGAAACTTATAAGTGAAATATGTTTAACAATTTTTTGTTGCTCAAGAAATTTAAATCTGTTAATTTATAAATTAGATGTCTATATAAAAAGACTATCAAATACCTGATAATCAGATAACTCAACTAGGCGTTTGTAGATCATGATACATAATATTTCCATGAAAGAATTAAAAGATTTAAACAGCGATAAAAGCTGAAAATTGAATTTTTCGAGCTTTTTTAGCCTACAGAGACACGCCAATTGTGTAAAACAGCGACGAAAAGCAGTCGTCTCGATACTGAAGTTGATATCTGGAACAATTGATGAAATTTTCCTATCCATTTTATGAGAGCTTAAAGTTCATTTTCTATAATATGGGGTATCTCAAGAATTAAGAGTTCAGGTTGCACTTCCGATGATTCCCAGCAACGGTGACTACTTTCCATGAAGTCATCTGCCTGTTTGCCGATTTGGGTCATATAAATAAATATATATATACATATATGACCCGAGCCTAAGTTGAGACGATTTGCGATCGGTTTCGGGAAGTGTCATTGCGCTAAATAATATTAATTAATGAGTTCCAGTATACTCATATAATATAACTAGTAGGTACAAAAACAATTTTTTGTTTATCATTCATTTATTTAACAAATATATTTTTATAATTATTTTTTACACATTTTTTTGGCATCCAAACGTAAAAGCTGGAAACATTTATCTAAGCTAAACAAAATAAATATTTCCTAAATTACTATGAATTTTCTATGATCACATAAAAACAAGAAGAATGGCTAATTAAATTTATCTATTAAAGGAATACAATAAAAAGGTTTGTTTATATGGCTTATATAATAATTATTAATTATAGTAAAGTTTCCGTTCGCTAAACAATTACTTAAATATAAATTTTTTATTATAATATTACAGTAACATTTGTGAAACAGTCAATATTATCAGTTCAGTACAGCCGTTTGTAATTCTCTTTGTTTCTAAGCGGATGAAGAAGCAGTATAAGAAATATCCCGAGTGTATATAAACAATATATTAGTAAAAGCCACAGCAAAGTATTACAAAAGGACACACATATAGTTTTACTGTTTGATTTATTTATATATTAAGATATATTTTAGTAGGAAGATATGAAAACCCTAGAATTTATGTATTGCTCTAGTCACTAGACCCTCTTTAATTCACAATCTCAAGTAGGTATTATTTAAACAACACGCATCAAGGACAATATCAATAAATGCATATAATATTCATATTTTTACACACCAATTCCTATTACCGGGTGAATCAAAGTGTTTTAAGTATTAGAAGGAACTACACCTAACAAGTATTTGTAAAAACTAATTAACATTCCATTTAAATGGTTAATCTAAATGTAAGATACATCCATGTGAACAATTATAGATGAGATTTTAACACTAATAAGACAACATCAGAATGAGAAAGCCAACATTAAATGCAATATACGAGTACATTAAATATCCTAACAAAATAAATAATACACTGACGTCAACAACTTTCAATTCCATATTAACAATAGCTCATGTTTAAGTCTCTGAGGTAACATTCACATTGACCGTGAATGTGATCACGCTTGTGTGTCGGCGTCCGTGTAATGTGAGGGTCCCTCGGCGGAACAGACTGAGTCTTCTGGCGTACGACTCGCATCTCCAGCCTCACTTGCTTCCACAGTGCTCGCTTTATTCTTCCCTCCACGACGTGCTTGAAGTGCCTAAGATATTATAAGTCTGTTAGTATATTATTAATCTAATTTAGTATTGTTATTTGTATGACAAATAAATGTCACACAATTATTTGATATAATTCTACTAAGAATAAAAGAAGATATAAAATAAAAGACAATTTTAAATAAAAGACAATCATAATGTTTAATTCAATTTTTGTGTGTGTTTATTTTGTTGTGTTAAAAAATAACATTAAATATGTTTGTTAGGTACAGAAAAATGCCTCACATAAGCTATTTACAATGGTAAATTTATGTTAGAACCACATATCCACAATTATAGCAATAGTTTAGCATGTACAGAAGCTCCTGTAGTTGAAGATGCTGGTGCAAAAATCTGTTTCATCCAGTAATGTAATAAATTAATTCTCCCTTAGAACAGACAAAGCATATTATTGAGGAAGTATAGCAACACTGAGGGGGGGGGGGGGGCGTGTGTCTACGCTATTTGTGGTAGTGGCGGGAAGGGAGTCATACATCCAGATACTCATGCAGGTCCGATGGTGCTCATGCGTAAATACCACATCTTACCTTTTCACGACTGCCTTTTTTCTAAAGTCAGAGTGGGATGGAATATGAAACATTAAATTAATGACGTCTATCTTTATAGGACAATTTTTTGTCAATATACCTAGTTTCCTACCTGGTACGAGGGAATAACATTTTTATTTATGTATAAGGTTGGCAATATAACGGATCATTGAAGTCAAAGGACACATCAAATATTCTAGGGAATGTTGAATTGTATTACAAATGAAAATAGATCATTTTAAAGAAACAGATGGAGGTTGTTTAATCTTACAGACTCACTTCATTTGGCTGATGCCAAGATGAGATGATTCTCAATATAACTAAACGATGTTTTAAACATTTTAAACATAGACATCACTTTACTCATTTACTTGATCTAATGAAACGAGATAAAATAAACTTTCAGAGGTTCTGAACATCTGCTCTCCACACTGCTTTCGTTATTAATGAGTTTCGAAAAACAACTGTTGCTCAAATTTTGCTGAAATCATTAGTAACACAAGACTCAGTGAATCATAATCCATTACAATTATACAATTACAGTTTTTTTTGCATCCAAATTAAGGATTACCTAGTAATAATATAATTAGAAGAAAAAAATGTAAATCAACTTAGTTAACGAAATTTATTTCGTTTCATTAGGCAGAATGTATACAAATGTATGTACAGTATTTTGAGCTAGAGATCCAGTGACAGTATCTTTAATAGGAACATGTATTGAATGCTATGAATTAGTTATGGAAGTTACCTGTAATGAGAACCGCCTGTGCGGTGGCTTCCGACCCCCTCGACGTTTGCTGATGTGCGGATTGTCTCGCCTCAGTGTCTTATTGCGTAGTATTTCAAGTTGAATGTACAGCCGCTTCAACTCAGCCCGGACCTCCTCCGAGGTTGGCTCCTCCTCGCCTTCTGCGAAACCTTCTGCTGGACCACGACGGGATACCTGAATAAGGGACGTGAAACGTGTTTTAAATGCTTGTTATAGTCGACATATTAAAGTTACAAAGCTACAAAATGGAATCTTCAATAAATTATCTTATAGAGACTACAGTGTAGAATGTTAAGTCTTGTGGATATAGAAACAAAATTTCTAAGATATCAACCTCTTGAGCAAGTGATCTGGTCCGATAACCGTGCCAGAGTCTTGGAGCTAACACGCAAGCCAGAGCGGTGCCTGCAGAAAGATGAGCACGAATGGCAGCTGCTAGTGGAGATCGCTCTGGAGCTGCCCCCGCCAAAGCCGCGGCTCGCCAACATAAAACGCATACACCCTCAGTCCATAAAGACGCCGTCAACCAACTGCGTTCCTGCATAAGATTATAATTACTTTTAAATTCAATTATTTAGAAATATTTTAAATTTCAGTTGTTTTTTAAGCGTAATTATTCGAAATATATAATATGTAGATAGGAAGATATTTAAAAATAAAAAATATAGCTACATACTTAAATATAGGCCTCTTTGTTTTAATAATACTAAAAAGAAAACAACAGTTTGGTTCTTTCTTGAACATATAAACATAAAGAAATGCAGAAATATGAAAGAAGATAGAAATAAAATGTTAATGGAACAGTTTCAAAAAGATGAACGGAAATACTGCATATATGTATGTTTATGACGACCGAACCTCATGGATTCAGAGGTCCAAAAACGAATTCTACCTTTCTAAAATTAAAGGAAGTTATTATCATAATACCTGGAACGGTACATTAGCGTTCCTAGCAGCATAAGCTATCCTCAGACCAGCAATCAGTAACATGAGCTCAGCTGCGGCGGTGACGTGGTGCCAGGAGGCCAACGCACACCCGCTTGCATCATCATCACATGCGGCCGTCGCTGTGAACGCAGAGAGGTAGCAAACAGCGCCTAGTAACATGGCAGCCACTACTCGTAGAACCTGGAATTAGAGTTACAAACTTGGGCGTAAACTGTTTTCAATCGAGAAATTTTTCAAATTGCGTTTATGGCTGTTAAGTTAAATAAAATGATCTTCTATTTTAGTTAACAACCATAAAATCGTAGTTTGTTAGTGGCATCAATACTCTAGTTAGTGATGTAGACATTTCTATGACGACGAGAGGATCAGAATCTTAAACCCTTTCTAAGACAAGTTAATATAATACAGATAGGAGGTAAGTTAATTAGAGAATTTTTTAGTGAAAGTTGTCAAAAAGCAAAACATTTCAAAAATCTAAGAAGTCTTTTAAAAATCGCAAGAAAATTCAAAGAACAAATGAATATATGAACCTCTGCGTCCCTTGGCGTCCAGCGGTGAGCTTTCCTTGTTCTGAATTCTGCCAGCAGTACCCAAAGTCGAAGCACTACGGATCCATAGCACGCTACGAAACCCAACTCTCTCATCCAGGCGCCTGAGACACATCGCCAACGCGCCGCTGATATGTATTGCGATGCTGCCTGTAATTCATATAATTTTTCCTCATTAACATACAACAGGATACATAATTTTACGAGTATATATATATCTTTTTACTTAAATGTCAACATAACTCAGATTCAAATAATCAGAATTTTTTGGAAATATATGCATTATCTATAAAAGGTTCGCGCCTTTACTATTTTGCTTATGTCATATAAGAATAATATTTATGAAGTAAGCTAAACTATTTTGTCAGTTAAAATTTATATAATACAAATAGTTAACATTATATTTTTATTCCTTTTATTTCACCAAGTAATTAAAAAAATAAATGTCACGTTTAGAAGCATGTTTGATTTTTTAATTTTCATGTTCACGTCGTAAATAAAATATAACTATAATTTGTGATAAAATAAGTATCACGATTATAATAAAAAATACTTTAATACATTATGTAATGCACTTATTTAATAAAATTTTCCACTAAATAATATTAATAACATGAAAATTTTAAGATGTAAAATGTAAGTTAATATCGTAAAATCTTTTTATCATTTATTTCAATAGATTTTTCAGAATGTCTAAGAAATGATTGACCATGATTAAAACTCATGTGTTTCGTACAACGGTTTATTGCAGACTAAGAGAAATCAAAAAATACATCGTCATCGTCGATATGGTGACCCGCGTAAAAACCAAATCTACCCACAACTTTTTATATTAACGGGCGTCAACACATAAGTCTTAAAAGATCTGAAATAAATTTTAATTTTTTTTAAATATATTACAATACTTACAGATGCATATATTAGCATTGCCCCAAGGAGTACGACCTCTAGTACCGTCCACATGCCCATCGCCACTGCCTAGACAACAAAAACGTTGAAAAACTTAAAGCTTGTTCTATGATGAATCAATGTCATTTCTTTACTTTTTATAACTTTCATTACCCTTTTAAATTCAATTCTCATTTGTACAATTGTTATTTATACTGTAAACACATTTTTTTAATACGATAGGAATTAGGAATTGTTCTGCATTCAATTCAAATAACTAATTTGCATTTAATTCAAATAACTGCAATTTTGCTCCGCGACTCTTTAGATATGTTTATGATATACTGTTAGAAAACGACTCTTTATGGTACACTAGAAAAAAAAGTTTTTTAAGTGAACTGAATGCATATATTTTTTTTATTAAATTCAGGCTCGATTTTATGGGAGGTTTTGCGTTACTAACTTTGCTTTTTCTTTTCTTGAATATGATGAACGCTATTACAAGACAGAGCAGCATTCCGGCAAGATTAGCGGCAAGTAACGAGGCTTTGTAGGTGTCTGCGAGGCAGGCGGCTGGATTGCTGCCCAGTCCGCAGGGGGTACAATTTAACTGGCCATCTTCAGCTATTGAAGAAGCACTTAACCATCCGCTGCCTTCCTTGTGCCAGTGTCCCGATGAACATTTGCACCGATACTGATTAACAAATTTATTATTAATTGAAACGATAATTTTAATTTTATCCTCAAACATAACTCAATCTAATGCATATTTGTGTACATATTAATAAATATTGTACATACAATGTCAGTGATAAAATTATCAACAAATGTTACCTCAAGTTTTCTGTCTTCATATTCAACTGGGGAAGCTTCACAATCTGTTGTTAATGGATCACATAAGGGTGGTCCTCCGAACCAATCGTACATTGCTTCTTCGCATGGCAGTGAGGGAATCTTTCGGAACAGTGCAGCAGCTGCTCGTGCTGCACCTATACCTCTTGCAGCAGCCGTACCACCCCACCAGCTTGGACCGCCCTCACAAGAGAACCAAGCATTGGACCACAGAATCAGACTAGCATTCCATGGAGAAGCTAAAGTACGCCAGAACTGTTGAAGGGTAGCCGAATTGTTCTGTTGAAACACAATAAGCCTTGGAGGGTCTGAAATGAAAAGTACTCCTAGGTGTAGTTGAGGAGCCCCGAGTGCAACCGCTGCAGGAGGCGGGTGGATCGGAGTTCTTGCTGCAGCCCGAGCTAACGCCGCCGCCCGCGGCTCATCCGCCACGCCCTGCTCCACTAACTCAGACAATGCTCGGGCAGTCTGAACTACCATCGCCTCGTATTCGCGGGCATTCTAAAAATAAAAATAAATATTTTAATAAAAATTTATTACATACATACATTATTTCATATTATATTATGTATTGTGTTTACCGGTGGATAGGGTGGTGTATTCTTTAGTAGTAGGGGTTCGCAGACAGTCGCGGGCGCAGGCGAGGCGTGCGGCGCGGGCGGGCCGGATGGACGCGCTGCGCACGCGCACCACACCATCGCCAGCGCCGCGCCGCGCGCCCACCTCGCACCCATCGCTCACCTGCACCCCGCTCTCTGTAACAATTCAATATTATCAAAATGAAGTAATTAAACATAACTCATTCCAGGGAAAGTTTCCTCTCCAAGCATGACACTTTGTTCTTTCAGAGCTAATTCGTTACTCTATTTGTCTGAGAGATTTTCAAGTATGTACATTATCATGCTGTTATACGCGCTGAGTACTTCCGACGGAGAAATTAAACTCGAGAATCATGGCAGTGTTTATAATAACTATTAGAGTAAAAAGAAAAAAATATTTCCAATTAAACGAGGGTTTATTTTCCATCTTTCAATATTTGTAAATTTGTCGATGTGTCTTATGAATAATTTAAAGAACATTTACAGCTTAATATTTTTGCTTGACTGCCTGAACATGTCATGTCTGAATGTGTCATAAGACAAAGAAGTGAAACGTAAAGGCTGTTTTGGGAATTAATAATTATGTAGGTAGATGACTTTTGTTATAATTGGCAACACTATTGTGGAATTCACAAAGATCACTATAGGGTGACAACAGAAAGACAGCGCCTAGGAAGAAGTTAGAATGTATAGATATAGAATGTGATAACGTGGTAATAAACAGCTATGTATAAACATTATAAAGTTTTAATGTTAAATAGAAGTAAACAGCTATATACAAACATTATAAAGTTTCAACTCTGAATAATATTTTAATTATTTTCGCTTATTTCACTACAATAATACGGACGTATTGAAAAAATGAATAGCTTGACTAGTTTTTTCTCATTACGTTCCTATAAATTAATTGTTATTAATACTAAAACAGTTAGACTGTGAAACTAGAAAGTTTCATTTATACATTAGAAATCTCTAGAGGAAAATTATAATTATTATTAACGATATATATTTTTTTAATGATATATTATGTATCATCAAATATATATTTATGTTATATTGTAAATACCCAATATTTATGACAGACATATATTAACTTTTATTGAAAATCTTTTTCCTGCAAAAGAAAATCTGGAATCTATATTTTAACTCCATAATAATTAACTTGTTTTGACATCATCCCAGAATTAAAATTAGAATTATTTAAGGTAAAAGGCGTTTTTTTAGTTTTACACATGGTTAACTTACCATAGCCTATATAACAAAAAATAATTTTATAAGGGGTTATAAGCAAAAGTTGAAATTATAATATCTTGCTCAATGAAAATCATTTTACGAATGTAAATACGCGATAGAACTAGTATTATCTATAGGATATATTTTATGTACGGATAATCACGAATAATTATTGTTAAACATCACAATTTAAACTAAAGAACATAAATGATAAATAGACGTGTGGTATAAAACAAATTTTAATTAGCAGCAAAACGCTTGCTGTGTAGGTGTTTATTAAAAATATATATTGATCAATTCAGTAACTCAATTGAATCAATACGTCACGATTCTTTGATAGAAAATTTTAAAGTAATATAGTTTGTAAATATTTTTTATAGATTGAAATAGATTTGACGTGTGTTTAATGTATACTAGTCCAATGCTATGTTTCGATTATTTAGCAATAATTATATTCACGTAAAGAAGATAACTGCCTGATAAAATTTTAAATATATACCAGTAAACGCTTTGAAAATAGTTTAATTTAGGAGTGTTACAGTTTTGGAAATTGGGACTTCAAGATCAAGCAGCATGAGCGAATGCTGTAAAATTATTTTATTCTTGTAAGTATTTAGGTGTGAACATTCATTAAAGATATTTTTACAAATATTTAATACGTCTAAAAGAGTACGATATTATGGCTTCTTATTTTATGTTTTGTGATTTCATCATTTATCATAGCAAATTGAGTGAACCCATTAATAATTATGAATATTTCAATTATACACGTATAATTACATTAGCGAGGAAGTATGAAAATTCTTTCTCTCAATACCAGAAAGTTTACTGACGAAACGAGATTGTTGTATAATCATAAAGTGACTTGTACCTACTGGTCTTTTAAATAAAATGTTTTGATTGTAATTTGTTAAGTTTTAAAGCATTTCATTCACTGAAATGCAGCGGGGAACTAAACGTTGTGACTTCCTAAGCGTTGACGGTATAAACTGATTACTGAATTTTAATGAAAATGTGTTTCTTAACTTATATCAGTTTTCATAACAGAATAATTTTATCAAGTATTTCATATCTACAATGTATATCTTTAGCTATGTATATAGTTGTATTTTGCTATTCTCTAAGGTCATCTAATTATTCTGTTCCACTTAAAAGGTTGATCGAAAAAATTGTATGTTTAAATCATTACTCATTTGTTCATTGTTTCAATTCAAAGTAATTGTGTAGTTACTTAATTCAAAATAAGCGTTATGTTGTTTATTATTCTCATTGTTTATTAAGTGTTCATGAATTAGTGTTCTTGGCATTTCTAACGGTTTATTGAAGTTACTGTTTCGGATGTTACTGAACCTTGGATTTTTAAAGACATTTAAATATTAAACCCAGTCAATATGTCAAGGTTACTTTAACCATTTACTTCACTTAATTAAAATTACACCTTATCTATGTATGACAGTTGATAAATGTAAGGTAAAATTCTTACAGAATTGAATTTGTGAGTAAACAATGTAAACACATATATAACTAAAATTCTTTTCTAAACAGTTTTTGTATGATATCAAATTTTAAATAGATGTAATTTTGCTTATTTGTTTGTAAAAACCATATTCATAGTATCAAATTTGTTTAAGTTGATGTTAGATAGTAGAGTAGTTAATAATCTATTTACCGGGACACTCACAGAATATGAGCTAATGGACTACATTAAGAAGGCTCCAAAATACATATAAGTGCTTTAAGGGTTGCATGAAATCAGTAATTTATATGTTACATAAAAACAAAAATGTATAATACTCTTCTTACAGCTTATCATTGGCCATAGGAGTACAGTCTTCAAATTTACAATGTTATGAAACAGAATTTCCAGAAGGATTCCTATTCAGTGCATCATCCTCTGCATATCAGGTAGAAGGTGCTTGGAATAAAGATGGTAAGTTAGTAAGATGGTAATATAAGTATGTAATATGAATTATGTTACCATATATGTATATAAAAAAATTGTATCAGGTCGAACTGACAGCATTTGGGACGACCTAGTACATCGACGTCCTTACCTCGTCAGAGAAAACGCGACTGGAGACATTGCTGATAATTCTTACTACCTTTATAAAAGGGATATAGAAATTTTGAGAGAAATAGGACTACAAGTATATAGGTTCTCTATATCATGGAATAGAATTTTACCCACTGGTTTCCCTAACAAAATTAATTATGAAGGTGTCGCATACTACAATAATTTAATTAACGAATTATTGAAATACAACATTATCCCGGTGGTAACAATTTACCACTTTGATTTGCCTCAAAGACTCCAGGAATTGGGTGGCTGGGTTAATCCTTATGTCGTTGATTGGTTGGGAGATTACGCGAGGGTGGTTTTCAATCTATTCGGTGATAGAGTTAAATATTGGATAACAGTGAATGAACCACAGCAGATCTGTTACTACGGCTATGGTGATGTAATGAACGCACCAGCATTAAATTACAAAGGAATTGCTGAATACTATTGTGCGAAAAATGTACTTCTAGCACATGCCAGGGCATTCCACATTTACGATGAAGAATTTCGAGAATTTCAGGAAGGCATTATATTTATTGCTATAAGTGCTGAATGGTATGAACCTGCTTCGTCGGACAGGAATGATATTATGGCCGCTTACGACTCGAACATGTTTACAGTATGTAAATTACATTGTAGTTATAGCTTTTAGCATTCCAATAATTTGTGCAATTTTCTTGTAGTATGGACAATACGCTCATCCAATTTTCTCTGAGACTGGTGATTTTCCCCAAGAGATGAAGACTCGCATTGCAGAAAGAAGTGCTATACAAGGTTTTGCTAGGTCCAGACTGCCAAAACTTTCGGAAGAGGAAATTGATTATATACGTGGCAGTTCTGACGTGTTCGGTTTAAATCATTATTCTACTTTCTATGCAAGCAGAAATCAATCTGTTTATACAAATTATGAATCTCCATCATTTTTTGATGATATGGCAGCATACACGTTTCAGCCACCTGAATGGAGGCTGAACCCAGATGCTGGTGTTGCGGTAAATATATTATTAAAAATTAACCTACTATTATAGGTATCAACAAGTTATTACTGATATTTATGTATGTTTTGATTCAGACTGTTCCTTGGGGTTTCTACAAATTGCTGCAATTCATCAAGAGAGAATACAATAATCCTCCCGTTTTCATAACTGAGAACGGTTTTGGCAACAATGGTGGTTTAAAAGATAACGATCGAGTTACACACTTGAAGAGTTATTTATGTGCTCTTCTGAAAGCTATTAACCATGGTTCTGATATTATTGGATATTCTGTTTGGAGTCTCCTGGATTCCTTCGAATGGATGTGTGGATACAAGTAAGAATATTTTTGACAAAATAGGAATAGTTTTGTTTTTTCATTCATTGTTAATCAGTTGTAATTAATTCATCAAATCATTTAATATTTATATATTTTCAGGTGTAAATTTGGTCTTTATCAAGTGGATTATAGTTCCGAAAATCGCACCCGAACTCCACGGCTGTCAGCCTACTTTTACCAGCAGTTAATACGCACTGGGAGACTGGATCCAAACTTTGAACCTGATCTGAGTGTTCCTATGACGTCTGATTTTGGATATTAAAGTTTTTAACTAATCTTATTTTAAAAAAGTATAAAAATATCCAAAAAGAATATAAAATAAAAGTCCAAAGAAATAATTTATTCTAAGTAATGTTTTTGATTGTATGATGAAAATAAATGAATAAAAACCGATTCAGTAATTACTATCAATATCTATTATTATATTAATATATATCACACTCCACAAAATCATACATTCAAATTTGGATTCTTCTGCTTTGCTCGGGAACATAAATATTAATACGAGGTACAACTGCCGCAAGCCAAAAACATTTTCTTTAAAAGTTTTTAAAAACTATACTTCTTTTTATAATCCGGTTATCAGAATGTGCCGCCTTTGTAAGTAAATAAATAATAATAATAATCATGAAATTGATATTTTTAACACAAATCAAGCGATCTTTGTAAAAACTGTAAAAAAATGTCTATTTTAAAAATGCAATCTTGTAAATTTAAAAAACTGTAATTATTAACAATTTATATTTCTTTTGTATTTTTTTTTGTAACTTCAAACAAAAATTGTTTATTATACCATTTATTTTTCTTGTAAATTTAATTCGTGTAACTTTATTTTTGCTTTTTTTGGTTTAGTACTAATATATAGTTATCTCCTGTATAATAATAATTGGCAATCCCGTCATGTTGTGCATGCACCCTTAGGGTCATAGTCTGTTCGATGCTATTAATGTTTAAGAAATATTCTGTATGTGATTGTGACCTGTTGTGTTTGCCTTAATAAATAAATAAATATATATACAGAGGTTAGTAGTTAGGACACCGTGGTAAAGAGATTAATAATATGAGTTAGTCTATTCTCTGAGATATATTCTTTTAACACTGGTTCTTGCTTAAAATATCATGGTTACCTCAGTTTCAAACTGCTACACGTTCAGTTATGTGTATTTATTTGCACGCAAATTCTATTAATAAAGTAATAAAAAGCGAATGGAGTCGTTACTAATTAATGTGAAGTAGTGTAAAGTAATTAACATACGATATAATAACCTTATAAAATAATACGTTCACATTTTGTTTTGTATTCTTCAGTTACAGTATCAAGTAATGAAGTAAGATTCAGGTGCAGATTGTTGACCACTACGTCTATTTGATTACATCAGTTTTTTAGAAATTATCAAAAAAAAAATCAAACATAAATTAAGATGTTAATAAAAATATACCTACTTACCAAAGAAAAATTAAAAATAATAGGTTTCCATGCCCATTCCTGCCCCCTAGAACTGAAGATAAAGCTATAGATTAACTTATGTATGTCACTTGTATTATCGATAGAAAAATTATGTATGTTTTCGAGGTATAGAATATGATAACATAAAAGCAAAACACAATTACAAAAAAGAAAAACTAAAATAAAACATTCTATTAAATAAGATATTCTTATAAAAGATACAATTCCAAAAGTTATTATTTAATGAATTACATATATGAATCATTTATATCAGTTAAGAACATTCCTAATTTATAAATACCAATAATGCTAATGATAAACAAGTCGCCTACGATTTTTCTGACACCTTTCTGAATCAAAAACCACTGTGTATTTGTAAGACGCAGCGAAACAAAACAATAACTAACTCTTTATACTAGTTACTCTTTATACGTCAATGTTCCGTGTCGTTTGGTGATCCACCGAATGAGTTGTAGGCATATCGCCTCCACTAAAATGAATCCAGTGTCGGGAAGAAAAATGACAGCTCAGCTTTTTAATTACAATTAAAAATAATTTTAACGACGAGTGTGTATTAAACAAGTCCGAAATCCTGCAAACTTAATGTGACTGTAAGTCCTGAACCATAATAATAATAAACTTACATTCTGTAATGACTTGTTTGCTTCACAAGCATAGATGATAAATACGCAAGACCTAAAATGAATAAACCTATTATGAACTTTAAAGTATATAACCACATTTCTGAATAGATAAGACATATCTTAATTATATATTTGTAATTTGCTTAAGTGTTATGTTGAATTGTGATACTAATACTTGCGATAACATTACTCGTTAAGCACACATACTTGACGAGCAGAGATAAAGTTTTCAGCAGGTTTACGAAAGTAAGCAATAATAGTCTCTTATTAAATTTAACTTCGATATTCAAGAGTATACTATTTACTCATAGGTTATAAATTCCACTTTAATTGAATTTTTCCAACTATCATTAATTTTAAGAAAACATTTACATATATATTACAATAAATAAGATAGGTATATTATATTTAAAAACCTATTGAAATTTTTCCTTATAGTCTATTAAGAATTTATACGTAGACAATCATAGATCTGAGAGTCTTAACCTGTTTATAATTGTTCCGAATTAACTTTTTAGAGTATGGTATTCCCAGAAATCTATCAGTAAGGATTGAAATTATGAGATAGTATAATAATCAAGGTAGATCGTGTCCCCTTACTTCTAATTGAGTCAGTGACTTACTCGTTAAGCATTAAGATTGTTTTGAAAAACTATTGACTTAAAATTTATTAAGATTGTTTTTACAAACTTTATTTCAATGAAAATGCATCTGGGACTCAAATACTTGTACTAATTGCAGACTATCTGACCGCTTTATGGCTGGGATATATATCAAAAGATGTATTAATTAACAACCTGGTTAAACTACGAGATATTATCCAAAACATAAGTACTTTCCTTACAGATTTATGGAGGTTTCATTTATGACCTTTGGAAAACCTCATAAACTTTTTATGAAAACTTAGTTACAATATTAAGAAAAAAGTTAAACTTTTATAAAGCTTACACATAGAGCTTTACATCTATGAATTTTCACATAAAATAATGTATATAATGAATAAATTAGGAGAACATTTTATTTTAATTCTAATCATAAGTAGGTAATTAATTCTATTACTTTTGATTACTTGGGTCTCATTTACATAGATATTTTTTTATGGTTGACTTAGTATACCAATTAATTACATAAAGTTTTTTTTTTGTCGCTATAATATTTGGAAAATTCCACATACGGACTTTAGTTTTCTATGGTGTTTGTCAGAGACTTTATATGAAGGGAATTGGAAAAGTCAGTCTTATTTCGTACCGGGTTAAGGAGAGGACAGTCAATATTTTTCCTGTCTGATATTTTTGTATTACAAGTTGAGGAACATATGAAGTTAAGAAACAAACTACCCTTAATGATAATTATAGCAGACCTTCGTCAGTTTTGACGTGTTATAGCAACAGATACATTGTATTTGTTGATTATATCGGTCACTACCTATTCTCGTATGTCCGTAATGGAGTCAATTTATGTTTTATCGTAAGTAAAAAATATTTATCCGTCGTAGTATGATCAAAGTAGAATTTATTAAAATGGGTAAATGTATCAGAGAAGATTTATAATAATTATTGTAGTACGTATGACAAAATATTCACAGGTTAATTTTGGGAACTTATGTGCTGTTAGTAGGATGTAATTCAATAAGCAGTGTGAGGAAATTTCCAAAGAGATTCATTTTCGGTACAGCGACAGCCTCTTACCAAGTGGAAGGTGCCTGGGACGTAGACGGTATATATAATTTTTATTTCTTTCTCCTGGCAAATAAAAAAATCAAATGAAATGCTTTTTCACACTGTAAATTTTGTAGCTATAACTATTGACTTTTATATGTGTTAAAATTTTTTCATCAGGGAAATCCGAAAATATCTGGGACCACTTAACACATACTAATCCTTGCAAAGTCCTTGACTGTTCAAATGGTGATGTCGCTGATAACTCTTATTATCTTTATAAAAGAGATGTGGAGATGATGCGAGAGTTAGGACTCGACACTTACAGGTTTTCTATCTCTTGGACCAGAATCCTTCCTACTGGATTTCCGGATTACATTAATGAAGCTGGAGTAGCATATTACAACAACTTAATTGGTGAAATACTGAAATATAAAATTCAGCCGATAATAACTTTATATCATTGGGATCTACCTCAAAAATTACAAGAGATGGGAGGCTGGACAAATAATGAAATTGTTAAGTGGTTTGGTGATTACGCACGAGTTATATTTAAACTTTTTGGTGATAGAGTTAAATATTTCATCACTATTAATGAACCTCATCAAGTTTGCGAGCTTGGTTATGGAGAAGATATATTGGCGCCAGTCTTGAATATACATGGTATCGCTGACTACTTATGCACAAGAAATATACTATTGGGTCACGCTAAAGCCTATCATATTTATAATGAAGAATTTAGAGTGAAACAACAAGGAAAAATATTCATTACCATTAACGCCGAATGGTTTGAACCGAAAACAAAAGATGACGAGAAAGCAGCTCGGGATGCTAGGCAATTTACTGTTAGTAGATAATTTCTTAACCTTTATTTCATTTATCTCGTAGTCAATTTATTTTGAAAATTTAAGTAAATGTTTAGAACGAAAAAATCTCGAAAATTTTGAGTTAAAGACTCAATTAAGATGGATTTGTATCATTTAAGAATATTTAAATACATACAAAGATGGTTTGTAGTGGCAAAGAAGAAACTGGAACATGTGTAATTTTTATAAATATTTTGTTAATATTTCTTGTGTTTGTTATCAATTTCAATTACATTCTTAAATTCCAGTGGGGGGTTTACGCTCATCCAATATTTTCAAAAACTGGAAATTTTCCTCCAGAAATGATAAAGAGGATAGCGGATAAAAGTGCTGCACAAGGTTTTCTTAGATCCAGATTACCCGAACTATCAAGCACGGAAGTTAAATTTGTCCAAGGAACCTCCGACTTCTTTGGACTTAATCATTATTCAACTCATATTGTTTATAGAGATGAGAGTTTATCTAAAACTAATCCTGTACCATCATTCGGTGACGATCTTGATATAATAGCATATCAGTTACCTGAATGGAAAATTGGAAGATCAAATTTTACCAAGGTGTTTCATAATTAACTTGTCTTATATAAGTGAATAAATGAAAAGCAATTTATTTACAATTTTTTCTAAGAGAAGAGTTCACTCCGAACATAACAATTGCATAAATTACATACATCTCTCATGCATTATTTTTAATAGTACATATATAATTTCAGTACGTTCCTTGGGGTTTTCGGGCGTTATTTAACAGTATCAGCCATCAATATGGTAATCCTCCCATACTGGTTACTGAGAATGGATTTGCAACTCATGGAGGTATTAACGACGAGGACCGAGTGACATACTACAGAGGCTACTTGAACGCTCTTTTAGATGCTATCGGCGATGGTGTTGATATAAGAGGGTATACTGCCTGGAGTCTCATGGACAATTTTGAATGGACGAAAGGATACACGTAAGTTAATATATAGGAAAGTGTATAAATTTTATAAATAAGTAACGCCTTCAGACATATACGCAACAATTTAAATATTTTCATGATTTCACAGGGAACGCTTCGGTCTGTATGAAGTTGACTTCAACGACCCAAACCGTACTCGCACGCCTCGCAAGTCTGCTTATGTACTGAAGGAGATTATAAGGACACGATCTATTGATCCCAACTATGAACCTGACATGAACCAACCTCTCACCATTGACAGTGGATACTAAATTATTATCTCAGTGTTAAAGGAACAAAAGTAAATTTTTTAAATAGTTCAATGTTAAACAAACAAATTTATTTTTTGACTATTCATCCCATTCGCACATCTGTTTCAAAGTGATTATAAATATTCAATATACATAGTATAAAAAAAAAAAAATTAAAATAAGATCTTAATTTGACGTTACCAGCAAAAAATAAAGTCAATAAAATATTAAGACTGTGAGATAACTGAAAGTATAGTATTATTATCATATTGTTTATATAGATACACGAGTTGGGACATTAAAACTAATTCGTGTAAAATTGTACTTTAGTGATTAAACGCAAGAGAATCTAAAACCTTTGCAAAACATGCTATTAGGTTTTATTCTGAGAATACTTTCAAATACCAAAACCAATTGGTAAAGTACTCGTAGTTTGCAACTTGAATTAATTATTAATTGTTTAATTAGATTATATCAGTGGCGTGCACACCATAGATGCAAATAAGCACTACATACCCTACCCATATAAAAATTAAAACTATATTGTTTAATTCTTACTTACATACTTTTAATCATACATTACGAAATACAAATGTTAACAGACCAAGTGCCAACTATCAATGTAAAAACGAAACATTTTGATCGGCCGGTGCTAACTGCTAGCGCCGCTATGCAGCCGGAGCGTTGATTTGCACAACCACTCTCTGCTTATTTTCCATACAAAAAATCTGAAGGACGATCTACGAATCTCGTGTATGTATCCAGGAAATATTTATATGTGTGTGTGTGTGTGTAAAACTGACACCTCCATACCGTTCGAGAAGCACTGATTAGTGATTATTTTGTATTATTTAAAATCCCTGAATTGTCAAATGAAATGGGACTCTCTGATTGGTTGGTAAACTGTTCACATTTTTTTATTCGCCATTTTATTATTATTGAATACCTATTGTCATTTTTCTTTCTAAGTGCAAGTGATAAAGTTTTAATCAGTAAACAGACGATTAATTTATTAACGAATTATGGAAAATTAGAGCTGTGAGCTCTGAGCTTGTGGTATGAAATTATTGAAATTATTTACAAATAGATTTTCAATATTGCCGTTTGATAGTAAAATTAAAATAAGTGTAAATTCAAGGTGTGTGACCACTTAGTGCGGTTCTGCGGACGGCAAGCAAGGGTAGCTTGCCGCCCGGTCAGAACCAGACCCGAGCCTACGGCGCGTAGCGTACCGCGCGCGCCTCAAAGAGCCATCGGACCAACACAGATGGGGCCCTAGAGCTGATGCCTGGCCAGGTCGCGGGTGTAAGGCCTGGCCAGGCTCGGAGCAGGAGTAGGTACGGGGGGTTTTTAGTCAGTAAGAGTCTGACACTCCCTCTTGCCCCACCCAGGCAAGAGGGGTCATTTGATGATTTTCCCCTTAAAAAAAACCCACTTGAGATTGAACTAAAAGAAAGGTAAGGTTATTAGTTTTAATAAAAATTATTGTGTTACAGTCAAAACCGTTTATAACGACATTGAAGGGACCGTATATATCCGACGTTATATCCGATAGTCGTTATAAGCAATAGTCATATACACAACTACAGTAGTTATACATATTGTCATATGTAGTCACATATCTATCTAGTATAGATATAGGTTATGTAAACGATTCAGAAAAGAAATAAAAATATTTATTACAAAACAAAATGTATGTACTTGGCTGCTTACAGTTACGGGTTATAAAAAACTACACTAGTTTTTAAAGTAATCAGTCATTTTAGAATTATTTTTTTTAGCACAGTCTCAAATATTTTTAGCATTTTACGTTTCATACTCAAGGTATGAGTATCATCAATATCAAAGTGTTCGTTAAAGGCGAATTTTTTTTGCAAAACTGTTACATCATTAAGAGCCTCGGAAATTATTGTTGGCTGAAACTATTCTTCAAGGTCTTGTTGGTCTTCGTGTTGTTCGTTAGTGTTAGGGTTGTTACTTATAGCTTCTGCAAGAATCTCTTCCTCAGTAGCTAAGGCGCTAACGCGACACTGTTATCTATTCCAATAAATTCCTCTATCTCAATTCTTTGTTCTAAAGCAGTAGATCTTTGCAACTGGGTAAGGACAAGGAGCGGTTGGTCGTTAAAGTCGATTAATATCGATAAATTTTCGTCGTTCTAAGCGATATGTCGCTGTATCCGATGTTGTTATAAGCGGTTTGTATACTGAATAGTTTACTAGCAATTCGGACGGGACCATACAATCTGGCTGTAATAACCGATAGGTCGTTGTAAACGATGTCGTTATAAACGGTTTTGGCTGTAGTTTTATTAGTTAGCAAGTTGTGTAATGTGTACACACAAATAAGTTATTTTGTTGGCTTTGTTTGTTGTTTACAAATGATAATAATAAGAATGTTTGAATCTCCACTGGATATTCCTATTTAAATCTATATATATATATATATATATATATATATATATATATATATAAAAGAAAGTCGTGTTAGTTACTCCACTTATAACTCAAGAACGGCTGAACCGATTTAGCTGAAAATTGGCAGGGAGGTAGTTTAGAGCCAGGAAATTGCAATAGGATACTTTTTATCCCGTTCGACAGTATAAATTATAAAACAAAAAATAGTCTGACCTGGAATAACAAAACGCAAATGACAACTATGTAATTGACGTATAATGACAGATATGTAATGACATATTGATGACAATTTGATATTTGTAAGAATTCTATATATTAATAAAAATTTATTGCTGTTCGTTAGTCTCACTAAAACTCGAGAACGGCTGAACCGATTTGTCTTATCTTAAACTTGAAATATTCGTGGAGGTTTATTTCGTAGAAAACCCTAAAAACAACCCTTTTCTATTTCCCATACAAAAGTTTTTTTTTTGACATTAGATTTAACAACTAACTAATATGTCAATCATTCTGTCGCACTTCAAAACACGGAGATTTATGGTTTAAAGGTAAACTCCAAAAATATAAATAAAAAAACGTAACAGATATTTCTTGATAATAGAGCGATACGAAGTTCGCCGGGTCTTCTAGTAACTTATAAAACTGTGATGAACAGATCGTAATCGTTTTAAGGTATTTTCGTGGCTTAGACGTAGTTGAGTAATTCATAAAGTATATATGTAGATGTTCGTTCTGATCAGACTGCTGTAACATTATGCGCGAATATTATCAATGTTTAAATGAATTAATATTTTCTGATTACTTCTTGTATTTTATTATGTTGAAAAACTAAATACTCCCGACGTTTCGATTACTTTGCAGCAACCGTGATCACGGCAGCCATGTCGTCTGTCTGTTATAAACAATAAAAATATTAGTTTCATTTAAAATTTAAATCAATACTTGGCGAAAAATATCAATGTTTTAGAGGAGGAAATGATGGAAATTGGTTTTTTATTTTCAAACATGTTCTGTTTATCCTACCCCAAATCTCTGTGCACGTCACGTCATATGTATATAAGCATATATGTACATTCGAAATCTAAGTGGTACACATGCGGTACATACACATTTAGTAAAACTACAAATTTATGAAATAAATGTATTTGTCCTCATATATATGGTAAATAAGACCTAGGAAAATAGTTGTATAAACGTTAGAAGATACCATCTGCCTTAAAGGATCAAGATCGGTTCCCAGGCTTTTGTAAAAGCGAATAAAACCAGGTCCATGAGGCCCTGGTGATAAAAGAGAACTTTCGAAACCTGAAAAAACCTAAAGTCTCATATTATGATTATAGTAGCATAACTTTGTGAAACGGTCGGTACAGAAAAAGGTTTTACAGTTTCATCTTTGAGATTCCATCTTCGATGAGGTTATTAATTGGGTGTACAGATCCTGGACTAACGTTGAAAAATAATATATCAATAAAAAATCCTGATCAAACTATATTGTTAGAATCTGTTAGTCTACACGTTTTAATATTATTTAAAACGATTTGTGCTTAAAGAAATATTTAAGAAATACTGGTATCTTTTTTAACTATACCAATAGAGTTGGTATCAATATGATGACGCAGTTGTTTTTTTAATCACTTACGATTTTAAAACCATACCCTTAAAATATTATTTGTTTTTTTTTTGTTTCGTTTATAGAATAAAGTTGCTTCAGAAATTATTAAAGTGGGACTCAAGAAAAAAATGTCCAATTATTAAGTTTAACATGAAAATCAAAGTGTAAGGATCACATGAATTTCACGAATGCGATCTTAAGTATTTCACTGAGTATATATATTGTACCTGTAGCTTTACTATTTTTCGAACATGTCAATGACAACCTTGAAAGTGCTTGGTATGAAATCATATCAATTACTTATAATAATTATTAATAAGATAGAATGTAATGAAAGATTTAATTATACGTTCTTATTTAATAGAAATAGTAGAGAAATCTTCATCATTCAAAATTATATATTAATTTTATAAGTCGTGGTGGCGTAGAGGTTAAAAACCCGCCTCTCATGAACTCACTGCTGGCAGTAGGCTCTGATAGGCTGATAATGATATAATATTGTGCTTTGGATAACACAATCACTTAAAACATGAAAGGTTTATCTGTGAGAAAAGATTTTATTGTTAGGTTTTCTACCAAAGTTACAATCTATATTAAGTTCACAAAAAAAGTTTACAGCAATAAGCTGTAAGAAAAGAAACGACATTTAAAGCTGTTAATTTACAATATGAACTCCAATACCACAATTAAAATAAATATAATGTATTTTACAAGTTCTCTTCTTAGCAACAGTTTCATAATGCGTTATACAATTTGAGTTAAACCACAGATAACATTTTAAAATCAACCACAGATAACAATATTTGGTGTTTGTCTATGACGTGAAGAAAATTATATTTTTCTTTAAATATCCTTCCGAAAAGAAGATAAAGCATCAGTTTTATGGGTATTTTAATGCCGGGGCAGGGGTTAATTTCAAGATGTAAAAGAAGTTTTACTCGGATTTCTTGTAGCCGGTATTTATCTTATAAAACGTGTTTGATATTTTCTCT